ATTGAAAATGAAATTTGCGATTCTCATCTTACTTTTATCCTAAATGAGGGACAAGCTTCATTCGAACATGAAAAATAAATGGAAGAGCCTTACTACAAACCAATAAATCATTTCTCAAGACAAGAAACAAAAATTATCAACTGTTTAGAACTTTCCTGATTTTAATAAAACAGCATGAGATGATATATGCAAAATATGACCTGGCTATTTGGTGTTTCTTCAATAACCATTCCCCCCACACACACCCCCCACCCCACCCCCCACCCCCTGCGGCTCCCAATGATTCAAAACAGCACTGCTGACCATTGAAGTTTAAGAATGGGAGATAAACGAGGCTTTTACAGCAAGCATATTGATCAGAAAGCAACAGCAATAGTTAAAAAAGTTTCTAATACTTCATTAACTTCACAGAATATTTTAATATCACAAAAGAATGTCAAATATCGTCAGCGTATCGTTTTAGAGAACCAGTAATATATCCCCAATACCCAATGAAAGATGAGTAACGTTTTGATGATACGTAGGCTTCTTTCTTACTTTGCACAAGCAGCATGGTGTGAATTGCTTCCAGGTAGTTGGAAATATTAAGTGCAACTGAGCCTCCTTGCTCTGCCTGCATGATGTGAATCTCAATCAATGAATGGGAAACATTGTTATATAAACTGATGAGAACTTTACATATTAGGCCTACCTGCTCGCATATCCAAGGAATCCATGTGTGCATCTGCTGGAAGATACAGATTGACAGATAGGTTGTTGGGTATCTACAGAAGGCAATGCAAAGCATGCTAAGAGCTGCTAGTGCAACATCTGGTCTTAAATAATCAGGTTTAGTAAGAGGTTTTAGAAGTTCGAGAAATGAAACAAGTGAATTATGCATATAAACAGCATATTCTTCTTCTCTTTCAGGATTAACTATGCAAGGAGGCTTGCACTCTGCCGGAACATTGGGATCAGAAGCCATAGCATCTCTATCTACCTTATGGCGTTTGGCCTTAATAATATCTACATCCTGAGCTTGCCTCTTTTTGCCAACTCTGGAGTTTTGAACTGATATATCACCTGATACTGATAAACTCACACTGTAATTGTTTTCCATCCTCCCTCCGACACGATCAGGACCAAGAACAGAAAGAGCCACATGAAAGCAATCAATCAAGGAAGAGCAGGGTTCAGGGGAAGAAAGCATTTGTGTCAGAGATTCTGGCTTCCAAATATAAGGGGGCATGTTCTAGCAATCCGTGAGTATGCACAGCACAAAGCCACCTGAAGGGAAAAGACATGCATTAATAAACAGTCTTAGTGACTTTCCCGAGCAATTTAGACTGCATATCTGCAAGTACAGACAAAAGAAATGCCTCACAAGTACAGACAAAGCCTAAATAAGAACATGTTGGGAAACTAACCTTGAGTTCTTGGCTTTTGGTTCTCTGCATTGACTGAGGGAGGACATGTATTAAGTCCACAGCTGTTAGCTTTACGATAGCATCTGGACAACTGGAATGCAATGCATTGAGGCAACCACCCAAGGAGGAATCATACGCCATATTTCTGCAATATTATTAAGGTAATTTTTTGAATAACTTTAGTAAAAGTCCCCATATAGGTGATGCCAATTAATGTTCCCCCGTAAACAAATTAAGATTGGTCGTGTCGTACAAAGAATAGACGCTTCTTATTCAGCATGGACATTAACTTCCACAAAACTCACAAACAGGCTATGGCAAGACAATCAAGATCAACTACATAGAAATAATAGACCATCTGTCCTCAAATTTTTTAACAAAATGATGCATGGACAGTGAGACTTCTACCAAGAGAGGAATCTGAAGTCAAAGAACGTGCCTGAATAAAAAAAGTCCCTCTTTGTCCTCACTTAGTATTGCAGCCATTGACCTGATCATATTCTCATGAGGAATAAGGTCATGATCTAAGACTGATCTGACGATGCGTGCGAAGTCAAAACATGCCTTCCACAAAATTTCAACTGTCAGACAACTGTCACAAAAAGATATAGCAAACAACACTTAATAAACCAAACATAAACAATACACTGCATCCAACAAGCTAACACCTCCAACTAGTAAACATCTCCTACCCACCATATGCAAGTCAGCATCCCCAAAGCATAATAGAGAACAAGCCGCCGAAACATTTGCCAAACTAATGAGTCCCTCCACATAAAGCGTCCCTTCAGTTACACATTTGCTGAGAAGCTTAATCATCCAAGTTGCAAAGGGCCGCCACCTCTTTGTACCCATCACATTAATCAATACACCCGCACCATCATCAGGTTTACTACTCGCCGGCAAATCACTTATACAAGCAGGATCATCGAAAATCCCACTAAATGACTTACAAAAGCACTTCAACTTTATCCTAGAAGAGTCCGGAACACTTCTATTCTCAACAGAAAAAGACGCCACATGCAAAATATCTGTATACACATGAAACAAAAATTAAAAATTAAAAAATATATATATAATCAATATATTCATTTACAAAAAAGCTCTTTTTTTTCTTTCTTTTCTCTTCCTTTACCTTCAACAGCCAGCATTGCATCGATAAAAAACTGACAGTAAGCATCTCGCTCTCTGGTGCGAAGCAAGGACAACAAAGAACCAACTGTATCAAAAATCACTCCATGTCGCGCACTAAATACAACCAGAACTAACTTCAGTTCCTACAAATTGTTAAAAAAGATTCCATAAAATCAAACATAAACAAAATACAATCACTCACCAAAATGCAGGCTCTGCAAAAAACGGCAAAACCCTACCAATAACAGGCAAAACGGCACTCGCTTTCCCATGGTAAAACACACCAGGAAAATTCCTCGCTGTGTGTGAAATCAACTTCAACACCGCAATCACCTCCCTCTCACTCGCTACAACAAAATTATCTCAAAAAATTAATTAATTAACATATTTATAAACCGATTGTATTAGATTATTGAATTAATTAAAGTTTTAGGGTTTTTGTGATTACCGGAGGAAGAAGGAACGACATAGGCGTGCAGGAGATTAGGAAGGACAGCACGAAATCGGATTTCTAAAGCGACATCGTTTTCAGCTGCTGTATTACTGGTGGCGTTTGGTGGTGTTGATGAAGTTGCTGCGATTCGTTCTCGGAGTTCGTGTACTAAGCTCGATAAGTTCGGAGTCGGCATTGATTTTCCCTCGCAAATTTGAAGAACATCAGGCTGTTAGCTTCGAGCTTTAAAACAAAAGCGAAGTGAAGGTAGGCAGCATTTGTAACGTAGGAGCACAAGTGGGCTGGGCTTTTTTCAATCTAGGTTTCTGTTCCTTGGCCCATACAACTAAAAGTTTATTTTACTTTATCATAAAAACTAAAACATTTATTTAATCATCGTAACCAATCATTTTTCCGAAAAATCTCATCAATAAAAAAATCCCATAATTATTAGAAGAATTTTTTTTTATAACAATTTTACAATATTTTGGATGAATTAGTAAAGTTTGATGGACTACTATTATGGGACTAGGGAGAATTCTTATATATATATATATATATATATATATATATATATATATATTATCATAATTTTGACATCTATGATTTTGCGTATTAGTTATATTGGTTCAACATTTAAAGATATCTTATTGTGGGAAAAAAATTACGTTAATCAATTTTCATCAATGTATTTTTTTAATTTGTATGTATGTTATATGAGTCGAGGTTTTAAAAACGTATACATTGTTAGATAATATGTTTTATATCAAATAAATAAATAATACACGAGTAATATAAAAAGTTAAAAAATAACCATTTACTATAAAATTTAAGTATTTTGAAATTAATGTTGAGTTCGTACAAAATTGAATGATCTCAATCAGTTTTCGTGAGTTTGGCATGGGCTGAATTTATTGTTGGGGTAGGATACTGTGTGACAGATCCTCAACGTAAAGGAAACCAAGCATGAAAAACACAATGGTATAAATCCTTAAGGTATTTGATTTGAAAAGAATAAAATGGGAATAAAAATAAAGGATGGTAAGAAAAATTAAAAATAACTTTTTTCTCATAAGAAGTGAAAAGAAAAATAAGAAATAAAAATAATTTTTTACATAATAATATATTATTTATATTTATTGTATATGAATTATTTTTACTGTCATTATCATCACAACAACCACCATAACCAACACCACCACCTCATTCGTTGCCATTGGTGGTAAAAAAAAATTAAAAAAAAAGTTATTATTATTATTCCTCCATCAATCCTCCTCGATGACCATTATTATTTTTATTAAAAAAAACCACTATCACTCTTTTTTAACATCACCTTTTAGGATAATGATATTAATTTTTTAAATTATATTATTATTATTATCTCCTCTTCATGCTTCTCTTACTCCATCACATCCATTGTCACAATCTTTTCTATTATTTTTATTATCATCATATTTGATGAAATTATTTTTTAATCATTATTATTATTCTTATTAAAAAATTAAAATTTTATTTTAATTATTATTATTATTTCTAACACAGTATATGAATACAAATATTTGATTCTTTAATTTTCATTTCGATTTATGTATTTTTATTTTAGATCTTTTTATTTTTAATAATCAAACCATACTTAATTTCTGCCGACATTCTGTCCTCTAACTAGAGAAAGCGGTGCTTAAGAAAAATCAAAGAGACCATTATGCAATATCATATGTTATAAACCAATCATCAACTTTGATTGCAGGCTGAATTACGCTTGGTACCATAGGAAAGAACCAAAGAACCTTAGAATGTCTTCAAAGAGGGACAAAATTTTGTATTGCCATTGTCATTATCAAAAAGAACATGAAGGGAAGCATTTATGCCCTTTGAATATGCTTCAACTCACCAACTTGACTTATCTATGACTAGAAATTATGAAGAAAACTCTGCTAACCTAATTCAAAATTTCTGTGGGGAGAAAAAAATTGGGGGGCAAATTGTTTTGATGATGGGATATTGCTGCAATTAGAAATGCAAAGTCCCTAGGACAGGCGATAATTTTTTTCAGGGAGAGGCATGGCACGGATGTTGATGTCAATAGGAAATAAGCGGTATTGAATGTCAAGCTCCATGAATATTTTCACCATCTCTTCTATCAGAAGAGCTCTTCTTTTCCATTTCTCTCCCATGTCTTGATGGTTCATTCTATGCCTAATCCATACTGCTACCGTCAGCTTGTTCAAATCTACCACTTCCTTGAGTATAAATGAAGGATCAGGATACCAGTGCTCTTTCTTGCCTTCAATGTAACTGCAATATTGGCATTCAAGGAAACAGATTGTTAAAAAATGGATGGTTTTCTTGATGGTAACAAACCGAATGGTTTTAATTATTGGAACTTTACCTTGTTATTCTCTGCTTCATAAGAGAAATCTTTTCGGGCGGAGTGGATATGTGGATGTGGAATTCGACCGAATCGCCCATGTCAGGACTACGATAGTAGTTTCCGATTGGTTTGCTTGCAAGAACACTATTAGGATATAAAACTTTCTGGTTGTCAGCTCTAAGGAAAAATGTTGTTAGAATGTTCATCTCCTCCACTATCAGCTGAAACGCAATGAACATTAAACTATATCAATTATAACACAGCAATGTAAGCTAAAAGAAATTGCATAAACCTGCACACTCAAAAGGATGGAACCAGAACTTTATATGTACCTGGACTCCATCTATCTCACACCTATCTCCAACGTCAAATGGATGAATAACGAACAAGAAGATAATCGACTCGAATAATGTCTTGGCAGTATTTCCAAAAATAAAAGACACAACAAGAATCTGTGATCCTAGAAGCACAAAAAATTTGCTTTTGGCAATTCCAAGTATGACTAAGGAGATCACAATTATAACAATGCCAACTGCTACGTTTATCATCTGATGCAGCTTGTTCACAGCAGTCTTTGTATCGTTCAATGTTAGAGCAAGGGCCCTCCTTTCCCTGAAAGCATTGACCTGCAAAAAGGGAAATTACGTACATTATAGATGTTCTAACTTAGAACAAACTTAGGGTGGGTACAGAATAAGTAGAAGGGTTTTCAAGTTTCCAACCAACAAGTCCTTACCACCCAGTTCTTCAGGGATGATTTACTGATTCTGCTGGTTTCAGATGCTTCTTCAAAGAAACCCATTGTCTTCAGAGCTTTATCTTCTTGCAAAAAGCGCATCAAATCCTGCAAGTAGATGTACCTGCCGAACAACATAATCTACAATCTTCGAGAAATTGAAAACAGACTACATGTTTAAGGAGAAGGGAATAGCAAGTCATGAGTGAAGCAAATGAGCAATAAATCATTACATATATATTTTTGTCATATCTAACCAAAAAATACTGAAATGGTCAATGGTAAGCCAGTAGCAGCTCAATGAATTTAATGAGAAAAAAAAAAGATGAATGGAACGTAATCAAGGCCTCCCATAGGGAAAAGAAACTAATTTGATTAGAAGTTCATCCAATTAAAAATGTTTGTGTGCTTTTAGAACGAACAAAAATATTATGGAAATTGTAAAAAAAAAAAAAAAATTGGATGATGAATGTCTAAAATCATTTAAATGATGCGATTGGAATATCAATATAAAGTAAAAGTACTGATAAGTGACTCACTTTGAACCCTTGCAAGCCACATTATAAAAAATCTTCCTTGCTGCGGCTTTAGCTTCGTATTCGCTTCTGATATGTCTCGTGGGATCATCCTCAGAAGCAGCATCTAGTATCTGCTCATCCAAAGTGGACAATGAACCATCCCGCACAAGTTTTATCAACCTTTTCATATTCCAAGCTGAAATATTCTTGGTATTAAGTTTATGCAAGTGGTCAATCGTGATCCCCTCATCTCCTTTTTTCTCCCCCTTTTGTGAAAGGTTCCCAGAAAATTTAAAGCTTTTTGCTGTGAAAGTTTTCTGCGTTCCTCTATTCGCATTCAACCTTCCACTCTTTGCTGATGGGAAGATAGCTGCCTTGAGTTCTCGAGGCAAAGGAGCCCCAGCATTTTGCAGCATACGAACCTCGGCAGCAGTCCTCTCTTCATCCTCCTCAGCTTTTTGTATTTCAATCAATGGTGGACCTGATAATGCTTCAATCACCAATTGATTGAAGAGTGACTCCTGAATCCTATCAAAATAGGTACTAACATGGAAAGATGAAGCAAGAACCTTAACCACCAAAGTTTTAATCAACCATATGAAATTCCCCACCAAAAAACAAACCAAGATTTTAGTAACATATTTGAGAATTTCACTCTTAGTATCCCTTTGAACCTTTTTGTCAAACAAAAAGTGCCATGCCAACAACACAAGCCCTAACCACCAACAATTCTGCACTCCCTTTCTCAATCCATAAACAAAATACAAAACCCTCTTCCGCAACATAAAATTTCTTTCAATGAAAAACACTATCAAACGAATCCCCCATCCTGATACCAACCTTCCACATATCAAAACCAACAACAAAACCTCCCATTTCCATAATTTAAGGTTCAAAAGTTTTACTTTCCTTAAAGCACGAATACAAAGACTGCACACCAATGCAGCTACAATCACAATCAAACTCAACCATTCGAGCACAATCAGTGTACTTAACTTGCCCTTCTTATACTCCTCCGGTAAGTCCTCATCCTCTAATGGATCCTCATCCTCTTCATCGTCCAAAACCCTACTTAACATCCCGGATTTCATCGGTCCAGACTTCGGTATCCTCCCTGACATTCTCTCCAATTCCTCTGGCGAAGGGTCATCTATAAGTCTTGATTTTGTTTTCAATCTTGACAATAGACGGGATTCTCTCCGAAAGGATGCATTAGACGAGCACTTCAAAACTTCTTCGCATCTTTGTTCTCGTTTTTGTTGATGAGAATTGACCGAACCATCCTCTTGTTTATGAGAATTGACTGAACCATTCTCTTTGCATCGCCTTCTAACAGACTCGGCTGCGCTATTAATGCTGTCACCAGAGAAAGACGGTTCGAACGACACACGGATTTCTCTTGAGAATTGCTTAGTCCCTAGAGATCCTGGAGAAGAAGACGAGTTTGCTACATGTGATGATCCTTGCTTACCTTTTAGTTCATCCATTTCCATGTCCATGTCCAATGAAATCTCCCCGCCACCATAGATTTTCTGATTTTCCAAGAACTGACTGATCAGCTTCGATGGCGGATCTTGCATCATGTCCTGTTCCCCATTTTGCGTAAAACCAAAACTTGGTTCCCTGTTAACCTTACCACCACTACTAACACTTTCTTCTGAGCTGGAATTGCCATCCTTGACCTTGACAATTACCTCATTATGATGATTTGAACCTATTGACGTTTCTCGTTGAATGTCAGTTAGAACATCTGATTGATGGTGGTGGAGAATAGGCATCTCTTCATGGCTGATGCTAGAATCATTGGCTGCCCCTCCACCACCAGAAAATCCCCTGATGTGTTTGAAAGAGCCGTTGGCTTTGAATGATTTTTTAAGAGAGAAATCCATTTCTTGTTTTTGACAAAAAGCTGGTCAAAATAATTTGTGTTTTTGTGAGCAATATTTTCTGTGTATGTATGTATATATATATATATATGTATATAGACAATGTGGAAATGTCGGTTTGTTTTCTTGAAGAGTATTCTCAGGTGAATTTGTTAAATGGGAACCTAAAAGAAGTGAGGGAGAGAGTCTGCGTACAACAGAATCACAAGTGGCATGGAAAACGAAAGATAGGAAAGAGAATTGCATGGTTAGGTTTGAAGATTATATAAGCCTATGAATAAAATGCTTGCAAACCAATTAGCTGTAATTTAACCGTCGTTAGTTGTTTTATATAAATTTTTTAAAAAAATAATTTTATAATCCTCTTAAAAGTTAAAACCAAAATAAAATTTATGGGCCTGTTGAAAATAAAAGAGATGATTTAGTTCAAGTGATCATATGTAGATTTTTTTTTAATTCCGAATTCCAAGGAATATATATATATATATAGTGATGCATTTATGAAATAAATAGTTTGGCAAAAATCTGACTCGGGAATTTTTAGGGGGCAAACTTGACAACGAACTCTTTAGTTTTGGCAAGCAACTTAATGCCAAATCATTATCATGAAAATAGATTCATTCTAATCCAAGAACTAGATTTTGAATTATAAAAAGAAAAAAAAATACTAAACTTTGAATAAGCAATTCATCCAAATATAAATTAATAGGTTGCTAAAAAAAATAAAAACAGTGGCACTTTATGGCATTAATTAAGGTATGCAATTTAAATTCCATTAAAAAAATATATACGCAATAAAAGTTAATATATTAAGAAGAGGGGTGAAACAACGTCAACACAAAATTTAAAAAACTTCATGCTTTTTATTTACATGATCGGTGTTTACACAATCTAATATAGTCTAGCAGCTATATATTCAATAGTTTTTTTCTAATAAAATAGTTTGAGTCTTAATGATTTCAAATTTATCTGGTTAAAATTTTAAATATTTTATTTTAAAAAAATATTGTTAATTAAAATTCATTTGATAAAAGATTGTATTTTAAAAAAATATATGAATAAAATATAATAACATGACATAACAATTAATATTTTTCTTAATTTGTATGAAAATTCAACAGGAAAATATCTTTGAGACGGAAAAAATTATTATGCAATGACGAACGAATGTTCCCCACAGTGTAATTTCTTGCTTTATGCGTAATATGTAGATAAAAAAATTAATATATGAATATTTTATAGTAAAAAAAATTATAATCAACACAATTGACGTTGCACTCTAACTGATGAATTTTTTTTTAATCGTAATCTTAATATCGTTGCTTGCCTCATCCGTATTGATCTTAACCCAATCTCCTTGTGGTGCGTTAAGCCAGGTGAGCACTTCTGCATTCTGCCGAACTCTTGAAGATTTATATCCGGTAACAAGCGTACTTGTATAGTACTACAAATGTGAGAGCGTGAAAGGATAATCCATTATTAGCTTTCTATGTACTTTTGCATTCTCACATTCAAAGTTCCAGGTTCGAAAAATAACTTCTACAGAAAAATTAATTTTTGAAAAAGTTATTTTTTAAAAAAATATTTTCTATCGTTTAGCAATTACATAAAAAAATTATTGAAAAATATATTTCAGTATTTTTTTATATAAAAAATTAAAATATAAAAATAGTATGTAATTGTTACATCAATAAGTTTTGAGAAAACTTCAAAAAAACATATTTATAATTTCATAATATAAGATATATTTTAAAAAATTTAATAAATTTTCATAAATACTAACTCTAAAATTTTAATTCAAAAAAATAAAATGTACTTTTTTAACCATCAAACCAATTCATCAAAATTACTTGGGACAAAATCAAGTCAATATTCACATTTAGTAAAAAAGAAAAAAAAATCTAAGTAATCCTAGCATTGTTATTTTGGTAGCTGAATTAAGAATTCTTTTCTTTCTTTTTTTTAGAAATTGAACTTATAGTTTAGTTTAAAAAATAATTTTATAAATTGTTAATTATCATTTGTAGATAATTATTCATTTGGCTTCAAAAAATTAATGTTGGAATAATTTGTAACTAATCATCACTACAATTATCAACAAAATTTTACAACCGATTAAAATTATAAATTATTGATTTAGTTACAAATGAATAGTGTTGAAAAATAATGTATTTATTAATGAATTAATTAATTTTATTTTATTTATAAAAAATTATAGTCTTGTAATAATCATTTTCAATCATTTAAGTATAGTGTAAGTGGTGTTTGAGATAATACTAAAAAAATAAAGATAAATTATTGAAATATTTATTATAAAAATAATTTTAAGGGTTAAAAATAGTTTTTAAGAATATTTAATGTATCTATAAATCAAATATTAGTAGAAATAGAGAAAAAAATAAATAATAAATAATAATTGATAAAGAATAATTAAAAATTAATTTGATATATTTTAAATAAAAAGAAGATAAAGAAAAAAATTGTTAATATATATCGAAAAATAAGTAAGTAACGTGAGAGAGAGACAGACTCATGAGAAGAAAAATGTTTTCTTCTTTTAAAACCGGGAACACATTTTCCCAAAAATATTCTATCATTTTCCATTGATTGGAAAATATTTTCCGTTGACTTTTTTTCTAAACACGAAATAAACATTGAAAAATGAGGAAAACAAGTTTCGAAGCTTATTTTCCCCCAAACAAACACAGCTTCTAAAGTGAGAATATTATAAAATAACCCAAATTTATGAAATATCTCAATATAATTTAAAGGATAAGAATCAAATAATTGAAATTGAAAAAAATATTACAGAGAAATATTTTTTTGTCAATAAAACAAATATTTTTTTATTAACACTGTCTAAAAGTCCTTTGAACACATAAAAATAAAATCAAGTTAAAAAATATGATTAAAAAAAAATCAACTACCACTGTTGTTGTCTCTCATATACTTGCTCACTAGCATATTATATCTATGCTTTTTATTTAATTTTTTATTAAAATCTTGAACAAGAATTCAGACTATACACGTGTTTGAAGTTCTGTGTGAATGGAGTGATAGCTCTGAGTATATGATAATTTCGACATCACCTAGAGCATGACTATTTAAACATATCAAGAGTGTTATTTGATGATAATGTTAAAGAAGAAAAGAAAATGGTGTAGTTGAGAGGGACGAGAATAGTGAAGGTTTTGACTATATATATATATATTCCTTAATTTTCATTTAACCAAAATATTCACAAAGGAAAAGATGATGTTGTTAATTAAGAATTGAAATTAGTAGGATTTAAAGATTTCTTGAGATATTAATCTTCTGGAGTTTTATCACATTTGTGTTGATAAAAAAATATAATTGAAATTGAAAAAAAAACTTCAAAAGATAAATTGAAATTTACTCAAAACTTTAATAAAAGCACACAAAATAAAAACAAAAACTATTTTATAAACTCAAAAAAGAAAACAAATTGCGACGGTCTCTCCAAACATGTCCTTGGCTCTATCATCTCCTCTTATTACATGGATGGTGATTGAATATAGTTTTGTGGAAAAGAGGTTCTTTTTTTTTATTTGATTTTGATTTTTTTAATTTCTATCAACTATTTTTTTATCAAGATTTATAATTTTTTTATTTTTTTACCAATAAATTCGAGCAGGATCTATTTTTTATTATGTGTCAATAAAAAATGTTGCATGTTAATAAATTTCGAACACATCAATATTTTCTAATTTCAAATGACTAAAAGAGCTCAAATAAAAAAAAATCAAACATTTAGCACTCAAATAGATGGAATAAAAAGTTACACTCAAACTAAAAAAAATTAAATGTTGGACACTCAAATTGCAATCTTCTCTAATGAAAATCTGAATTTTTTCTTTTAAATAATCCAAAAAGATTTTTTTTCCCGCATATGACTGTTTATTATGAACACCTTAGGTTATAAAAAAAGTTAAATAATAAAATTATTTATACAAAACCACCACGTAATGATTTTTTTTATTACATGTCATTGTCATATGGGTGAGTTTTGCAACATTGATAAATATAACTTTATCACCAGTTGTTACCTACACGTGCGCGTTCATAGTTGAAACTTAGAACTCTTGCAGCCAAAAACGAACTCCTCCACGAAAAGAAGATGATACGCTCTATAAACGCTGTCGTTTTCAAGCGCAGCTTCTTACAAGCTCGTCTTTTTTGTTCATATACAAGACCAGACAATTCAATTCAGGACCTACACGTGTATAAACTCAACAAGAAGATCTCGCATTTGTCAAAAACTGGTCAAATTAATGAAGCAAGAGCATTATTTGATCAAATGGAGCAAAAAAATACAGTTTCATGGAACGCAATGATGAGTGGGTACGTGAAACGTAGAGAAATGGCTAAAGCAAGGAAACTGTTCGATGAAATGCCTCAGAGAGATAATTTTTCATGGAATTTAATGATTTCGGGGTATGTTTCATGTCATGGGATCGGGTTTCTAAAAGAGGGGAGAAGCTTGTTTGATAGAATGCCGGAGAGGGATTGTGTATCCTGGAATACGATGATTGGCGGGTATGCAAAGAATGGAAGAATGGATGAGGCATCAGAGGTGTATTTAATGATGCCGGAGCGGAATGTTGTGTCTTGGAATGCTATGGTTACTGGGTTTTTGCAGAACGGTGATGTGGCGGGTGCAATTGAGTTTTTTGAGAGAATGCCTGAGAAGGACGCTGCGTCGCTTAGTGCGCTTGTGTCTGGTCTTATTCGGAATGGGGAGTTGGACGAGGCTGCAAGAGTGGTGGTTAGGTTTGAGAGGAATGAAGGTGGGAAAGATAATTTGTTGCAAGCTTATAATACTCTCATTGCGGGGTATGGTCAGAGAAGCAGGGTCGATGAAGCTCGAAAACTTTTTGATCAAATACCGGTTTGTTATGGCAAAGGGAAAGGAAGAGATGGAAGGTTTGAGAGGAATGTGGTGTCATGGAATACTATGATCATGTGCTATGTTAAGGCAGGAGATATTGTTTCCGCTAGGGAACTCTTTGACCAAATGATGGAACGCGATACCATTTCTTGGAATACCATAATTGCTGGCTATGTTAACGTGTTAGATATGGATGAGGCCTCGAAACTGTTTTGTAAAATGCCAAATCCTGATATTCTTTCGTGGAATAAGATGATTGCAGGGTATGCTCAGATTGGTGATTTGGATCGTGCTAATGATTTCTTTGGGAGGATGCCCCGAAAGAACGTGGTGTCATGGAATTCTGTAATAACAGGATATGAGAAAAATGAAGATTATATTGGAGCAATTAAGATCTTCATTCAGATGCAAGTTGAAGGTGAGAAACCTGACAGGCATACTTTATCTTCTGTTCTTAGTGTGTCTACTGGGATAGTGGATCTTCTACTGGGAATGCAGATCCATCAGCTGGTAACAAAGATGGTTATACCAGATGTGCCAATAAATAATGCCCTCATTACCATGTACTCAAGATGCGGAGCAATAATTGACGCAAGGACAATTTTTGATGAGGTGAAACTGCAAAAAGAAGTAATTTCTTGGAATGCAATGATTGGAGGATATGCTTCTCATGGTCATGCTTCAGAGGCTCTGGAAGTTTTCAAATTGATGAAAAGTTTTGACGTGCAACCTACTCATATAACATTTATTTCAGTTTTGCATGCCTGCGCTCATGCAGGACTAGTTGAAGAAGGTCGACGGATATTTATATCCATGGCTACTGAATATGGAATTGAACCAAGTGTTGAGCACTATGCCTCACTGGTGGACATCATGAGCCGTCATGGGCAGCTGGAACAGGCATTGGATATGATCAATGGCATGCCATTTGAACCAGATAAAGCTGTTTGGGGTGCATTACTAGGTGCTGCTAAGGTGCATAACAATATAGAAGTGGCCCAAGTTGCCGCTGAAGAATTGATAAGACTTGCGCCTGACAGTTCAGCCCCATATGTCTTGCTATACAATATGTATGCTGATGTAGGGCAATGGGGCAGTGCAGCGGAAGTGAGAAAGATGATGGAAAGGAGTAATATCAAGAAACAAGCAGCATATAGTTGGGTGGATTCCTCCCATTGCTGATGTTTAGTATTCTTTTGCATGAAGTCACCAATTAGTTGGCTGCATTTGTTAATTTTCAGCTTCGGACAATGACACACTGCCACCTAGTAAGGTAAGAGCATTCAACTAGATTTTCATGTATCTGTAGTCTCTTAGGAAGAGAAACAGAAACTGGAAATTCAAGTTTTTTGCATAATAGGGTGGCTTTCCCAGAATGGAAAGGACCACTTTGAACACACTGTCAATATGGTTCAAAAAAGATGGCGGCTTCTTTTTTGTGGGCAAACTTTTGTAAATAAGCTGATCGAGAGCAAGTTTTTCTTCCAGGAAGGGCCTGCCTAGTTTTTTTTTTTTTTTTTTTTTGTGTCAGTATGAGATGCATGCTGCATCTGCAGATTATATATTGAGATGAGGCATTTTGCTACTTTAGTTTCTTTGGTCTTTTCTCCTCGAAGAAAAAGATCCGGATTGTTGGAAGCATAGGATGTTCATAAATCTTAACTGAAGCTGTATCACATAAGATCCCTGAAAGTTGTACATGCAGGATTTCTTGGCAAGTAAGTTGCTTTGAGAGACGTTCCTGTACCATACCTGTCTCAAAGTTCCATTTCTTATTTGGCAAAGTAGATCAGAGAAATGGTTTGCAATGTAGAATGCTTCTCATAAAAACTCAAATGAAATCATAGGCGATTTGAATGTTTTTTTTTTTTTTCCCCTTTATCCTGCTTCTTTTCAATAAGTAAGCTGAATTTCAGCCCTAACTTTGTTGCTTGATTTTATAGTTTCATCAATCTCGTATGTGTAAATTCTGTATACCTATCCCAAAATTTTGAATCGAGTTAGTATAGGCAATGATAACTTCAAGTCTACTTTATGTAAATCCTTTCTATACCTTACTGAAAATTCCTTTAAGATTTAAGGTCAGGTTTGTTTGATTATTTTGTCCTTTCAAATTGTCTTCTTTGAGACACGCTATACCATATTTCAATGGCGTTTGATTGAAAACTTTGTTCAAAACTCTTGTTACGATAATGTCTAGTCCAAACATATAAATACAGGAGCTGTACAAATTGTTGCACATAAAATGAAATCTCTGAAGCATCTATCGGAAGCAACAGTCAACTTTATGTATACCTTTCAGAAAACAATGGTAAGCCCTCGCCAATAAATTTCATCACTGAACCCCATTTGTTGGTTGTCATCGCATTACATTACAAAAATACTATAACACAAGGGTTTCTTACTATTCATCTTCTGTTCACACTCTTTCTCATTATTTACTTGCATTACTTGCATTGTTCACACTGTGCATTTCACTCTTTCAAACCAAGTTTGCCAAATTTTTCCACCTTGGTCCTTCATGTTTTCAAGCAAACACTTTCTGTCTAGAAATTCTTTTGTGTTTCATTTTAGTCCCTAGCAATTTGAAGGAGAGAGAGGGACGGCAAGGCTCGTTCCAGCCACATCAGCAGTCAAACTCATCACAATTTTGTTTGTTTTGAAAAATAGAATTGTTTCTGGCAATTATAAGTTAAGAAATGATAGGAGGAGGTAGATCGAAGGTTCGAAATATCTTGAATTTTTTGTTTTAATTTGGATTTTTTTGTGATTTGTGTATATTAAAATGAGCTTTGAGGATGAGAACAATATTTTTTTATGTTATTTATGTGATTTTAAGTAAAAATGGGGCTGAAATGGGTCTGGAGAGACCGAAAAATCTCAACTTGACTTTCCAACGACATTCGGTTCGTAAAAAATTGTAGACCCATTTTTTTCTAGAGCCTGCCATGCTTCGGCCTGGAAGTAGGCCTAGGCACATACCTGGGCTGGAGCCAAGCCATGGCGCGTGCATGTTGGAGCCAGGCCCAAGCAGGCACACGGCGTGGAACAAGGCCATGGCACGCGCGCTGGCTGGAACCAGGCCTCAGCTTGCTCAAGCTTTCCAGTCTTTTTTTTTTCCCAATAATTGAGATTTCTTTTTATGAATTTTTAAGAAAAATTATCAAAGATGGAATATTTTTTCCATGCAGTTCGGAAAGGATGATATATTTCAGATAATTAATCTAATTTTTATTTTATTTTATGTTTGTTACTTTATATTGCACACTCTCAATCCATTTACTATAATCATTATGTATAAAAAATATATATATTAAATCATCGATTTTATTAAAAATTAATTATGCATCTATACACATAACACTACCAATGGTTTGTTATTATTTATTTTAATATTTTAAAATCAATTTCTTTGAAATAAAATGATTGAAATAATTTTTTTGAAAGAATCATCAAATGATTCAAATACAACTTTTTATACTAACGTTATTAATTATTTTGTAAATAAATATATACAAATTAAATACATATATTTTCAAAAAATAATATTCTCATCAGCGTTAGATAATAATAAAAAATTATTTTTTTCATTTGTTAATTTTTATACAAGTCTATACATTAATTGTTACTTTATTATTATTATTTATAGAATCTAATAAAAATATATTTTTAAATTTTTTTTATTCTAGATTGATATAACATATTAAATTATTGCAAGTTTTTATTTGAGAATCAATGCATAAAGAAGAAGGATTTATGTTTTTTTAAGTAGAAAATTTATGAAAAACATAAAAAGTTAATTAAATAAAAAATTTAATTAAAATTTTTTTAAATGACTTAGTTTTTTTTTTATCCACAATGTAGCATGAGCAACTAGCTAACAATTTCTACAAGACACTGTTAAAGACAATTTGTACACATTGCACTTTAGTTTTCAAATCTATTAGTAGATCCATGTAATATTTCCACTAAGTAATGAACAAAAACAACAGGCCTAGGCCTAGGCCTAGCATATGAGATTCAAATGCTAGCTTTAACTTCTATCATTTCTTATTCATTTGCATATACTGCTATATGAATTGATTTCGAGCCTTCCAACAATGTCTAGACTTGAGAATAGACAATTTTTACACATAATCCTAATTTTAATAATATATTTATTTTCATAATCATTCTCAATAGTAAAAAGATATCGTGATTATAGGAATAGATTGCATTGATAGCACCAACAAATCCAATAATTATGATTTTTGAGATAGTTGTGATATTTTTTTAATAAAAATGGCATTATCCATGAGGAATGAATTCAAATACAAAATCTAACTCAACAATATATACAATCTAGTTCAATCAAATCCACCATATATAAGCTTACAGATTATTTAAGATAGTCTCAAATTCAATAAAATCAAAGCAAACAACACACTCAAAGAAGCGTAAACATACGAGACCAAAAGAGCTAATTCGAAGTAGCCTTTCAAGATATCCTAAGCTATGGAATAAAGAAATAAAAACGAATACATCATAACCAAATGAGTCCAACTCCCGACAATACATCTATGTCCAATACATATATTACAAAAAAAAAACTAAAACACATGGGTTATCTACTATTCCTTACTTGTTCACACACATCCATCCCCCCGTTTACTTGAGTTTAGCAAAATTTTTTGCTTTGGTCTCTCACATTTTAAATGATTTTTGTTTCAATCGCAAACTTCATTTGAGTTGCACTTTGATCATTGTCAACTTGGAGGAGAGAGAAACAAAGAGAGAGAGAAAGAGAGAGGAATGACAGGGCTCATTTCAACCACGTCGATTATCAAGCTCACTATCATTTTGTTCGTCTTAAAGAGCATAATTTATTTATAGTTGTCACAAGCTATGAAATAGTAAGAAGATGTAGATAGGAAGCTCGAATTATTTGAGTTTTTTTTTTAACTTTGATTTGAATTTTTGTGTGTATTAAAATAGATTTTAAGGTTTAAAACAAGTTTGTTAATATATTTTTGTGATTTTGAGATATTTTTTTGACAAAAAGTGGGCTCGGATTTGGGTTTAGAGAGCCCAAAATATCTAAACTCGACTCTCTAATATCGTTTTCGACAAATTGGTTCGCTAGAAATTACGGACACAATTTTTTTTTTTTGACTTGCAGGGGCTCAGACCAGGCCCACGCGTGAGTTGGAACCAAGCCCAAGCACACACTTCAACTTGCTCTCTAGCTTTTTTTTTTTTTTTTTTTTTTTTTTTTTTTTTGGATTCTTAGGAAAATTTATGAAAGATTCATTTTTGTTTCATCCAATATAACAATGATAAAATATTTATGATATATTATAGATAATTTGTTTGGGATTTGTTTTTGATATCTCGTTATTTTATATTGCACATCTCAACCCACTCGATTAGTCATGATGTATAAAAAAATATTAAATTATCGATTCATTTGAAAATTAACTATGGGTCTACCCATGTAACATCAACCACTTGTTATTATTTTTTAATATTGTAAAATCAATTTTTTTTGAAACAAAGTGAGTAAAATAATTTTTTGAAAGAATCATCAAACGATTCAAATATAGGTTCTTATAGTAACATGATTGATTATTTATTTTGTGTGTGTGTGTGTATATATATATATATATATATATATACTTTCAACAAAAAAAATCTTCTCATTAGATAAGAATAAAAAATTATTTTTTTCATTTGTTAATTTTTATACAAATATATACATTAATTTTAGTTTTTTTATATAATCATATGAAAAAATATATTTTTAATTTTTATTTATTCCAGATTAATATTTCATTTTATATTATTACATGTTTTTGTTTAAAAATCAATGCATAAAGAAGAATGAATTATATTTTTTTAAATGAAAAATTTATGAAAAACATAAAAAATTTAATTAAATATAAAAATTTAATCAAAAAAATTAAAATAATTTTATTTTGCTCGACTAATAGCATTACACGAGCAACTCACTAGTTTGTCACTAAATTACATGTGCTAATATATAAAAATGGAAGGTTCATCTTTTAATATACTGCGAACAATGTTGCATTCAGAAGAAGATTATTTGAAAAAGAAATAGTCACTGTTTTGTTTTGACGAAAAGACCAAAAATTGATTGAATAGAACCAATGTACTAGCAATTTCTCCACCTCTGATTATCCCACGTGTCATAATCAACGCCCACACAACCTCTATTTATTTATTTGTTTTTATCGGTACAGTAAACGTATTTAAAAACACGCTTGCAAACCTTTTCCACATTTAACAGAACTTCCATGTACAAAAACCACCTCTTCAATGCTTCCCTATGTTTTTAAAAGTTACCAGCCGAATTCCCGAGTTACGGGTTAAATAAAATATATTTATTTTAATTTAATAATTTATATTATTTTATTAATAAATTAAAATATTTAAAAGTAAAAGTAAAAGTAAACAAAAATAATCAAATTTCATAATTTTTAATCAAAATTTTATATTTAATTTATTTTTGTTTATATTTTTCATAAATTTTGTAGTTAAAAAAAACAATTCTTATTGTTTAAAATTGATCTTTTCAATTTGATTTTTTTTAGAAATTCTTATCAAATTATTTTTTATTCTTCTTTTTAATATAATTTTATTTGTCAATAAATATGATTTATTTTTCTCTATATATGAATTTTTGATTTTTTTTAAAAATAAATAATAAATTAAAAAATAGAATTTATGTATTTTATTTGCTTATTATTTATATAATCAAAATTTATCAAAATTAAATTTATATTTTTTTATTAGAATCTACTAATTTTAATATATTTCTTACAACTTAAGTTTTTTTAAATATATTTTTTTAATCTATGATACAAACTCTGATCAATTGAGTATGATCATAACATATACTGAGATAATTGATTTTATTAAAAATTAATTATGCATCTACTCAAATAACAATGTCTATTAATTTTTTTTAATATTATAAAATTAATTTTATAATTTTAATCAAAATTTTGTATTTAATTTATTTTTTATATGAAAGACATAAGAAAAATTTAATTAAATATAAGATTTTAATTAAAAAATTAAAATAATTTAAAATAGTTTTATTTTGCCCGCATGACGCGGGCAACTGGATAGTTTATCAATAAATTACATGCGCTAATATATAAAAATGGAACGGTTATCTTTTTAATATACTGTGAACAATGTTGCATTCACAAGAAGATTCTTTGAAAAAAAATAGTTGATCACTGTTTTGTTTTGACAAAAAGACCAAAAATTCATTGAACAGAACAGATGTACTAGCAATTTCTCCACCTCTGATTATGCCACGTGTCATAATAACGCCCACACAACCCCTGTTTGTTTATTTGTTTGTTTTTATCGGTACAGTAAACGTACTTAAAAACACACTTGCAAAGCTTTTCCACATTAGACAGAACTTCCATGTACAAAAACCACCTCTTCATGCTTCCCTATGTTTTTAAATGTAAATAGCCGAATCCCCGAGTTACGGGGAAAAAATATATATTTATTTTAATTTGATAATTTGTATTATTTTATTGATAAATTAAAATATATAAAAGTAAAAGTAAAAAAATTATCTAATTTCATAATTTTAATCAAAAATTTATATTCAATTTGTTCTCGTTTATGTTTTTCATGAACTTTGTAGTTAAAAAAAAAACGACTCTTATTGTTTAAAATTGATTTTTTTAATTTGTTATGTTTTATAGAAATTCTTATCAAATTAATTTGTATTATTCTTCTTTATACAATTTTATTTATTAATAAATCTGATTTATTTTTCTCTATATAAGGATTTTTGAATTTTGTTTAAATAAATAATCAATTCAAAAAATAGAATTCATTTTTTTTTCTTATTATTTATATAATCAAAATATATTTTATAGTTTTTTTATTGCCATCTTTTAATTTTAATATATTTTTTACAACTTAAATTATTTTTTAAAATATTTTTTTAATTCACGATGTATACTCCGACCCATTGAGTATGGCCATGATATATATATATATATATATATAATTAATTTTATTAAAAAGTAATTATGCATCTACTTACATAACACCAACTATTATTTTTTTAATATTAAAAAATTAATTTAATAATTTTTAATCAAAACTTTTTATTTAATTTATTTATTTTTTAAAATTTTGTAGTTAAAAAAAAATAAGACTTGTTCTTCCTTATACATTTATTTTTAAATAAAAACATGTATTAATTTAAATATAAATTTTAAAAAATCTCTTAAATTTTTTTTCATAAGATTGCATCAAAAAAATAAAATACCAATTAATATAAAAATTTGTATATATATCAACAAACAAATATTTTTTTATTTTTTTTAATACTGATGAGAAGATTGACTTTTTGAAAATATGTACATTTTATTTATATATATTTATTTTAAAAAATCTATTATATTAGTATAAAAAACTATATTTGAATTATGAAGTGGTTCTTCTAAAATATTATTTTAATTATTTTGTTTGGAAGATATTAATTATATAATAGTAAAAAACAATAATAACAAATTATTGGTGTTATGTATATAGAAGCATAGTTAGTTTTTTAATAAAATCGATAATCTTTTTTTATACACTATGACCATACTTAGTTGGTCGAGTATACAACATAAAAAAAAAAAAATTGAAAAAATTAAATTGTAAGGAATATATTGAAGTTAATAAATTGAAATATAAAAACTATAAAATTGATTTCGATAAATTTTGATTATATAAAAAAATAACAAATAAAACTCATAAAATTTAATTTCAATTGATTATTTATTTAAAAAAACTTATTCAAAAATTCATATATAGAAAGAAAAGAAATTATATTTATTAATAAATAAAATTACATAAAAAAAATAAAAAATTAATTTGATAAAAATTTTCATAAGAAATAACAAATTGAAGAGATCAGTTTAAGTAACAGGAGTAATATAATCCGATATATATGTTCATTTTTAAATTTGAAGACGTATCTTATATATTTCATAGTCACTCGCTTGTGTGGGGAAAAAAAACAGTTTTTTTTTTATAATTTTTGCATCTAATTCAATAATAAAAAAAAATTAAAATAAATTATCGGGAAAAAAGCATGAATGTGGGGTTGGTCCATTTAGAGACCAAAAATATATTTTGAAAATATCAAGGATCAAAATAGAATACAATGCCAAATTTACATATAAATATAAAAAAATAAAAAATTATGAAAATATCACTGCATGGTAAAAATAAATAATGCACAAGAGTCTCGATAAAATAATGCACATGAGTCTCAATGAATAGTTTCACGAATAGTAACTCATCCAAAATCTTGTAATTTTTCTTTTTTTACACAATAATGATAATTTCTTGTCTATTTGGTCTTGTATTCTTACTTTTATTTTATTTTGATGCCTATTTTGTTCTTCGTTAATATTACGTGTTTACTCTCTTTCATTTACATGGATAAAAACATGAATTCTTTACTCAAGAGAATTGATTTGAGTAGAAGGAGTTATAGTCGTTTAAACAAATAATTTCAAATTCGAGTCTTTATGTGTTCAAAAAACTATTTAGATAGATGTGATCGTCTTATGCGTCTAATCGAAAAACGAGTGATTAGTTTGATTTTTTGAGCCTAAGATACCCTAGGAAAAAAAAAAACTATGAATTCTTTTTTATCTTACACGGCTACTCAATATCTCACATTTATTTTCCTTTATTATATTTTCATTTTTAATTCCTTTTAAATATCATCCTACAATTTCTCTTCACTTATATCTCAAAATTTAATTAAAAAAAAAATGAGGCAAGAGATTAGAATTAGATAAACCATTAATCTAAGAAAAAAAAGATAACAAGGTGAAACCATTTCCAAACCCTCAAACTATTATCAAGATTTCCGATTAGGTTCTCAATCTATAAAAAATTTCAATTGCACCCTCAATATTTCCTAATTAATACAATATCAACCTTTCATGCAATATCGAGTGCATCTCATTTTCTTCCAAAGAAAAAACTCTTATGCACGCCTACTTGATACATATATATATTTGTTATATTTGATACATGTTCTATTTTTTTCCCTATAAAACGCACCATCTAACACAAATGAGGTAATGAAAGATAAATAAATAAAAATAAAACCAATCCATATTTATCCTGGCTATATCAAACCAAAAGAAAAATCTTTCAGATTCTTGGCTAAATAACATCTTTTGGCATGCTCTTATCAATGTTGTGCGCATAATTATCCCCCGTCAAGAATAAAAGATTATTTGGTAGAAGGGTAACATTGCAATAATTACATAAAAGCAAGTATGTAATTAAAAATCACAGTGAAACAATAAAGCAAATTATCAAGTTTGTAGTGGGGGAAAAAAGGCAAATAAAAAACGAGACACAAAATCTAAGATATAACCAACAGTGGTGAGTAATTCGTACTGAAATCCAAATTTGCTCAATCCACACAGAAACCAATCGCTTCTCCCTCTCTGATAAAGAAAAGGCCAGAGCTTCCAGGATTCTACTCATCTCGACCCTTCCGATTCACCCAGTCATCAACTCACCAATCAAACTCAGAAGATGAAAAAAGAAGCAGAACGGACTTCGATCAAGCAGTAGTTAATGTTTGGAAACGCGAACTCGGCCAACTCTCCACTCGCAATTTCGCTCACCGACTCGCCGCCTCCGAGGTCACTCATCGATTCCTCCGTCTTTCTAATTATATTTCGCTGTTATTGATGATTAATTAATTAAGGGCGTGTTTGGTTCATTTATTTATTAGGATCTTGTATTGAGGCTTGAAGTACACAAGAAGTTAGAGAAGCACGAGGGGTGTGTGAACACGCTGAGTTTCAACGCAGACGGTGATGTTTTGGTATCGGGCTCAGATGACCTGCGGGTGATTTTATGGGATTGGGAAACTGGGCGTGTTAAGCTTTCGTTTGATTCGGGTCATCATAATAATGTGTTTCAAGCTAAATTCATGCCTTTTTCTGATGATCGAACTATTGTTACTTGTGCTGCTGATGGCGAGGTAAATAAAATAAAAAACCAGCATTCCTTTATGTGATGTCTCCATTTTTTGCCTGTGTTGGTGATTGTGAAGAAAGCGTAGATTTTTAGTTGAACTTCGCTGTAGGTTTTGAAAAGGGCGTGCCTGTTGATATCCTTAATTCATTAAAATTAAAGTAATGTAATGTCTCTGTGTTTTGGGTGGGTTGGTACTTGAAAAAACGTAGGTTTTTAGTTGAAATTCGTGGTTGGTTTTGAAAAGGATCTACGTTTGATATCCTTTGTTCTTCAAAAATGGGTGCGTTTTATTTGTTGGAGATGTCTTTATTTTCGAGTTGTGCCTTTAGTTGTTGTATTTTAAAGAAAAGAAGAACGATTTCTTTGCCACGTGATGTAGTGGATGTTAGTTAATAGATTTTTAGTTGAAAATTCATGGTCGGTTTTGAAAAGGATGTGCCTGCCTTTTAATATGGTCGTTAAAAAGATGTGCTTTTTATTTTTTGGAGGTGATAGTCATTTTTGAATTGTGGGTTTAGTTTTATATTTTAAAGAAAAGAGAAGTTATTTCTTTGCCAAGTAATGCAGTGGATGTTAGTATGTCAAATTTTATGTTATTCATTGCACGTGATGTGCTGTCCTCTTATTTCTGCCTTGTTTGTAATTTCCTATTTGGAATGAGCTTGATCTTGTTTGTGCTTTTGCTCTAAAGATTTAGGGCATTTGACATTTTCCTGGTGTTCTGAATTCAGGAATTGCTTCTTTTGCTTAGAGGGTTTAGTACGTTTCTTGTTAATAGTATGTTGCATGTAGGAATTGTTCATTCTTGACGAGGAATTGTTTTTTCGATTTTAGATTCGGGAAGCTCAAATTCTGGAAGGGGGAGAGTGAACACTATATTGCTTGGAAATCACGAGGAATCGCGGGTTCATAAGTTGGCTATTGAGCCTGGGAGTCCTCATATATTCTATTCTTGTGGCGAGGATGGAGTGGTTCAACATGTGAGTTGTGATTACCCTTCCTAACTACAATATCTAGTTTTGCTCTAGTTTTCACCTTGAATGATGTTATATTTGATTTTTGAATAGCTGGGTTTATGCAATTACGTGACACTGTTATTGTGATTTCAGTTTGATTTGAGAAGTAGGTCTGCTACAGAACTTTTTACTTGCCTATCCATTAATGGTCCAAGGAGTTACCGGCCATATGTCCATCTAAATGCCATTGCTATTGATCCAAGGAACCCAAATCTCTTTGCTGTTGGGGGAATGGATGAGTTTGCTCGACTTTATGACATCCGCAAGTATAAATGGGATGGGTCAAGCGATTTTGGTCAACCTGCAGATTATTTCTGTCCTCAGCATTTGATTGGTAACGGGGATACTGGAATTACAGGCTTGTCATTCTCAGACCAGAGTGAGCTTCTAGTCTCATATAATAACGAGTCCATATATCTTTTTACACGAAACATGGGTTTGGGAAATCCTCCATTTCCATCATTTTCATCTCCAATTTCAACGGGCAGTGATACAAGTGAAGTAGAACCTGGATCTATGGCATCTTCATCATCTATGGATGTGGATGGGAAAAATGCTCCACAAGCTTATAAGGGGCATAGAAATTGTGAGACTGTGAAGGGTGTGAGCTTTTTCGGGCCAAGATGTGAGTATGTTTCTAGTGGGTCTGATTGTGGTCGGATATTTATTTGGAAGAAAAGGGGTGGAGAGCTTATTCGTGTTATGGAAGCAGATAAGGATGTGGTAAATTGTACCGAACCCCATCCTCATACCATGGCACTTGCTAGCAGCGGAATCGAGCATGATATAAAACTATGGACCCCAAAGGCTGTTGAGAGAGCTACGCTGCCAACAAACATCGGACAGGTATGCTTTATTCATTCAGTTTGTATTGAAATCCATATCCTTAAATGTCATTGCATTTGATTTAATGATTTTGCTTGATGCCATAATCTATGACTGCTATTGTAACAATAAACTTTGAAAAGAGATTCTTTTTTGTGTCTTGAGAAAGATTCAACTTTAGTTGAACTTATGCAAACAGTAAGTTTGGTAGTTTTATCCTCGATCCATGTTTTTGGAAGGGAATCATAACTGAATTTTAATTTTGCAACTGTAGAAAGAGAGCTAATTACATTTTTGGTTTAAGTATGCTTGGAGACTACCATTTGGTTCTCATTGTTTGTCCCAAACTTCCATGGATGGAAAAAAGGCAAAAAATACAAAAATGGTGTCGTGAGGATTTTAAAGTGGACATATGGTGGGGTAACACTTTCTGGTATGATTGGTTTATACCACTGAGCTATTGAAGTCCCATTACAAAATTTAAGTCCATTAGGAGCATTGCAATGATAACCAGTCCAGATTGCTACAATATCCATGCTATAGACTATATGGGCAGCAGGGGAACTAATTTCTCAGCTGTTACTTGTTTTCAAAAGGTTCTGATGCATGATCGCATTGATTGGTTTGGCATGAGTGATGACGATGACGATGATTATTTCTGTGACGACGATGATGACGATGATTATTTCTGTGACGACGACGACGACGATGACGAAGACAAAGATGACGGTGATGATGACAATTATGATGATTGTAATGATGATGTTGTGATTGTAATGACGACGATGATGATAATTTTGCTGGCAGTTATGATGAATGTTGATTCTGATTTAAACTTTATGTGTTCAGCTGAAACCAAAGGCTAGGGGATGGATGTACCGCTTAGCTTCACCAGAGGACCTGATGTTGCAACTATTCTCACTTCAAAGGCAGACTAGCCCAGAGGACGGTGCGCAGAACTCGGCCACAGGTACGGAACTTATAGAGCTTATACGATCATTCAACGCCAACAGCGACGTTTCCTCAGATGATGGAGGAAATATTGCAATTTTTGATGACTCGTTGAGCTAGGAGATGCCATTGTTAACTTCTGGCCTATGGAAAAACAGTATTAAATGTACATAGTATAGTGTTTTAGCTTGACTATTTTGAGCAGTGTTGCAAGTTTCCATGTCATACAAGCTATATGTTATTCTATATTTAAATTATTTTTCATTCATTAGTTGTTACTTTCTCCGGTCCTTGTTTTTTCCTGTATATTGTTTACTGTTATATGATGTCTTCCTACCAAAACTGCAGATTACAAAAACGACATCCAGCCTGCTGCATCAAAATCTTTAAAACTTAAGACCGTGCCTTGTTCTTAGGCCGGTCTCTGCTTGTCAACAATGTCATTCGCAGATCATTATTGTTATTGTCATTGGTAAGATTGTTACAAATATTAGTTAAAGAACCTCGAATAGATATCTGGTCATTCTGTTGCCTCCGCTCTCTCGATCATTTCTATTACAAGAAATTATGGTCCAGGAAATATGACTTGGAAAGAGCAATGATTGGTGTGGCATAATCGCACTATCTCCGAAGTCAGTCGGAATCTCATTACCCATGATCTTGACAATTGTGGGATCTCCTTGCTAGTAAGCATTTGTAAATTTAAAAGCGACTAATGGAACTTTTCACTTGGATGATTGAAAAATTATGGACTTGAAGCTAAGGTTTAACAATTTAAATTTTGAGCAACTCCGTGTTTTTAGAAAATTCTGCAGGCTCTTCACCTTTAAAAGCTCAGAAAGGAGTTTATGACCAAGTCAGAATAATAAATTTTCAACGCTGGCTTTAACTTGGCTACAAACAGAGAGAAGAAATATTGCAGTTTCACACGGTAATTTTTTCCTTTTTTTGATGAATACAAATTGTAATGGTTTAGCAAAATTAAACAAAATATGTGCCCTACCCTTTGACAATGACTTTTTTTCCCAGCTATAGATGCTTAAACACGATGTTGCTTATTTGTGATTGAAAAGTATTCATTTCATTAAAATCTAATCTCCCATCAGAGGGAAAAGTTCCGGCATAAAGATTTCTGGCAGATGCATACTGTAGTGAACTTTCAAGGGTTTTCTTAGCTTTCCTATGCAGGACTCTAATACCCCAGTGGTAAATGAAGGGTTAGAGAGCTTCCTCCTTGTACATTAAATAGGCCATTCAAATCAGAAATAGGACTAGGCTAGAATGCTGTTGCTGTCGATTTTGAGACTTGAAATACGAGGGACAGTCCTTATCAGAACACTCTGAACGAATGCAATCATCTGCACGACATTACTCGTGACATTAAATCCATGAGCCGTCAGAAAGAAGGAAAATTATAGTATTACAGTAGAAAAGAGTGATTAGGGTAAAAACTCATACTGTTGCAAATCCTATGCACAAAACACTGAAGCCAGGGAAATCAAATGGTGCATCTTCAGACAGGAATAAAGCTGGAGGGATAGAAGGTGAAGTTAATTCTAACTACTGTAGTCTATAAAGATTCATTTTTGTCAAGTTTTCACATACCTGTCAGAGGACTATAGACTAAGGGGGAGATGATGTTCGCCAAGGAGATGATTCCTGAAATGCATCCTTGAGCCTTCCCCTGAAATGTGTTTTATTGAGTTGAAATGAAAGAAGAAGAATATGAATGGATTGGGTGTCCTTATTCCTTAAGCTGGACAGGGGAACAATTAAAGATGAAATAAAAAAAACCATAAGAATGGATGGCAGTTCTGGATGGGCTGCACTTAACGATGTTCTTCTTTGTTGGCAGTTAAAAAAGTAGATTAAGACAAACAGAAGATTGGTTCTGATGACTTTCTGAAAAGTTTGTGCCTATATGCACGTTTACAATATACGGCAAAAATGGAGGTTATCAAGCATAAGACTTCAGCCACTCTTTTAAGTAAGAGTTACCTGCTCATCAGGCCCTACTTGTTTCGACGCTATGCTGCGTAGCTGTGGAATTGCATCAGTAATCAGATTTCTTCAATCACAGAGATCTTCATGAAGATGAAAGTATTTACTTACACATGGAGGCACGAAAACAACAACAACCGCCAAAACTGTAGTAGCATATGGAACCTGCACACAATAGAAAGTAGTTTCAGTATTAAATGCAACAAGTATCGAAAAAAAAAACTTTAACATCTTCTTACTCAAGGTCCACCAATTTCAAAAACACAGAAAATCAGAAGATGGAATTCAAAAACTGACGTATTACCACAAACTTGAGGAAAAAAAATGACTGTTGTCTTGAATAAAAGGATGCAAAAAAACTTGCAATTTAGTTGAAGCATTACCCAAGATGACCATGCTACACTGGAAAGCAATGCCTGCAAGATTTCAGGTAAATCACAAGGTTTTTAAGCTCCATTTATGTCGTTTTAGTGTCACTAGCATGAATGGACGCAATAAAACTGAGTGAGGCTAAGGCTCTTACCTCTGCGATGCCCCCTAAAAGCCCTATAGCCAGCAGTTTTTCCTCTGTTACAGATCGGGCCAACAAGGGCATGAAAAGCAGCTGTGAAAAGAATTGAGTAACAAGCACTGGTGACTGAAACTATTTGACGAAAATTATGTGATATGAAAGCAAAGGAGTTCAAGATATTGAGAAGAATGAAAAAAATATTTTAGCAGCATAATTTTGTAAATGCATACCTGTGATGCCATTCCTGCAATACCAATAAGTAGCATCAAATCAGCATACTGGTTTTTGCTGAAGTGAAAACGAGCCTTCAAGTAGTACTGCGCATGGTACAAATCATTCAAGTTGGTAATCAGAAATTCTGATGGATGTTTTATTCACATTTCCGAATATTCTGTCTCATTTTTTTCAACTTTTACTTGGTTGTTGTTGTTCTTCTCTCCACTTAGTCCAACATTTTATACTTTAACTGCGAATTTGAATTTCCCTGAAGTTTTGGCATTCAAATATGCTCTGTTGGTTGAAGATTACGAGATCAGATTGTTAAGATTGATGATCTATAGAAAGAGAGTAACATCACAATTAAGGAAGAGAGAGACTTTGTACCATGATAGAAGCTTGCATTCCACCATCTGCAAGACTATTGAAGAATGCAACAACTACTGCTTGCGAAAATGTTACGCTGCAACAAAAGGTCACAAAATCTCAAATCAAGCTAGAAGCAGAATTGATACAAGTCCAACTATGGCTGTTCGAGTAAAGCATGAGAAGTTTTGCATTTCCCTTATAGTCAAGTGCTTAATTACTCCTTACCTACTCTTCAGCAAGCTAATGATATCCCCGATAGACGGAATCTTCTTAGATTCCTTTGTCTTCAATGGTAAATCACCATCATCTTGGCAGTGATCATCCTGTCCGCTCTTCAAGATTGGCTGCGTCAAATTTTCCTCATTTGGTAGACTCTCCTTGAGGAGAATTCTCATGTACACAGCAGCAATCATTGACACCAACGCAGCAACCTAGAATAGAAAAGGCTAACAATGTCAGCTTACAACCTAACCGTGGCCAAAAGAGAGACAAACTTCTGTAAGGTGTTTTGTTAGTAATAACAACCTGAAATGTCAAAGCAGTGGAGAGGAAACGAGCAGCTAAGGTTCCACTGACAAATGCGGCTGTGGTTACGCCAGAGAGAATCCCAAACTCTGATGTTCTTTGTCTCTCTAAAACTTTGTCTGCCTGTAATGTTTTTAGAAGATGAAACTTAACGGTATAAACCGTCACACGGCATGTCACTTGGCACGCCAAAGGTTTTAGGAAGTAATTACCACATAAGCAAGAGCAAGGCAGTCGACGCTGCCTTCACAGATCATAGCAGTGAAGGTCCTGAGCACGTAGTAGGCATAGAAGAAGCTGGTTGTCCTGCTGCATGCCAATATAACTGCACAAAACAACAACAACAACAATAAGAATAATGAATTTGCATTTTTTGACACAAAACCTTCAAAATCATATGTAATAAAAATAGCAATTCTAAAAATACATATTACCAAAAAAAAAAATTATTCCATTAACATTTTTCATAAGAATCCTTCCATTTCAAGCTCTTGAGTTGGACATTGAATTATTATTATTATTTTGCCTCCCTCAATAGAATTTCAAGATCTTGAATAAATTTTATTTTATTGAAAATTTCCAAGGCTCGGATAGTGTTTGAAAAGGTGGATCATAAAATAATAAAAAAAAATTTAGTAATTAGAATTAATTTTAAATTAAATCCAAAAAAATCAAATTTCTTTTTTTCCCCCTTTATTTTTAATCCAATTGGACACGAATCAAGTTTTTTCGGATCAATCAAGCCAATTGAGTTTCCATCGAATTAGATGAATTTGGTCGGATTAACATCCAAAATGTATCAACCGGAAATCCAGCCTGCTCTAGGCTCTGATCATTAGGTTCCTTCCAAACTGGTTAGGCCAGCCAGATTCAACAATGTGATGAAAGAAAATTTCTAACTCCTTCAAAACAGTGCATAAAGATTAAAGGGGAATTTCTTTTGCCATCATAGAGTTAATGGACCACCACAAACCCGTGCTTTGGGCGCATTCAGTACGTTGGAGGGCTATAGATTATGGGCTGTCGTGATTTTGACACGCACGTCCAGCAATTCCAAAATTCGTCCCAAACAAAAATTGGCAGTTCCTCAGGGGGACCATCATCATGCGCACAAAATTCAAGAAACGTGACAATGCAATAAGCATACAACACGCACTTGTTAAAATATATATATATATATATATATGTGAGGAAAAGATTACAATTAGGTCCTTATAAAAAGTTAAAGCATATAAAAGAAAACCTTTTATCAAGAAATTAGAGCATAATAATAAACTTCTAAAAAGTATTTAGCTGGTAAATTCATTTGGTTTCGTCTCAAATGATTATGAACTGTTTACTATATTTTTTTGCTTTTTTTTTAAAAAAAGAAGTATCACTCACTGTGCCCAATAAGTAACATAAGTGATAATGATATAAATATAAATCTTCAAGTGCAAAAAAAGGGTCTTACAAAAAAAAAAAAAAAAAAATCAAGTTTTGCGAAATGTTTTTTTTTTTTCAAGTGGCTTTACTTCAAATGAAGAGAAAGATGAAGAAGAATCTTTAATTACGAGTCAAGTAAGGAAAGGAAAACGGCAAGTGCAACATGAAAGCAACAGAGCATCTGGGCGCCCGGTGATGAAAGCTAACAGAGATTAAATCGTTGGCAATAGGTCAAGGTGATTTGATCAAGAAACGTAATAATTAATATCGCAGTTCTAGCATGGATATATATACACGTCAAGGCTAGTTACCAATAATAAGATATTTTTTGAAGAAAAAGCATCATTGAAGTGGCCACCACGCACGCTTTTATACGATCCACTATCCACCCCTTGTGCCAATAGGACTTCTTAGGTAGCAACTAGTCATGATTAGGACCATAGCCTTCCTATCACTTAGGAAACACCCATAGTAATTTGTCGACAAATATGAAATTAACTTTATAGAATACACGAAAGATTACCTAAAGGAATGATGGAGAGAGTCATAGGAAGTGTGAGCAAAGCTTTCCTTCCATATTGATCTGATAGATTCCCAAATAGCGGCATCATCACAACGGTTCCCAATCCTATGATCTGCATAAATTCAATAGTGTTTTAATTTTCATTGTTGCCAGCTGAATATTGGCTAAAATCAAGCACTATAATCCTTGAACTACTCAAGTATACGCATGACAACAATAGTGGTAAACAAGAAGTCCTGTCCCCAATTATTAGTACATGCACGGACTATTTCAACTTTAACCTCGACATTTTTCTTTCTTCTTCTAGTACTTGGTTAATTAACTGTGGTAATTGTGACAAGATTGGAGAAGGACCGAGAAAATTTAAAGTACTCGAGAATAATTACTAACACTTATTTTATATACTCGATCACTTTGAGAAAAGGCAATGACAAAAAAGAAAGAAGAAATCATAACCAGATTTATAAAAAATTAATAAGAATATTTTCACTTAATTAAACTCATTTTTAAAATTTTTTACAAAAAATTAACTGTAGGATGGATCGACGAGATCCATTTCATCGATAATTGATATTAATCCATAAACTGATAAGAGAAACTTATTTCAGAAAGAATTGCTCAAATGAATAGCTTTCAGGAGCACTCCTAATTAGTTCATTAATTATCAGTGTCAGTTTAATTAAAATTTGATATTATACAAATTAATAAATTGTGATATTTTGTCGTGTAAGATGAAGGTTGATGTCATATTCTTATTATTCTCTACTGAACCCTCGACGAAAAAGATCATGATGTTGCCTATATGCATATAAAGACACATGGCTATTAACATCTTTCTTGGTTGGTGATTTAACTGTAGGTGTAACAGGATGGACACTGAAGAGGGTTTTTTTTGATGAACGGACGTCATTGAAGAGTTGCAAGCTAATTAATAATGCTCCTTCTATGTATCCATGCATGGTGTACATTAATATAGAAATTAAGCGGATATAAGAAAAGGACAAGTGGGGCGTATTGCACCGACTGTTTTTCAATTAAAAAAAAAAAAATTGAGTTCCTGGGAAACTGCAAAACTTTCTTTTTTATGTGTATTTACAAAAGAAATGTTTGTTTATACAGTGGTGAAAAGAAGCGTAATTGAGATACAGGACTTTAAAATATATGTGCAAACAATCGTGAGAAATCAACAGCCAACATGGATGAAAAGGAGCATAAATAGTGGAGATGAGTCACAATCCACAGTGCTTTGTGCGTAGGTAAATTATACAGTTGTTTTAGTTTTTTTTTTTTTTTTTGTAATTCTCTTATGTGATAAAAGTAAAAAGCACATGGGCATTTTCACTATTTGTTTCCCAGTAAAGAAAATGAGTTGATGGGAAATATAAATTTCGAAGACCCTTTTAGGTTCTGCGTATGGTTTTCATCATTTACTTATGTATCAGATCATGTAAACCGTCCAAAGAAATGCATAATTAATAACCCTACAGAAAATTCACAACTTAATACGGAGAAGGTGAAGAGAAAGATGAAGGAAAATAAAAATATAAAGAAATTTAAAACATACAGCTTGCTGGAATCCGGAGAGGTAAATGGCAAGAGAGCACTCATCTTGACCAGGACAAACTGCTGACATGGTGACATCGGTTATGGCCGGCATCACCATTGAGCTTGCAAAGTTGGAGAGGTATACGGTCACATAGAGGTGGCCCAGTTCTTTTAACTTCTCCATATCCTTCTCTTCTCAGAAAATCCAGCACTCTTGTTACTTCCCTTCTCTCTTTTGTTAACACTCTTAGTACCAACTATACTTCAGAACAACTTACATGGCACACTAGCTAGCAAAGGATTAAATATTAATTTGCAGAGACAAGGTTGGTTGTCTCTGTAATTTAGTATATATGTAGTTTGCTTTAGCTTTTATCTTTTTCTGGAGAGGGAGAGGTGAGGGAAGGATAGATTCCAAGTCCTTTTCTATTTGTGATTTTCACCGAAAGAATGCATGCGAAAAGCAAAAGATAGGGAGGGGGTACTGTTTTAATTGATACAAATTTCATGTGGAGGTGAATGGTCATGAACATGGAAGGACAAAGGGCATGGACAAAAACAATAATTAAAACGACAAATCTTGAAAGGAGAGTAAAGGGTATGGACAATATTAGTTATTAATATGCAATTAGATAGTGGTGTCCTTTAGTATGATCAATTCACAAATAAAATAAAAATATCAAATAATTAGCCAATTATATACTTCCTTGTGTACCATTTCTATCAAGCTAGACTTGTATTTTTCTGTAGCATACCAAAATATAAAAATGAAATTATTATTATTATTATTATTTTATGTTCACCCGAGGTATACTTTTAACTAATTAATTTTCATATAAATTGAGATTAAATTTATTATTTCTTGAGATAAATCAGTATTAAAATAAATTTAGTATTTGATTGATCACCAAATTAATTTTTTAGATTAAATCAGCCCAAATATAATGTCATTGAAAAATAATTATAATTAAATTATCTGTGAATAGCAAGAATTGAATCTCAATCTTAACAAAACTAAGACAAATTTTATACCACTACACTACATTCTTTGATAGTTCATTAAAAGAACAACGTCATCTTGTTAGTTTATTTCTATATACATTTCGATAAAAACAGATTTTTTTTTCATGCAATTAAATAATGTGTAGATAAGTATCACGATTAATAATAATAAAAAAAGTGGACAAATAATTGCCACGTAGAAAATGAGAAGGCTTGATCAAATATTTAAAAAATCGAAAAACAAAAAATCCTTGCCTAACCCTTAGTGTTGGTTACGTAGCATAATCCCTTTCACAAACCGGCCTAGTTGAGCATTAGACAAGGAATGTTTGCTTAGGATTGAAGATAGTAAATAAAGTATGATGTGTGACTTATGGTTGAATTTTAGGTACTCAATCTTTTTTTTCCTTGTAAAATTCATAGGTTTTTTTTTCCCATCAAAATCAATGGAACTTTTTTTCTTCGCAGATATGAAATTTAAAAGCTTCTCTGACAACATGATGATGTTTGATCCTCTACCAACAATATGTATACATTTTTTCAAACATTGTACGTGACCTTTCATCAGTCACTTGACGAGATAATTATTATTTAGAATCTCCAATTTTTATTTATTGATCAATTTAGGCGTTGACCCATGTTGGGTTGCTTAAAACAACCCCTTGGAAATCTAATTATATTATTTGTTTACTGTACTTTCGATATCTTCAACAATCATTAGGCCCAAATATGAAATCGTGCATGACTGCAACCTTAACTACGTATCCTGCTGCCCAAGCCTCCTGGAGCCATGGAGGTGAAATTTTTTTGTATGAGTACATTATAAATTAGTTTCTCTCGTTTTCAAAAACGAACTAATTATTTTTTTATTTCAAAATTTAATTATTTAATTAATGTTGATACGATTAATTTAATATTTTTATTTTATAAAATATTTTTTTCTAGTCAATTTGTTTATATTTTTACTTACTTCTATTCTTTTTCTATTCATTAAAATAAATTAAAAAGATAGCAAAAAAATATTAAATAATTAGTTTTTTAAACCAGAGGGACTAATTTATAATTTACTAATTTTTATATCGGATTTTTTTAAAATTCATTTTAGTCATGACTTGGAAAACTGAATTTTCTTGTGAATATATATATATATATATATGGTTTTCTCGAAACCGAACGAAGAAAGAACTTAATTTTAATTTTTCATGATGATTGGAACCAAAAAAGAAAAGAATCAAACATCTAAACAGGTATAAATTAAATAACAATTTTATATTAATTTAATTTTGAGGTTCAAAATTTACCGTTGAACAAAGTTTAATATATATCTCTTTCCTAACTAGGTATGTTGATTGCCGGATGAGGTAAGATACGAAACTTAACTAATTATTATTAACTTACTAAATCAAGTTAGAAGTCTAATTTTGGGAATTTTTAGAAAAAATACCACATCGAAGAACTGTGGAAGTTATTTAGAACTAAAATGAAATTACCACTACAGATATCGTCTTAATTACAAGCCTAATTAGATGAATGTTTTGAACTTAACTATCATTTTACCTACTTGCAGGTATGACAAAAATCCCCGAAAGTTCTAATTCATACCCAAGCAATTAATTAGAAATTATTTTATTTTATTTTTTATTCAGATTAAGAAGGTCATTAATTGTTGTGTTACATCATTATTTTTTCATAATTTTATAATGTTTTTATAAAATATATTTTAATTGATGATATTTTTTAAAAATACATCACTTAAGGTTTTGATAAAATAAATATTTTAGTATATATATAAATAAAAAGATGAACAATTTATTTGAGATCAAAAGAATACTTATTTTTTATTAGAGCGTGCCCCTTTATTCCCTCTCTAGCCCTAGATCGTTGTCTCCTCCCTCGCAAAACTGCAGTACTGGTTTTGGATCTTACCCTGTCCGTCCTTTTTGTTGTCCCCCGCAGGGTTCCTTATGATCGATCTAATGGGTCCAAAGTAGAGCATTGAGAATCTTTTCTTTTTTTTCCTTGCCTTCAGAACACGAACCTTAATTTATCCATTCAAATAAAAAACAGAAAAGCCCTGTCAGGGGAGAGGAGCTTCTGCTACATTAATAAATGCAGCCAATATTTTTGGAGGATTACGTGTCCAGTCTTGAAGAAAACTAGAACACCCAGCAGCTTTTGCAATGAGGTCTGCTGCTGCATTTATTGATCTTCTAACAAAAAACCTATCATAAAAACTAAAACAACTCAGGATTGATTTTGCGTACAGAATGTTGTATCTTTCACGTCAATTATATAATTAAGTGGAATCCCAAACCCAGCTAATTAAAAAATGAAGTGACATTCATTATTGTAAAAAAGAAAGGAAAAAAAAAAAGAACAGAAAAAAGAGAATGTTTGATATTCAGGTGCAAGAAAAGTAGTCATAACTACAATCCAAACAAACAAACAAACAAGTTATAACTACTTTGAACAATGATATCATTGTTCAAGCAAAAGCTTCCCAACCAGATTATTAAATCCAAACACTTGGAAGCACGTTGGCTCAAGACAATATTTGCTATTTATTAGTATTTATTTTTGGGAAAATTTCAATTTATCTCCTTAAAATTTGTCTCTTCTCAATTCATCTAAAATCTTTAATTTGTTTCAATTAAATTCTTAATATCTTCCAATCTTTTTGCACTTTATGTAAATTTCAATTTCATCTTCAAAATTTATAGAATATCTCAATATAATCCAACAAAAGGTCAAAATTAAAAAATTAAAAACAAAAAAATCATTAAAGAAAGGCATTTTTCAACAAAACAAATATGATTAAAAAGTTATTTTTTTCATCAATACTATCTAAGAGTCCTTTCAAAATAAAAATAAAAATGATAAAAATCATCAACCACCTCTATTGTTATTTCTCATACACTCTAGCTAGCATATCATATCTATATATTTTTTAATCTAATTTTCTATCAAAAATATTAAACAACAATTTTGAATAAAAAAATGGAAATAAAATAAAATAAAATATCAAAGGAATGAAATGGTAGTTTGAGTATATCATATAACTAAGAATTGCAGGTTTTTTTTTTTTTTGTCGTAAAATACATAGATTTTTTTTTCATCAAAATCAATGGAAATTTTTTTTCTTTTTAAATATGAAATTTAAAAATATGAGCTGAGCATCTCTGACAACATGATGAGGTTTGATCCTCTACCGACAAAATGTATACATTTTTTTTAAATATTACCAAGTCGTTTAGAGAACTTTTGCCGTTAGAAATATGGATAAATACAAGACCTTTCAAGAGCTACCTGCCGAGATAATTATTATTTAGAATCTTCGATTTTTATTTATTGACAATTTTAGGCCTCGACCCATAATGGTTTGCCCAAACAACCCCTTGGAAATCTAATTATGTTATTTGTTCACTGGGACTTTCGATATCTTCAACAATCATTTGGCCCAAATATGAAATCGTCTGATTGCAGCCCTAACTACCCTGCTGACGACACCTCTTGGAGCCTTGGAGGTGAAATTTTTATATAGGATTTTTTTTTCTTTGAAAAAATAAATATTCATTTTTGTCATGACTTGGAAAACTGAATTTTCTTGTGAATATATACATGGTTTTTCTCAAAACCTAACGAGGAAAGAACTTAATTTTCATTTTCTCTTATGATTGGAACTAAAAAAAAAAAAAGAATCAGATGATTTTTTACTTATTAGCACGTGTTTGTTTCTTATTTTCCAAAAAACTCTTTCCTCTAATCCAGATATCAAAAAAAAAAAAAAAAAACTATCTATTTTAATTTCAAACATGAACAAACGAAGAAGAAACACGTTAATTATCGGTTTAAGCATGTTGTTTTTCTTTAAAGGTACTGATTACCTTCTTCTTTTTTTTTTTTTTTTCTAGAATGTGCCTCTTTTATTCCCTCACTAATGCAAAAATACCTTTGTCCTGCCAAAATTGCAATATTGATTTTAGATCTTTTCCGATCCATCCTTTTTGTTGTCCCACACCCACGAGGTCCCCTAATTCTTCTGATCTAAAAGGTCCAAAACAGAGCATAGTGTATTTTGTTTTGTTTTGTTTTGTTTTTTTTTTTTTTTTTTGTTCCTGCCATGAGAATATGAAATTTGCTCGAAAAAAATTATATTACATATAAATATTACAAAAAAAAAAAAAAAACCTACATAGTTTAATTTCAGGCGTGAGCAAACGAAAAAGAAACCAGGGGGGATTAATTAAGTATGTTGTTTTTCTTCCCTTACTGACACTGAAATTTCCCTTTGTCCTAGCAAAAATGCATTATTGATTTTGGATTTTACCCTATTCGCTTATTTTGGTTGTCCCACACTCATAGAGTTCCTTAATCCTTATGATCTAATACGTCCAAAGAAGAGCATAGAGTTTTTTTTTTTTTTCCTGCTAGAAAAGCCCTCTCAGGGGAGGAGCATCAGCTCCAATAATTGCAGCCAATATATTTGTAGGATTACATGTCCAATCTTGAAGAAAACAAGAGCACCTAGCAGAAGCTTTTGCAGTGCAGTCTGCTGCTGCATTTACTGATCTTCTCACAGAAGAAACGTCACACAAATTAACACAACTCAGGATTGATTTAGCATAGAGAATGTTGTACCTTAAACGTTATATAATTAAGTGGAATCCCAACCTAGCTAATTAAACACAATGAAGTGATATTCATTCTAAAAAAAATGTTTGACATTCAATTGCAAAAAAAATGAAGTAAATTATAAATTAGTCCTTCTAACGAATTAATTAATCCTTCTCGTTTTCAGAAAAAAATATTTTGTATTTGTGTTACACGTCGAAGTGGATGAGCATTTTAGATATCTCATTTATTGAAACTATAATACAACAAACATTAAGAAATCAAGTGGCGGGTTTGACAATTTTGATGATGAATTTAGTAATACCATTTATTTATCATATTTGTTTTAATAAAAAATCTATTTTCTATTATTTTTTATTTTTATTTTTGTAATTTTTTTTATTTTTTTAGATATTGATATATTTATAAATTTTAAGAATGAGATTGAAAGGTGTGGGACAGATTAAATTTTTTAGATATTGATATATTTATAAATTTCGAGAATGAAATTGAAATTTATACGCTTAACATAAATGGAGGGAGGAGAAAATTTAGAAGAAAAATGAAAGGTGTGGGAGCTAGTTGGAGTAAAAATAAAAATTTGGAATTTAATTAAAATAAATAAAAAAAGAAATTGAGAAAACACGTAAATTTCAGGAGGACAAATTTGAATTTATCTTTATTTTTTGAACTCTTTTTAGGGCTCAAAGATTTTCATTAATCAAACAAAACAAAGACTTCTTTAGATTGGGTTAAGATGGTTTATTCAAAATCAGAATATTGTAGGTAATGGGAAAAATAAATACCTTTCGTGTATAAAAGCCAATCCACTTCCTGTTATATATATATATATATTATAAAGAATGAATATACTAAAAAAAAAAAAAGCGGTAAAAATACACGAAGCTGTAGATCTGAAGATGCAAAATCCTGGGCCACTTTGTTTTTTCAAAAAAAAAAAATTCTTGCAGGCCTTGACTATGTAAATCAATACTGGGTAAGCCTTGGTACCTTTCATTGACATCTAAATCATTAAGCCCAAACGTCTGTTTCATTGTAATCGTCCAAGCAGCCGAATCGTGATTAGGATGTCTCAGGCCCAGCTACTTGCCCCTTGCTACTGCAAAGGAAAAGAATTTTCTTTCGGATTTTTGGGTAACATCAACTTAATTTCAAGAGATTATTAATATTTTCTGTGTGGACTTTTCAATTTTTTCTATTTGATTATTTTAATTTTAATTTTTTTATTTGAATTTGAATTTTTTTAATTAAGTATTTCTGTTACATTCATATTGACGTAATCGTTAAATTGATACATCGAAATGATGACTAGTTTACTATGTGAGTATGGATATTTTACTTTATATTATAACCGAATATCAGTTTTTTTTTTTTTTTTAATATTTGAGAGTATGCTTCTTCTTCTTTTTTTTTTTTTTTTTTCTAATGGAGTGTACATATTTTATTTTTTTTATTTAAGTATATGTATGTACTATCAAAATTTTTTCCACAAGTACTATTAATTTTGAAATTTAACGAACATCTTCTTTACAATCTTATACATGTCATATTTTGACCGAGTTAACTAAAATTAAAAATTAAAACAATAAAATAGATAAAAAATTATTTAAATTAAAAAAGCATAAAAATAAAAAGAATAAAAAAATAAACTTGTGTTGATTGTAACTGACTAGTTAAGCAAATAAAAAATAAACAACCAAAAAATAACTACAAAAATTGTAGATTTTTTATGGAGATTGGTATGAAAATATATGTGTGTGTCTTCATAAGAGATCAAAGATTCTTTTGAGAAATTAGAATAAAATGGATTTGTTATTTTTTTCTTTTTACTTTTTAAACTTAGCAATGGAAATTTATTTGGTTTATGAGAAAGTGAAGGAAATTGAGTAATTTGATCTTTTGTTTTATATTTATTTGAAAAGTCATATTTTATTCTTTTTTTATTGACTAGATTGTTATTATTGTTTACTGTTTTAATTTTTAATTTTATTTAACTTGATCAAAATATTACTTACATAAGATTTTAAGGTGGATATTCATTAGATTTCAAAATGAATAGCAATCAATGATAATTTTTTTTTAAAGTACATACACTCAAATGGGAAAAATAAAAATACATACAATTAAATAAAAAAAATAAAAATACATAAAGTCTAAAAGAAAAAATAAAATAAAAATGATGTCATTCAATTAGAAATAAAATAAAATATTTATGCTCACATAGAGGAACATTAATCTAACAGAAACACTTGACTAAAAAAAAATTAAAAAATCTGCACATTTATTAAAAAAATGACAAATTTGCACCCCTTATTTTTGCAAGGTTTTGAGGTTCAAAATTTAGTTTTTCACAAATTTTAACTTTTACGTTCTTTTTTCTTAGTTTATTAAGCTAATGTTGATCGATGTTGGTCTGTTGGGTAATAAGGTGAAGCTCATCGAATCATGTTGGAACTGTGTCTAAATCACATAAAAAGAACAACTATATGAAAGTTCTTAAAGAATTGTAAATAATTTACTTTTACGTCTAATTAGATGAATTTTTCTCAATTACTAACATTAGGACAAAATCTATGGAAATTTACATCAACTCTACTGGCATTTAGGCTATGATGGAACATAAAATTTAAGCATTCATACAAAATCTATTGGGTTGGGCCTCCTCATAACTATATGCTCTCTATTTATCATCATTTACTTCAACGATTTTTTTTTTTTTTGGATCCCAAAGTATCCCATTTCTAAAAACTAAATTAATCTATCATTATTTAATCATGTGCATAATGCAGGTATAGTTATTAAAAAAAATTTTCTACTTATATAAAGATTCGAATTTCAGACTATTTGTTTAAGTGATTAAAGTTTTTTATGTTCAAGCTAACTCTCTTATGTTTTTTGTTCAACAGATTGAAAGTATGAATTATGCTCTTCCATTGTCTTTAATAAAATAAAAGAGTTTCCTTTTCATTAAACACAACACCAACGGGAATGATTGATCCTAAGGGTTTTTATGCCCTCCATAGATACAAGAGTCAAAAGTGACGGCCAGGAAGTTGAAATCAATTTTTTTAGAGCATTTTCAGAATCAGAACCTAACATAGAATGCAAACAGAGGTCCTGAAGATAAGCAAAAACTCCAGCAGGCTCTTTAAGACGTTTGTATTGGAGTTCTAACTCAAGAACTCTCACTGTCTTGGAACCAAACACACACTGAGGCAACTCAAAAGATGGATTTTCCTCCGATCCAAAGGATGGAGCATCTAAGCTCGAATTTTCCTCCGTCCTGGAGAATGGATCTTCTTCAGCTATCCCAACCTCAAGTTCAATCTCTTGAACTTGACAATTCACAACAGCATTGATCCATAGGTCTCTCAAAGAAGCAGATATTTTGTCCCCGACAGAATTGGTTATCATTTTTTTTCCCAATTTTTGTCATGAAGTGGTAGCTGTTAGCCTGTGAAATTTTTATCCGGTTAAGAATGTTTGTTATTTATTTATTGACGAGTAACCTGTATTTTTGGGCTAGCATGTGCCTCTTTATTCCCTCACCAAGAATAAAAATCTAAAATAGGAGCACACCCTTAGCAAAACTGCAAAATGAAGTAAGAATGGTTGACCTTCAGGTGCAAGAAAAGAATTAACAAGCTCGTTGTTCAAGTAAAGCTACCAAATTCATTGTATCATGTTCCTTAAAGGCATATGAGCTTGAACCATCTCTATTAAGAAGCAAAGGATGATACGCTTCTTCTTTTCTGTGACCTAGCTATATTGTGCCTTCTACTTTCTTTCTGAAACCCATTGCTATAAATTAAACTTTAGCATGCATATAATTTTGGTCCCCAACACAAACTGAAGACCGATTCCAACAAGAGCATCTTCTACTTACCGGAGTTTATTTCCGAACTCAGAAGCTGAATTCCTAAATGAGCCTGAGAAATGACTAGAGTTAGTTCATAATATTCTTCTTCCGAAGAACTAAAGGCCATCTTAGATAACTTAGGAATATGGAAGTTAAGTTGGTTAGGAGAAGATGAATGATTTGAATGACAGGTTAGAAACAGCTCACCAATTGACAATCCTGCATCGGTGCTAAAACCCCATCACACCTACCCTCTTCTCCTGAACTATCTCTCAACCTTTCTTATTAATTGTGTGCTGTACTGTGTTGTGCTTATTCAAATAATTAGCTTTTCAAGATAACCACACACAGATCACCCATTGATGTTTTGCATACGCGTTGCTACTTCCACCGTAATGTCAGGATTTGCATGTGAGGGGTTGGCGGACTTCGTTATGTTTGCTATCATACACGAATAAATTAATATTTCTTTTGATTGCTTCAAATTGCACGTAAACTAATCCTTTCTTTGACCTACGAGCCTCCAATCTCATAGCGAAAGGCATTCGCTAAGAAAGTCAAAACCTATCATTGGTTGTATCTGGATTATGGTCTGGAACTGAGAATCATATTTTAATGACCGACTATTAGATTTTTAGTTTATTAAGATTCATTTCCACTAGCTATATATAAGGCTGATAGATACAGGAATTATTAAACCATTCAAACATACATCAATCTACGCACAGGAAATTAAAGATGGATCAGTGCTTGAGAGTTTCAGAAGGGAAGGCCTCACCGAAGAGAGATTTTCGAGCATTACTAAGAGGTCGAAATCATCGGAGTCTGAAGAGCAATGTGTTGGAATCTATTGCACAAGTTAATGGTGGAAGTGTTGTTTCACACACCAAAGAAGATGGATTCGTGAGGATGAAGTTAGTGGTAAGGAAGCAAGATTTAAATCAGATGCTGGAGCTGATGAGAGGTGGAAAGAGCAATACTAATCAAGCATCATATTCAACGGCATCATCCTTGTCCCTCGAACAACGATTAAATCTTCTGCGGAGAAAGCATCTTTCAAGATCCAATCCTGCAAAAGGGAGTTGCCAGCGTTCTTGGACTCCTGCACTCCAAAGTATTCCTGAAGAGCTCTAATATTAACTGTGCTCTTGTAAAAACTGTATCTGACATGCTAACATCTAGCAGGTTTTTCATCACAATTTAGATGTCACTCAATCCTGTTCGTTTCCTCAAGTAATAAAAATGCATTCTGTTCTCAGTTCCATGTTTTTTTCTTTTATTATGCTCAAGCTAAATTCAAGAGTTAGAATTGTTACTTGATAAGAAACAAAACTGAACAGAGAAATTTCAGAACTTTTGCACTTTCAAGTAAATTCTAAGGGTCCATGGCATCCCACATAAATTACTGAAGAATGGGGATTTAATTTGAGCTGTGCCCAAAAAGGCAACCGGAAGTTCCATAGATACTATAAACAGAGCTAGAGAAAAGGTGAAGAAAATAAGATGCAAAACATAAATGGTAGGAATTCCACAGCAAATGAAACCTTTGAATTCCTACCCAGTCTTGCTTAGATATGGATGGAATGGTATACTGATAAAAAACAAGATCCTGTAGGGAAAATGATGGATACAAGATTACAAGGTAATGCATCCTCAGTTAAAACGAAGATGAAGACAGGAAATCAAAAGAATTGTCTGATTTTCCTCAACAGCAGGTAATCCATGATACTTTCCTTCTTAATTTGAACTAGAGAAATGGTATGATATTTTCCTTCCTGGTTCAGAACTGACTACCATATCATACAGCAACAAACAATCAACTTTGATCAATAGTTCTAATACCGCCTTTTCTTGTCACGGCAGCTCATGCTTCCACACCTGCACTTGAACGCTTTTATCGGATGATACTTATCATCAAACTGAATACCATAATCCTGCAATAATACATGAACATCCATTAATCGAGCAATATATCATCATAAAGTCTACAGATGCCATATAAATTCGATCTCTTTACTGCACAAAGCACATCATATAAGATGGAGAAAATTTTACCCAAGTCATCTCTTCCATCGGCTCAATATCTCTAGTTGTGAAAAAAGCAAGCTGCATGATAAGTTGAAAAAAATAAACAGTTGAATCCTCAGATCGACCCAATTTCAAGATACAATTTTGTTTTACCGAGAAAAAGAACAGCACTAAACGAGGCTTGAGAATCTAAAGCTACAGCCTACATACTCTATAATAGTGATGATCCGGAGTCTCCACTTCCACAGGAACTTCAATCAAGTTAGAATCATAACATCTGGAAAAAAAAAAAAAAAATAGAAGAAGAAAAGAGTATAATGAAGATATCCAAACACATGCATGATGAAATCTTAGCACCTACATATTTTCTTGATCATGAAGAAGAAAAGAGAGAAAGAGACATTTACAGGAGGGCTATGAAAGTACCTGTGATTGATAAACCTGCCAATATTTCCAAATTCTGTTGCATCCAAACAAAGGGCCTCTTCATCTTCCAGTATCCTTTCAGAGCCCCAGTCTGCATCCAGAAGCACCGGATAAGTATGCCTCTCCTTTTTAGCAGCCCTTTCATTGTTCCGTTGATAAAGTTCCTGATTGGTCACAATTTCGCCTACGTACTCACAAATGAAAGTGCCTTTCTTCAAGGCATTCACAGATCGAACACCCCACCCTTTCCCTTCAGGTGCGGGAAACACCTAGACAACAGTACATGTATTGATAACTTAGTGGTTAACACACAAAAAGATGCAAAAATGAAGAAAAGAAACAAATAGAAAATGGCTTCTAATTGAACATGCTTAATTATCAAACAGGAATTTACTCTGACCTGCAAAGCAACCTGTATCCCTCGCTGTACAACACGATTGCCACATTTCTTGTTGCATCCACATTTACTCCAGCATTCTTTTATAAATTTCCTAGTTAAATGGCCCTTGCATCGTTTTATTTTCCCATATCTCTCTTGCGGGTCGTTCTGCAGTGGGCATATTTCGCAGTAGTAGAAGTGTTTTCTTTGAGGATCCAAAGACACAGCGATGACTTCGTCCAAAAATTCCTCCTTAAGCAATCCCTCCTGTGTATAAACAAACTCGCCGCCAGTTTCTGCAGCACATGCACAAGGCAAGGCTGAGGATAGACAATCTCCACGACATTGTGCACAACAGTTGTCTTCTGATATTCTAGCAAGAGAAAAATCAACATGGCCATCTTGGTATACCATGTTATTTTTTATGTAGATAAAATCTGGCAACTCTAGCGTGCTGCTTTCATTCACTAGGGGAATTGGTATATTATCTTCACCACGAGATATGTCTTTGAGGTAAAGGGGGTATTTCTTTTGAAGGACAGCCTCCTTTATCTGCTGTTCTGAAGATTGTGGGTTTTGTAGAACCTTAATTGGCTCCAATGCAGAGTTGACTCTGTTATCATCTTTTAGAACATCTTTTTCATCAGATTGCTTTGGTGTATCACAAAATTTTCTCCTAGTTTCGTCGCTCGAACCACTGTCAATCTCCAAGAAGAACTGGCACACTTTTTCCATCAACCGCACCAAAGAGAAATCAGGATTCTGGATTCCATATGTTTTGCGGCATTCATCTTCCACCTCCCGTAGAACTGCATCCAAACCTTGTTGTCTGAAATAAGAATTTCCAGAAGAATTGCAAATTAAGGAGACCCTCACTTCTGCATTGGCTGATGATGCAATATCAAACTGTGATGAATTGGGAACACCTTCATGTACTCTTTCCTCCGTACTTTTATCCTTCTCAAAATGTAATCTTGTTCCTCTAGCAGCAGCTTGAGGAAATTCCGGACACTTCTCTTTATCCCGAGGAGGGCTAGAATGCGACATTTTAGCTCTTTTGTTAGCAAAGTCGACAGCAGATGATGAAGCCAGGCCATACCGATGTTCGAAATTGTGGTTCAAATTCGATTCCTCTTTATTCTCCTTCGTTAGAATATCAATCAGTTCTCTATAATTATCTTCTTCAATGAACTTCCAGTTATCTTTATACAATTTTAATAGTCTTTTCAGTGTGTCCTTAACCTTTTCTTCCGCGAAGCCAAAATCCGCTACTGCCATGAGGGCCTCTGCTATTTTTTGACTGTGATCATCAGTATTTCGTGCCATGGCTAACCCAAAATTCAATCCACTTTAATCCGGAACTAGCTTCGTCTTCCTTCACCTTCAACAATAGGCTTCAAGATCAAAAACCTGACACGTACAATAAAAAAAAAAAATAGAAGTCATATGTCAGAGGTGCAACATGCTGTGAAGTGGGAAGTATAATGAGAAAAAGCGCCAGAAAAGGCCAGCATTTAGAGTGTTAGCAGAAAACCGGACATTCAGGGGAGATATCTCTAGTAAAAAGGTCACGAGAAACTACTTAATACAAAGAATTAAAAAACACTCCATAAAGAACAAAGAGATCATCAATATCAGTGACAGACAAGAACATCAACTAAAAAGGTTCTCATGTGTCTTTTTCATTTCACTGTAGATAGATTTCACTCGAAAAAGACACTGCTGTGGCCTTCAAAGAAAAAACCAAAAAAAACTGATCCACCATAAATTAAAATCAGTGTCTAGTTTCTACAAAATAAAAGAGATTCATTTAGGTAAAAAGTCGAAAACTGGATTTTCAATTCCTCATTGAAACTCTTGGAAAATTCTATAAATTAAATAATAAGTTTGCAGTTCACTGATATTCTTACAAAAATAAAAGAAATTCAGCACAATAAAAACCCGAAAACTCGATAATCATGTCTCTTAATAAGTCGTTGAAACTCTCGCAAAATACTAGAGATTAACGATTTAATAATTCAGTGATACTTTCGACAGCTTTTTTTTTTTTTTTTTAAATGAAAGAAAAAACTTACCACTTTAAAATTCCAAGTTTCTCCCTTTTATGTGCCTCTTGTAGCACAATTGTGTAGCTACTGTGATGTGAGCTTCTCACACTTTACATTCAAGTTTCTCTCTTTTATGCTGCCTGCTGCCCTCTTTGATTTGAGTTTTTTTTTTTTTTTTTTTTTGTCTTTCTGGGTTTTAAGTACAGATATATATCGTACTTATTTTTTAACTCAAAAAGATCCTTGACTTAATTGGAAAGTAAAGGCACACAAACCTGCACGGAAGTTGAAGAGATTCCGCCTGCGCTGCCATTTTCCGTCTAAATTCAAACTCTGCGTGGACATCAAGGAAAACATCAAAGTCTAGGATTGGTTGGAATATCTTTCCTATTTTATCTACACACGACTCCTAAAGTGCTTGGGCTGTCTTGCTATTTTGTATAATACAAATTCAAGTTAAGTTTAAGTGCTTGACTTGCTCGATCATAAAGTTTTTGTTTGAATGAAAAAATAGCAACAAAAAAAAAAAAAAAAATCAGGAGATAACATAGGAATTTTCTCTTCCTTTTCAACTAACTTTAGCGGAACTCAATTGAGATTTTAACTTTATTTGACGTTTTCCCCAATTTGAATTGAGGTTGAATAAACGGAAAGTGGCAGGGCAGAATCTCTTCGGTCATCATCTTATGATGCCTCCTTGTTCCGTACAACAAAATTTGACTAGACCACCATAAATTTACCAGCTTTGCATCCCAGCTGCAAGACGGTTTGACATTAAAAAAAAAAGAAAAAGAAAAAGAAAATTGGGTTTAAAAAATAGTTATTGTACCATAAAATTACAAACTTAATATATTTTAATTATTTTAATATATTTTTTAAAAAATAATTGTAAAATACATGAATTAAATTTCTAATAAACATTTTAATACTGAAGGATTTTTTCGTTCAAAATTCCAAATCCATCCGAGCATGAAAGAACACGTAGAAGTAAGGTGGCACTTTGAATTACAGTACACGTGACAAAAATAAAAAATAAAATTCAAGATGTTTTAAAATTCAAGATGTTCAGACTATGTGTCGTCTACTCAACCAAACTTAATTCACTTTTGATTTCAAAAACAAAAAATTCTCAAAATATAAATCCAAATCAAATAAAAAAATTCCTAATCTTTTTTTCTTTTCTGCTCCACAAACCAGTACCCCTAACATTCTCCACAATCTCCATGCCAATGATGGCACATCCTCAAGTCTCCACCCACACAACACTCGCAACCCGTCTACGATTAGATAACGAAGAATCTAGCTACTGGTAAGGATGAGCAATCGGTTATTTAGTTCGATTTCGAACAATTTTTGTTCGATTTTTGGTTAACAGAATTATGAGAAACAAAAATCAAAATCGAACTGAATTGAAATTTAGTTTTTCAGTTAAAAAACCAAAATTTCGGTTTAAACCGAATTTTTGCAAAGAAAAAAATGAATCGGCTTCTATCTTTTAGCAAATGGGCTGGGCTATTGCCCATCTTACCTACACCCTCGCCTGTGAAAAAGACAATTGTGCATTGCAGCCTTGCAGGAGTTCTTTTGAATCATTTCAGAAATTCTAAGCATGACCCAACTTCCAGAACATGAAAAATTATAACATTAAAAATCCTAGTTAACCCAAACATTACATAAATCAATAAATACAGTACAGATTTTGTATAACTGTCCTAGGGAAGGGAGGGTCACTTTCTCCTTGACTTTGATTTCTCGGTAGAAGCTGAGACAAAAGCTACCCACATCACAAGGTTTTCCAAGAATCATCAATTCTGTAATTTGAAACTTTCCTCATTCCAGATTCATGATGATGCCTACCATAAGCTCCGATATATGGCCTCCTTTAAAATGGGTTTTCTCTCGTCAGTGCTACCATTACCTCTGTGGTGACTTAAGACTGCCTCTGATTTAAGGTAAGTGTACATCATTGAGCTACGAAAGAAAAGCTGTCAAAAGAAGATCTTTAACAAATTTGTTCATCTCTTTTATTATTCTAATAATTACTTCATAATATTTTCTCCATCGTATTCTCAAATAATAGAAAAATGTTAACAATAGCTACTACTTTCTCAAATCTAAAAGCCAACAGCAGTAGCAAATAATTTGACTAACACTGACATTTCCTCTAATATGATGTTGTGACCGATACAGAGTATGGCAAGAAAATTGAAGAATTAACTAATTAAGCAGATGGTCTACATAGTGAAGGAGAACTAACGAAGTTAAAGCAAGAGAGGAGGTGACGTGAAAGAAATAGAGGTCTAATGATAAGTTCAATCATAGATTTAAACTAATTTGAGGGATATCTAAGACACATAATAATCAGGAAATCATATATATACAACATTAGAAAGGAAAAAAAAGGAAGACAAAGTTTTCCTTAAAAAAACCTAAATTTGAAAACCAATTTATCAGTGATGAACTTAAGAGCATGCTTTCCTCATCAATTTGGTGCAATCGTGAAAATATATTTCGAATTAAAGGCGTTATTTTTTCTGTAAAAACACGGTGATATCTGTCAAGTGTCAACGAGCACTAGGCACAGCATTTTCATCTTATGATTCATCATTAAAAAAAATAAAAAATAAAAAGTCCATTTTCGAAGAACCCTAGTTAAGGAAAATTTGAAAAAAATAATACCAAGTGCCAAACAAAACAGGGCCTGTTACTTGTAACTAAACCTATGAAATTCCGATCCATTACATAGCCTCTCCAAATGCTACAGTGTTTCCTTTCAATTTTCATCATTTTTAGTTAACCATAATTCCCTTCCTAATTAGAATTCTGGGGACCTTGAAAGAGGCAATTTGACGTAAATAACAAGCAATTACTTGCAAAGGTTTTAGAAAAATAATTCCATTTTTCCCTAGATATCTAAGTCGCCCACATGTACTTAAACAATTCTAAATTGGGTTCTTAAAACTTTTTTTTTCTGAGGTAATAATGCTACTGAGTTACTAAACTGATGAATCCACTTATACTAAACAAGAACCCAATTTTACAGCATGATTTGCCCGTCTCTATTTGACCATAAACAGAGAAAAAAAGAAAAGAAAAGGAGAGTAAAAATAACTAACCTGGAATGTCCAAGCGGAAACCAGGAGAAGAAGACTGACTACAACAGGAGAAAGAGTAGTATGACTGTGGAAGGAGGAGGGAGAGGCGGGAGGTGAGAGAGAGAGAGGGTGGGTCGAAGAGATATGGACTGAGATTTAATGGTCTGTGCTAGGGGAGTGGGTGGCTTTAGACGGTGAAATTGAAAGAGATGACACTTGTTGCTGTATGCAGACGTGGGAGGGAATGTCTGACTGGGGATCGGGGTAAAACGATTTCGGAGTATTTTATGATTTTATTTTTCAAAAATAATAAAATATATAAATAAATAAATACTATGTTTTCGATTTAAACCGAATTAAAATTTTAAAAAATCGAACCGAAACAAAATGATTTCGATTTTTGATTTATGTAGAAACCAACCAAAACTGATAATTCAGTTCTATTCAATTCAGTTTTTCGATTTTAATCGAATTTTACTCACCCTTAGCTGCTGGGATCCTTATTCCACCTTCAGTCGGCCTCAAGTCTATAGGCCCATAACGAAGAATCATATTGTAGCCAGGCTTAATAGGCCCATAATAAAAAATAATAAAAAAGGGTTCAAGTCAATAGGCCCATAATAAAGAATAATAGAGAAGGGTCCAAGTCAATAGATATCACGTGCGCTCAAACTAAAGTCAAATTTTGTACCCATAAAAAGTTAAGTCCTTTGTCTGAACCATAACAGAATCAACGGACAGTCGTCATCCCCGCCGAAACAAAAAAGAAAAGAAATGGATGAGCAGGTCATAATTCTCTAGCAGCTGATTTCGCTATCTCTACAACACTCAGAATTCCAGTCAAAAAATGGCTTCAACGCTAATTCACTGCTCTCTCTACAACTTTTACAAAAACAAAAACGCCTCTCCAAAGCAAAACAAACCACCAAAAACAACACAAGTCAAGCCAAAAACCACAAGAAAATCACCCCTTATCAAGAGAACCCAGCCAAATATTTCATTAAAACCTCTGGTGCGTCCCAACGGTCTCGAAATCACAAGGGCTCTTTGTGGTTTCGTGGAATCTGGGTCAATGGATAATGCACTCAATCTGTTTGAGAAAATGAACCACTCAGATACTTTTATATGGAATGTTATTATTAGAGGCTTTACCAATAATGGATTGTTTCAAGAAGCTATTGATTTTTATTATAGGATGGAATATGAAGGTATAAGAAGTGATAATTTTACTTTTCCGTTTGTGGTGAAAGCGTGTGGCGGGTTATTGTCTTTGATTGAAGGGCAGAAGGTTCATGGGAAGCTGATTAAAATTGGGTTGGATTTAGATGTTTATGTTTGTAATTTTCTTATTGATATGTATGTAAAGATTGGGTTTATTGAGCTTGCGGAGAAGGTGTTTGATGACATGCCTGTGAGGGACTTGGTTTCTTGGAATTCTATGATTAGTGGCTATCAAATAGTTGGTGAAGGAATGAGCTCGTTGATGTGTTTTAGAGAAATGCTCGAGTTAGGAAATAAGGCTGATAGGTTTGGTATGATTAGTGCTATCGGTGCTTGTTCTATTGAGCGTGGTTTGCGAAGTGGAATGGAAATTCATTGCCAAGTGATTAGAAGTGAGCTTGAAGTGGACATTATGGTACAGACATCGCTTATCGATATGTATAGTAAGTGTGGTAAGGTGGATTATGCAGAGAGGGTTTTTAATAGGATTTCTTCCAAAAATATTGTGGCTTGGAATGCTATGATTGGTGGATATTCTCTAAATAATTATTCTTTTGAATCTTTTGCGTTCTTGAAAAGGATGCAAGAGGATGATAAAGTGATTCCGGATGTTGTTACAGTAATAAACCTGCTCCCTTCTTGTTCACAGTCAGGAGCTCTGTTGGAGGGTAAATCTATCCATGGATATGCCATTAGAAAAATGTTTCTTCCTTATTTAGTATTGGAAACTGCTCTAGTTGATATGTATGGAAAATGCAGAGAGTTGAAACTGGCAGTGCGTGTATTTGATCAAATGAATGAAAAGAACTTGGTATCATGGAACAACATGGTTGCTGCTTATGTACAGAATGGGCAGAATGGAGAAGCTTTGACATTGTTTCAACATATTTTGAATGAGCCTTCTAAACCAGATGCAATTACTATTGCAAGCGTTCTACCTGCCTTTGCCGAATTAGCCTCAAGGAGTGAGGGTAAGCATATTCATGCTTATATCATGAAATTAGGGCTTGGTTCAAATACTTTCATTTCAAATGCAGTTGTTTACATGTATGCAAAATGTGGTGATCTTCAGACTTCAAGAGAACTTTTTGACGGTATTATGTGTAAGGATTTAGTTTCATGGAACACAATAATCATGGCTTACGCTATTCATGGGTTTGGAAGAACTTCCATCCAGTTGTTTTCTGAAATGAGGAAAAAGGGTTTCAAACCCAATGGGAGCACTTTTGTTTCGCTATTATCAGCATGCAGCATTTCTGGTCTGATAGATGAAGGCTGGGGTTTCTTTAATTCAATGAAAATGGAATATGGTATTGATCCGGGAATAGAGCATTTTGGCTGTATGCTAGATCTTCTTGGTCGTGCTGGAAATCTTGCTGCAGCAAAGCTTTTCATTGAAGAGATGCCTTTGGTCCCAACAGCCAGGATATGGGGTTCTTTACTAGCCGCAAGTAGGAATAATAATGACATAGTCTTAGCTGAACTAGGAGCTAGGCACGTTTTATCTCTTGAGCACGACAATACAGGTTGCTATGTCTTGCTATCTAATATGTATGCTGACGCTGGAAGATGGGAAGATGTAGATCGGATTAAATATCTTATGAAGGAAAAAGGACTAGTGAAGACAGTTGGGTGTAGCATGGTCGATATAAATGGTAGAACTGAAAGGTTCATCAATCAAGACAAATCCCATGCCCAAACAAACATGATTTATGACGTGTTGGATATTCTATTGAAGAAGATAGGGGAAGAAATCTATCTTCATTCCCTCACCAAGTTCAGACCACTAGATGTGATCAAGAAAAGAGGGAACTCACCAGAGCATCACAGTGTCAAACTAGCTATCTGCTTCGGCTTGATCTCTACAGCAATCGGAAACCCTGTTATTGTTAAGAAAAACACTAGAATATGTGAAGATTGCCATAAAGCTGCAAAGAAGATTTCGCAGGTTACCAAAAGAGAAATTCTAGTGGGGGACGCCAAAGTATTTCACCACTTCCGGGATGGATGTTGTTCATGTGGAGATTATTGGTGAGTGGAGCTGTTAATGTAAAAACAAAATGTTGCGTGTTAGCCCCCCTAAATTTGCTGTACAGCCCTAGTAAAGCATAGGTAGAATTCAACTTGTGTACAGATTGCTTACTGTTGTAAATTTCATGGGATCAATGGAAATAATTAACGATTTCTTCCCATTCTGAATTTATTTGTATTTTTTTTTATCATTAAAATTGTGAATTGGGATTAATCGCAAAAACCAACTCAGGCATTAGATAGCAGGATTACAAGGAAAAGTACAGCCTTGATGACAAAGTCCAAATTCTTATTCACTTGCAGTTGCAACTTGATGAAGTTAGCAATGTCAAACTATGTTATAAAGGGCATATATACTTCCTTCTCAACATCGATTTTGGGAGTCAAATTTATGAAAAGTTGAAACTAGCTAGCTCACTTGATCAGAAGTAAAAACATAAGCTGAGATCATTGAGAACCTGTCAAGAGGACAGCAATATCAGCAAACAGTCGAATTTGATGACAAATGTATAATAGCCCAAGTTCCCATTTCTTTTTTAAAAAAATGAATGAAGTGGAGGAAAGCCTCTTTCTCTAATAATCTTGTGTATCCTCGCACATGAATCGGACAAATATGACAAAGCAAATTATGAGATAGACGTGTATGAATTAAATAATACAACATCAAACAAAATTTAGAACAAAGAAGAAAGAAGTTTCAACAACTTGTTTTAATAATCAGTAACCGTTTTTGAGGATATAGATAATGATTTTTTAAATAGGAAATTCGGTCTGAAACTGCCACCTAAGCTTTGTGATGAAAAGAGCCGAATTAATCAATTTACGTTGCAGTAACATCACGTTAATTAATTAAGCCAAAATCAACTCTTGATAAAGATGGCAAAAGGTCGACCAAAGCAAGGTTTGTGTGACAATGACACAAATTATACACGGCCAGTTGGCTCGTGTAGCCAAGAGAATATGGATTGCTAAATTCAATTGATTTGGCTTTATTTAAACCGCCAAAACATTTGATAACACCAACGTACCTTACCTACCAAAATTTCCAAGCATGGATAATAGTAAACAAAAATAGAGATTTTGAAGGTCCACCACAAGGATATGCAGTTCGTGGCCTACAAAAAAATCTCTATAGCTAGTGCAATAACCTCTAGATTACAGTTTGATTCCACTAATTAATCATCGTAGTTGATAGTTAACTACTGCATCTTAATTATTTAAATTTTCAGAGTTTTTTTGACATTAATTACCATTACTCTTTGTATATATAATCTTAAACACCAAAATCACCCATTAAAATGGGATTCGAAATTTTTTTATGTGAGTGGAAGACAAATCTCTATACATGAAAACTATATATATATATATATATATATATATAAAAAGAAAACAAAGAAAGAATAATGCCTTCTAGTATAAAGAAACCACTACCATTGGATTCTGAGCATTACCTTGAAAATACTCTTCCATTAAATTAAAATTAAAGGACACCAAAATCCATATTGTCAACAGTTGGAGATATTTTCTATTTTCATGGAAATTAAGTATGACGAGAGAGAATCCAAAAAACGAAAGTCAAAGCACCAATCAAAACACTGTCCAAAATAAATTAATTAACCATCTGGAAAGAAAGAAAGTAGGGATCGACTTGGCAACTACCACTAATTGAAAGTGAACGCAATTATCTTGTAGCTTTCAGATTAAAAAAGACTACTTTCAAAAAGTGGACCAAATTAAAAAACACAAAAAAAAAAAAAAAAAAAAAAAAGAAGTCAAATTAAAGAAAAATTTCTCATTTTTTTCTTTTCCCAAGAATTATACATCCAGAAGCACTGAATTTTTTTTAACTCACCAATCAATCTTTGAGAAAACCCAAAAAACCTAAAAAAGAGAGAGACAGAGAGAGCAAGAGAATCAGTATATTTACAAATTATGCCACTATCCACCGGTCAAACTGAAAATCCCAAAAACACCCCAACTGTCTTTCATTCCTTGTCTGAGTCAAACTTCCTCTCTAGTCTCATCTGAAATAATCATCTTCTTCACCATCATCACTCATCTCCTCCGCCCTCGAAAACCTAAACCTCAACGGCTTTATAACGATGTCGTTGAGCCACTCAATGCACCCACATTGATCTTTCAATCTTTGAAAGAACCCTTTATCGTCAACATCAGGAGTTGACATGGGCTGTAAATAAGCCCTAGCAGCATGCTTCACCAATGGATTCTTGAAGGATATCTCTCTCCGGCTGCTAGACTTTCGAGTTGGTGACAAAAGACCTGATGATGATGAAGCAGGTAACAAGTCCCTCAAACTTGTGTAGGCTAAAGGCCGTATCTGTATCATCTCTACGTCCAAATCTTTTGAATCGTCGCCCTTTGGCAAGAGAAAAGTAGCACTAGAACTCAATTCAAGACTAGTTTTTCTCCTATTTATTGTTGGTTTGTTTGGTTTTTCCATATTGCAAGAGTTATAATTGGAAAGTTTCATAAATTTACTTTTTTTCTTTTGTGATAGGGTAATGAATCTTGAATATATTTGTTTAATGTGGTAAGTATGGAAGGTGTGCCACCCTCAAAAAAGGAGAAAGAATGGTGATGTATGCAAAGGTTTTTTTTTTCTTTTTTCTTTTTATGACGGTTTAAGGTTTTTCTTCTTCTCTTTTGTCTAGGGTTGTTTTTTCTGTTTGTTTTTGCAGAGAGAGAGGGTATGGTGGCAAGGGAAATAAGCGACAGTTATTGGTCTTTATAGTAGTACAGTAGAGGTTGAGTTTAAGCAATATTAGGAGTTAATTACGCAAAAAAATTAAAAATAAAATAAGATTTTAATTAATTCTAATTGAACAATGATTCATATTTTGATTTTAACTGGGATGTAATTTAGTATAAATAGAGTTTTAAAGAATCGCTATTACCTAAAAATTTAGAGGGTTCTTTGAATAATATTTACAGATTTTGCGTGGATAATAATGTACGTACGTAGGAGTGTATTATATATAAGCAAACACGTGTGATTACGTACTAACACTAACAGACCTATCAATTTCCATGGCATAATTCCACTAATCAGTTGAAGTGAATATTTTTTGGAAATCACTTTCCTAAAAATTGCATGGATTGAATGAATCAATGAATGAATCTTATAAGTGAATCGATCTGCAGGTAATTCAATGATGATTTATTTTATTTTATTTTATTTTTTACAGAGCGAAACTGGTTTGAGTAAAATTAGCATAATTTATAGTTAATTAATCGTTTTGATGACACAATAAAAAGGAAGGAAGGCTCCAATGGAGAAAGAATGATGAAGATGTGGCATCAAAACTGGGAAGGAGATGAAATACTTAGGTGATTCGATATGGTAACCAAATAAAGCAATGATAACGTGAAGATAGAAATTCCAGTCATCATCTAATGCATGTAATTTTACCTTGAAAGTATAAATAAATGACCACATGTATGTTGGTAAAAATGGAAATTTACGAGAAAAAATAAATTACAAGGCAAGAGTAATTAACTCGACCTAGCAGTCAAGGTCCATAAAATCAGGTAAATTGATTTGAATTGATTACTTCAGTTTGTTCCATTTATGGGTCTTGAAGTGATAATTGGGTCTTGGCGTCTTGCTTCTTTGGTTTAGTTGATAAAAACCTGTAAATAATCTTTGGCCCAAAACATGGGTTTTTTTTTTTTAATTTTCAAGATATTTCAGTTCGAAAAATTTTAATTAATTTTTCGATCTTCTTCGATTAAATGTACTAAGCAATTTATAACTATTCAAAAAATTTCTATCTATATAAAGATTTAAAAACAAAATCATTAAATATAGAATTCATATTAAAAAATAAAAAAATCTCAGCCGTGTTCTAACAAATTAAGGTCATGACATATAGGGGATTGGTGTCCAAACCATCCTCCAAATAAAATTCAATGATGCCCTTTTTTTTTTTTTCCTTCATTTTCCTCCTCATGAACCTTTTTCTCCCCTTCCTCCATGGTTATGCTTTCTTTTTTCATCAACCTTAGGCGGCTTTGTTTTGTTTGCAAATAAAAATTCATAGGAGAGATGCAAACAATTCATATTCATCATCGAAATAAATAAATATTAGGCCCAAGAAATAATGGGCTTCCAATGGAAATTACTTCTTCCTTTCTTTCTTTTTTGTCATCCTTGGGCCGACAGCTCCTTCTCTTACAAAATTTTCTCACGTATGGATATGCATAGGGGGTTGCTAACTTGCTATAGACTATAGTTATTTCATAGCATTATAACTGTAATGCCATTAAGTTTATGACATAATAATATGGTATTTAGAAAAAAATAATTATAAATATTATTAGTTCGTAATTATTTATAAATGATATTTTCACAATTTAAATAGTATTTTTTCTTTTATGAGAATAAAAAACTTTTTTTTAATTGTACTTAATTGTCCATGACTATAGTCACAATTTAAATAGTTTTTTTTTTACCAGAAAAAAAAATTTTTTATTGAAATTATACTCAATTGTACATAACTATAGTAATTATATGGAGTAATTAGCTAAATCATAGAAAGATAAAATATTTTTTAACAATTCATTAATTTATTTTTAACCATTCATGATCACTTTTGTATCATAAAATAAGTAGTATTTATTTTTATGTTTTTGAGTCATAATTATATAATAATTTTAAAAATTAGTATAATAATGAGATAATTATTTAAATTACTGAGTGATAAGAAAAGTTATTACGATACAACAAATAAAAATATTTAATAATATGTAACTTGAAGTGCTATGATTATAGTTTCTTGAAGTAAACGTAGCAAACTCTAATACATATCCACATCCTCCTATTCTTGTTTTTTTTTAAAAAAAAATACGGCTCTCTATTTTTTTATTTAATTTATTCCTTTGTTTTATAAAATTTATATGACTTCGTCGTCTAACTCAATTAATACATTAATTCATGACAATATGAAAAGTGAATGTTTGTCTAGCAGATGACAGATCATAAATCAATAATTAACAACAAATTAAAAGAAAATTGGATGGAGAACCAAATCGAGGAATGTTCTTATTTAGCAGGGCCAACTATTTTATTTAAAGAAAAACTCATATTAGGAAAATATCAAGAGCACAAAGAACAAAATATTTATGATTAATCCAAATCTCTCCTCTTTCTCCTCACTTGAGGTGCCGTTTTGACATTCATCTTTGTCACTGATCTGTAACTAAGAGATGAACGAAGAACCTTAGATTAAAAAAAAGAAACAAAAACAAAAACAAGCGTCGGCGGAGGACCTTTCTGTCTCTCTGAATCTGGGAAAGGCCGCGTGGTGGCCCAACTCATCAGTGACAGCTAAACAGACTGACACGTAGCTTAAGGCTCTTAATTATTTTAGTACCTTAGCACGCATCCTGATTTCTTCTTTGATTCAATGCGATTCACATTTTTGCATAAGAAATCATATATTTAGCCACCTCCTTTGGTCACTTCCTGTTTAATGCGAAAAAACGGTGGTGGGTGCTCAATTTTCAAGCTCCTTACTCCAAAACGGAGGTAAAGTTTTCACCTGTACTTCCATTTTCTTTCTTTTTTTGAAAATGTTTCTTTTTATGTGTTTTGATTTGTTACGTTTGATTCTTTTGCGTTCTGGGTGTTGATTCTTTGATGGCATTGTTGAGTGTTTGGTGTAAATGGTTGTTGTTTTTATCGACTGCTCTTATTTGTTCTCTTTTTTAATTTTTATTGGCTTCCTGGTCATTTTGCTGTTTTTGGTAGCTTATCCGAGGATAACACGTAGCTTCAAAACCAAAAGAAAAGGGGAAATTATTAAGAAAAATCGTTTGCAACATATAATTAATGGGAAAGGAAGTTCATATTTGGAAATGTTAGAGGCAGTTACTGAAAGATGCTTCCTTTTTTTTTTAATGCATATTAAATTGTTGAAAAGTAGCATCTATTGTTTTTTTTTTTTTTTTTTTTTGGTTAGTATGGAATTGTTAAGGTTATTGATAAACCTAGTTTGAAACAGAAGTTTCGAGCTCTGCTCAAGTGATTGAAAATTGTCGCTAGAAATTTGAGCTTGTCTTCTAACCGGCTTGCCTTTGTAAAAAATAGTCCTGGGGAGAAGTTTGCATGGCCATCTTGCTCGTTCAGGAGTAGTTTTGCGAGCCTGGAAAGTTTTTGCTCCTCTACGGAAGAGATCAGAGAAGGGAAAAGAACCGTACTAAAAGGATAAGAAATAAAATAACATTTATAAATGTTATTTTATTTCTTGAGTTAGGTATGAAAAAGTTGTTTTCACTCCGGAGAAGGTCATTTCCTTCCATAATTCTATGCCTTATCTCTATTTCTGAGCCGTTTTGCCACTGACAATGTTTTTCTTTTCTTTTCTTTTCTTTTCTTTTCTTTAATTGAGAGGCTTCATTATCAAAACACACCAAGTAGGAGCTTACCCTACTATAAAAGCATACAAACTGGAAATGTTTATCCTGAAAAGCTAGTTAGAGAAAAACTAAACGAAAAACAAACAGCCAAACAATCACAAGTCACAAAAGTTCCATTGGCTACATAGAAAAGAGTACTTAGGATTTTTGCAATTTGTTGTTTTTTGCAGAAACAAAGAAACTCGTTCTAAGAAAAATACTTCTGAGATGGAGGAGCCGAACAATGCTGGGTATGTAGCTCTAGGGGAAACATCCTTTCCGACATTAGATAAGTCCCAGAAGGTTTCAATCCTACCGCTTGTTTTCCTGATCTTTTATGAAGTTTCTGGGGGACCATTTGGAGTTGAAGATAGTGTACAGGCAGCTGGACCTCTTTTAGCTCTTATTGGCTTTTTGCTTTTCCCATTTATATGGAGCATTCCAGAAGCCTTGATAACTGCAGAAATGGGTACCATGTTCCCAGAGAATGGTGGATATGTAGTTTGGGTTTCATCAGCCTTGGGTCCTTACTGGGGTTTTCAACAAGGTTGGATGAAATGGCTGAGTGGTGTTATCGATAATGCACTATACCCAGTATTGTTCCTAGACTATCTGAAATCGGCAATCCCGGCATTGGAGGGTGGTTTCCTTAGGATAGTAGCGGTTCTGGCTTTGACAGTGGCACTCACTTACTTGAACTACAGGGGTTTAAGCATAGTGGGATGGGTTGCTATACTCTTAGGGGTCTTTTCCCTGCTTCCTTTTGTGTTCATGGGACTGGTGGCAATCCCCAAACTGGAGCCAGCAAGGTGGCTTGTGGTAGATTTCAGCAATGTGAACTGGGGTTTGTACTTAAACACTTTGTTCTGGAACCTCAACTACTGGGACTCGATTAGTACTCTTGCAGGAGAGGTTGAAAACCCGAATAGAACTCTTCCAAAAGCTCTTTCTTATGCTCTTATCTTGGTTGTTTCTGCGTACTTTTTCCCTCTCTTGATTGGTACTGGAGCAGTTCCACTTCATCAGAAAATGTGGTCCGATGGGTATTTCTCAGATATTGCTAAAATTTTAGGTGGTGTATGGTTGAGATCTTGGATCCAAGGGGCTTCTGCGTTGTCAAACATGGGCATGTTTTTGGCAGAGATGAGTAGTGACTCTTTCCAACTTCTAGGGATGGCGGAGCGTGGGATGCTTCCTGAGATCTTTGGCAAGAGGTCTCGCTATGGAACCCCACTTACTGGGATATTATTCTCTGCATCTGGTGTGTTTTTGCTCTCATGGTTGAGCTTCCAAGAGATTGTGGCGGCAGAAAACTTCTTATACTGTTTTGGAATGATTATGGAATTTATAGCATTTGTAAAATTAAGGATAGAATGCCCAGCGGCACCAAGGCCTTATAAGATACCTGTTGGGACGGTTGGAGCGATTTTGATGTGCATTCCTCCAACCTTGTTAATTTTAGTGGTATTGGCACTTGCTTCTCTCAAAGTCATGGCTATTAGCTTCATTGCTGTGATTATAGGGCTCATTATGCAGCCTTGTCTTAAATATGCAGAGAAGAAGAGGTGGCTCAGGTTTTCCAAAAATTCTAACCTTTCATCCACCTATTCTGTGTAATGACCCATGAATGCTTGTTTCAATTTTGATTTTCCTTTTTTCTGTACTTCTGAAATGTGAATGAAATGCTAGCCTTCTTTATCTGCTCAAGTTCTGGTGTTTGACCCGACTTAAAAATGATTTATGGCTATGGATATGGGAAGAAGTGACCAGGAGTTGAAATGGCTTACTGTGGTTGTATTTTTTTTTTTTTTTTTTGGAACATCACTATCAGGATAAGAATTGCATGACATGCAACTTGTAAGGGCTGCCTAGCCAAAAAAGCTATAAAATCTTGGAACTGCTGTAGACCTAGTGATGTCCACTGTGACAGCACAAGAGGATCTTTGATTGCACAACACTTATCAAAGGCAATTGATGGTTCTCTGAATTGTCTGTTTCTCATATTTTACATTTGCGGATTATATTTATGGTCCTTGGCATTATCTATTATTCTATTGTCATTTTGGGATTGATCTCTTATTTGACATGTCTTTCCCTGATCCAAAATTAGCTTACTCACAAACCTTGGTTATAGGAGAAAATGACTTCATATTGTTTGTTGGATTACTCAAATCTCTTCTAAAAGCTTCAGACTTTAGTTTCTTGGTTCTGTAACTCCTTGTCCTTTAGTTTTCTATATCCGGTAATAGAAGAACAAAGCATACGTTAGAACATGATCACCATTTGCCTTGGCTCCTGAATTTGAACATTCAGAGGCTTAGTGGATTTCTTTGTTCATAACTTCATTCTATAAAGTCTTTCTCAACTCTCAAGTGGGCGAAAAAATGTGTTCAGTTTTATCATCATTGCCCCTTTGAGGTGTTGGGTCAGGACTCAGATATGGGTCAGATACTAAATGAGTTTGTTCCTCACATTATTAGCTTGGGTTGTGAAAGAATAAAATTAAGGTAATTGTTCAGGTGTGGATGACTCCTTTATGGAAGAAAGACTCAAGCCTGGATAGAGGGTGCTTTGTTGCTTACTGTCAAAACCAAAACAAAAAATTATGAAGGACCTTGGCCCCGGTGTGCAAAATGCAGAGAGGACGGGTTGGTCAGGCACATTTTGTGGCATTAGATTACATTTAATAAAAGGGCTCTCCTCCTGCTTGTGCTTCCATGTGAGCTGAAACAAGCTGTCTGTTTCACCAACTTACACTAACTAAAGAAACCAACCACATGGCAATCATCCAAATGAGTAGCTAGAACAAAGAAATACTCCTTAATGCAGATGATGTCATTTTACCTGTCACATTTGTTACTTGTGGGTGAGGAAATTTTATAACTCTTTACCATCGGATATTACAACTTTTCTGGTCTATAAAACATCGCTCTCTTTTTTGGCATTTCTTGCATGACCTAACAGGCAATAAAGATCGAAAGAAACATGAAAGCATTCCTTTTTTCTCTTTCAGCATTTGCAACAAAAAAAAAGAAGTTATAATCAAGCTCTTCTACTTCCTAATCTGTGATAGAAATAATAAGCAAAGAAGAGAATCAGAGGGAGAATTAAGGGGGAGAAATGGGTGTTCTCAGAAACTCCCCAAAAGCATCTCCAAGAAAAAATTCCACCACCCTTCAGCACCTCTTTGATTTGGAGGCCAAAAATAGCAATGGCACTAAGATTTACAGTCCCAAAGGTAGCAATCAGTGTATCTTTCAATCTGAATATGAAGAAATCTTGTATATTATATCTCACTGTTGCTGCATCTTCACTTTCACCGACCCTTCGGAGTCTCCTTCAGAACAAGATCTTAAGCGATTGAAGCTCTTCCAAATCCTTTCTTTCATGAAAAAACTCAAAAAGCCACTACCTGAAGAAGTTATACACCCTCTTGTGTCCATGCTATCGGCTAACCTTTTCAGGCCTCTCCCTCCATCTGCCAAACAAATCGTCTTCTGCGAATTACCTGAGGATGAAGACCTCGTTACCACTCCCTCGCCTGCTTGGCCGCACCTGCAAGTTGCTTACGACATTCTGCTTCGATTAGTCCTCAATATTGATCCCAAAATTCTCCGTGGTTATGTTGATGAACCTTTCCTTGTCAATCTTCTGTCCCTCTTTCAGTCTGAAGACCCAAGGGAACGCGATATTCTGAAGAACGTTTACCACCGGATATACTCCAAGCTCACCTTCTACAGGGCATTCATGAGGAAATCTATGAATGATGTTTTCTTGCACTATGCTTTTGAGTCAGAGAAACATTCTGGGATCGGTGAGCTGCTTGAGATATGGGGAAGCATCATCAATGGTTTCACTGTCCCACTGAAAGAAGAGCATAAGCTATTCTTGATGAGAGTGCTTATTCCTTTGCACAAGCCCAAGGGGATGCAACTTTACCACAGGCAGCTGGCTTATTGTGTTAATCAGTTTGTTCAGAAGGAACCAATGCTTGGTGGGACTGTTGTTAGAGGGATCTTAAAGTATTGGCCTGCCACAAATTGTCAGAAAGAAGTTCTGCTCGTTGGTGAATTGGAGGAACTAGTGGAGAATATAGATCCTGATCACTACAGAAAGTTAGCTTTGCCTATATGTACCCAAATTTCAAGATGCTTGAACAGTTTGAACTCACAGGTATGCTAATTATGATCCATGATACAACCTCATAAAAATGCCTTGATACTTTCTAGGCCAGCTTGGATTTGGGATTTCAACCTGCCCTTTCATGCATTCTCTCGCCATCAAAATGGAAAATGATGCAATACTCTTCGAAAATTCCTTTTTTGCGTTTTAGATTCACTAAACTCTAAATTAGCTTTAGCAGTTCCTGAATGCTCTTTTTCCTCCTAGGGCAAAGGTCCTGAAAATGGCCACGAGATATACAATCGGGCCTCATGAAACCTCCCATTTTGTTTGACAATGTTGAAAGATAACCTGCTAGTTTAAGCTTTATTGGGTTATTTACAAGTGGATCTTGTAAACACAATTCAGGGCCTTTTTTTTTTTTTTTGTGCATCTTCCAAACCATCTGCAATAAGCTTTCTTTTATATGCTGCTTTCATTTTCTGTCCTCTTTTTCCCCTTTAATGAATGTCATTAAGATTTATTTCCTAATGATCTTAATGCCCTATGGCCTAAATAACATGAAATTCAGGTTGCAGAACGTGCACTATACGTGTGGAACAACGAACATTTTGTGAAGATGGCATCATCAATGATGGAAGAGGTGTTTCCTGTGGTGGTAGAATACGTCGAAAAGAACCTTAAGTGGCACTGGAGCACGAATGTAAAACAACTGACAGAAACTGTGAAGACCATGATAGAAGAAATGGATCCAAATTTATATGACAAGTGCCTGGAAGAAATAGCCCACAAAGAGTACTTGGCTGGCCAAGAAGACATCAAGAGGAAAGAAAATTGGGAAAGGTTAGAATTGGCAGCAGCCAAAAATCATCAGTTCTTCCAGCCACAAAAAAGTATACGTGTCTCCCATTAATGAGAAAAGCATCTTACTCTTTGCTGGCAAATTGGTGTTCAGAAAGTCGAAAAACAAAAACTTGTTGATTTCCCATTACGAGTCTAACAGGTCGTGTGTCCTAGCTAGCCTGCTAGCTTGCTGACCCTATGAGCCTGTAAGATGGTTCGTTCCCCAACCATATAGGAATACCGAATAATCCCCTGTTGACTTGGTTGTGAAGTAGATACAAGAAAGGCAGAGATGATAAGTCAATTATAGACACGTTACTGATTTTTAGTACCAAACGCAATATCTTGATCTGGCTTTGAGTTAGTAAAACTAACCTTCAAACTTTCAAACTTTATGTTAGGATGTGAAAAATAAGATTCTCGTAAAAAAAAATCTTAAAATGCGTAGTTTTCAAAATAATGAATTTAATTTGGAAGCCATAATTAAGGAAGTGGTCAGAAAAGTTCAGCAGATAATAGCTTTTTTAAAAAAGGTTATGAAATTTTTATGCAAAATGATCTTTCAAGGTGGAGTAAGGTTACTAACTAGTCCAAATATTCAGCTTGTAAAATCATCCTTTATATGTTTTACAGAAAAAAGAAAAGAAAACAAAGGCAAAACCATATGAGCTCATCAAGAAACTCACGCAATTCTCCTCGGTATCAACAAATTAGCTTCATTACAATCCTCCAAAAAAGCGCAAAAAACGAAAAAGATCCCCTCCACAAGAAAATCAACGAATTCGACGGTCTAAAGCCCTTGTCGATTATAAAATAAGGAATCTAGTAGAGACAATGAACAAGGAAAAATCCATGGCAAAATGGACATTACGTTTTTATTTATCTGTTCAAACGCCCATTTTCTTGAATGAAAAAAATCACACAGTAAATAGACTAAATGAACCAAATCTCTCATAAAATTAATTTCATTTGAAAATCATTGTCTGAACTTTTAATTTTAAATTTGAAATTCTCTTTTTTTTTTTTTAAGATTTAATCCATCTTATAATTTCTAACTATCTCTCCTCCCTCTACATTTAAATAATTTAATTTTTAATATTTTGATATGATATTTTGAACACATATTGAAAAAAGTTTAATTAATTTTTTAGAGATTTTTTTTAAGATCGTAAAGTTTTTTTTTCAACATTAAAAAAGTAAAAATTAAAAAAAAAAAGAAAATAATTCAGATCTCAAATTTTTTGAAAAGTTTTAGATAAATCTATGAATAATTTATATTATAAAATTACTTATATTACCGTTATTGTTTACAAAAAACCTAAAAGATGAACTAATAAAAAAATAAATTCAAATGAGATTAAATTCAAAATTAAAAATTCAGAGATTAATTTTTAAATAAACTAAAATTCTGAAAAGGTTTTACCTATTCAACCTAATGACTATATATCCACCCAAATGGGGATCCAGAATAGGATTTGTTGATCCAAAAAAAGATAGAGGAAATAGTCGACTAGTCTCATTTGGGACGAATTTAGCATTTCCTTACAGTTTAAGGCTTGCGTCAAATTAGATTATGACCTTTTGGAGTCTTCGTCTATCTAATGGGCCTGTTTTCTAAAATGGAATGAAATACCTGGCCCAAAAAGGTGATAATAGATTAGCAAAACGTCGCAGTTCAAGAACAATCTAAAAAGCAAATTTGTAGCTTTCCTTCTCTGCTGCTGCTGCTGGGTTTAACTTGGGCACGGCAACATCTTGCTAAATCCTGATTTTCTTAAAGGCTTCACCCTCCAATCTTAGGTAGTGAAAATTTTTTATCGGATAATTCAATGTTAAATACAATGTTTTAGCTGTTTATTATGTGATTTTTAGTCTCTTCACTGTGTCTGAAAGAATACTTGTATTGCTTCATTAGAGGTTGAATGAGTTAACTTTAGCTATCTAGGAAGTATCTTAGTTAGAAATTTCAATCTTTTATGAGAATTTTGGGTTTTTGTGTTGATTTTGGTACTTTATTCTGGTTCTTCAAGTGACCCTTTGATATTTTAGCAAATCTCAATTGTAATTGCTTCACTGTTATTATGTTTAAACATAGCAAGATATAATTTTCATTTTTTATGCTGTAACAGATAAAGATTGATAAAGTAACCAACACCGGGGTAACGATGTCCATTGTTTCTGGGTTTCCGAAACAATTTAAAGGTCTCTTTCTTTGTCTTTCGGTATTGGTGTCGGTTGTGTTTGTATTTGTATAACTTGTTTCTCTTTTGTGTAGGTTTGGTTTGTCCTCGTAATTATGAACCACCATCTGGTATTCAGAGATGTAACGAAGTGAAATTTAGTGATTACAGTGCTGTTCAGCTAGACACTAGAAGGGTGACTTTACTTTGTGCTTCTTGTTTTTGATAGTTTGTTTGTTTGTTTTTATGCAAATTTAGTAACCAGTTGCATGTAGATGCTTGTTGTTGACTATTGCATTTTGATGTTGTAGAATCCCAGAGGAAGAATTCAATATGTTCCTGCAAAGCGGTCTTGCGACAAGCATGTTTTGTATGTAGGAAGAGGTCATTACCAATTGAGCCATGAAGATGACTTGCCCCAGGAGCCCTTTTGGCTAAGTTTTATTGAGGATGTCATCCGGTATTTTATTTCACATATATTTTTATTCAACCTTTGTCTTTAGCATATTGACTTGGTTATAGATATCTCCTATTTGCAAACTGCATATGGTGGAATTACAAAAGACACCGTGTATTCTGATACGAATGAAGGATGCAGTGAGCATTCGTGAAGTGAATGATGTTTGATCTTCCTTTCAGGGCTTTGAAATCTTTGTTTGTGTTTCTGGTTGAGCAACCCAGTCAGCTTAAGTACATAGAGTGGCCAGGTTTTCAAAGCACGGTATGTAGCATGATATCTTACCTCATCTCAAAGTGGTAGAGTCACAAGTAGCATAGATCAAAGCTGATTGATACCACCAAAATACATATTACTAGCATTGCTAAACTTCTGATTTTTGGATCTGGATGATTATTGTCTTTTGTAAATCTAGTCGAAGCTTGGACGTTAAAAAACAACTCACTTTGAAGATTCTTAGGTTTCTTTTTGGTTTTGTGCAGCTGAGAACTGCCATGCTCACTCTAGTTCTTGTGGCGCTGCTGATTGTTGCCCTCTCTTCAATCGATTCAGTTCTATGCTATGTGTTAGCTTTGCTTCTAAGGAGAACCCCTTGATAGAGGACTGAACTCCAAAAATGCTTGCTTTTCACCCCTGGCCAATCTCCATTTTTGCACTTGCAAGTCTGTTCCCTGCTGAGACAGTAAGCGAAAAACTCTCTTCTCCATGGCATGAATTGAGCTACACGAGAAACATCTAAAGAGAAAATAGCCAGCGCTGCTGATTGGCAGCCTAAAGACGCTGGGCTATTTGACCCTTTTTTATATATTTTTTTGGGCCGATAATTTCATACCATTTCATCCGTGTAAAAATTAGGCTTCTGAATTGAATGTGCAAAAGTCTGCATATGTTGCAGCTTACCGTAGTAGGAAAATCACTATCATGGTCATCATATAACACCAAATAACAGTAACAGAGTGTCCAAGCAGTTATTTAAATCTATGGTTACATCTTGTACTTGGCAACGGCTTCCGTTTGCATTTGAACCCCTATCTTCTCCTCTACAGAATGCATTATTACCATTGATCTGAATCCTGGCATGACCAAACAGAATTGAAAGTGAGCAATAGAGGCCACGGCAAGCAAGATACCACCCGGCAAACCTTAAGCAGAAACCAGAAATAATACGTTATCAAACCAGAAAGAAGAAACTTGGGTATGATAAGACTATATTATATGATCAAGGTAACTAGGAATTGTTACAATCAAATTCCAGAAGATGGAATGTTGCATGATACATAACCATCCACACAAAACAAATCTCAACTCTCTTAATGAAACGGGAATCACTGAATCCATCTTCCTATTTTTGTTACAAACCTTGAAGATTATGAGGCACGGGAAACTGTATTGAAACAATTTCAAAACCCCTTGTACAAAAAACGTGTGGAAATCACACAGAAACCTACCCCCACTGAAACTGAAAACTATAGAAAAAACTCCTGACCAAAAAAGGAGAAAGAATCAAAGCTTGAGGTCCTCACTTCTAACCATCTGAAAACACTATCTAAAAGCTTAGAACACTGAACCGCTTTACACCATTCCCATACCCCAGTTGATTGTTTTTCTAAAACCAAAAACTGTCTGGACGCAACCAATCTGTTCAAGGTTCTGAAGAGGAACAGCTTCAAGCTTCAAGCAAATACGGCAACACCAATGCTTTGTCTAGAAAAAAATCGTGACAAAATCCTGGGCCATACCTTAAATAATGACTCTCAGCTCAACTCATATAGGAGCATGCACAAAATGATGATCATGAGTAATGCAGAAGACGAGTTCCAACAGAAAAAATCACAATAGGATTACACTTGATATTTTAACAGCTTCTCCTTCACTGGGGGCTCTAGAGCAGACATGTACTGGTCCCATGCTCCATTCCTGAGCATCTGTAATCACATTCGTTGCCAAACAAGTATATAAGAACCTATGTTGCAAAAAGTTTCTTATGCTAAGAAATGAATTTACGTTGACCAGGTAGATAATGATATAGAAGAAGATCCCCAAAGGAAAACTAAAATAGGGCATAGTATAGGAGGACACGGAAGAGCAAAAGCAGAAAATGCCCCTTGAGTCTTTGTGTTGGAAATTCTACACTGAAAAGTTCTGAACGCACATTCAAGAAAACAGAGTAAATGATTTCAATTGTCTTAGAAGAAATAATACCAAAACAAATCCATTTTGCTTTAGGTTTTAAGTTGTTATTTTCTTTTTCTTTTCTAGTGAAGCGGGAGAAGAGAAGGAGATGATAGGGTTTTCTTTCCCACTTCTGTTTTGTCTGCACAAATTTGCAAGCTTCGAGTCCTTGTTTTGCAAAAAAAAAAAAAAAAAAATCTGAAAGGGATTTTAAGTAGAATTAAAAAATAAAAATAAAAACGTATAGCTTGCACCACATTACCAAGGGTTATCAATATCATTTTCAAAATATTTAAGTTCCATGACATTAAATGTGGCCAGAATTTATTAGGTAATCATATCGATCAAGTGAGATGTATTTCTGACCTGTTTATAACCATGCAACACCTGGCAAACTTCATTGTGTAGCTCTTCACTTCTTATTTCCTACCAAAATAGGTTTCCCAACAATAAGATTTGAAATCATTTCAAAAAAATAACTCATAAAATACAAGCAGCAACACCATCCTTACATGCCAACTTGCAATCGCTTTGCACATGAAAACAAGTGAACTTACAGCTCCAGAAGGATTTGCTCTGACCTGAGATGTTTAGAACACCCAAACATAAGTTTCATTGTGGATAGAATTCTAATGAGGAATTCCGAGAGAAAATGCATACCATTGCACAAAGACCTCGGAAGGCATCCTCCTTCTCAATATCATCATGTATCCTGCCAAATGTTAATCCTTGTTAATTTTATGATTCCATGAAATGTTCCATGAACAGAGATGAAGCTGGGCTACTACTTACATGGACAAAGCAATGCACCATGATTGCATGAAATGCTCCATATGTGGTGATACAAGATCAGGACAAACCCATGCAAGCCTCCCAAGTGTGATTGCACTATTTTCTACAAGTGACTTGTTGTTCAGTTCCTGCTCAGCACCAGAATCATATGATAAATATCACAAAGCCACATGTACACACAATAATAACACGGAGACCATTACCTCTGAATGTTGAAGAATTGGAACCAAGCATGACATGACAGTCATAACAATAGGAGAGATTTCTTGACGAACCTGATGTTATAAGAATCACAAAAACAAAAGTCGGGTTACCATTGGAAAAAATGAAACCAAACAAGAAGGGAGCTGAGCAGCAAGTCTTAGTTGTATCAATGGAAGTGCATTTTATGTCACTTAGGTTCACCCAATATCCTCTTTGGCCAGTTCCCAACTGGATCTTAAAGTTTCCAAGCTGTTGTGAGCGGATGGAAGAAGAAGAAGATGAGGCAGAAAAAAAGAAGATAACAAGGTACTAGAATTCATTACAAGCCATAATTTTCCAGCCGTCACCATCAGCAATTTTGACAATAGGACCACATCACAACAATATTGAAACTATTCAACCCAGTGAAAAAAATAAAATTGCTATAATGGTAAAACATACTTCACTCTTACATTCTACTGAATATTAGTTGACTATACATAACAGCCACCTACTAACCTTAACTGCTAATTCTCCAATAGCCCAACATGCATTATTTGCTACTGAAATGGTTTCCTTCAACTTAGGAGTGTTCTGCATGAAGCATTTTTTTGTTATGCAAATATCCTACTGACCAAATATAATGGCTCATAAATCACGACATGAGATTCACTAACCAGTTGTTTGGCTGCAACATCGAGAAATTCGGGCAATCGGGGGCGCAAATGAACAGCACATACCTAGATCAAAATCACATTAAGGCATTGATATTTACCAACTGTAAAATAATGATGAAAAAGCCATGAGCCAGTCACTAATCTTATGGCCCAGGGTTACCTAGCGGCTTTTTCTTTAAGCAGTCACAAGAGTAAACTTCCCTGCTCCGAATACTAGCAAGGGAGTGTGGTGGAAAGTTAAATTCAATCAGCAGGTAGGTGTAGTTCCCACTTACTTTTCCAAGGTCCCCAAGGAGTGCAAAAGCACTTTGTCGAACATCATAAGCATCATCCATGCAACATTGCAGAAGCAGGTCCCTCAAATTACTTTGTGAAACCTGCAGAAGGAACTTCATGATATTATTCAACAAGAAAGACATATTTGCAGCAAATTGCAGTGATTATGGAGCATCAAATGCACAAATTGAATCCATGGTCAGCAAGCAAATATACGGGTTGCACTACACCAGTGCTATATCCAGGATGAATAAGCAAATTGCTAAATCTTATACAAAATACTCCTTTCTACCCAAAGCAAATTGTATTCCAAAGCCAAAGCAACAAATCTATATATTCATTGAACACAATAATTCTTTGCATTGATTCACAGGATAACAGAAAATCGCTTTGCACTTTTTTTTTGGCAGAAGTTGAACCAACTTCTTAAAGAGGAGAACAAAATGAGCAATTTCACAACAGAAGAAAAGGTTTAGAAGAAGAGGAGTACCAAACTTTCTATCCCACTACCAAGACCCTCGGCAAGTCCAGAGAGAAGATCTAGAGAGCAGACAATGAATTCTTTATCATACGGAAACCCAGCTGTAACAGGATCAACCTGCAATAAAAGTTTACTGTATCTCTAATAATAAAGAATCCAATAAAAGGAGCAAGCAAACAAAATCGTAATATAGGCAACTAGAAATAAGGAAATCTCAACAGGGCAAGTCACTTGGCCACAAGGGATATTAATTCTTTTTATAATCATGGAGCCGTGAGTTGACCAAGCAAACTTTTTATTTGCATTTGTTGGGCAATGGAAGGAAATAACCAAAGTCATAATCAAGCATTGTAGCCTATCAATACAGCACAACATGTGCAGGCTTTGCCTCTTGATAACGAGGAGCCAATTGTCTTTGGTTATCCCATCGCTACTAAAATAGGCAAAAAAAAAAAAAATCAGGCATAATTGAAAGTTGAAACTACATAACATGGCTATAAGTGCATAAGCTGTAAAGCAGGAGAGGCCAACACTCAATAGCATAAAGTACAATCAGAAATAAAAACCACTCAAAAGCATAAACGAATTACTGTGTAAAATTAATCATCATTTCTGAATCATAAACACTGTATAAAAGAATTTGCTCAAACCTTTGCTGACTGTTGGCCCTGGATTATGGCTATGCACCTCTGAAATACAGGCTCAGCAAATTGAGAGAATCCTGTACCCAATGCCTGGAGGAAACACAAAATGTGCATCTTTAAACACACTATAGTCTGAGCAATGGATCTTTGAAGTATGCCTTAAACCCATGACCATAAGTATATATTGGGGTGGGATGATTATCAATCTTTATAACATATTCCCATCTTTCCATCAAATCTGAGAGCATCACTACAAGGACGCATCTCTCACTTCTTACATAATATTGACATCATGTGAACAGCAGTGAAATGAATAAAGGTCAAAAAAGTAAAAATTAATCACACCTGTGCTAGGGATGTAAAACACTCCAGCAGGGGAAAGAGATCTTTGTCTGCATTTGAAAGCTGCTGCCACTTTGCAATTAATGGGGGCATCAAGATTTCAAGATAAGCAGGCTGCAAATTACCAAGATAGTCAATTCAGTTAAATTTCCAGTAAGACTGTCAACTGCATGATCGCTTGAAAGGAGACTGGAGAGGAAATTAAGGGAACAAGAAAGGGGATCAGTCACATGGTGTTGAAACCTGATTCAGTTCTGCTCCAACGGCATCAGCTAGAGTTCCAATAGCATCATATACAATTCTAAGATTCCGTCTCTGGATCAAATAATACATGTAAATGAAAGGAAGTCTAACAGTAACCATAAGCTGTTAATGAACTTATTGAAATCAACCAAATTACATCCAATCAATTTAACAGTAGAGGAGCTTTAGTGTCAACAAGGAACCTGATATTTCCCAAAAGCACACATGAGGTGCTGCAAAATAATCTCTAAACGTGGTGCCAAGTCTTCAGCAGCCTCCTGCAAATGCAAATAAAGCATTAAGATCTATGTAAATAATTTAAAACAGAAGAAACAGTTATAATGAACCTATTGGAAGAACCTCTTCTAGTGTCGCAAAAGCAGAACAAGCAGCCTCTTGCACACGCTTGTTTGTATCCAATATTCTTCGTAGAAGACCCATCAGAACTTTGTCAAATTGTTCGTAGCCTTTCTGATGGCCATTTTCCTGGATAGATAAGAGAAGAATTTTCAACTGAATAATCCAGAATCAAAAGCGAAAACTGAAGGTAATGCAAACCAATGGATCATTCATCCTTATAACGATAAGCAAGGTAATAAAAATGAAGAGAATATAGACAGGAAGCAAACACACTTGTTGAGAAATACTGCTGCCTAACAAAAATGGACCATACCTGAACAATGTATTTGCTGAATCGGGAAACTGTCCAACAGGAAATGCTCCGTATGAGGGGGAACTTGTCGTCTAATAGAGGAATGAGAAATTCCACAATCTGCATGCACCAAATACTTAAATTTCTTGCACTGATTCAACATTCTGAATCACCAAATTAGCAAAATATCACCCTACTGTAAAGGAAAAAGATGAAAGTGTAAAATGGCCTAACGAAGAGGATTGAGGGATAACATAAAGAAGATATAAGCATTATCATCAAGAATACAGCAGATGCAAAATCACAAGACCATTTCTAAAGAACAAAACTTCACTGGGAAAGAGAGAGAGTGGCTTGAAGACATGTACATGGATAAGAACAAGAGAAGAAATGATGAAAGCACAAAAAAAGAACGCTATGCATTAACTGCAAAAAGCACCAGAAGGCCACCATCCACCAAATATATAGTTTCCCAAAATGTCAGAATTGATCTCTGATAACAGACTCTCAATGCCTTCAAAAGTCAATCATTTCTCTTTCCATACTGAACTAGTTATGAGAAATACTTAACTGATTTCCAAGAAAACATAAGTCATAGCTGCATCAATTACACTCGAAACCTAGGTCTCATCTGCTTTAAGACTTTAAAAAATTATTACCTGAGACAAATGAGGATAAAGGCCATTAATGCAACCCTCAGCAACAGCACCAAGAGCCAAAACAGCTGCTTCTCTGTCTTTCCAGGATTCATCACCACTAGCAGCCAACTTAGCCTGCATATATTTTAAGATAAAATAGCTATTCAATACATGAGCATACAGATATAAGTATATAACTCTTGAATAATGAGATCCACAGTGCTAACATCATAATTATGGTTGAAGAAGATAACTAACAGGGTTCATAGTTTCTTTTCCAGCTCTTTAGGTGGCAAAAGCAGGACTCAAACTGAAGATCTACCCTCTCCCAGCTATGTATGGATGAGGAGCTAAATGACCATTGGTATAACTAGATCTATAGTATTACAGCTGTCACTATGCCAAGGAAAAACTGCACCGACACAATCCTTAAACTAACTTCCCATAGAAATATGTGCCATTAAACTTGTACACATAACACATCCACAATCCAAATCAACAGCTTAATCCAGGAACCATATGATCTTCTGATCAACCATGAGGACTAAGTGTTTCAACAGGTACTTCTGGCTAATAATAAGGAAAAGATGGGTAACAAATAAAGGGAATGGTACTTGGAGGGAGACATCTCTACTAATGCACAATGGAGATGAAAAGTAAAATACATGATCAGTTCCAATGAAAGTAATGCATCTAACACCAAAAAAGTTAGCTACCTGAACAACAGGCATCAATGTTGGAAGAATCTCATCTCCAAACACATTTGAGAGAATATCAAGAGCAGCTGCACTGCATTTCCTTAAATTCCACACATTCACTATGTCATCATCCTGTAGTTATACCAAAATATTGATTTAGAAGAATTTTCATCAATGACCTTGTCTTTCTACACCTAAAGCACAACAAATTTAAATATGTTTATCAATCATAAACAATAGAAGAAAATTAAATAAACATGTTAACATTTTCGTGACTTACATCATCTTCTACACTATCCGATCCATGAAATCGTGATGTATGAAAACGAGGTTTCAGATCCTGCAGTGCAGAAATTATACCAAAGGAGAAAAAATATAGTTCAGATGCAGTACTTCAAGCATGAAATCAGTCAAGAAATATAACAATCCAGAACACCCTGGAATTGAACAACAAAAATAAACAGAACGAACCTGATCCCGGTCTGGGAGAGACTCATCTTCCTGCAACAATGAATTCATGCAAGGTAAATCATGAGTTATAACAAATACCAATAAGAATTGTCCAAAAACATAAAATGACATAAAGGAGTTACCTCAGCCTCGGCAAGTGACTCGTCATCATCAGCATAAGCCATGTTTGACAACAAAACCTGAAAAAGTTTGGCCACAGGTTTGAAAAAAAAAAAAAAGTTGCATGTGGCTCTGAAGAAAGTAAAGTTCAGTAGAAAATAAAGTAACAAATGTATAAAGCCCTTATGCAGTACCGGAATCAGACGAGGTAAGAATTCTCTTAAGTTCTCAGGCGGTAACTGAGCATCACAGTATGCAGACCTGCCAATTATAACCGATATTAAGAAGGAAGCATGAAGTGAAAGACATATAAATAGTTTTAAAACTGGAAGGCATGTAAATATTCTGCAGCAGCAAATAAGCTCACATGCAGCTTAAGTTGCATCTACAAGGTTAAAGAGAATCAAATATTACTCTTGCTAATCATGCTTAAAACAGATTGGAAGAGGAGATGAAATGCTAACCAGGCCAACATTTAAGATTTAACACCAGAAGACGAGTAATTGTTAACCTAGAGAGCTAGTTTAATGAGTGGGCCTATAATTAACTTTGCAGCAGACCATCAATTCCACCATCACATCAAGAATGCTACTGGCATCACCACCATCACATCAAGAATGCTACTGGCATCAGCACCATCACAACACCACCATCATGTTACCACTGATGCCATTACTAATTCACTACCACAAGGTCTCATACATTTTCACCTATGAAGTTCATAAAAGATGTTATCCAATCATAGCATAATCAGTTGCCCTCAACATTTATTCTTGATAAATTCTATTCATGTAAATCATTAAACTCTCTTTTTTTCCAATCGCAGCCCAAGACAACAGTAAATTCAAATTTTCATTTTTTTTTTAATCTAAGAAGTTGACACTGGAGAAAGGCACGAAGGAAACGTTTTCTCCAATCCCAATAAATACCACCACTTGCTCTTCCGTTTCGTATTGCCAACAAAAGTTTGAAACGAAAACCTATAAATGCAAAACATCATCCCAGAACTACAAAATAAATAGATTAGGGGGCAATCTACATCCCATCTCATACATAATGGATCAACTTCAAGGTATCATGGTGTCTATGATCAATTCTCCAACCCAAGATGTCAAAGCTAAAAATTTATCAGACATGTAGTTCATGGAATGGAGGTTTACCAGAATTCACAGGCCTCAAGAGCCACTTCATCATCACGATCCTTGTTGACTTGCAAGATATATTCAAGTACATCTCTCAAATGTGGCTAAAAATAGTAAAAAGGTCACATCAATGACAAAAAAAAGCAGGATGGGAGCATCAAACACTATGGCACGATAAGGCAATCGTGTAACATAAAACTAAGACACTCAATAGTGCAACACAGCAAGCAAAAACAACTAATCAGCAACTAAATACTGAGGTAAGAGACTGTATAAGTAAAATCAGAAAGAACATACATGAGATTAAATTAGCATGATACCCACCTCCAAGAAAGATGGTCGGACCTCAATTAGCTGTACAAAAGCTGCACAAACCTGTTCAGCACAGAGTTAAAAGATGTATGGATCAGCACAGCCAAACTTGTGAAACAGAAAAGCTAGATTCTGAATAATTACCAGAGATTGTATTTGAATTCTTTTTCTGTGCTAGAAACAGAAACATGATATGATAAACACATCCCGACAAAAACCATAAATAACCAACAAACTGTACCTTTAAAACCCCATGTTTTACAGTCAGATTTCAACAACCAATACCATATAAATAAAAAATAAAAATAAAAATAAAGAAGAAGCAGCTAAATTACTATTTTGATGCAAATTAGATCCAATCGCAGTGAGGTAATGAGAAAGTATTCACCAATTTTCGCACTTCTGCAGCCTGGTCATTAGCAAGAGCAAACAAGCCCTGAAGATATTGATTCATGGATGCATATAGAGCCTGAAAGAAATTAACATATGCATTTACCAATTGCCTCCGAGTATCAGAATAACATCTAGCAATAAATGGGAAACTAGATGAATGAAACAATTATACTCACAGCAGGCATTAACATAATGTATTGATTCACAGATCCCAATGCAAGCTTTCTCAGAGAAGTATGAGGTGACTGGAAAAACTGTTCATAGCAAAACCAGGTTAACATAATTAGCTTAACAGAGATCATAAAACAAGAAGAACCTCCATAATGATCTCAGAACTCTAAGAAAACACCCATCTAACCTGATATAATCGAGGAAGGATAATCTTAATGGGTCGATCAGATAACCCAGGCACATCCAAATCCAAAACTTGAGGAATATCCTCACAAATCTGCATCGCCAAAGCATCTTCTTAATACGGTAGTTATCACTACTCGACAAGAAGAAAAACACATTCACTAATTCATATCTTTCCCACAAATACATTCTTATAAGCATTTTTCTCCTTGTCCGCATTCATCAACATCACAAACTGGAGAACAAAACTAATAACTAATAACTTAACTTACATAAAACCATAACTTAATCAGCAAAGAAGCAATCAACAATACCTTCGACAGAGCATCCATAGCGCCTTCCATGTGATTAAGATCATTGCTATCCAAACAAGTAATGAGAGCTTGCAATAACTCCGGCCATCCCAAAATCCCTCCTAATTGAACGACAACACTTATAATCGTCCCCACGGTCGACCTTATATGCCTATCAGCCGCTCCTAAACATGGCAACAACTCCGATTTTATATACTGTTGATACGCAGGCGTCATGGTTTTATACGCATTTCTTAGGTTATTTTTCAACAACAAACCCGCCGCCTGCCTAATCTCCACCGATTTCCCCTACAAATTAAAAAAATTATAAATTAAATTCAGAAAATACCGGTAGTCTCCGCAATCAGGCGGAAAATGGATGAAAGAATCGGTTACCTCGGCGCGAGAGAGGATGAAGGCAAGGTAGTTATTGAAATCGGGGAATTGAGAGAAGTGTTGAAGTTGTTGCCAAATCTGTGACTTGTCGGCTGTTGAAGTTGGTGAAATCTGATGCTCTAATAATCCACAGATCTCCTTGAATCCTTCTTCCTGTGGCTGCCAAGTCGCCGCCGCCGCTGCTGATGCCTCCATTAATCTAATTCTTGACGACTTTTTGCAAAGAATGAGGAGGAGGAGGAGGAGTGGAGAAGTCTATCTCTCTTACTGTGTGGATTCTTTCAGGGCAATATTTTCTCTGCTACAACTAGTACAGTCTACTTCTATCATGTAAGAGAGAGACGAAGAGTTTTGTTTTGCCGAGTTTCTGGGTTTCGGCGTGGGGGCGAGGTGGGGGAGTTTTGTGCGGTGGGGTACAGGGGAAGTTGTGTGTGAGCACTCAGCACCAATGGGTTAATGATTGGATCGGACCATTATCAGGAGAATTAAATAAAGGAATTTTTGAATCACTGTTTCATTTTATTAGTGCAATTCACAGTTGCTAATTGCGATGCTGTAAGGCGTTATTGATTTTGTTGTCTTTCTATGGATTTTTTTTTTTTTTTTTTTGGTTGAGAGGGATGGAAAATTCATTATTATATTTGTTTAATAGTTTCTAATATCTAAATTCACAATCTTATCTTATGTACAGTTGAAACAGTTAGGATGAGAGGAGTGATAAAGTAGAAAAAATTATCAAATGAATTAGAATAGGAGGAGTGTGAAGTATTATGTCAAAAAATAAAGTTAAAATCATTTAAGTTTCTTACAAATTTTTTTTAAATAATAAATAAAATTCTTATGAAAATATGTCTTAAAAACGATTAAATATCATGTTTTACTTTTAAGTTATTGAGATTCTAGTAAAATAAGACATGGACTATTAATCTAGTCTATTTTATTTTTAAATTATTATTTTTTAGATAATTTAAATCTTTCAATTTGATTCAACCATTAAATATCAATTAAAATTTGACCATTAACTAAAACGGGAGTTTTTTTTCAAAGTAAGACACTTTTAAATCTTATTTATCATGATAGGATAGTTTTAAACTTATTTATTAAAGTAAGATATTCTGTGCCACATAGGAACCATCTCATTTATGTAACTTGACATGTCATTTTTTTAAAATCATTTTGTTAAATAAATTTTTTATAATCACACGTTAATCTCTTCTTTTTTATTGTTATTGTTTTTTTATTAATCTGTTCTTCTTCTTATTATTATTATTATTAGTATTAGTATTTTCTTATCTTTCTCTAACTTTTTTAACTATATAATGATGTAAAATGAACTCAATAATTTTTAAATGAATATCAATTTAATCTCTTTCTCTCGCTTCAACTCTGCCTCGTCTAACGGTGACCCAACGTACAAAATTCAAACAATCGCAACATTAATAATACTTGAAGATGAGATATAATTAAATAAAATTTCCTAAATTCATTGATTATTTTTTAGTTGATAAAAAAAAAAAAAGAACAATAGAGATGATGATGAAAACAAAGAAAAAAAATTCCTAAATTTGTGTTTGCTTGAATTATATAAATTTCAGAAGCTAGGTTTTTGGTTGCTTGAATTTTTTGTCAAAACATCAAGTTGCTGGACAATATTTTATTCATGGCCTTTAAGAAAGAGAGGGGAAGGTTGTTTTGCTTTGGCTGCCGTTTAAGGCACCATCCTTTTCTTGGTTATGATGGTTGAATTGAAACCCAATCTGTAAAATCAAAATGCCATCTTTGCGATGCTGATAATTCTTCACTTTCTTCTTCTCTCAATGGAACCGTGTCTTTCCCCTGATCACAAACAAAAGAATGTTCCAAAAGCATCTTGGCAATCCATCTTTGTGTAGGATCCTTAACAAAACACTTTATGACACAAAATCTCTACCTTCTTGGGATAAATCTTCAGGTATTGTTGGCAATTCATCACCTTCTTCGATTCTAATCAACAACACAAACATACTGATCCCTGGCTTGCAATTCCACACTGTTTCCCTGTCAGCACCAAATTGCTCTACAAGCTTTATTTGAATTTAAGACTAAAATAACTCATAATCCTTTTAGGATTTTGAATTCATGGAATGATACCAATCATTTCTGTCAATGGCATGGCATCGGGTTTTGTGGCCGGCAACCCCTAAACCTAAAAAAATGAATGTTTTTTTTATTTTTTTCTTTTAAGAAAAGAGATCTTGGTATTTTTATGTTTTTTAATTAATAAAACACTTAAAATAAAAATAAAGTTATTTAATATAATGAAATTATTTTTCAATAATTAAGAAAAAAATGATGTGAATGAAAACATCTTATGTGGCAAAAAAATGTTTTTATTTGAGAAATAAGTTTAAAAGTACAATTTAATAGTGTATCGGTTAGGGAAAAAAACTCCTAAAACGGTCAATATGACATTCTTTTGCACAGCTTGAATTTTTTTAAATGGCAAAACTATTTATAAAAAGAAAAAATTATTAAAAAAGTCAAAACCAGAAAATTGAGGTTTTAAAAATGACGCATTATTTATTGTTTACCTTTTTAAAAAAACAGTATTGTGTGTCAAAAAAAAAATCTTAGGTTACCTAAAACGATATGGTTTTGAATTTTAAGGTTAATGTTCAAGGTTTGATTGTGAGTGTTAAGGATTCAATCAAATAGAATGACATAATTTGTCAAGAAAAAAATAATGGTTTTAAAACAAAACAAACCAATTTGATAACTTAAATCTTATTTTATCTGTACTCGATGCTTTAGGGGTAAAATATGCCATCGAACCTTTAAAAAATACAACATACATGTGAGTGGCACCACCTGCAAGCTTTTCAAAGCACCAATAAAATTGCAATTATTGCTATCAAATTCTACAAAAATATATTTTAAAATCACTTACATTTCTTATGGAAATATATTACAAATAATCGAAACCCATATAAGTGGCACTACGTACAAACTTTTCCAAAAACAATTTGAACAAGGAATCAGTTTATTTTTTATATGACTTTTGTAAATTAATTTAAGTTGTTTTCTAATTTTTGACTAAGGAAAAAATATTATTATATTTAGTTAGAAATAACTTGACTTGACTTAAAAGTTTGGTGCAAAATTGAATCAAAATTTTGCTTTAATCACGATATAAATTTTTTAACTTCTAACTTATAGATTCTAATTTATACTACATTTCCTCCATAAAAAAGTTGTTTCTGCTCTTTTTTACCAAACATGTTTCAATTTTAAAGTTATTTTTTAACTTATTTTTTGTCACGAGTTGTTTATAAAAAAAAAAACTTTTGAATTACAACGATAAAATCAAAGATTACTTTTTATAAGTTAAACCGAACAAACAAATAGCATCAATATTTCTTTTTAATTAACCACGTAAGAGTTTCCTATAACAAAAATCAAGCAATGAATTCTCTTTTAATTCTTCTTAGGTTATAATGACACATGTGGCTCGCAACCTTCCCTGAAAAATAATTACATGTATATTTTAAAACCCTTTGTATTTTTAGACTGTGATTGTTTTTTAAAAAATAAGTTTCAGGAATTTATTTTCTTTATTTTCTCCCATTTTTTTATATTTGTTTCGCGTTTAGAGAAAAAGTTAACGGAATTTAATAAGCTATTTTTTAAAAAGTGTTTTCTCAAGTAAAAAAAAAAAGAAAACATTTTCTCTCTCTCACGAGTCGTCTCACTCCTGCGTTACTCACCTCTCTCTCGATATATTTTAACAATTTTTTTCTCTCGTCTTCTTTTTATTTAGGATATATCAAATTAATTTTTAATTATTTCTTATCAATTATAATTAATTATTTAATCATTTTTCTCTATTTCTACTAATGTTTGATTTTTCGATTTATAAATACATTAAATATTTTTAAAAACCATTTTAACACTTTAAAATTATTTTTATAACAAATATTTCAGTAATTTATCTCTACTTTTTTCCAATTATCCCAAACACCATCAAAATTATACTTAAATGATTGAAAATTATTATTACAAGACTAAAGTCATTTGTGAGAAATTTGAAACTAAATAATTCATTAATAAATACATTATTTTCTCAATAATATTTATTTGCAACTAAACCAATAACTTGTGAGTAATTTTAATTAGTTGTAAAATTTTATTGGTAATTGTAGTCAATAATTAGTTATAAATTATGTCAACATTAATCTTTTAAAACCAAATGAATAATTTTCTACAAATGATAACTAATAATTTACAAAACTATTTTTTAGACTAAATTATCAGTTCAATTTAAAAAAAAAAAAAAAGAATTCTTAATTGAGATACCAAAAATAACAATGCTAGAATTACTTAGAAATTTTTTTACTAAATGTGAATATTAACTTGATTTTGTTCCACGTAGTTTTGATGTCTCTGGTTTAATGGTTAAAAAAATATATTTTATTTTATAATTTTTTGAATTTATTTCTTAGAGTCGGTATTTATAAAATTTTCTAAATGCATCTTATATTGTGAGATTGTGAATATGCACGGTTAAGGTTCTCTCAAAACTCGTTGATGTAACGATTGCAATCTGTTTTTGTGTTTTAGTTTTCTAAATCAAACAAAAAGTTAAAATATATTTTTTAGCAGTTTTTTCATATAATTATCAAATATTAGAAAATATTTTTTTGAAAAATAACTTCCTAAAAAATAGATTTTTCAAAATTATTTTTCTATTAAAAATTATTTTTCATCAAATAAACAGAATATTAAAAAATACATTACAATAAACATAACATTGCCTCAGTATATGCAACACCACTTACCAGCCCTACCCTTTTAACGGCAGCTTGGCCGAGAGAGAAATTAAATAAATGCAAAAGCATCCATGCTTTTTTTTTTTTTTTTTTTCCCTCTCAAAACATAACTAGACGAAGAGTTTACCCATTTGCATAGGATTTACTTAGGCTTTTATTTTTAGATTCTAACAACTCGTGAAAAATGTTTATGTTTATATTTACAAAACATTAATATAAAAAACACAAACAAACACTTAACTAAAAAGTAAATAAAAAAGTTCTTATTATCACGACACCTTTTTTTCTTGATAATTATTGATGATTTATATAATAAAGTAAATAAAATTCATTTACATCGCCACTTAATGCATCAACAAAACAAAATAAAAATCAAGTAATATATTACTTTAATTAATTCCGAAAGAAACAAGAAAATAAAGAGCGCACTCAAGAGAAAATCAACAATATAGCATCACATTAACAAAAAAAAACTAAAAGATTTAGGATTTTTATTACTTATGTCACTATTTACTTACACTCGATACATTATTCATGCACTTTTTACTCAGGCTCGAGTGTATTATGCAATGACATTTTTATAATTTTTAAGCTATTTTTAAGTATTTATATATAGGCTTTTCAAAAGATTTTATTTTGATCTTTAATTTTATTTGTGTTACAATTTAGTTCCTATATGCAAAAAGAAAAGAGAGAAAGCCATGGTCGGTTATAATTCCGACCTCTTTTGTGGTCTATTTTGTAGTACAAAAAGGAAGAGGAGAAATTTTGTTTTATTTAAAAAGGAGAGCGTGAGTTATGAGGGGAGGAGATGATTCCTTTTTACCCCCACAAAAAAGTAACTTGCATTATTATTGTTTTTTTTTTTGTAATCTTAGAAACTATTCCTAAGAAGGAACAAATACACTCATCTGATTCTCTGCTAAGTAAGTTTGCATTGATTGTCACAGTTGATATCTTTTTATTTTTTGTTCCAAAAGTACATATATTCACGCTCATTCTTCATAATGGAGAGAAGGTCAAGGAAATCGTATTGATTGCAACTTTCTCAAAATGATACTATTTTTTATACTCCGATAAATATTTTCAAAAACCAACTACATTCTCGACTAATTTAAACACGTAATTAATTACTAGCAAAAATCCAAAATCATACACGGACAATAGTTAAAGCACCTACACAAACAATACATAAAACACCAGAGTTGATTTGCATTCTATTTTCATTATACAATGGAAAGATAAAAAGACAAGACAATTTGTTTCTATTGTTGAAAATACAGTATATAAAGACTAAAGGGCATACTCCCATAATGAAATCCCTTCCAACGAGGGAGGTTTAAGACCTCTTACAATCCGATTTGGTATTGGACATATGCAGGAATATTGGATTTGATTGTATACAGAAGAAACATTGAGAAAAAGATCCTCAAGCGAAATCCCTTATATACGGTATTAAAAGATTTTTTATATATTTCTCTATTTACTTTAGATCAACGAAGAAAATTTTCTGATCCATATCAACATTTTTTTATTTATCCATCATTTACTATGCACACTTGATCTTTTTATTATACTAACTCATGAGTAAATATAAATTAACCTCTCTATTTTCGAGAGACAAATTAATTAGCATCTATTATTTAAAAAAATAATTATTCAGTTACTTGATCAGTACTGTTCAAATTTAATTTAATATTATTTTATTGTAAAAAATTAACATTTTTTTATCAACTCTTTCATGTATTTTACTTTTTTAAAACAAAAAATCACAATAAATTGGAAAAAAGAAAAATAATTAAGTTATATGAAATTTTAAAAATACAAGGAGTAAATAATTAATTTTGAAAAAAAAACTAATTAGACTAATTTATAATTTACTAATATCTCACCAATCAAAAAAATGCAATGAGGAAATTCATTTCCATATTTGGATACATGATGGTGAATAGTCATGAGAAATTTTATAATACACGAGGAGTAACTCAGTAGCATATACGAGTAGTTACTCTATAGATCCACTTTGAAGAGAGAGATAGACACATACAAAAAGAAAAAATCACATCCAAACCCACCAAAAGTGATAAGAAGATTTCCACGTTCGCATAATTTTTTTTAATTTTTAATTTTTTTATGTGTCTATCTCTTTATTCAAAGTGATTTTATGATCCATATATCCAATTTGAAGAGAGAGATAGACACATATAAAAAGAAAAAATTACATCCAAACTCATCAAAAGTGATAATAAGATTTCCACGTTCACATAAATTTTTTTAATTTTCTCTTTCTTATTTTTTATTTTTATTTTTATATATCTATTTTTTTAAAATAATTTTTTAAAATAATTACTATACATATTACTAATTATTTTTTTTTGTATATTATAAAATTTTTCCGTAGTCATGCAGGCTTCCGCACAGATGCACAATTTCACAATCTGACAAATAGACATTTTTACGGGCCTAAGACGATTAGGCCCAGAACCCAAACACACTGGCGGATCCACACCGACCTATCCACCCGACCCAAATCTATAATAAAAACGTTCAATGGTAAATCCCGGTTAAACCCGACCCGCTCAAATTTTTCTCTCCCTGCGCGGCTGGGTGACTCCCGTCTCTCCTCACACACGCAGAACACGACAGCGTTCTCTCAAAATCGCAAGGTACGTAATTTCTATTTCATTTTTTAAAATCAATCCCCTTATTTTTCTTGCTGATTATCATTAGGGTTTCTTTAATTAAATTCAGGTTTTAAAGGGTTTCGTTCTTCGATAATTGAACTGAATAACTATGTTTTAGGGTTTCTTTTTGGGTTTTGTAGGGTTCGTTTTAGGGTTTCGATTATTCGATAAGTGAACTGAATCTTTATATATTGTGCTTTGAATTGCAGTTTTCTAGTTTTGTGCGAAAACCATGGATGTTGACGTTGATCACTATAATGTGCTGGGGCTACCTTCTGGAGAGGAAGGGGCGAAGCTAACTGAAAAAGAGATAGCAAAAGGTTATAAACTTAAGGCTTTAGTGTTGCATCCAGATAAGAGGCCAGATGATCCGAATGCGCATGAAAATTTCCAGAAGTTGAAGTTGTCATATGAGGTTCTTAAGGACGAGAAAGCCCGGAAATTGTTTGATGATCTCCTTCGAGCTAAACGAGAGCAGCGTGCCCGTCGGGGTCAGCAGGATGCGAAGCGGCGGAGGATGGTATCTGATCTTGAAGATAGGGAACGAGCTGCATATGCTGAAGATCCTGGCGAAGTGGAAAGAAGGAGAGTAGAAAAGATTGACAGGGAGTTGAAAGAACAAGTGGATAAAATAAGAGCTATGTTTGCGAATAAAGGTGTGCCTGTGGTGAAGAAAGAGACGGTGGGAGCAAAGAAGAATGGGATTGAGGAAGATGAGAAGAAGATACTTAATGTCAGATGGGAAAAAGTGGACAGCGAGGGTTATAGTGCAGAGAGGTTGAGAGAGTTGTTTTCGAAGTTTGGTGAGGTTAAAGATGTTGTTATTAGGAGTGGCAAGGAAAAGAAAAAAAGAGGTCAAGCTCTTGTTGAAATGGCAACTGAAGAAGCAGCTGTAAGTTTGTTGCTCCAATGAAAGTTTTGACTTCCGAATATGTACATTGGATTTGTGCAATTACTTATGTTGTTTCTTTTTTCTTGTTAGGTTGCTGCTTTGGGAAATGTGTACGGAAAACTGTCAAATCCTCTTCTAGTTTTACCTTATGGAAAAAAAGTTACAGCATCAACGATTCCTACGAGGGAATCTGATGACCTAAACAATTTTTCTGGGATTAATCATCAAGCTTATGAAGATAACATCTTAGGGAAGCTCCAAAAGGTAAGTTGGACCTTGAGATAATGCCTGTTTTTATTTATTTATTGATCTGGCTTTTAAGAGGAGCTGAGATTATGTGTATGAAACATAATTTGTGGGGAAGTTGTATGTTTTTCTTTTAATTTAAAATTTTTGTCTGCCTTTAGTCTATTCAGAGCTGTATAGATTAATGAAAACACACACATGCGTGTTTCTTTACCTTCTACTGCACTTGAATTATGTCTTCAGTTGGTGTTTAGAATCTTCCATAAGGACTAGGTTTTTGTTCTTTTAGGTGCTGAATAGAGCAATCATGGGCTGTCGCATGCAACATATAGTGTGTGCACAACGTCGGCTTAGGCAGTGATTTGAGCAAGTATTTGAAGCATCTCCTTGATGTTTGAGGTAGCTACGTTCTTGGATGATATGAGAGAAGGGTGATTGTGTGGTTGAATGTGACAGATTTAACTCTGCATGCTCTAGCATGGATTAGTCCTTCAGTTTTCTTTTTCTTTTTCTTTTAGGTTGGGCGGGGGGTGTGTGTGGCATGCAAGACCTTTTGAGATTTTTCTCATTTGGGATAGATAGCACAGTTGTGATGAATTTTTTAGCAAACCCCTCTTGATTAGGATAAGACTGTGGAGTGAGCTATGGGTGGTTATTCTCCCTATTTGGGAACTCTTTTTTCCCGTGTCCCCACCTCACAGGGAAGAAGCTATTCTGTTGGTACTCTTCATTTTGGGAGAATTGTAAGAAGAATGAGAAATGTCTGTGATACTGTGATGTTGGAACCTTTTGTGTCATATGCTGAGCCTATTTGCTTCATTTTTATGCAACAGATGACCATTTTCCTGATTTATCTGTTTTATAGAATCTAAGAAAGCGGTATCATACATCCTTGCTGTTCGTTAATTTGTTTGCATGCATTTGTTTCCTGGTTTGTATTTCTGACTTGCATCTCTACTTGTGTACAGGCTGCAGAAAACCAAAAGCGAAAGGCATAGCCGTTTATTCAGAGGAAATATCAGAAATGTGTATTTGTGGTTCAAGTCTTGAGCTAAGGGACCGTTTCCCATGTGATTGGAGCATTGTGGGGACTTCTAAAAAAGTTGTCAGAAATGCATTTTCTAAGCAAGAATGTGCTCCTAAAGGCCTGAAAAAGAAACCAATTATTGCACTTTCAAAGAAGTTGTCCCGCGCTCCAGATCTGAATTATTACTGTTCTTCATCTATTTGTATGAATCGTTGAACTTTCTAGTTTGGGTAAGTTCTTCAAAGGTGCAGAGGACTGGCTTTGAAGTTTGTACAGTGTATTATGCCTCCAAGCAGGTCTGCCCAAATTTGATCTGTTTAGAGGGGGATTACGAAAATACGTACTTCAAATAAATTGAGAGAAACCTTGATGTAAACAAGTAAAATTTTGCAGGCCATTCTAGAAGATAGACATATCATTTTATTTTTCATCAACCGCAATGCGATTTTTAAAGGTTGCAGTTCTATTCCCCAAGGTGGGATCTTCAGCCGTTGGAATGGAATCTATAAATAAGTGATTTGCAGTCTTTATATCTTGCAGTTTAAAGCTGTTTAACCTTGTTAGTTCCCTCAATCCTGCCACAATTTACAAGAAACCGGTAAGAGGATCTTTCCCGTGGGAAGATCGATTGGACACGTCTACCCTGTTCAAAAAGAAAAAAGGATATGAAGGATTATGCCCATTATTGGTGAAAGCTGCTCCGATGCTAAAGGACAGCTGCTGCATTGCTGAAAGCCATTGTCGTTGAGGAAAGCCATTGTCGTTGAGGACTCATTTAGTAGGAAGAAGGTTGATTCCTGAATCTGCGGATCGCACCAGCAGGCCATTGAGACAAAATGGTAGGATATCATCTGCAAATACCATTTTAGGCTTTACACAATAAAAAAAATTGGTTATTAATGAGCCTAAGCCATGATTATAGTAGCATACGGGTGCTTTGGACTACACAAAATTAGATTGACCAATGGATGCAATTGGATTGGATTTGACAATTGCATGCTCTTGGCAGGTGGATCGGACATGCACATGCTATTGTGGTGTATGTTTTTGCTTAAGTTAATTTTGGTATTTGATTTTTTTCCAACAATTTATTTTAGTCCCTATATGTTATTTTCATGACTTAGTTCTTATTTAAATTTTTTTGGTCCCGTAGTTTTTGGTATATGCAATTTAGTCACTAAATTATATTTTTTTTTGCAATTAAACCCTTATATAATATTTTATTTAATAAAATATGACAAAATTTGGTCAAGCTTTAGTCAACTAAATTTTCAAAAAAGAGTGATAAATAGATAATGAATAATGTAAAAAAATGAAAAATAATGATTTTGTCAGTGTTATTGGACAAACTTGTTCAACTACAAGGCGAAACAAATATTTTGCCTTTGGACTACCATTGATCGTTATACTTTTCAATATATACACCAAATATTACACAGCTTATTCGTTATTGTCCAGCATATCAAATGCATCTTAAGAAATATGCTAAACCCATAGTTCCCTGGCAAATCTAAAAGTTATGGAAGGCTATCCGATTTGTTAATTTATTTTTTTATTTTATCTATTAAAAAATTATTATATAAATCTTTAGTTGTTTCATACCAAATCATATTAGTTTATCTGTCAATTTATTACATATTTAATATCTAATAAAATTAATTTATTAAAAATATTCATTTTAATTCTTATAATTTTTAAGAAAAATTATTTTGGTCCTCAAAATTTAATTTTTTAAATATATTTTTAATAATTTTTTGGCCTTCAAAATTTTTGAAAAAAATATTTTTGTCTTTAATTTTTAAATTTTATATAATCATATCATTGTATGATAAAAAAATTAAATAAAGAGTAGATATCCGTACTCTCAAATCCCTAACACACACATATATATATTTCAATACTCATTAAATATTTAATAAGTATTTATTAAATTACGTAAAAGATTGAGTAAAAGAAGTATCCGTTTTATATTTGGTCTGTCGTCATCCTTATCCAAGGAAGTTGTAGAAGACCACGGAAGTAATAAAGATAATTGTCTTTCAATTACATTTTATTGATTTTTTTTTTTTGCTTTTTAATATTGTTTGTTGACGGTGGAACGGACGTTGAAGGTAGTGTTAGTGGTGCTGGTGATTTTTTGAGTTATGGGAAGTTGCCAAGTGATTATAAGATAATTTGGAAGAAGGAATATTTTCGGTTGGTTCTTGTCGCCTGCATTCTTCTTCTGATGTTACTCATTCTTGTGTCATTGTCTCACATTCGGTTTTTTCAGGTAATGTTTTCTAAAATTTAAACGGCCTCCTCGCCTTATTCTTTTTCTTTTTTGTTTATTTTGGTTAAATTTTGATAAGATGCTATGCAATATTTCTCAGTAAATGGACTTGAGTAGTTCTGGAATTGCTTGCAGTACCTGCATTATTTTGCTAAGAACTGTTGGTTTATTCGTGTTTGGCGAAAATATCGTTACTTCTGGGGTTTCATATGATGGTTTGTGTTTGGCATGCAGCTCCGTGTAGTAGAGAAAGTAAGCTAAGCGCATCATGTGCAAAACCACTATAATCAGTACTGCCTTGAAGTGTTTATATTTCTATGGTTTTAAAAATTGATACTACTTGTGTTCATGTCCCTTAGGTTGTCCAATCCCTGCTGCCAGTAACCCTGATGAAATATCTGTCCTGTTTCATGTATTACAACTAAATATTGATGGTGGGATTGGAATTTTGTTCTGATTTGATGTGAATCACTACTATTTGGTGAAAGTTGGAAATTTCCCATGATCCTCTGGCGAGTTTTATTTTTTATTATGCTTTCTGACTTTCAGGTGCGCTGGATTGTGCTTATTAGTGGTGCTGAAATGGATACTGTAGATATCAAATATGTCAAAAATGTAGGTTTGTGGTTGGGCCTGGAATTTTTTATGGATACCCTGTACCTCATCAGCCTTCAAATATAAGCAACCGCTCTAAGAAACTCTTTTGTTTTCTCATGGTCGTTGATGGGGTATCTCTCAATTTCATAAATAAAAATACTACTGACGGGCAGGATGATGATGGTGGAAGATGGGTTGGTGTCTGGCGTCTCGTTCTACTGAAGCATCCACCTTATGATAAGCCCATAAGAAATGGAAAAGTTCCCAAGATTTTGACCCACAGATTATTTCCTCAAGCACAGTACAGCATCTCGATTGATGGTAACGTGGAGCTTATAGATGATCCATTACTAATTCTAGAAAGGTACTACTTTGTATGGTCAAGTCGTGGATAATGTCTTCTACTCTTATTATTCTAAACAAAGATGGCTGTAGTAAATTGAACTTCTTAAAGTTTGATTCTCCTCCTCCTTTTGTTGTAGTTTTGGAATTAATGAAAACATTGCCCATTCAGTCGACCATGTAGGACTCAGTCAGTTCATGTTTCTGCATCCAAAGCTTCTGTTTTTCTTGGCCCTTAAGGCTCTGAGAATAAGATAAATCGCAGTCGTGACTCACTGGATTGGGAAGAAAACATGTGGGTTTGATGGTGCTGTGTGCTTAACAAGTTATTCTTGATTTATATTCCTCCATTGACACGATGACTTGAACCTGGATGGTGGGCAGAGCACTATTTCTAACTTCATATATGTGAAATTCTCATACAGCACAAAACTATATGCATTTTTGTTTATAATATAAATTGAAAGATAGAGTAATATGAACTATCTTTGATCTTCAGATACATTTGCCATTGCTCAGCACAAACATCATGTAAGCACATATGACGAGGCTGATGCCATTAGACGGAGGAAACGATATGCCCGACCCCTCATTGATCTCCACATGAAAAAATATATACTATTATGAGAGAATGGAAATGGATCCGATATTTGTTTCCTCAGCTAGTTTTTTGGGAGAAATTGGTCATATAATTGCTAGTCGTTGACTTGCGAGATATATGATGCTACTATATAAGCGCATCATGAGGTCATGGATTAGGCTGCCATCAAATTCGACAAGAAATAAAGAGGTTTTGAACTTGTCGTAATGGGAACTAGAGATGCAGCTGTGAGTTGAATGTAGGGTTTAACCATCTATGCCGTCTTTGAGGCAGCCATGTTCCGGGATGATACGAGGGAATGATTGTATCATCGAATAAGAAAAAAGCGAAATGATAAGTTTCTTATTTGCCGTTTATTGCACTCGAGCTAAGGGCAGTTTCCCATGCGAGCATGGTTGTTGGTGACTTTCAAGGGTTCTCAGATCTGCGTTTTCTTGCCAATAATTTTCTCTCCAAAAAACCCTGTCAAAGAATTTTCCTTGCTCTTCCAGTCTTAATCTGAATTTAAAACCTTTATATCCTTCCATTGATGCAGACCGTATCAGGAAGTTCCTGCTAGGAGCGGAGGATTGTCTTTTGAACTTCGTACAGTGTACCCCGATCTCATCTGGGTCAACAACCTGAGTTCGGAATTTCGGAAACGGATTGTAGAAAACATCCCCGAATTTATGGACCGTAAAACCTTGATGTTTACTTGTAAATTTTGCAGACTAATTTGGTAGACTGATAAATCCTCAGGGCAGTATCAGTCTATTTGTCTTAAACAGTAACGCAGAGACAAAGTAACTGTAGAGCTTGATTACAACGTATGACCTTGTTTATTTCTTCATCAAGAATCCAAATTTGTAGCGAAACAGACTGCGGATCTTTTGCTCAAGTTAATACTTAAGCAAAAACAAGAACACCACCATTATTGATGCCAGTGTTTTCTTTGGCACCAAGCTCAAGCTCAAGGCTTTACTAGAAAGGCAGAGGATAGTAGATAAAAGACAAGACAGGAGTCATGAAGGAGCAATCAGGGCCATAAATTTTGACTATTTGTGCCATCTAGCACCATTGGATTAATTGGGTCCTACGTGAATCCATACGTCCAAATTCCTGAGGTGGGGAAAAATAGGTGGAGCAATCCGGGTTCATAATATTTGGGCCATCTGTCATTATTCCTAGAAGTTAAAAAACCCAGCCCATTTATACTTTGCAACTGCGAGCTTCCCTATATTTTTGGGTTAAACCGATAAATGCGAAATCAAACGGAACGCATACGCAAATACTACGTACGAAGTTGCCATTACAAGATTACTTTCCAGATCTGTTGATCGGTGTAATTTACTTCTATCTTCATTAATTTCATCAAACACAAGCTTTTATTAATTTTTTGGAGCTCATTTTCTTGAGGAGGGATCGATTTGGGGACTAATAATAAGCTTATGGAGAGCGATATGCAACGGTCCGTTTCATTACGGGCAAACCGTAGAGGAGGAGGAGACTACCGTATCAATAATGATAAAAAACCATCAAATGCTAGAGGTAATTACCGTTGAATCACTAACTTTCTGACATGGGTTTTTGGTTTTTGTGTTTTTTGGATGAGTGTAGGTTTTGTTTTATTGATTTTGGCATTAATGGATTGGTGGGTTTACTTTCGTTTGTGAAAAAAGATTAGCATTTGGGTTGTTTGATTTAAGGGGTTTTGGGTTTAGCATTTGTACTTTTTGTTCGGTTTAGTCTGATCTTGGTTACGTAATTTATGGTGAAACAGATGTTGAAGTTGGTGGAGGTCTTTTTAGTTCTGGGAAGTTGCCAAGTGACTACCCGATGAAAATAATTTGGAAGAGAGGATTTATTCGGTTGGTTCTTGTCGCTGGCATTCTTTGGATGTTACTCATTCTTGTCGTGTTATTGTTTCATGTTTGGTCTTGTCAATCTTCTTATCTATTCTTCTCAGGTAATGTTTACTGTCATTTAAATCCTGCTAATGATTTATTTGTTTATTTACTTTTTGTGATTTATGCGCTTAGATGAGGTTTATCGGATGAATTGTTTTTCTCGGATTCTAATACTGCGTAATAATCTGGAAAGTCCAAGAAATGGATTCGATCTTGGAAGTTGTATTGCTATGTTTTTGTTATTAAATTGCTTATAGGGAACAGGCATGCTATAACTGTATCTTGCTTAACTGTTTTTGCGAACACGATACAATCCTGCTGTTTACATTATGCATGCGCAGTGAAAATTTTGTGTAGAAAACATAACTTATTTGTTAACTCGTATAAATTTGTGTTCTGTGGTTTGATATGATTGTTTGTGTTTGACGTGCAGCTATCTGTAATAAAGAAAGCAAGGTATATAACATTTTAAACACGTGGGGATTTGTGCCACAGCAACATCGTAAGAACTATAGTAAATCTATTCCTTGAAGTTTTGATTGCTATGTGATTTTTATAATTGATACTACTTGTCTTTGTATCTCTTAGGTTGTCCGATCCCTGTTATCAGTAACCCAGACAGAATACTTATTCCAGAGGGAAGAACGCATGACCAAATTGTTAAAAATCTTTCCTATGTTATGGAGGATAAGCCTGTGAAAGATGGATCTCAGTCATCCCCATTATTTGGAGGACATCAAAGCTGGAAACAAAGAGAGAAGAGTTTTAAACTAAGTTCTTCCATGAAGGTCAATATTAAATGCTCAAAGTAAAGTCAATTTTGTTGTTAGTTTAGTTCCTCATTCTTGAGAATAGCAAATTAATCTCTGGGGACATGCATTACAATTAAATAATGATGGAGGGAATTGGGCATTTTTGGATTTTATGTGAATCGCTTTTTCACAATTAGTGGAGTTGAAATTTTCTGTGACTTCTAGCTCTCCTTCAGTGAATTTAATTCTGTTTCTTATTTTTATATATGCTTTCTGCCTTTCAGGTGCATTGTGGATTTATGCATAATGGTGGTGCAGATATGGATCGAGTAGATATTAAATATGTCGAGAAATGTAGGTTTGTGGTTGCATCTGGAATTTTTGATGGATATGATGTACCTCATCAGCCCTCAAACATAAGCGAACGCTCTAAGAAACTCTTTTGTTTTCTTATGGTGGTGGATGAGATTTCTCTCGATTTCATAAAGAAAAATGTTACTGTCAGGGAGGACCGCAATGGGGGAAGGTGGGTTGGTATCTGGCGTCTGATTCTACTGAAGCATTCACCTTATGATGAGCCCAGGAGGAATGGGAAAGTTCCCAAGATTTTAACCCACAGATTATTTCCTCAAGCACAGTACAGTATCTGGATTGATGGTAAAATGGAGCTGATAGTTGATCCATTACAAATTCTAGAAAGGTACTTCCTTACATGGTTAATTTGCAGATCATGTCTTTTAGTTCTGGCATTTTAATTGCAATGGCAGAGTAAATGAACTTAAAACTTGAATGTTAGCCTTCTTTTTGTTATGCTTTTCATGTAAATTACAATGTTGCTTCAAGGTATCACATTTGTTGGTCTCATTCAGTGGATGCTTGAGTGTCCAAAACTTGCGTTCTCCTCTCAACCTTCTCTGAAAGCACTGATCACACGATAAAAAGCAAGCTTTTTTAAATCACCAGCTTGGGGGAGGAGGATATGCAGTTTATTAGTGTTGTGTGCTAGGTTATTCTTCAATCTATATTCTTCCATCAACACATCTTAAAAATGAACGATTTGCAGAATGTTCTGTTTCATTGTGTACATGTTCATGATATAAAAGGAATGATACTAAGTAATATGAAAGATCTTTGTTCTACAGATACTTATGGCGTGGGAAGAATACATTTGCCATTGCTCAGCACAAACATCATCGAAGCATATATGAGGAGGCGGATGCAAATAAACGGAGGAAACGATATGCCCGGCCCCTCATTGAACTCCACATGAAAATATATTATTATGAGGGGATGGAGCCATGGAGTCCAAAAAAAGTACTGTTAGTGGTAAGAAAGCATAACTTCCACTGGCTGTTGATTTGGGAGATATAACGTGTTACGTATAAGCATATGAGCACACAAATGAGGCCTATACTGTGATGATTATAGCGGTTTACGTAATTTTTTCTTGGTCGAATGATTGGTGTTGGTAAATTGCAGATGTGCCAGAGGGAGCTATTATCGTACGGGAACATACAGCTATGAGTAACCTGTTTAGCTGCTTATGGTTTAACGAGGTCAACCTCTTCACACCAAGAGACCAATTGAGTTTTGGCTATGTTGTGTACAGATTAGGAGGCGCATTCAAGTTCTTTATGTTTCCAAACTGCGAGTACAACTCGCTGTTTGTGTTGCATCCACACACCCGAGAGCATTCATCAAAGGTAGAGTGGGTAAAAAATATTAGCGAATTTGAGGGGAAAGGTAGCCGTATGAAGGAGAGCAGAGGTGGACTAGGCTTGTGGACTCCTTATCCTGGAGATCTCCATTCAGTTGTACTGCCAAAAGTAGAAAGAACATCAAAAGCAGGCTGAGGTTAATACATTTGGCCATTTTTAACATTATTGATTTTTTATTTTTTGTTAATTAGCCCCTACTACTTTATCAGCAAAAGAACAGCAAGGTAGAAAATCCAAATAAAAATGCTTTTATAAGTCCCGAAAACTTAAGGTCTCGTATCAGTAAAAAGATTAAAAAAGAAGGAAAAAAAACATAAAATGATGTCATTGTTAACTCATTATCCAACAAGAAGAATTTTTCGGTTGCTTTTTTTTTTTAAGGACGGTGTACAATATGTGGCACTCGGGCACCTAATAGATGTCCTTAAATTTGTTTACGTGTATTTTTGTTCCAAAAAAAAAATATGATTTTTTATTTATATATGTTTTAAAATGTTTATTTGGTTAAAGTTTTTAATACTGTATTTTTTTAAAAAAATCTCTATATTATAATGTAAGATTAAATTGGATATATTTTCTTTTTATGCCAAAAAAATATTTTTTAAAAAAATTATGTTAAAAGAAACTCCCACTTTTGGACAAAGAAAGTATTATATATTAAAAGATCATGTCAGTCAAACTTTTCTCAGTATGGGAAGATATTCACCATTTAGTTGATGAAGCAAATGGATGCCAGCATCTCCTGATCACTAGTCATTGGTCTGTTGCTCATTGGTGGAAGTGGTGGGAGGAGTTTTTGAGAGGTAAGTTTATAAAGCTAGCACCTGATCCTTAAGTATTAAGCAAAACATTACTACTACGAAAAGAAAAGGATCGAAGGACTTGTTTATTTATTTATTTTTTTGAACTTCATCGATCGAAAATTAATTCACAGCACCCCAGAGCATTCATCAAAAGTAGAGTGGGTAAAAGGGTTTAAGTGAATTTTAAAAGGGAAAGGTAGCAGTATGCGTAGGTCGATTAGGACTCCTTATACTGGAGATCTCGATTCAGTCAAAAGTAGTAAGAACATCAAAAGCAGGCTGAGGTCAATCCATTCGGCCAATTTTAACATTATTGTTGATTTCTTTTATTAATTAAGCCCGACTACTTGATTAGAGAAGGAACATCAAGGCCTAGCCAAGTTTTGTGCAATGTTTGTGGAAGCTTGTTGTTGTCGCCTGTATGATATAGAGATCCGATTCCCTTTTAACCTCATTTTGAAAGACCCTCATTCATTCTTTTTTTTTGGGGAGAGATTGCTGTTCGGGGTTTTTGTTTCCTGCCGGCTTCTTTTAACAAACTGTCATTTTCTAACTCTTTTTTCTTTTTACACGAACGGTCCTTTGCTAATGGCTGCCTTGGCATTTCCTTATGAGTGCCCTAAAGCTACAAGTTTCGTATGAGTTGTAGTCCCGTTCGTTTTACCAATGAATGAGCTCGATCCTGCAAAGTCCGATTGATCCTTAAAAGGAAGCTAGAATCCTTCTTTCAGTAAATTCGAAATTAGCAGCTCCATGCTTCACAGATATTCCTCTGTTATTTGCGGGATTGACAAACACCAGAAGGTGCTCTCCTGAGCCAGTAAGTTAGATCACGTAAGCATGATATTATGATTTGTTTGAAAAAGATGAAAAAAGGAAGTTGAAAAAATAAATAAAACACTTGATTTCCTCAAAATAAAAAATGAATCCAGAAAGATAGGCTTACAAAATAAACAAGGCAATACAACAAGCATCATCACATAAGGCCAGGCCTAACTTTACTATCAAGTCCCACAACTAGGTATCACCAACTAATAAATAAATTACAAGGTAACACAGTTCTCAATTTTTTAAGGTCTTTTGAAGAGCCGGACAACTTCAGATTCGTGACCCAAATGGACACACTACCTTATTATTTCTGCAGACTAGGAATTTTGGACAGACCAACTGGCAAATCAAATTCTTATAGCTCATCGAAAAGGAAATAATCATGACTCTACAAACAATTGTTTCTTAATTGGCTGCATCTCGGCTGTAGAACTGGTCCAGAGTCTTGGCAGGTATACGGTGGAGTAGTTCACGGGGGAAGATGCGGAGCAGAGTCCATGCCAAATCGAGTGATTGGAAGATGTTGCGGGTGTCGTAAGCTCCTTGGGAAACGAATTTCCTCTCAAATTTGTCCAAGAACTCTAAATATAGCTGTTTATTCAAGAGAACACACATTAGCTCCTCTGTATCAAATAATTATAAACATAGCAATAAAATTCTTCATGAGAGCAGGGGAGGGTAGATGACCAGATCTTCAGAAGAAAGAGCTTCTTCTCCAACCACAGCCTTCATGGCTTGGACATCCTTTCCAATAGCATAGTTTGCATACAGCTGAGATATACGAAAGTTTTAAATAAATTCGAAAGTTGGACAACTTAAAATGAGACAATAAACTGAAAATGAGCTACAATGGCTAACATATCAGACCTGGTTGGATACATCAGAATGGTCCTTGCGAGTCATCCCCTCACCAATGGCACTCTGCATTGGTAATCAATGATAGATTTAGAATATGCCTTATAGCTTCTGACCAGTGATAATGCCTTTAGCATATCAATCCTTGATGTATTAAATATTCAGACATGTGATTCATCCTTACCTTCATGAGACGAGACAGAGATGGGAGGACATTGATTGGAGGATAAATCTGCCAATAAAAAAGTATCAAAATTGAATCATTGAAACTTCTACATCGAGAAATCTACAGTTACTTAGGACCCAAGACATGTTTTTCATGTAATGATTTCCATCAGCGAAGTGAAATGATCAATCGTGTGTTCTATGACCTTACCTGTCTATTGTATAGCTGCCTGTCAATATAAATCTGTCCCTCTGTGATGTATCCCGTAAGATCAGGGGTGGGATGAGTTATATCTGGCCAAATATGAAAATCAAGTTAAAGAACTGTATTCTCGTTAAAGGAAAGAAAGATATATGGGATATTCAGCATAGTCTGAGGATACATTACCATCATTTGGCATAGTTAAAATTGGAATCTGGGTGATGGAGCCTGTTCGTCCTTCAATACGACCAGCACGCTCATATATTGTTGCCAAATCAGTGTACATATACCCAGGATAACCACGCCTTCCAGGCACTTCTTCTCGCGCAGCAGACACCTGGAATGGCAACCAATAATTTGTGTCAAGCAAACAGAATAAAATAAAACTAGAATATCTATGAAGTACCTGGTAATATTATAATATAAAAAGGCGGTGTCTGAATTTCAAAAAAACAAAACGGTAGACCTATCGATACTCTGGAAACACGGTAGATGTATTGAGTAATCAGAACCACAAAAAAGATGATAATGGACATTTATGCATGCAAGTAAGGCTTCTCATGTTTGTACAAACTTCGTAAGGTACATTCTAATACATTTTTAGGTTTTCAGCTCACCTCACGAAGAGCATCAGCATAAGAACTCATATCTGTTAATATGACAAGAACATGCTTCCCACAGTCATATGCCAAATATTCTGCAGTTGTAAGAGCAATACGAGGAGTAATAATACGTTCAATTGTAGGATCATTTGCCTGTATGACATATTAAAAGAATCAAATTTCAGAAACAATTCATGGAAGGTATAAGATAATAAATTACAACCTTCAATCACAAAAAATTACTTGTTCAGGAATACAACAAAAACAAGGTTCAAATGTTAAAACAAAACTATACCAAGTTCAGAAAGAGGGTCACTCTTTCCATTGACCCATTTTCTTCAAAGTCACGTTTGAAAAACTGTGCAGTCTCCATGTTTACACCCATAGCTGCAAATACAATGGCGAAATTGTCCTCCTCCCCACCCTGAAAGTTCACATGGCAAGTTAGTAACCTAATTACAAATTTAAGTTAGAAAGAGCTGAGAAAGAAATGTAAACCAAACAACTATCTAAGTAACAACAAGCTCCAATGTTTCAAGCTAAAGAAAACTAGGGAATTGAACTAACAACACTAGGCGATGCCTCAACTACTGCATGTGCAAATTTGATATGGCACTAAAAAATCAAGGAATTCTACAAATATTGATTACTAAACAACAAAAGAGCTTTTCATTTAAAGTCACTGTGAAGCATAACATAATTGTAGCACACTCATTAAATTTAAACATTGTTCTGATGAAGCTACTATGGCCATTTTAATATATGTTTTATTTAATACATTTTGTCTCCAGAGAATACTGTTTCAAGGCTCCATTATAATAAAACATTATTCAACTATGCATATAACATTTATCTCACTACTCAAGAACGAGGTTGTGAGTCTAATTCTAACAATCCAATAAGGTGTGAACATTACCTCAAGAAGATTTTCAGACTTCTCCAGTCGCTTGACCAACCCTGCTTGGCGACATATTTGAGCAGCTATTTCATTATGGGGAAGACCAGCAGCAGAAAACAGAGGGATCTTCTGTCCTCTGGCAATAGAATTCATGACATCAATTGTAGAAATCCCTGTCTGAATCATCTCCTCAGGATAGGTTCTCTCACTAGGGTTGATAGAACTCCCTGCAGAAAGCATAGCATTTAGTAAAGGGACGTTAAATATTATTCACTCTAAAACGATGTCAACAAGCAACATATGTTAATGAAGATTACGCACTCCAAAAGATAGCCTACCAGATATATCCAAATAAGCCTCAGGCAAAATGGGAGGGCCATTATCAATAGGCTTCCCAGAACCATTAAAAATGCGACCAAGCATGTCTGATGAGACAGGAGTTTTCAAAACCTACAAAAAAGGGCCAAGGAAAGCAAGGGTGTCACTAGAGCAGACCTAGTCTCTAAGGAAACTACTATAACTCAAGTAAAAATTTAAAGGGTAACAAGATGCAAAGACGTAGATGGCCATACACCAACTTCTCTATTCATTGTGACTTAAGAAGCATATACTAGGATCCAGCACAAGCAATATTCAAAATCAGAAAATCAAATGAAAATGATACCTATTTGAACTTTATCCTTGACATTTACATGTCCAAACCTGCTGAGTATTATGAAATACACACATTTAGGCACTTGCCTTTGTGACAGAGGCTCAGCAGTGTTTCTTTAAGAAATAAGTGTAATTCATTATCTACGCATATTTCCTATCAGTAGCTATTTTCTGCAGATTTTTTCCACAAGGAAAAGAACAAGAACAAGTGGTAATTGAATTTACTAGCAAAATGAGATCTAAATATATGGTTAAAGTTTGTTTGGGGGCATGTAAACACTGAGACTACAGATAGTTTAAGCATCCCAAAGTACCTGCAAAATTTTCCACATGTAATTTGCAGCATTTGACAAGTTTGGTAATCAAAGGTTCTTAGGTATGGGCCTAAAATTGGAATTGCTTTTTGACAGATCAAGAATTTAAAAGATAAAAAAAAGTAGGGAGACTTCAAACCTCTCCAGTAAATTGCACAGTTGTAAACTTGTTGTCAATCCCAGAGGTTCCTTCAAAAACCTGTCCAAGAAAATACCAAGAAAGAATGCATTCAGCCTTTAAAACAGATGCACTAATTTTCACACTACAACTGATTAAAGGTCCATTACAAGTTGTTGACCCATATACAAGATCTACTACAAATTAAGCTAAAAGTATCGCCTTGGAAAAACTCAATTTATAGCAATCCTTCTACAAATAGACACACACCCCCACAAACACAATGTTACAGTTAAGCAATTTACTTTAACCAGGAAACAAACCAATTTATATCAAACTTGAGTTGCAAAGAAAAGGTGGCGAATGATGAAGAGCAATCACCTGAACAACAGCTTTCTCCCCATCAACTTCCAAGACTTGACCACGTCGGGTTGATCCATCGCCCAAACGAATATTAACAATCTCTTGATATTTGGGTCCCTAACACAGTGAATCAAACAATGCACCAATAAAAAAAACACCATTGTGAGAAATGAAACAAATAAATTATCCCCAATATACTCACTCAAGAAAAGAGGAGCATTTACCTTCACTTTTTCAAGTATAACAAGAGGTCCAGCAACTCCGGAAACAGTTCTATACTCTGTAATCAAACAAAAATTAAGCTCATGATTACTATTCTCAACAATCTCAATTACCACTCTGAAAACACTCAGCAAACTTAAATTAAAAGAATATGCGTCTTCCTAACCAATTTCTTACCATCCAAAACATTTTTAATCCATTCCATTCATCCTATATTTCACTGATTCATTATCCGTTTCTGTTTCGTCCATTATGAATTCACATGATATCTCCAAATAAATTGGAGATTCATTACTATCAAACCACACTGCACGAAAATAATAAATGAAAAAACGTGCAAAACTCACCCATGCCGATCTCAAGCGTTCCCTCCTCCATATCGTGATTGTTTGTTGCCACACCCATTATCAACCTTCATTAACAAAAAAAACAAACAAATTATTCGATTCCACCCGATAAATCAAAAGGCACAAAAACAATCTCCAAAAAAAATAAATTCATCATTAACATTATTCAGCTAATAAATACCAGTTAGTTTAAAATAAAAAACTCCTGTGAACTTCAAAATTTAAGACCACAGCAGGAACTGATCGATAAACATAAAACCTATTAAAAACTCCAAAAATTTCCTACATTTCTTAGCAACCAAACAAAGCTTAATCAATCAAAGACAGCGAAGCAACGAACTCACAGCTTAGTATCAAAATTCAACGAAAGAAACTAGCTAACTAGATTGGAGAGCAACAAAAACTGCGCATCAATTGCGGAATCCAATGAGAAATGAAAGTTTCAATTCTCTGCAATCCGTTCTATCCAGAAGAAATCGAGCAGATTTTTATTGATTGATTGATTGATTGATTTTGAAATGATAGTGAAAAATGGAGAGAAATGAGAGTTTTGGATCTGAAAAAGAACCGTACCTTTTTTGTGATCTGGCTCTGGTACACAGCAAGAGAGGGAGGGGAAGAGGGGTCAAGGGAAAACGAATATCTAAGATCTGATGCTCTATCAAAAAACATAAATAAATTTTGATTATTATTATTTTCTTAAATAACTTTGTTTTAAAATAAATTATTGAGAGGGTGACTGGGATGGTTTTTTATTTATTAAATTAATAGTAATAATGATAAAAATCCAGGGACAACGAAGACACTTCCTTTTAATATCATTTTCTCGTGTTTTACTGTGGCAGGATCTTTTACAGCGTGCGTCACGTGAGACTTGTAAAAGAGTGGGCAAAGTATATGTTAGCCCTTATAGTTTCGGAAACGTTATACTTCGTTTGAACTGAATATAGCCTTGGGCTCGAAGGAGAGATTTGGTCAGGTTACCTTTCGTAGTTTTTTTGGTCATTTTCATTGAACAACTAATCAAAGCTAGTGGAGGGCTCACGTTTTAAATTTTTAGATTTTGTTTTTTTAAGTAACAAAAAAGAAAAGAAAAGGACTAAAGACAGTGTTAGCTTTGGTTAATGATTTAAGGAATATTGAATCGTTTTTTAAAACGATTCGTAAATATTAAAGGATGGGTTGTGATTCTAACCTAACTGTAATGATTGTAATAATTGGGAAAAAAATATATGTAATTAATAAAAAATATAATTGATTGACCTTAATTCTTGATTCAAGCTTGCGTGACAATAGAAAGTATGAGTCATTTGCCATGTTGACTGTGCATCCACGAAGAAAATAGTTTTTTTTAAAAAAAAACTTTGCCTGCATGATTTATAATTTTATTTGTCAGTTCTAATTAATCACTAATCATGAAAAAGAAGAAGTTAATGACCCTTAATTGAAAGAGGAAGGAATAAAATCAGTAAATTATCTAATCAAGCAAAGCAAAATAGTGGGTTATTCATAATTAAAAAAAATAGCTAAATAATGGGTTCCAGACCTTTTCACGTTATCCATATCATTTAGTCGAGATTTAATATCAAAGAGTTGGGATCTTATTGCTACTATCCAAGAAAAAAGCCAAGTTTTGAATTTTTTTAATAAGGCTGTCAATTCAACAACTAATCGTTTGAAATAGACCCGTTTGAAATAAATTTTTGCCCAAAAATGTAAAGAAAAGACCAACGTTAAAGTGATTTTAATCTAAATATTATTCCATAAAACTTAAGGATTTAATCTATATAATTTTTTAATATATTTTTTTAAAAAATAAAAACAATTTTTTATTAGACTTAATTAGCTAATTTAATATAATATCAGAGTTTCAAAATGCAATAAATCGAATCACTTGGCAAAAATAAACAAAAAATTATAAGTGAGGAGAAATTTTAAAAACAAATTAATTCATATTAAACAAATATAAAATAATATAAGAGATGTTGAAAGATATAATTCAAATTCAATTATTTAATCCCACGTGATATCAAAGTCGTAAATGAACCCAATAACTTAAAACAGATTTCGAAAAACCCAAACTATAAGGAAAAATGTAATAGAACCAAAAAGTTGCAAAGAAAGATAGGATGTAACGAGGATGATACATTGTGAATCCACTGGCCACAAAGCAAAAATGCAACGAAACAAAAAATTTGCAAAGAAAGATATTATGTAGCTGTATTTTTGTGACTACTGGTCGACGTGAGAGCACGTGTGCAAAAAAACTGGTTGGGTCCACTGCAAGTTCGTAGAAACTTCCATCATATGCTACGTTGATTAAAAATGAACGCTTAGATTATCAGGCTGCTTATGACAGTTGGACGTCTCAGATTAGTCTAATAGTTGATGATTCCAGCCAATGAAATCAAAGATATGATCGATCATACTTCCACTCCTTTCTTGACAAGAGTAAACAAAAATTTTGAAACAGGACAAGTTTTGTTTCACTAAGTGTTATAAAAATACGAATAAATTATAAATTAGTCCTCCTTGTTTTGAGAATCAAATTAATTAATCTTCCGATTCAGAAACTAATTATTTAATCCTCTATCATTAATTTTTTTGTCGAAATTGTCAAATTAATATATAATATCTAAAATATTTTTAAAATATATACTTAATTCTTGCTACTGAGACGACCATTGCAGTATTATTTTTCATCAATTTTAGTACTCTTTCTTCACAAAATTCCCTTTGAGTTTTTTTTTCCTTCAATTATCTTCAGCACCTTTTCCTTTTCAAATCCAAATATGAAGGTCTCTTGTTCTTCTTTTGGATTGTTTTTTACTTTCATGCCATTAAAACCCAAAAGTCAGTAGTCCTTGATTGTTTTTGTTGTTTGGGTTAGAGAAACACGATGGAGTGTATTGTTTTTGTTAACAGAAAGGGTGACATGTGGAAAAGAGTTTTTAAGAAAAATTGTTGGTGAATTTAAGCTTTATTAAATTGATAAAGATGGTTGAGTAGAGAAAAATAGAGGAAGGGAAGGAAATAAGACATTAAAAAAACAATTTAAAAAAAAATACTGCAATAAAGACATCTCATCAATAATTTAACGAAAAACTGATGAAAAAACTAAATTATTAACAAAATTAAAATATAATAGACTAAATAATTAATTTTTAAAACAAAAAGACCATTAATTCATCTATCGAAACAAGAGGGACTTATTTATAATTTACTCTAAAAAAATTAGAACAAATGTTGTATTAAGAAGATTGATTAACTCGAATTTTATTTTTTATTTCTTGATCCACATGTGAGAATGATGCACATAATTAATGAAAAAAAAATTGATAATCACTCGTATCTTTCGGGAAAAAAAAATTCATCTTTCCAATACATTCAGCTGCAATCTTCAATGGAGGAGATAATTAGACAGTGGAAATCGAGAGTTGAACTCCTTAAAATTTCTGTTGAGGTTACGGAGTGCTTGGATATGAGGCTCATCTTCCTCAACTGGAATTATTTTAGCTAAGTTTCCTTCACCGAGAAAGTCCACCACCCGGTTGGCAGCTTCAAGTCCAGTCACGTAAGATTTTTCCTGTAGTAATTTCATAAGTAGGAACATACAATCAATGTTTTGCTTTTGCTTATACCCACTTACGCGATCAATTTAATCAACAAAGAGATAGTACCTGTGACCATGATCCGTGCTGCGTTATTATCCAATCGCCAGCCATGAACAAGTTTGGGAAAGATGTAGATCCGCGCATCATGTATTTGTACGAACCTTCGGAGAAAAGCAGTGCAAGGTTTATGAAAAAGAAGGAAAGGTGGCTCTTGATGCAGAAAATACTGCGGTTGATTCTAAAAGAAGCTGAAAAGGCCTATCAAACGGAGTCCAGAGCGAGACATGCTGTTACTAGCAAAGCAAAGCTCTTAGAAACCTACCTGGAAAGAAACGAGTCAAGGATTTTGGAAATCTGGCAATCTCTGTATTGGTCACTTGAGCTGTCTCAAAGTCCTTAACACACTTAGAAAGATATGACATTACTTTTGTTGCTATATATTCGTCTTTAAGCGGTAGCAACTCATTGCCATGATACTGCATACAAAAGTAATCAGAATAAAGGTTACTTCAGAACGAAATGTGCTAAATCTTGTATCCTTGTTAAAGAATAATACTCACAAAATCAGCTTGCACAATTGTTACAGGACTGCTCTTATGCTCGTCGAAAAGTTCGTTCAAGTCAAAGAAAGTCCACCCAGATGAATCATCAAATGAAGAGCAAGCATTCCTTGCAAATGGAATCCTGATCTGCTCACATGAGTCAGAGTAGAAAGGCATAAACTTTCAAGTACATAAGCATAGACTTCAAGCAAAATGGGGCTGTCATCGTAACCATTGTTATCATCAGAGGTAGTGCTGGTGCTGTGGTGCATAAATGTTTGAGACATGATGACCCTTCAAGATGCAAGGGCATTATTTTCTGAAGGTCCCATGAAATATGCATCTTTATGTAGGTGTTATGCGTTTTCAAGTGAACATACTGTAACTGCTTTCTGCATATAAGCTATATTTTTATATTTCTTGATACCTGAATGCTTCACTTCATTGATAAATAAACCAGCAGAATAAACTGATACTCGTAAATTTAAACCAGTTTTAGGTCTTGGATGGTTACTATCTCTATTTGAACTACAAATCCAATAAAAATATATAGGTTTCTCCCTGAACAAACCTTCTTGTCAAGCCAAAGCTTAGTGGATACCAAATCACCGCCAGCCAGGTTTAAGACCTTCAGAAACTCCTCCCTTGTACATAATGCTGCGCTATATAAAACCCAATTGCCGGTTAAAACAGGATAACGTTATAGTCTAAAGCTGAAAAGTACTTGTCCTTTGTACATAATGCTGCACTATATAAAACCCAATTGCCGGTTAAAACAGGATAACGTTATAGTCTAAGCTGAAAAGTACTTCTCCCTTGTACATAATGCTGCACTACATAAAACCCAATTGCCGGTTAAAACAGGATAACGTTATAGTCTAAGCTGAAAAGTACTTCTCCATTGTACATAATGCTGCACTACATAAAACCCAATTGCCGGTTAAAACAGGATAACGTTATAGTCTAGGCTGAAAAGTGCTTCTCCATTGATCGGTAGAATTCTATATATTCTGCTTGAAAAGCGAGCTGCTAACCAATGTGAGTGTAGCGTTCGCCAATTTAAAAGTTGAGCAAAAAATTATGCAACATTGAGCAGAAAGTTCAACTCGATGCATAGAGGAAATTTCAAATAAAAGGTGAAAGAATTTAGCACAATGAGGCATAGAACAACAAACCTATTCTTAGTCAGTTCCTGAACCGTGGAAATTCCAACAGCCAAAATAACTGCATCAGCCCTATATGTCTCATTGTCACAGATCACATCCGAAATGCGACCTGTTTCCTCGTTAAAGAAGAAGTCTGTCACTTTTTTACTGTCCACAAATTGACAGTCTTTACTCCTCATCAACTCAATCCATGGATTGAAAATTTTTTCTTTGACCGATCCACGACACCATACCACATCGAAATCTCCCTACAAACGGCAAAGCAGATATTTACAAAATTCATGTGAAGAAAATAAAAATAACACAATGCAGATGTAACGCAATCATGCAGAAATAATACCGCAGTGATGTAATGGCATGTAACGATACAGAAGTATATGATGCAAAAGAGATTAAACAAAGAAAATTAATTAATAAAACCTTTCTAAATTTTGTCCAGTGACCAACGGTTTGAGACTATCTAACTATCTCTCATGCATGAAACATTGATGCAGTATTGCAGCCTAGGCTATGGAACCGAGCAAAGCTTGCATGAGACAAGTATTTTTCTTTTCCTTGGTGGTCTCTCTCATCGAAAGGACAATGCCAAATAACGTTGTTAAATATGAGTCTCCTTACGTTTATCTTGGTGACAGAAGCTGATACTATGTGCAATTAGGGCGTTTTCATCGGTTTTTATGCCACGTGATTCAACTACAAGTCACACTATCGAGCTCCAAGATTTGTTGCCGTTGAAGAGCCTTCAACTGGCAATGAGAAATCCACCTATATTGGCACAGAAAAGAAAACCAATTGATCATACCTGATGCGAAATGGCCATGAAATGTAGCATTCCGAGAGCGGCAGCCGCACTGCATTGCTCTAGTGGAGCAGACAAACCCACTTGAAGTAATGTACCAAAAACATCCTGATAAAGTCTTTCTGAGAAGCCAGACTGTTTGAGAAGCTCCCTTGTAGTAACTAATCAGTAAACTTCTAAAAGAGTCACTTCAGCCGCATACTTCAAGTAGTACAAGTAAAAATTAATTTTCTATGAGATCCTTACTTGAATCATATTTTCTCCAAGCCATGTCAGTATTGTCAAAGTCAATTACTGCAAGAATGTAAAGAAGGATGATGAGTGCAAAGAAATTACAACAAAGTAACAAAAATATTAAATAACTTTAACAGTATCTCTTGTAATCAGTAAAAACATTGGCTCGCTAAGTATCAAATTCATATTTGAACAGGATAATGTACCTGCGGCCATTAGAGGAAGAGATGTTAATCTATCCACCAACGGGAGCCGATTGAACTGCAAATACAGTAAGATCAACTTTTGCAGGAACCAAGAGTCCAAGACATTCTTTGTGATTGAGAAATAAGACATACTCGAGTATAGAATAAGTTTCCTAATGGAGCAGGAAGTTGAGGCTGATCTTGGAGAACGGGAAATTCAACCTGCAGAATGATACCTGAATTTGTTGAGACATTCCAAGCCACTTGACTTGAGCTTGTAAATTTATCAATAAGGAGTGAAATTTCCAACTGGGACCTTTTCTTCATTTCAAACATGCTTCAAATATATCTATTTACCTCTAGTCCCTCTTTTGAATATTGTGCGGACTGCAACCAATTAGTGAAGGGCTTGAAGCCCAGTTCGTCAACAAGGCTAAATATGTTTTTATAAGGACGCCAAAAACCTAGATATAAAGGAGAAACTAGATATTAGATTATGAAAAAACAAGTAATATGTCACAGTCTCCTCGTATTATTGAAGAACAATGTGGCTCACAGACAGGGTTGCAATTTACAAGCTCACAGACATGGTTGTAAATATATCGGATTTTGACTCGAATTTAATGTAATTAAATAAATATGGTAAATAAAATTTTTGACCCCATTCCGATTATAATTTGAATCCATTAACCATTTTATTAAGTAGATTAAATCCAAATCTATATTAATCTGATTAGATGATAATCCGATCCGCAATTAAAAATTACATGTTTTTAATAAACATAATATTTTAAATTCAAATATGAAAAAAAATATATATGAAATTAGGTTGAAGTTTAGAGTTCATTTATTATAAAATTCAAATAATAAATACTCTTTTACAATGACGATTGTAATTTTAAAAAATTAAATATAAATTTTTTGTCATTTTCTTAATTCAACTTCATAAAAAAACTCATGGTATTTCATTTACTTGAATTGAATTGATTATATGTCTACTTTTTATGCGTTGACTAATTATTAATATTATTGTTTTTTTTTTTTTATGAATTGGAGCCCATTTTAGTATTTTAATGTCACACATAAAAGTATAGCTTAAACTAATTAAGATGATAGAAATAGATACTGGAGTGCTTTGCATGAATTCTTTTATAATACTCAAATCTCTAAATTATATCATTTTTAGTCATTTCACTTATTCGAGAGTAGGTGTAGAAATAAATAGTTGCAGATTAGAATTTGAGATACTAAAAAATTTGTATTATTAAAAAATGATAAAATTTGGGTTTAAAGAAAAGTTAAAATGCAATATTAGTACTTATTTAGTTATGTAATATTATTAATATTAGTAAAATGACATATACTAATAGATTTTTTTTTTCAAGCCTTGATTTGCAACACTATCATCTTGGGATTATAATTAAAAACTATTGATTTTGCTATTACATGGACAAGAAATAAATATTATTTATCATTTTAAAAAAAAATTATCATACTTTTCATCTAATTCATGACAAATTTTTATTAGAATTATTTAATTTTGTGCATTTGAATTGTATGACATTTTGAATTTTTTGTAAAATTGATATATGAAATATTGTCTTGATATATATATTGGTTGAAATATATTTTATATTTGAGCAATAAATTAAATGTGATAAGCATAAATTTTCTATAAAAATCAAGTAAAAAATCCGATAGAGCTTCAAATCCGATCTGAATTTGATAAGATTTGAATCTGAATTTATATTTTCAAAACCTTATTCGAATTCATAAGATTCGTTTATATCTATTTTACTAAACCAACGGATCTGCCCTGCTCACACAAGCATCAAATGGCCTCTTCTACTTGCTATCCAAATTTATGCATCTATCTAAAACTAGGAAGAAGCAAAAACAAAAACCAACAGTGTTACATAACTTCACAAACAGTCCATCCATGATGTAAGAGATTTCCTGTTTAGCCAATCTGATTAGACCCTGACTGCAAGCAATCATCAATATCATGATCATTTCCTTAAAAAAAGAGCCAATGGATCCAAGTATGTAGAATCTATTAGGATGAAAACATAGAAACAAATTGCTCCAAGATAGGAAAAGATAAGAGAAAGGGAAGCATACTGTACCATGGATGCCAACATCATCAGGATCACCAAAATCATACCCATCTCCAATAACAGTAACGTCAAATCCCTGAGCAAAATATCAGTACTCGACATTCATCACCATAGCTTTACAAGAAGCTCAACTTTGATTGTTTATTCACAAAAACACAAAGAAAGAAATTATTATTTTTTTTTAGCATTTTAATTTTAAAATTTACGTCAGTTTGATTATATGATGACCAAAACAAAAATTATCAAATATTTAGAAAGATATGGAAAGAATACCTGGTTGCAGAGGTGGTAAGCAGCACCAAGACCAGCCCAGCCTGTGCCAACAATGACTACCTTCTTTTTGTTGTTCTCGTTGTACTCTTCGCTACTGGCATAGATTTGTGGAGTTGCTGCTTTGCAACAAAGCCCTCTTCTATTTTTATCTCTACTTCTTGTGTTTGCAAGTACATAAGGCGTGACATTGAAGCTACAACAGCCCAGGAACATCTTTGAACTTTCCTTCCCTGTGTTAAAAGTTTTCAACTGCTATTCAATTTGCTTCCAAGAAGCAGAAAGTGGGCTATTTATACCGTCCACCCTTTATTGAGCAAGAACGACACTTCCTAGGCACTAGCACCGTCCAAAGAAAGATCGAGAGATTTGTCCAGTGTCCTTGCCACAAATGTGATACTAGTTTTAGAAAAATGAAAAAAAAAAATGGTGAACTACATCTACGGAGTGTAAACTAGCTACCACAGAACTTGAGTTGACAGGGTAAGGGCAATGGCCCTTCTTAGAACTTGATAAAACAAGTTGACAGTGTATGGGAGATAGATATTTGTCATGGAGATTGGAGAGTCATTTGGGTCTTTTCTGCCCTCTTCTTTTCCTTTTTTATCACCCTATTTTGTTGTTTCTTCTTTATAACTAGAATCCAAAATGGTGAATTCCGTGTTTTTAAGCATTCAACAGATGTTTGTCATGGTGACTGGAAAGTCGTTTGGGTCTGTATTTGCCCTCTGCTTTTCCCTTTTTATCACCCTATTTTGTTTTTTCTTCTTTGCAACTAGAATCCAAAATTGTGAATTCCGTGTTTTTAAACATTCAATGTATGAATATTATTTTTATCGGCTCAGAAGTATTACAAAATATCTATCCTGTCAAAAAGCAAAAAAAAAAAAAATGTAAATTTGCTTGAAATAGTTTCTAAATAGCTATTTTACGCCTTCTTGTTTGCACAGAGCCTTTTGTTGTATTTTGACGAAAATCCTCTTGTTGGAAATAGAGTATCAAAATCACCAGGTCTGTTTGATCAAAATTAGTTATATTTTTTATTTTTTAATTATTAAAAATAAATTAGTTGTATCTTTTATTTCTGAATTATTATAAATATTACAATCGGGATTTTCCTGATTATCAATAAAATCACTACATGTTTTGTTGTTCCTAGCACACAAAAACAATATAATTAAATAATAAAAATTAACAAAATAAATAAATAATTTTTTTATAAATTAAGATAAATAAAGAATTTAAACTTTTTACCTTGCCTATCAAAGAATTCAGGATTAAAATCACGTTATCATATTTCACGATGTAGAGATGACTAAACAAGTAAAATAGTTTTATTATAATTTTTAGGTGATCGACTTGATGTACAACCAGTGTTGCTTTATATTATTTTCATAACGAGTTTCAAAATGATAAGTAGCATATGTTTTAATTTTTTTTTATCAACAATTAATACAACTTTTAATAGTTTTATTAAAAATTCAACAGACAATCCTCCACTTATTTTTTAATAAAATCCTAGTCATATTTTCAAGTAAAGAAATGAATATAATACATAACAAGAGTGTCGATGGCTTGAATCCTTACTTAGTGTTTAAACAATATTACTCCGGAGTCAATAGTAAACATTTTCTTCAGCTAAGATTTTTTCTAGGAGGAATAAATATTATATCACACATTTTATATTCAAGTATTATGCGACAAGTTTCGGAACCAACACATTACGGCTTTGTACTTGATCTCACTTTTATTAGTGTTTTAGAGAATTAGCCTTGTTCTTGTTAGAAGCGGCCCTATTTCCTCACTCATATAGGTGTGTCTATCAAATATGCTCTCATAACTCTAACATCTCATTCAAAGAACTATAAACCACATTAAAAGTTTCATTTAAAGAAACCTAACATTTCTTTCGTTATGCGATTTATGCACTACACCGCAAAGATAAACATATAAGTATTGTAACTCAAATATATTATGCATGCACTCAAACCACTCTATATTCATTTTTTCCTCGAACCTAGTTCTTGGGATCCTCAATCTAGAGTATCTACATAGGTGATTTTATTTTTTTTATGGGTTTAGCCTCATCCCCATAGATACATCTTCTATTAGTTTGACTTTAGCTAAATATTTAATTCTTATAATTTTTAACATATATAACCAAAATATTAGATAACTAACACTTAATCAATTTACTCGTATGCAAATATTTTTCATTTTAGACAAAGCATAACATCCACTTATTTTTTAATTGGCTTAAACTTTTAACCAATTTGAATTTCACCAAAGATATGAGCCAATGATAATCATACTCGTTATTCATTTCTCACACCATCAACATCACCATGTAAAGCATGATGACATTATTGTATTTTTAAAACAATAAAAAACATTGAATACGATCACATTAAAGTGAATGTGAATATTTTTTTATCTCTAGTTTCTCATACTAATTTGATATCATTGTATCTCATTTATACAATAAGAATATCAATATTTAGTTAGAGATTTAAATTTCTCACATTATCGCCAATTGTCACTATAACATTTTTGTATCTTAATTATCCAATATGAGTGTCCTAATTTCACTTATAAAATAATATCATCAAAACATCATTATACCTCAATTGTACTATAGGAATGTCACTAATTCCATCAATTCTCTCAATATTTTTTACCTAAAATTCCATAAGCATCACTACCTTTTGTATAATAGGAATGCTTTTACCAAATATTCCATAAACATCATTATACATTTTGTATAATAAAATTGCTTTTATAAATATTTCTAGTAGCATCATATTAAAAATTTACATGTAACAAAAAATTCAACACATCATGAGAAAATTTATGATAATTTATCATCATGAGAGAATTATGATGATTTATCTTGAATTAAATAATAATTTTCTCAAACAAAATTTTAATGCAATAGTTTTTTTTTATTATTATGTCCCCACTATTCACATAATAAGTAATTTTCTTATTGTTATTGTAGACAAAGTGATGGCATGCATTATTGTATTATTTCATCATCAACATTTATAATTTATTTTTGTAGCTAAACAATCAGCAAGATATATTTTTAAAATAAAATAACATATCAAATTTTTATTTTTACGTAGAAAGTAATATATAAAAAAGCCCCTTTATTAAATCATGAACCTTGCCAATTTATCTTACTAATAATGTGCTAAAAAGATTATTGTTTCTATAATTGTGTATGGTTGTCAAACATAAATTGTAACGACAACTTCAAGCATAGTTCACATAAAAATAATTGATATTCAAATCACAATTGATTTTGATTATATTAATACATGGCATTTCAAGACTTAATAAATCAATAATATGAACCATCTTTTTAGTAACAATTAATTTACAAACTTTTAATAACAAGAATTTATATAATAATTCACATTTCTCCCTCTTTTTTTTTAGATTGATAGATTAAAACACCCGAGCATGGATCAATAAATATCCATACAATAATCTAAAATTACTTGAAAACATAAGCATCTCATACTTTCATCATCAAAAGTAAATCTCGTAAAAAAAATTTATTTGTTAATTTTCATACAAATTTTTATGTTAATTGTTGCTTTATTTCCTTGATGCAATGTAATGAAACAAATATTAAGATATTTTTTTTCTAAATTTTATATTAAAATTTGTTTATTATGGGTTTTCATATATATACTATCTTTTTATATTTTAAAATTAACATATGCTTCAACTTATATTACTCTTATAATTTAAATATCATTATTTGAATTTATAATTTCTTATGAAAATTCTCATCCAATTAATTTTTTTTTATATACGATCTTATTTACTCGATAAGTATAATTTATTTTTTTCTATGTTTGAAATTTAAAATAAAATTTTAAAACATGATTTTTTTCTTTTTAAAAAATAAATTGGTATAATATATATAATGAATTCTTACAATTTTTAAATGGAAGTTGCATATATATAAATATATAATTATTTTATTCTAAAAGGTTAAAAGTATATTTCAAATAATTTATCTCAGTTCACTAGATATAGTCAAGACGTATAAAAAAATTATTGAATCGTTGATTTTATTAAAAATTAATTATATATCTTTGAACATAATACAAATTATTTACCATTAATATTTTTTTAACATTATAGAACCAATTTTTTGAAATAAAACAATTAAAATAATATTTTAAAGGAACCAACTAATCATTCAAATATAATTTTTTATGCTAATTGTATTGATTATTTTGTACATAAATATATACATATCTAATGTATATACTTGTAAAAAAATAATCTTCTCACCAATATTAAATAAGAATAATTTTTTTTTCATCCGTTAATTTTTATACAAGTCTATACATTAATCGTAACTTTATTTTTTTGATACATTCTTATAAAAAAATATTGTCTTCAAGTATTTGCTTTTGAATTCTTAATTAATATTTAAGGTCTAAATTACTACAAGTTTTTATTTAAGAATTTCTGAATAAAGAAGATTAAATCATGTCTTTTTTTAAGAAAATTTTTTATTAAAAACACACAAAAAAATTATAATAATTAAATAAAAAATTAAAGAAAAAATTATAAATTTTTAAATGATTTTTTTCTATTTACCCATAACATTGTGCGGATAATTTCAAAAATCAATCTCCTCATCATCATTAAATAAGAATTTTTTTTCATTTGTTAATTTTTATAAAAGTCTATCAATTAATTATAACTTTATTTTTTGGAATACAATATTATGAAAATTATATTTAATTTTTTTTAATTCTTGATTAATATTTTAGTTAAAATTATTATATTTTTTATTTTAAAATCAATATATAAAAAAATGATTTATGTTTTTTAATAAAATAAATAAATAAATAAAAAATTTTAATTAAAAAATTTTAAAATGATTTTTTTTACTGGCTCCATAGCGTAAAATTGACAAGTGACTAGTAAATTGTCTAAAACCAAACCAAATCATGATTAATCTTAAAATATGAATTCTGGCCAAAAAAATAAAAACCAGGTGATTCATGTGCATGCAAAACATAGTTCACCATCTAATGTACGACCATACAAATAAATACAAAGAATAAGCCAGTACTTTACATTTGAGAATTGGAACTCTATATGCCAAGTAACAAATAATGAAACAATAACAACACATAGTGGTGTCGTTTAGTGGAGTGATAATTGAATGGGTTAAAGATCCACGATTTCATTCTATTATTTTATTTATCTTAATCGTGTTTTTTTACTTTCAATTTGGACCTTAATTCCTTCCCTTCGATTAAATTTTTTGGTAACTTCATCAATTTTTAGCCAGACTCACAATATGTTGACACATGGTATTTAAAAAAAAATTATGAAAAAATTAAAAAATCCTAAAAAAATCTATAAAAAATCCAAAATGTCCCTTTTTCTCTACCTCTATGCATAGAAATAAATATTTAATTTAATCCCTCTTTTTTTTTTTTTTTTGCTTTCTTTCAAAATCAAACCAAAAAAGAAAATTTTTTATGTATAGGAAATAACAAAATAATTTTTTTTATTTATTACAGAAATTTATTATGAAAATTTATTTCAAATCCAAACCTAAAAAAAAAAATTCATGAAATTTTTTTCATAACATAAGAAAAAAGAGAAAAGCAGATAAACAAAAAGGACATTTTAGGATTTTGTAATTATTTTTATGTATAAGACAAAACAAAAGAAAAATTTTATTTATTTATTTCAAAAATTTATTATGAAAATCCATTTCAAATCCAAACATAAAAAAAAAAAAGAAAATTTTTTCATAACATAAAAATAAAAGCAAATAGCAGATAAAAAAATGACATTTTAGGATTTTTTTTTTTCAGAATTTAAGAGAAAGAAAAAAATGACAAGTGAAATTAATTATTTATGTTTATACCTAAAGGTAGAGAAGAAGAAGAGCATTTTGAATTTTTAGATTTTTTCAAGCTTTTTTATATTTTTTTAGATTTTTTTTTTAAATGCCACATGTCAGTATTTTGTGAGTTTGTCATCGAAAATTAATGCAATTACATAAAAAGTTAGTCAAAGGAATAAAATTAAAATATAAATTAAAAATAATGAGACACGATTATTTAAAGAACTTAATAGAAAAATACATTTAAGACAAATAAAATAGCAGGACTTCTTTACCTTTAATCAATAATTGAATTGATAGCAAACCAAGCCTAAAACAAAGACATGTAAGAACAAGAGGTGCAATCCCGGCTGATTTTGATGAAAATATAAAGTCATTAATTTTTATATTTCGACCGAGTGTTTAAATATTCGATTTCAAATTTTAATGAATTGTTTAGATATCCTATGGAAGAATAAAAATTAATAATTTTTTTGGTTCAACAAATACATTGAATAATTTGGTTCAGACCAAAGGAGGGCAACTTGAGGCATCAAGTTTTGTCAAAGAAGAATACATGACACGAACCAATTCCCTCTTATAAAATATCTCCATGACGCTCTTTTTCTTTTTTTTTAATCAATAAACAAACATCAAATGGTCTACCGGGCAAACATGTATATCTCGCAAACACGCAATCATTCGTAACGAATCTCTGGAAAACTACAAATCACTCCCCCAATTATACATATAATTTCTATTTAATTATTCAAATTTCAAAATTATCACTTTACTCTAAAAATAGCAAAATTCAGGTATAATTTTTTTCTACAACATTATCATCTTTTTTACAAATTACAAGAAAATATCAATCTTAATCCTACGTGGTATTTAAATCAAGAATTGATTCTTAAATAAAAACACCCGAGTTGTCATGATTTTATTTGCTATTATCTATAACTGTAATTTGTTTTTTTTTTTATTGAAAAAGGATATTAATTCTGGAAAGTGAAAAAAAAACTTACAATTAGCAAATTAACATGCATAAATGTGGAGGTGATGCTAATGAATATTCGATAGTTGTACTTAATTTTTAGAGAATGCTATGTACAGCAGCCATCGCAATTAGTGTAACTTAGTTTAAAATTTTACAGACTTAATTGAAATAAATTGCATAATTGGAAACTAGTTTGTAATTTTCCGAAAATTCTCTCACTCATCAGCAGTTACTTGCTTACTCAGTCTTCTACCCTTTCTTTTAAACACAGAAAAAGAAACCAAACCAACCTTCAATTCTGTCCACAAAAAGAATAAATGGCTGCAACTATCTCAGTCCGGTCCAACCGTCTCTCTCCACCCGGTTCACCTTTCTCCCGACCACCGGTACACAATCCCTCATACTTAAATCAAATAAGATCATCATTAAAAAAGGAACCATATTTTTGGAGAGGAGTAATCGTATCACCCAGGCGTATTTTAGCGAGAGCAGGCTCAAGAGCCGACGACTCGTCGGCGCCGTTTGAGATGTCCGTGGAGAACGCACTCAAGCTTCTCGGTGTACAAGACGGAGCATCGTTCGATGAAATACTTCGCGCCAAAAATTCCATTGTTGCTACTTGTAAAGATGATCAGGAAGCTATTGCACAGGTGATAAGCATGTCCACAATCAAACTGGTTTAATATCTCTTTCTTTTTTCTCAAATAAATTTTGTGCTTTTTTAGATAATTGTGAATTTTTATCTTTAATTTTTGAATTTGGTGTGTAGAAAGAAGTGTTGGGAATTTAATCCTTTCCTAGTTAATCTTTTTCGTAAGGTTATGCTAAGGCCACCCATGGGCGGGACCTATAGCATATACCCAACAAGAAGTGTTTAGCTAGTTAAATATTTTGATTTTATGTGTTTTGTTTAAACTTGATCAAGTAGGCGAAAGTTAGAGACTTCAGGTGTTTTGAAGTATTTTTATTGTGATTTGGGTGGTTATTAATAATGGTTTTTTTTTTTTTTTTTTTTGGTGAAATGTGAGGTTTAGCTCATAAAGGTTGAAAAATTGTTTCTGGGTTTGGTGTCAAGGCTGGATTAATTATTGCATTTGTGTTAAATTTTGATTATAATGGATTGGATTTTGTATATCATGGCCATTAGAGTTTCAATTTTTGTTTGAGTTGTGAAGGGAAGTCTGAAGCTAGCATGTCATTAGATGCATAATTAGTTGGTGATTAGAACAAAGAATTGCGAAAGGTAGCTCTATTCTGTGTAAAGGTTAAAGGATGAGTGAATTTAGTGTTGGGGGTACTTGATTAATGGGGTGTAGAAATCTTGGCAGCACTTATTGCCCTGCATTGAAATTTGATGTGTTGTAGTATAAGGTTATGACTCGCTGAGTTTTAAATAATTTTTAATTTCTCAACAGTACTATAGCTTAATTGTGATTTTAGGTTGAAGCTGCATATGATATGTTGCTTATGCGGAGCTTAACTCAGCGCCGAGCAGGAAAAGTCGCAAGTAGTAACATTCGTTATGCTGATGTTAAACCTGTAAATGGCCCCCGGATAGGATCAATGCCACAGTGGCTGCAGACTACAGTTAAGAATACACCTGTTTCAGTGGAAACGCCATCAACTGGAGAGTTGGGCCTACAAGCAGGAGTATATGGAGCTTTGATGGTTTTAACTTATGTTAATGGCACTTCCACCCCTTCTGTGGCACCTTATGCTGGGGCTGATGTTCCTGGGCTGATATTAGCTACAAGTTTCGGTGCTTCCTTGTACTTCATGACCAAAAAGAAGGTGAAGTTAGGTAATAATCTTTCTTTATACAGTCCATCGAATTTCAAGTAATTTGATCTTTCTTTATGCAATTCATCAAATTTCAAGTAATTTGGCCTAAAGTTACATTTACTTGAATCAGATCATTTCATCCATGTTATAATAAAAGTTTACTTGGTTCTGTCAATGATGAAAAGTTTGCAACTGCTTAATTATGCTGATTGTCTATTGCAACTTCATAATAGTTGGAGACAGAGGAAAGGGTGTGTGTATTTGGTGTGCATGTGTTTTGGGGGTGTTGCTCAAGAAAAAAAATCTGGGTGTAGCGATTCTAGGATGATACTAATATTGGTTACTAGGACATACCGTGTGAGATTGGAAACTCGGTCTCGGGGGAAATTGAATACTTCGCTTTCAGTTTCTGTGAATTGATGACTTGTTGTGAATAAAGACTACATAGCTTTTATACATTATGTGAATTTCAACTGTGTAAGAGGAGCAGAAAGCATCTAAGAATGTTGCTGGTAACCTTTGCAGGGAAAGCCACTGTAATAACTTTAGGGGGCTTGTGGCTGGTGCAGTGGTGGGATCGGCAGTTGAGAATTGGTTGCAGGTGGACATCGTTCCATTTCTTGGCCTACACTCCCCAGCAGCTCTAGTCAGTGAATTCATCCTCTTCTCTCAATTCTTGATCTCCTTGTACCTAACCTAGGGTTAAGAGGAGATTGATATTGCAATCAATTTGTAAAACGTGTAATTAATCAATTGCATGATCATACCGAGCTTTTTTAGGTTGCGTGTCATTACACGCTGTACAAAACTAGCAAATAGAATGTAGAGAAACTTGAATTGACCTGGAATTTGCTTGACAATTCCAATGACCTTGAGGGATTGTTGCTCTTTGTCAATTCTTGTTGGAAAAAATGAAACCTGATGTCCAATATGCTTTTGCCTATATCCAACTTGAGCACAAATCATTTCCATTACTAGACCATGTTTTGCCAGATGTTGATCAATTGACGTTGACTCTGGCGAGTCTACACTACATTAATGAATGCCTAAGCCAGGTCTCATTCGACAGTGTACCTTTCATCTCTAGTTTGGATTTGGATAGGAGCCACTGCATTCTTTTTTATTTTTGTTTCATCTCTTACCTGCAGCAAGGTTTGAATGGTAGAGCTTGAGTTAGACCCCAACACGGCTAACACCCCTTTTAGGAATTTACCCACGCTGGTTGTAGAGATTTCGTTTTTGTTGGTGGATTTAGTCTCATGCCGTACTGCCGGTCCAAGAATACACTTATCTTGACACCCAAAAATGAATAAAGTTTGCCCTACTGTCGCATGGTTTATATTTCCAGCTTACTTCAATAATTTCGCACTCCACATGGTTTATATTTCCAGGATACTTGGATTATTTCGCAGGCTTCCTCCCACATGCCTCAGCCGGAAGCCACTAACTCCACCAGGCAACTTTCCTTTAGACCCTATAAATTTTCCTGCACGAACAACTAAATCAACTATTCCTGAAGTGAATGCTGCAACTAGACTCACGTTCCCAACATCTAGACAAGAGCCCAAATATTAAAGCTGCTGGATCTTGCAGTGCCGCCATTGCATATTCAGCAGCATTTTTGAGTCTTGAGTGAATCGGCATCGTGGACTCAAGTAGGGCTCTCTTATAGAAATAACCCTTTACACATGAAAGCGCTGTGATAGACCGTAGACCCTAGAAGAAGGGGATTGCTAAATTGACTCTATAGCTTCGACAGATTGAGAGTTAAGTGGGTTGCCTGTGGCTAAACACGAAGTAGAGAAAGCAGAAAAAAGTATAGAAGCACTGGACCCGCCTTCCGTTGGCCTTTGTAACCATTTTTTCTGTTCGAATTACTGCATCTGTCAGTGATTTTACTCTTCATAAGATGTTACTCATATTTTGGATTAAAAATTTCTCATGCTGCAGCCATTTGCAGTGGCTGACAGATAGAGCAAGCGCCTCTCCGAGCATCATCCCCGGGCAAAAAGCTTAAAAAGGTAGTCCACTCTCAACAGCCCTAGAAAGAGAGCAATCTATCACCAAAAAACTAACATTTCTCTGTTCAACCCCAAACCTCTAAATAATTACAATGACCGCCCCACTTAGAATTTTCCCTTTGCACTTCTTGTTCTTCATTTCAAGAAAGATGCAAGAACACAGAAAATTTTACAGGTCTTGCAACAAAAATGTGGGCAATACAACACCAATCGACAATGAACAATCAAGGATTAATTGCTAGATAAACATGGTAAAATAGAAATTTAAACTGTCTCAGCGAGCTGCTTCGACATAATTTACAAACCATCCATGAACTAGGAGATAATCAAGGTCCATTTCAGGCTTTTTCTGTCACCTGCTGCCATTTTCTTCAACCGGGGAGCCCGCTATAAAAGATTGCTTCTCCACTTTACCAGCATTATTTTCACTATGATTCACAAGATCATTGTACATATTCATAGAAGCCTTAGAGAACTCTGTTAAGGACTCAAAAACTGTCGAAAAACCTGTTTGAAATCCTCGCAGTGTAATCCTTTGTGTTTCTTGCACATAGTTGTGGTGCTTTTCCTTTTCAACATCCAGCTTGTTCCTAAACATGTCCAACTGATCTTTCTTCTCTGTTAAGTGCTCATGCCGGTGTTCTGCATCTGGCTCAGGTTTATATTCTATAAGCTTGGATTCAAGAAACCTGGTCTCTACCTTCTGCAATGACGTGATTCTTCTGTCAAGTTCTTTAGCTAGACTGTCAACTTTCCTCTTCTGTAGCTGTTCCTTCCCTTGCTGAGCCCACAAAGCCCTCAAATCTTTCGAAAAGCTTTTCAATGCAAAGGATACTGCCTTATCTGGTAACTTATCTATAGAAGACAACCAATCCTGGCAAACTACAAGTAATGGGGGACCAACTGCTCGATATGGTGCTGCTGAACTCCTGCCCCTGGAGTAGAATTCAACTTCAGGTACTACGAACTTGCTTAACCAACCATGGAGAGCTCCAACATATGCCTTTTGTGCTGCAACATACTCTATAAAGCACGCATGCCAATTCAGAAGCTCAGCCTCAAGCTGAAGCGTTGCAAGCCGGTGCGATTCATTGCAGAATTTTCCATGTGTGGGGCTGGCAAAAGATTTTACTTCAAAAAGAATCTTGTTCTGGGTTTCATGGGACTCCAACATAATCTTCCAGGTGCGCATTAGGCTGCACATAGAGGAAGATAAATGAAAAAACCAGGCAGACCCAGAATGAAACTAGAACAGAATTGCTTTTAGTTTTTATAAGCAACTTCCTTACCCTTTTAACAGTTCTACAATTTGAGGCTGCAGTTCTTCATCTCTTAGTTTCTCTATTCTCTTAGAGATTGATTCAGCACTTCGAATTGCAACCAAGATCCTAGCATATAAATCTTTCACCGCAGCTCTGGTCTTGTCCATGGTGAGTTCGTCATCTCCCCTGACATCCAGGTTACTCAGCCGTGAACACTTTTTTTCATATATCTTCCTTGTGCTGTCCCCTGCCTGAGGAACAATAAAAGGTCAGAAACAAAATCAGGTTAATGAAATGAGAAAGAAAAAAAAGAAGCAGACCTTTTCCTATTTCTTAATTCTTTTTCAGGCAGCAAAATCTCTATCCTAGCACAATATTTGGGAACACCTTCAAAACTCCAGTCCCCCTTATAAATGATACAGTGACTGTTAAAGAGTCAGCAAAAGAGAGAACAAAAACTGGATTTATCATCTTGCAATTTTCCATAGCCGGTTAACTTCATTTATTAAAACATACTCAGGTTTACCAAAACGAATGACCATGCATCATGTCTTCGCAGCTAGAGGTCTTCACCAAAACGGGCAGCTTCTTTATTAAAGTTGTTGAGAGAACAATGAAAACAAACTAGAAATCCCCTTTCTATGAGGACTGAGCTCCGTTGATCTCAATCTCATCTTGATTTGTAGCAAATTTCATGATCCAAAGAAGTTGAATGCAATCTTAATAAAAAATAATATAAGGACTCAGAAAACAGTTTTGAGTGCTTGTGACTAACCTTAACCTCTTCATAGAGCTTCTTTTCCCAAGCATACAACCTTCCAAGTGTTAGTGAATGGCTTCCTGAATCCATTCCTCCACAATCATCAAACAGATCATTTTTATATTCTGTCCAAGTAGAAGAACCTTTTGAACTGGATGCTACAAGGCTCTTGCATGGTTTTGATGAAGTTGAACGATGCCATGTAATAGCTTGGATTAGTTTTGTTGAGTTCTCTGAAATCATAAGACATGATGATTAGTATTGTGAGGATAATATCAACAATAGAAATATTGAGTGATTTTTAGGAATCTTCATCAGTGATTGTATCACACAACATAGAAACGCACACAAAATAATATTGGAGAGAGATGTAGCATCGTCCCAGTTTGATCAATTAGTGAAACTAAGACCCACTTACAAAAAAGCTAGAGATGAAGATTCCCAAAAATTTTCATGCCAGGTTTTTTTTTGCATTTTCCTTTCCAGGATATACTTTAGACCTCTTTTCATTACTTGCAATTGCTGTATGAAGTTTGCTCACATATTCTCAGACTATGATACCAACTAAAAATACAAAGAAACATAAATAAATGGTGCAGATGAATGATCACAATTTATTTTCTAAAATTAGTTCTAATACATTGGAAAGAAGTACTTTTCAGAATTATTCAGTTCATTACATGCAAACCAACAAAGGTAGGCCAGTCTTCTCAATAGAAGAACTTGCCCTATTTAAGTATCAGGCAAATAAGGACCACAACATATCTTTTCAAAATTAAAGATAAAAGTCAAGAGTGGAATAACCAAAAGAATACCAAAAGTGATAGAAGAATAGAGACAGAAAAGAATTCCAACAAAAAGAGAGAAAGAAATCACGGTCATGCCAGGACCAATTCGTTCAAGAAAGTAAGCAAATACATTTGGTAGCTTAATCTGCATGATTTGGATGTAATTATGCAAATCAATATTCTCAGGCAGAGGAAGAAGATTCGCATGGTAATTAGTAGAAAATCACTTTACTTTCTGAACAAAGATAAAGTAAATATTGGTTGGAATCTTATCCCCTGAAAAATTAGACAGTTGGACAAAAGATTTAAACTAAGATTCACGCAGAGGTACCATATGAAGCAATAATGCTATTCCTCAACACATACTCTTCTCATTTTATGTCTTCTCAAAAACAACTTATGGTTAAATTCAGACATTGGGTTCCAAGTGTGAACTGTAAAAACTATTCTAAGTGCTGCAGAAAGTTGAAACGGAGAATTGAAAATAGCTGCATCATAAGGACAATAAATAGGAAAATAACGAGCCAACTCAAAGTATCTGAAACCATACTAGGATAACATATTACTTGGTACTAAACTACTGTTGCATTGAAGATTAAAACTCATGCAGAACTAAACTGGAAACCAAATGTTAATGATGACAGAAACATAACAAAATAGATCCCCACCTTTAATTTCTTCCAAGCCAGACTGCAAAAACACTCTATTAGCCTCAAGCATCCTTGACACGTCCTTGCCAGAATCATAAGCCCTAATGAAATGGTCCTCAATATCCCTCAATGACTCCAATAACTCCCCCTCTGTCTGGCGTATCAACGACCGTAAGCCCCTTTTGCTCTGCTTGGCTCCCGTCACCACCTCCATCACCTACCTTCACCGCATTAACCCCACTTTCTCCAAGGTCTCCTTTTCCTTTCTCTTCAACTACTACTACATTTTTCTCTTTCTCTTCTTCTCTATCTTCTTCTTCTTCTAGGTCAGGTATCCCTTCCTCTTCTCTCACAACCCTCAAATCATCATCATAACTTCTCCTGTAACCACTTATAATTTCTGGTCTCATAGTAGTATCAAAAGGGTTAAAGAAATCCCACCCAAAATCCCTCTGTGGTGATTGTGATGGTGGTGGCATTTGCATATAATAGTATCCAAAACTTTGTTGTACTTGTTCCTCTCTCTTCATGAATTCTTCTTTAGTATTCTCTTCCTCGTGATCACTACAATCTGAAGAAGATGTTGTTGACGAACCACAGGACTCACAAGCAATGGGCTCTTCATGTGTTGTTGACTCAGATGGTCTTTGTTGGAGAAACATTGGGTTTGTTATAACATTTTGTTGTTCGTTTGGCGGTGGAGATGGACAGGGAGGAGGAAGAGTGATGAAAAACGGTGAAGTTGTCGGAGAATGTCTAGCTACAAAAAGCTTTATACCTGCTGCTACTGCATAGAGAGATTGACAATATCTACAATGTGCCTCTGCAAGTGCATATCTTCTCTCTACAGCAAGCTTCAACTGGCGTTTCCTCTCTTTACAGATAGATACAACCTCCTCTTCTTCTAGCTTAGAAGCAGCACATCCCATTGTTTCACTTTGTTAAAGTTGAAAGTGTCTTCTGTGTGTTTTGGCTTCTATATAGGCGTGGATGCAACTTTAGAGAAATGGAAGAATGTAAAGAGAGAAAGGTGGTTTTTTGCGAGAATCTACGTATGCTTTTAGGGATAAAAAGGAGGTGGGGCTGGGCCAGAATGGGTTTTATGTAGTTTTAGCAGTGTTTTTATATATGTAGAGCAGAAAATGTTGCTTTTGGAGATGTTTTGGGGTGTCCCTGTTCATCTTTTGCAAAAGAAAGGTGATTTTCTGCTAGAAATTTGGTTCTTGGACAAGTTATAGAGCAACCCATTTCATCTCTTGGCAAGAGACATGAAAGAAATTTTTAGAGTTAAAAATGCATTAGCAGAAATTAAGATTAGTTTTTGTTTAAAAGAATGAAGAGGTTGTAGTAGTGATTCTATCTATCTATTGTATCAAACTAAAAATGGCTTAACACTAAAGCAGAGAATGTGAAGAGAGAGAGAGAGGTTCTTCTGGTTGAGCCAAAAAGCTGAAGCAGAAAGAGCGAACCTATTCTTAAAAAAGAAATGAATAGGAGAGAAAGAAAGCCATTTTTGGCTTCTGCTAAACCGGTTTAGATGTGATCTTTCAAGTCTTAACAAGCTATTACTGGTTCTTCATCAAGGAAAAAACATATAAGCAAGCTATTACTCGGTTGAGATTAACTAATAAAATGGAGAGGAAGGAACTTAGTAGTCTAGTAGACACAGACTACAGGGTTTATGACAGTAGCTAAAGAAGGTAGGGGCTCGAGAAAGAGAGAGAGAAGATGGCGGTGTCCTTGTGTTTGATTATTTGTACTCGAATGAGTTGGCCTACATCAACGGCAAGACCTCACTCTTTAAAAACAATTAATAAAAGTTCTAGTAATAAATTTAGCAGAGATTTTTAGAGGGAAAAACCAAGAAACACCCTTGGGGGCTTGGGACAGACTAGCGAGTAAAAAGAGGAGTCAAATGGCCAGTAATTTACTGTTAAAAGGATTGTGACTACTGAGAGAGAGAGAGAGATTTTGTCTTGTTTCTGGTCCTCTTGTTGTTGTTTTATTAGTAAATCATGACTTAGTCCCTGTAATTTTAAGAAACTACTACTATAGTCCCTATATCTTTAAACATAATTCTTTTGTTACTTACTAGTCACTTTTTTGTTGATGAGGTCCTGAGCTGTCATTTTCTAAGGTTTCAATTGAAAAAAAAAAAACAATGAGCTGGAGTAAATTATAAGTTAGTCTTTCTTGTTTAGAGAAACAAATTAATCAGTTTTTTTAAAAAAAAAGCTAATTAATTAGTCTTTCACGTTTTAATTTTGTCAATAATTTAATTTTTTTATTAAATTAGTTTTTTTTTTTCAAATTACTCTTTTTAATTTTTTTTTATTAAGGAGAGAGAAAGAGAGTGGATAAAGGAAATAAATAAAATATCAAAAAAGAACAATTTGAAAAAAAATATTAATCTAACAGAAAACTGATAAAAGAATAAAGTTATTGACGGTATTAAAACATAAAAAATAAATAATTAATCTTTAAAACGAGAAGGACTAATTTATAATTTACTCTAATAAGTTGATGGTTAAAGTTGATCGATTAACTTATGATTGTAGAAACTAGAGGGACTAACTTATTAGTTCTACAAAACTATAAAGGCAAAGTTATAATTTAATCTCTTTTTGTCTTTTTAACTGTTTTTTACTAGTATGCGAACTTCTAATAATGGGTGTATAATTGTGCTCCTTGAACCAAAACATTACAAGTAATTTGTTAGTGATGATTCTTAATAAGTGTGGATTTAGAGACCCAAAAGTCAAAACTGTCATTGTCTGTACTGTTATAGACAAACCTATCTCTTAGAAGTTGAAGAAGAAGAAGACGACGACGAAGAAAGAGATGCTTATCGATCTACAAAAGTAAGAAAATTTTCGTAATGGGTTATCACTAGATTGTTTGCAAAGATTTAGTGCTTTGGGTTCTGGCAAAGAAAAGAAGGTTCCTGCATGGTCTATCGATGAGTCAGGTGGTAACATTTTGAGCATTGAGGACCTGACCATTCCACATGGACTTGGCAGTGGCAGGCCTATAATGAACCTGACCTAAATGTCACCAATCCAAGGTCCTGGATGGCATGACACAACCCAATCTGTGGATAGCTGCTTTTGCTTAAAGTACAGAGTTAATGTCATGAGCTTGCCCTTGCATTTGGTTCAGACCTCACCACTTCACATGCAGTGGCACTTGTGCATGGGTGTGTGTAAAATATAACACAATGACACTTGCATTTATGAAAGTTGAAAAAGGGAGAAAATTTTCAAATTCAGTATCTTTATTTGTTAAAATTTTATTTGAGTCTCTCAATTATTTCATACCGAAAAGAAGGATAGTTCATAATAAATATATCTAATCCCTCAGTATTCTGTCATATAAACGAGGGAGAGATAGCTATCCAAACAATTTTTTTCATGTATAAAAAGTTAATTTCAGGATCACTTAATTAAGCGAATAAAATCTCCTCTATTCAAACTGATCCTATTGGATAACTGATCAATTTCTTTAATTATAAGAATTTGAGTAATTTTTTCTGATAAAATGCATGCACGAGTGTCATGATTATCTCATGAGAAAATTACCCTCTTATCCATTATGAAACCCTAGAGCTGAATCCTTTCTGCGCTTTTTCTTTAAAAGTCTAAAGCTGCTATCGCACTGGGGCCGTAAAATAATTACCTTTCAACTATTAAGGACTTGGATAATTTAATTATTGTTCTTTAGACTTTTTTTTTTTTTTTTTTGTCATTTTCATTTTCAAATGTCGTTTGATTGTAATCTAAGGTTACAATGGAAATTAAAAACATGACTAATCTTTAATTTTTTTCTGGCTGGAGAAAGGGGAGGACTGAGATAGGGGCTTGTTGAACTAATACATGATCACTGGTTCAAGCAATATGATTCTTGGCTGAATGTTGATTGCTAACTCATTTCTTTTAGAAATATAAACCCTTAATTTTATATTGATGACTTTCTTTTAGGGATGGCAATTTGCATGTCCTGTTTTGTTTCGGTCGATGTGAGGAATTTCAAGTTGATTGAAGAATGAAACGAGATGCTCCATTTCACATTGACTTTGAATAAAGATGAGACAAGAAGATATTTGCCCACCTCGTCTTGCATCACTCCGCTCCCTTCTTCTTTTTAAAAATTACAATTATACTCAATGTATATATAACTAGTTTCTAATATAATGATCGTAAAAATTTAACTTTTTTAAATTGTATTTGTGATATTTCATCAATTTAATTAAATATATTTTTTATTTGATTGAAAATAATTTAATATATTACGATTTGTGTTGTAAATTTGTAATTGAATATAATGTTAAATGATTATTTTTTTAATTATATATTTTATATAAATTATTATCTTTTTGTTATAATTTAAAATTTGATACAAAATAATAAATGATGTAAGATAAAATGTGACAGGTTGAACGTAAAAAATTGAACAAGGTATCGATGAAAATAATAAGAAAAATATTATCCTATACGAGTCACGAGATAGATACGAGACGGGAACAAGATAGAGCTTTTCAAGAGCGGGGTGAGGGTGGGGATGGCAATCCATGCCCCGCCCGCCTCATTGCCATTCCTCCTTCCTTTAAGGGAGCCAAAGGCTCCAAAGGAGGTACCTAAGAGACTGAAAATGGATTTCAAAGTCTGTACAGTAAAATAGAACCCATTTCCAACAACTCATTTATTCAAGTCAAAAACTGGGCTATCGTGGTTTCAAGTTCCAACACCAACTTGCAGTAACTAATTCTATTGCCTCTTGGGAATTTTGGTTCCGACTCCGTGTAAAATGACATCCTCAATTCACTTCAACCACGATAAATGAAATTCCATGTTACTATTAGTTTGCCTTATGGATATTTATTTATACCGAATGAGGAAATACTTTTAGTCTTCACGGGAGAAAAACTTCCTGAAAATCTCACTTTAATATATATATATATATATATATATATATATATATAAAGGAAAGAAAAAATTGCCTGCGAAATCAACACATGCCGATGTGCCATTAGTTCAGTCAAATGGGTTTGTTCAATGACAACAACATAAGCAAACCAAAACACTCTTTTATCTTATATGTCCCTCAACACTTACACATGCAACGGTTCACTTAATTTTGTCTGTTTAATTCCAGACCAAATGCACAAAGACATGATGAGAAAAAAAAAAAAAAAGCCCTAAATTACTGCTCAAGGCTAGGTTTTTTAAAGGGACGGGTGAATCTACCTATATTTTGTAACTTTGCATTTGGAAGTTTAGGAACTGAATCTCCAAGGCAGTATTTTAAACTGCTAGAAACATGCTCGCTTGGTCCTCAGAAAATTGGGTATGGTTATACTTGCACATGAATCATCCTTGACCAACAAAGCCATTGAGAATGGTGTCATTGTTAATGGTTTAAAAGGCAGAAGCAAGTAATAAAAAATGACAATTAGGTAAAACATAAAAGAGTTGGTCTTTTGTGGGTTAGGAAGAATATGCCCTGACAAAGAGTCTGACAAATGAGGGGAAAAGGAGTCTTCATCTCGCCTCGTGAATCACCCATTCTTCCTCTCTTTTCAATAATATTGTTGTATATTTTTTCGTAAATCAAAATTTTGGTATACACTAGTATATGTTTCAATTTTGTACGTACGTGAAAGTCTCTTTGGTCCCTAGTCTTGCCTTCTCTTTCTCTTTGGAAGTCCGAAAACTATTCGCTGCCTGAGAAGAAGCACGAGCTGGGTCTGGGCCGAGGTTGTATAATCTTTTTGGGTTGTTATGGACTCCAGTGACCGTCATAGGCAGTGAACAACCAGTATTTGGGACCGAGATGGTAGCTATTATGGAAGAGAGAAACTATTTCACATGGATTATGGAAGAATTAATGCGCGAAGAGAGATTGTTTTACATTGGTTGTGAAGAGAGAAACTATTTTCATAGTTACTTGTTCAGTTGTCAGAGGATAAGCCCATTATTAGACCGAACAAAAGGCCAAACTTTAAAATATTCACAATAGTTACTCAATAGAATATTTCTTTTTATTTTTTTTAATAGAGTAAGTATTGATAGGTACTGATGGGGTAATATATATATATATATATATATATATATATATATATATATATATATATATATATATATTTTTTTTTTTTTTTTTTTTTTGAGTTCAATGAAACAGAAAATGAAAGAATCTCATCTGCTTACCAAAATAAAACTATCACGAAACATTTCCAATACAGCGAATCAGAACCAGAACACCTACTGATTGAGAAAGAAACCACTAAACCCAGAGAAGTTGCGAGTGTCCATTTTTATACAACCTACCTAACTTGGCCAGCTGCATCTCACAAAAACTTACAAAAAGTTCAAACTGAATCCCATGGCCATTTCCTCGAAAGTCATTTTCTATTTAAAGAGTGTCAGATCAGTGCATTTTCATGAGAATAGCATTACCTGCCCTATAGTTAATCTAATCATTTGTCCCCCCAAGAGAGGACTGCTTCCAGTGCACAGTGTCTCCATGAAAACCCTGTACAAGAATCTGCCGGAACCCGAGTTGAAAATCGCTGAAACTTTGCCCCTGTGCTAGAGGCTGGTAAAATTAAAGTTAAATAGCGAGCACGCAGGCAGGAAGAAAAAACTTACTTTGACAGGTTTGTACAATTTACAACGTAAAACACGGTTGAAGGCAAACAAAATGAGAGGAGCAGAAAACTTCTCAAGAAATAACTATAATAATTGTCACCTTGTACTTCACCAGTTCTAGGGTTTTTCGCACAGAAGCTAAATTCAAGTATGAGATCCGGTTAAAAGTTACAGTGTACATTAAAGAATTGAAGGGTGGCTCCTCATTATCTCTTTCAGAAGCTACCAGGTATTCACACGAGAATAATACAAGAGACAAAAACATGAGATATAACTTCATCACATACTGCCAGCTTCCGTTGGTGTGGTACAAGGAGCCAGCGTGTTGGGAGGCAGACTGATTCCACCTCCTCTAACGGATATATTGGAGCACTTGACTGAGCTAGCCCTGCTTACCTGATTCGAGTCAAGAAACACAACAATCACAGTAATGTCATCGTGGAAATGCCGCCGTACACCGCGATCGATCTTCTTCAAGTCTGAATATCTCATTTCTCTCTTCTTTGCTGCTTCTTGCAAGGCAGCTTTTACCAGCCTCCTTGCACTTCCCTGCATGAATAAAACAAGCATCAAAATATGGAGCAAAGGATGAGAATAAAATAAGAAACAAAATGTAACTTAAATTGAAAGTTTTTCAAGGTACTACTCCTACGGATAAATTTGCAACTGAAACACTCAGTAATGTGAAATGGTGAATTTTCACATTTCCAATTTGCAAATATTACTAATTTAGAGGCATGCAAAAGACCTAGTTAGTTAAAATTTCAGATGAAGTGAGTACTATAAACACTGTTTTATCAGCAAGACTATAGCATTTTTCAAGACCAAAAATTAATATTTAAACTCAATGAAGTTAATCTAATAATGTTTTCACGAAAATGAGAAAAGAGATAGCAAAAACAATCATCACAGGAACAGGACAAATTCAGTGCTGAGCACTTTTCTCTCTTTACAAGAAAAATTAATTTCATAAACAAAAAGTTGATAGATTAAGTTGTGGAACAGATAACAACTATTCTAACTGAAGGCACAGTCCAAACGAGCAATGCCCCTAATTGTGTCTTTACATATGGATGATGATGAAAGAGCGTGTTAAAACAAGTGAAATTCATTAAAAATAAACAATTTCTAGCACCGAGATATATGTTGCTTACATTGTGTGGATGATTTTGAACAATATCAACTGCTTCTTGATTGCTTAGGTGCTCCCAAAGGCCATCAGAGGCAAATATAATAAATTGATCGTGAGGCTGCAACTGGTGCACTGAAATTGACGGTTCTGCACTCAATATTGGCTTTTTGAAAGGTTCACGGAGTCGAAACTTAACATATAAAGGTTCCCTGTTGAACTCTGCCTTCTTCAAATATACATCACCAATAGATCTGGAAACCTGGGAGGTCAAAGGATTGTGATCATCATTGAACAAATTCAAAAGCAAGGTTGCATCAGGTCAAAACCCACAACATATACCAAATAAATATTTTTTGAACCTCAAGAAAAGCATTTAGTGGAATTTTTTAACACCAAACCCTATCTGGAATATCATGTCAAATTTCTGATTCAAACCAGAGAATAAATATTCGTATTTGCTAAGATCAGCCAAGTAACTGCAGGTGTATTGCATAGTGACAATTATCCATGAATTTTCCACTGTTTCTCTTATCTATAGCACTTGGGAATTTTTCCTCATCAATTTATGATGAATTTAATTGAGTTAGAAGTGGCACCTAACACCCCGATTCACCAAGCATGCTTTGAAAAACAACTTTCAACATGGACCGGCCTAACACCCAAGCCTGACCAAAGCATAAATTTCATGGTGTACCAAAGTTGCCAAATCTGAGAAATGTGTCAGATGTTCAAAAGAGACTAATGCAAGGTGCACAGACTAAACAACCCCTAAAACTATGGGATGCCATTTAGTAGCTTCATCTTAAAAACAAAATCTCATATTGTCCGCAGAGATCATATATAAATATAAATGAAGAACAAAATGCCATAATGAAGTTGACCAGTGAATTATTGACCAAGTCAAGAGCTACCAACCAAAAGCTTCATAATGATTCTGAACTTCACATTTATGGCAATCCATTTACCAGTAAGTAAGGGTATTCCTATCAAATTACTTGACAGAACCACGTAAAACCAGAACAGACTTTTAGTATATTACTGTAGGCCCTTTCAACTATCTACGACATAGCCCTCACATTGACTCCATTTTGTAGTTCCCCATATGATAACTGCAAGATCATTTTTATAAAAGCTAATGCAAGACCCTAAAAGATAACATGGCAATATAAGCTAAAGCACAGCATTTACAAGCACCTAATAAAGCTATGACTCCAATGCCACTCAAAATCATATCATGTAGGGTGATATCATCCTCAGCTATTCAGACATTGAAGACCATTACAAACAGTCACATCACAGCCTACCAGATCCAAAGAAAACCAAGCTAGACAGGGAGAATAGGATTCAAGAGATAAATAGATAACAAGCTCCATCTGACTCTACCCACATCCACTATTTGCTGTAAAGCAGACATCAACGGTGCTGCCTCAGAGCGAGGCCCTCTGATCATGCCAGCCAGGACGATTGGCACCGACATTGATACTGAATTTTAAAATTACTATGTTCCAACTCCTTTCATTATATAACATGCTTTCAAACTCTTAACACATTAATTGACTAAAATCACAGTGCCTAGAACGCAACAAGGCTACAAGAACAGCCAACTGTGACAAGATCCACACATATTCTTAGTCAAATAAGAAAAAGAACATTACCACCAGCTCTTGGATGGTGAATAACTTACCTGTATAAGACCTTTTACACGCCATACGTTGTGTTTTAAAACTACAACATGTGAGTCATCTGGATGCAAAGCCTGCAGTTCCTGTCTCACAGACTCAATGCAAGCATTGTGTTCAGCAGATAGCTGAATAGACAGAACTTCCCCTGTTGCCTTCACAGCTCTACCCAAAACAGCACGTGAATCACCGAGGTTTGCAATGTAAAGGGTTCCATTACAGATAACACCAACCAGGCAGCAGGAACCAACTGCTGCAATTTGTGGTTTTGTAGGCCACTGTTTAGTAACAAGAGAGAGAAAACCCTCTTCTGTTGCTTGAAATGCCTTCCGTATCACTTCCACTGACATTGATTGTTGCTCCGAAGTAAACCCTACAGATAAGCATCAAACTTGAAATTTTTAGTGCATGGAATAGACTTAAATATCCAAAAGCTCACCAAGAAGATGAATTTAAAACAAAATATAATGATCAAGTTAAATTTATTGGGAAAAAGGTACAAACGAAAGGAAAATAAAATCATAACAAGAAACCTCCACATTTTTAAATTATTGATAGATTGAAACACTTGATCCCTACCTACCCATGCTCCTATCTTACAATCAAGATAAGAAAGCAGTGGTTGTAAACTCCACTTTAAGTGTGTCTAGGATACCTATTTGGGTTAATTGACATACATTTTAATTTTTAGAAACAAGGATAGGCAAAACCAGGAAACACTAAGTCACAAATTCATGCAGAAGAGTTTGTCAGTTTGAAGTAACTTACTCTTAAGATGCTGAAAGAGGTGATCATTGATGTAGCGTGATGTCTCAGGCCCCCCATGTCCATCATAAACACCAACAAAAGTACCATATGGGCCAGAGTCGTTTAAGCTCAAACTTCCTGACTCAAGCTGACTCTGATCCTCAAGTAAATTGTTGGCCTGCACTACTGCCATAGAAAATTCACCATTTACGTGCTGCCCGTGATCTTTGTACCACAACAGCCCGTCTTGGCGACCACCAGTGTCTGAATTCGTGTGAACATATCGATCGGACCTTGGCCGGAAACAGGCCCTCAAAAAGTTCATCAACCCAGATAACATCCCTCATCTCATCTAAACACCCTCTGAATAATCCACATTTAATAAGAGCCCAAAAGAAATCTGACCCAGAAACCTCAGAATGATTTGTGTCCTCCTCTACTTTACAACACGGTAAGGCTGCTCTACAACGAGATCAACAACAAAACAAATGAACAATCTTCCACCTAAGACTCGAAACAATTCGGATACAAAACCCCACTACTGCACACTCAATGCTCAACAAAACAAGTTGTGACTCAAAAAACCCAATTCTGACCTTACTATGCTCTACTCATCAGCAAATTAGTTTTGTACAAGAAAACCAACAGCCAAAAAAAAAAAGCACACACAAAGACTCGTGTAGTTATACAGCTGGAGCTTAACAGATCAATAAAATGATTTAAAAAAAGCAGCCATTTTGTTAGTTTCAATCCACGAACTGCACAATAACATATGAAATCAAGGCCTATGGTAACAAAACCATTATGCTTTTTTCTCTAAACTAAAACCGCAACACCCTAATAATGAAAAAATAAAAAAGAAACTTTGAGAAGAAAAGGAATGGTCAAAGCATACTTTTTTCTCGAAGTTTGGTCAGCCATTGAAAAATTCCAGAAGGTCTAACATGTAACATTGAATCATTAAAACCCATAATTATACAAATCATCAATGACTCATTAATCACCAAAAATCAACTAATAAATATTATACAAAAAGAATCAAACTTTTTTCTTCCTTCCCTAGCTTACCTTGTTATAATCTGACTTGTTCTTCAAAGCTATTAACTTTAACAGCTAAACAAAGAACTGCTTCTTGTGGGTTTATCAAAGTGTTAGATCTACGGATCCAACAGAATCAAGAAAGCTAAAATACAAATGGGTTTTAACTGTTTTTGTGTTAGTGGTTTTATAGATGATGAAATTGTTGAATAAAGAAGTATTGAAATGGAGTTTGTGTGTTTTAACAAAAGTGAAGTCTTTGTTAAAAGATTGGACCCAACATACACCTCTCTCTCTCCTTTCCTTTCTCTCTCTAGATTTTTTCTTCTCTTCCTCTCTCTCTATACTTTTTAGCAGACAAGCCCCATAAAAGACCTACGATGGAGAGCTTGAAGCCAGCAAAGCAGAGGTCCAGTTTTGGGCTCCACACACACTTTGGTAATAGAGAGAGAGTCAATGGATTTTATATTTTGGATAATAACACTTTAGATTTTTAGCCTGCCCGATAACTAGATTTTACTATTTTACTTTTTCCGGATTTGAATTTATTTCATAGTTAAAAAAAAAATTAAGATTGGTCTATTTAATTTCCAAGGCGGTTTTTTTTTTTTTTTGCTTCGATTTCAAAGGATATTTTTTTGATAGTTTATCAAAATATTTAGAAAAATAAATTTTTATATATTTATTTAGATTCGATAGAATATTTTTTTGGAGTCAATCTGTAATTAATCGAAACGAAATTTTTTATATAATTTAAAAAATACATATCTAATATTAATGTATATTTTTTAAAAGAATTTTCTTACATGCTAAATTGAGATTCCAACTTGAGAGATTGAAAGAAAAAAAGGAGGAAATTTCTTTTGCAATGGACCGGACTACTACGCTAAAACTGCTGTGGAAGGGCCACATCATTCAAACAAAGAAAATTGAAAAACGATATAATGGACGGCAATATTATGGGTGTTGCATGAAATGGGGTTCACGTGAGTCCACGTGGGACGTGCATAAAACGGAAGCTATTGCCCAGTTTCAATATGGCTAACTCGTCGTTTTGGTTGGACTTGGTTTATTACGTGTCAGCACATGAGAGGCGTAGCGCGCAATAGGTGGGTGCTCTTAGGTAACCGGCTACTGCTCGAATTACTCCTGCGACGCGAGAGATATTGCCACACCCTTTCTGGTTAGTCACGCTCTCAACGAAAGCTATGGCCCAAAAACCGTAGTGTCGGACCCAATCGGGTTCTGACCCACCCGATCAAGATTTCGCGTAATTGGATCGGAAATCAATCAGTCCGGTCAGCGGATTAATCCAGTTGATCAACTATTATAATAATATTAATTAAAAAAATATATGTGATATTAAAAGTAAACTGTATGATATGTATTAGTCTTATTGACTGGACAAAACTTTAGTAATCCGTAAGAGAATAAAAGTTCAAATTCTACACAAAATAATTTAGATTTGTCCTTAAAAAAAAAATCAACTTTTTTATTCTATCCGGTCTTGACCAGGTCAACTGAATTCTGACCGAAGCAACTTCTAGCCCTGTCCAATTTTAAGTTTAATCTGAACTAAATTTTAGATTAATCGAGTTTTCAAATGGATTCGGATTCCACAACTATAACAAAAAATCAAGTTCTAAATTATGTGACAAATTTATGTTATAACATAGTTTCTTCGACATCAATATATATGTATTTTAGAATCAGCTTTTATATATATAAAAAAAACCTTTCTGCAATTAAACTTTAAATATGTAATCTAGATGGAGATTGATATAATTATAAGAATTTTTTATTACATTTTCTGATTTGATTAGAATATTCTTAGAGGTATTTATTTTTTTTAATGATTATTATTATTTTATTTTAATTAGGCAGGGCGAGGAGGGGATTATCGTCTGGTGATAACACCCGGGGACAAAACGTGTAGCGTTTCGATGGGTCAGAGCCTAATGATAAGAAGAAAATGGTCAGCATACCTACATGCTAACAGCTCATGAGAAACCCTTTTCTAGCGTTTGGACATTTGTGAGGCAGCCGACTTTTGATTGCCTCTTAATTTTATTTTATTTTTCCCCTCGGAAGAATCCCAATTCTAAAATCTTTTATTATTTTATTTGATACACAACATAAAAAATAACGATTTAAATTTTTTTTTATTTAAATAAAAACTCGAGCACTTATTTAAATTATTATGACCTTTTTCATTTAATCCAACTAAAACCAATGGAGATTCTTAAAATCTTCTCTGCTTCCAGCAATACCACACTGTTTTTTTTTTCCCCGCAAATTTGGACGGTGCTATTCTTTTTTCACTGCTTTCCTCTTGTTCAAAAACAAAAACAATAGACCAGGAAACAGTCAATATACGCACGCGGCAGTGAATCCTACACCAAATCAAAGCCATTTCTGATTGTAGTTAAACTTGACAAAAAGGCTACTGCAAACGAAAAAGGCCTCTAATCACATGCAAACCTTTTTAAGTTTCGAGGAGGAATTATATGGGATTTGGTTGCAAGATGAGGAGAATAGAAAATATGCCGATTTACTTTCCATAAACATCCAGAAGTTCCTTTCACAGGAATAAATGCCCTCATATGCCAGGATTATATCTTTCACAATGTTTTGATGTACTTCTCGAGTTTATGCCATCAAAGAGGCTTTTCAACAATCTGGCATAAAACGAGTGGCTCTGAGCAATTTTATCCAGGAATCTTATCATACGATAAAATGATTTTGATTTCATCCTTCATTGCCTTCAGCTCCATATCTGTTCTTCAATGGAGGCGAGGGCCTGATGGGTCCTTCACCACCTGCTTTCCAAAACTAACACTTCAATTTGCAACCTTATCCACCCACTCTGCATTGGGCATAACATAGCCAGCTTGCCAACATCGGCAGCTACGCACAAATTTTGAGGACCCCCCTCCCACCAAACTAGGTATAACAGACTAGAGTAGACTGTAACCATAGAGGAAAAAATACAGAAAAGGAGGAGGTTGGTAAAAAAAAAATAAAGGGCTGTGCAGGATTTGGGCTCTCCTATCTCAGTGACACCCCAAAAAAAAGTGCAAATATTTTCGTTCGTAACCTACAGTCCGTAAATGATGTCAAAATGGAGATAGAAAGGGAGAAGTGGACAGGATGTCGCCAGTTCAATAATATTAATGTATTGTTTGGATATAGTGCTTGCTAACATGCGCATGTGGCACTATATGTATATATATATATATATATATATATATATATAATATCAATTATAATGGTTTTCAGGGAATTTGATAAGATGACAGGATCCATCAACTGTGGATTGTTTGGTATCCAGTAGTGGGAATTGTTAGGTCATTATCACAGGTCACCCTCTTAATTCTCAATGGAGAAGAAAAGGATAATGGGAGCCAACTACATGGCTTGAAACTGTGCATCTCTATTTTTACTCTGCAATTCACAGAACAGTACTCTACATGTCTGAATTATGGAGCTATTTACCCAAAAACTTAAACGGTAGGCCGTTTACTGTTTTAAACTTCTAATCGTTTAGTTAGTAAAATTTTTATATTATATCGACACATCATTGTTTAAAAACTTAAACAATTAGGTAAAATATCAGGATATTATTTATAGTAAAATTTAAAACAGGATGATAACCCTTGATCAGTAAGCGAATTCTCATTTAACTTGCCCACATTGCCAAACCATAGCTTAGCAAATATATAGGTGACAAACCAAAACTTATATTGGCTGCTCCTAATGAATTGTTGCAAAACCCAACTCATATCAAACAATTAAAAGCATGTGTTGAGTCATTATTGGAAATACATTGTGAATAGAATCATTTCCAGGCCGAAGAACCTAAAAATTCAAACATTAAAAAATGGACCACATCATCAAGAAAAAATTATGCCTTTTCTTCTGCAGAATCACAATCGGTTCATGATAGCTGGTAACAGAAACACACTTTTGGTTTGTCCAATATTAACGTGCCTCTATATATACCTTGTCATGTGAGGTTTCAAAGAAGGGAGAGAGATGATTGGAACAGTTAAGTTGAAAGCAACATAGTCCAGGTAAATTGGACTCCCTTTACCATGCTCTGATTTTACCACATTGTTCTCATTGTTCTTGAATGTTGAATAGTTTGCCATGGATATCTGAGAAGGGGAAGAATCACTGAAAAGGGTGAAATTTTGGCAGAGAATACTGGTAAAGAATGGCCAGTGACTTGACATCTCTCTTACCATTCAATGGATCACATTGTGGTGTGCACAGTTATAATATTCCCTTGGATAGTATTGTATAAGCCGATAGGACTGCCTATTCGCCATTGAACTTGGTCATCAGGTTACACTGACATGAAGCTTAGGACCACTTTTATATGAGAAAGCAGGCTTGTCCTTTGCTTTATTTTTTATTGCATTTCCCTGTATACCTAAAATGCACAACAATTAAGATTGTAATTTGTCCACATCAACTACTCCTTATTTCCTCTTCCCATTTTATGGTTTGCACATGACATGCCTTTCTAGTTAAAGCTTGTGGGTCTTGCCCACTAACCTTGTAGCTGCATGATGCTGGCCTTTCTTTTAATCCATCGTCTCACTAAAGAGTCAACTCATTAGTGTGCCCGATAAAAAAAAAAAAAAAATCACTTTCTTGCAAGAGGAATTGATCGGTGAATCTGCCCTGCAAAAATAGGGCAACTAAGAAATCTAGTTCAAGTTCCTCCTTCCATTTTAGCCACACAATCAGATAAAACTCTTCATTTTTCTGGTGTCATCTGTCAAACCATTCTTAGACAAATATTACAATTGAATTAGTATATCTACAAAACAAAATTTTCTCATGACTCTCTTATATTTCAACCCTTTTGATGAATGAAAAAGATGGGATCCTGTATGTTGGGATGTGGACTAACAGCACCAAGACGAAGGGGCAACATCGATCTTACCTAGAATGAATCTTCGTTTTCAATTATTTAAATCACTGATGTATTTTGGATACAATTGGATACAATAATATTTTTATGATAGGTATGGAAGATCTGTGTAGATGGCAAAGCGAAGGTAGAGATAGATATGCCCTTTTACCTAACATCGAAATTAAATGTGCCAAGACACAAAGGACAGTCAAATCTTTCAAATTTCACATCATTTGTTCAAACTTCAAATTAATGCTAACAGGTTTTCAACTGGGAAATGAGCCAAGACCCCCTTCGCATTATTGACCTTCTTGAAGTCTAGAGACCGCCACGTTAGTAGAATAAGAAATCTCCACCATTTGACCACAAATGTATATCAGATAATTCTCAATAATGGAAGCATAAAAAGGATCAATGGGGGGAAAAACCAACAACGATAGAATTCAAACAGCTCAGAAATAATTCGAGATTCGGTTCGATTGGGCCCAAAGTAAGATTCTTTTCCACAAGACGAGAGAGTACAATGATCAGGAAATTTTTTAACCATTCTTTGGACAATGAAGAGTTCGAGATCCTGGCTTCCATCACCACAAAATCATGGCTTCAGCAGGATAAAAGCTAAATATTTTTCAAAGTGAGGGAGATTTATGACGATTTTATTATAAAACATGTTACATTTATCACGGTTCTCAATCCTTATACATGCATCTATATGTGACGGTGTTATTTTATTAATTAATAGAGGTCTCCGCTAAGCTTATTGATTTACATTAATGGATAGAGATCTAGGCAGTTTCAAACTTCCAATAGAAGTGCTTCCTGACAATTATAATTTTAAAAAATTAAAGAATTGTTTCGTATAACTAGTAGTTTTTGTTTTTCAAATTTCTGGAAATATGTTTTGAAATTTTTTTATTCTCGAAAGTATCTACAAAAAAATTTGAATTCGAAATCATTTGCTTAAATAATTAAAATTATTTCCATTCATACCAATCTTCTTTGATATTTTTGGATGTTTTTTTTTAAAATATTAAAACAACAATCTTTAGTACATGTTATAAAGCAAACTCTTTTTTTTTTGAAAAAGAAAAAAAGAAAACTTCTTATAATCCAAAAATAATACTAAATGAATTCTAAATTATTGATAGGTACTAGCAAAGGGTATGGGATTGAACAACAACATTAAAAAAAAAAAATGTTGACAAGAAAAAGGAATGAAGTATTAGATTCGCTGTGCCTTATCTCAACCACCAGAGATCGACAATTCGGATAATGTCGTTCGACTCAAATCTATAGAGAAGTCATGTCTTCGAGAAAACAATGTACTTAGTCTAGGTTGTGTGTAACATTAAATGAAGATGGCCCATCTCCTGGATGGTAAAATTATTTTATTATTGCCTAAACTGTGGAATTTCACATTCATTGAACAAGGGTCCATGGATTATTAATAATCAAAACCTTAATTACGACTAATCAACGGGTTAACAATTAACACAGCTTAGTTAAGGCCTCCCTTGGAACAATTTATGAGCTTTTATTTTTGCTACTAATCTTGTGACATCTCCTTGGAAAAACGATAATGAGGAGTGCAAGAGGAAGACTTTTTCAATAGGTCAGTGTCCTACCATTATATTTTATTTTTAGTTGAGAAGGTTCTTTTGCATGATAATTATACAGTTATAAACTAGATTTTTTATCCGCGTTATGCTTGTGGATCGGATAAAATATATAAAATCATATAGAAAAATTATTTTAGTTTAATAATCTATTTTATGGTAAAAAATAATTATAATTTTTAAATGAAAAAAATTTATATTTAACTATTTCTTATTTGTGTTTTTAAATTTTAGAAATAAATAATAAAGCAAATAAATTATTGATTTCTTTAAAATTTTAACACCCAATTAATTGTTGGTTCTTTTAAAATTTTAACACCTAATATTATTAAGAAATTAAAAAAAAAAAAACAATGTTTAGGAAAAAAAAAAAAAAGGAGGCTAGCCGTTACTTGTTCAAGTGAATAGTAAACGGACGGAAATTAAAAAAAAAATTAGTGTTTAGAGGAAAAAAAAAAAGAGGGCAAGTCTGTTTACCATTCAAATGAACAATAAACGGGTAAAAAAAGGGGGGAGGCCAGCGGTGCTTGCAAAAAAAAAAAAATGAAAACTTAAAAAACCAAAAAAAGGCAAAGTAATATAGCAATGAACGAGTGATTAACACTGTTCATTGCTACGATAAAAATGGTTTTTCTTTAGTATATAGTATTAGATTTTTTACTCGCGCTATGTCTGCGGGTTGGATAAAATATATAAAATCGTTTCGAAAAATTATTTCAATTTAATAATCTGTTTTATGGTAAAAAATAATTATAATTTTTTAATAAAAAATTTTGTATTTAACTATTTCTTATTTATTTTTTTAAATTTTAAAAATAAATAATAAAGGAAATAAATTATTGGTTTCTTTAAAATTTTAACACCCAATTAATTGTTGGTTCTTTTAAAATTTTAACACCAAATACTATTAAGAAACAGAAATTAAAAAAAAATTCAATGTTTAGAAAAAAAAAAGGGTTGCAAGTCGTTTACTGTTCATGTGAACAGTAAATTGATGGAAATTTTTTTTTAAAAATCAATGTTTATAGGAAAAAAGAAAAAGAAGGAAGTCGTTCATTGTTCGGATGAACAAGTAAACGATTTAGGGGCAACGAGTCTAGCAAAAAAAAAAGCAAAAACATTTTAGCAATGAACAGTAATTGATAATGTTTATTGTTATAGTGAAAAAACGTTTTGCTTTAGTATAGCTTTAGTATATAAGATAATTCGACTCTCCTCTTTTTTATATTTTTTTCTTATATAATTAAGCATAAAATTTATTAGACTTGAAACTTATATAGATTTATTATTACTTTATATTTAATCATGTAAAAAAAATGAGAATAATGAAATACAAACTCATGGTTATTTAATCAAGAAATTGATATTATGTTAAAAAAAAATTTTTATTTTAAAAAATCTTTTGTGGTTATCTTTGGAAAACAATTTTGTATAATTTTCTAACAGTATCAAAGGTCCTGGGGATTTGTGTTTGGGTTTATTGCTTTACGTCACATGGACTGCTGACTTGGAACGCATGTACTCTTTTTAAAATTCCAAGTCCTTAAAAAACTTCATTGAAAGCTATGTTTCGAGCACTTTCCATGTGAAAACCTAAAAATTCCAATACATATGTAGAAATTTACTTGGGGGAGTTCTCCTCTAAAAATTCCAATAAATGGTCAATTTGCTTTAACATTAAGCATGGTAGAATCTCAGCCTCGAAAAGGACACGAAGATGCGATGAATCCTTAGCTAGTCTAAATTAAATTTAATGACTTATTTCATGTTTGGAATTTGGCATTTCTTTCAAAGTCAAGATCAAGGAATCTATAAACTGCATCGTTAATTTGGGAAACAACTAAAGTGGATGTTCCTGATCAATATGCATCATTTTTTCAAGCCATGCAAATTGATGGGTGACAAATGTGAAATGTCAAAGTTTGCGATAGAAAGAATGGACTGCCACCAACAAGTTTTTTACTTACGGGTAAACGAATTTATTTCTTGGTAATTTTTTTATCAATGTATAGAGTTTGAATCATAAGATGATATTTATTATGATTAATTTTGTTTGAAGTAAATTTTGTTATTTTTACTTCAAACAAAATTAATCTTATCTTTGATATGAAATGATAATATCCAAATAAAAAAAGTTATAAAATGCAAATAGTTAAAAGACGTATCCATCTTCTTCTTGCCCGTTTATGCATTATTACTACTTATAGAATTAATTAAAATTTCAATTTATGACAGGATATGATAGCAACAGGGGAGTATGAGTGAAAATGACTTAGAAAACAAACAAATATAACACCAAAAATATATAGAATTGCTAAGGAAGTTGAAATCTTATCGGAGTCTATCAAGGTTTTGCCTAATAGAACTGATAGGGTGAGTCTATTTTTGTTTGTTAATTAATTATATTTTCAAGGTAAAGTGTCAGAAAAATAGCATGTGTTTTAATCCATTTACACCTTGATAATGACCAAGTTTTAAATGTCGATTCAATGGTTTGAACTGGTTATCTGATATTCCCCGTCAATTAATTTGATAATAATAAATTGTTCAACTTTTAAAATTTCTTAATCGAGTTTTATTCTTTAAGTTTTAATAGTTTTTGCAATTAGCCTCAAAATTCACCAGTTATTAATATTCTTATACTTTTATGCACAATGTTTTCAATTTCAAGGATAATTTTCCCTTGACGATTATTCCTGTGAGTATTCTGTACTCTTTTTTTTTTTCTTTTTTTGTGGACACAGGTAATTGCATATCATGAGATGCATTGATATTGATATAAATAAAAAGATTGTTAGAGTATAAAAAATTATTATACTCATCTATTATTTGAAATTAAAGGATTTTGACATAATTAAAAAATTAAAAGCCCTATCAACAACAAAGCTAATTACATAAATAATTAACAAGGAGGATAATTTTGTTTGTGCTTATTTGGATGAACTCTTGAGACTGGGAGTTTAGGATTCCTTTGAATTGCTCCTTGGGCCAATTAATGCCTTTTCTTTTAATGGATCGGTTTAAGGAAAAGGCAAATTAAGGTTTGATGCTTGCAAGGTGGGAAGTCATTTTCCACCAAGAAAGGTTTAGCAAAATGCTCCCCAGAAGTCTTTGGTTTTTGTGGGCATCCTTTTGGACAAGATGTTTCGTCCTCAACTTCGTGTCATGATTTCAATAGTTAATGGACCATATTTCTGTTGAAGTCTTGCGAAATTTAGGCCAATTTCACATCACCATTAATATGAATGGACCTTAGCATCAACTATATGAACAGTTTTATTGTACCCCAAATCATACACTAACTGTAAAATATAAAATTATTATTATTATTATTATTTGCAAAAGTAGCATGTGAATGTTGATGATAAGTTGTAGAGATTGATATGAATATGATCGGTAGTTTAGTGCGTTACACAAAGTTAGCAAGACGGTTTCATTAAGTTATTTATAATTTTAATTGTCCACGTCATAGATAAATACAATATCTTTTATATTTGTAACTATTTATTAAAAACTCTAATAAAAACTCTTTATGCAATTATAGGATAAACAAATTTACTGCACAAAGTAAATTTTATTATGTTGCTTTCTCTTTTATATTTTTATTTGATTTGTTTCCTCCTAAGTAACTTCACTCATATAATTTAATATTTTTTTAAAATTTATACCAATAAAATACTATAAAGATCTTTTCAAATACGTTTGAATATCAAAAGCACAATAAAACTATAGGATAATTATTTTCTCTCGTGGGAATGGAGAAAACTCCCCCCATTCGTGGGTACTTTGTTACTATTAGGTCTTGTGTGAGTATTTTTTTTTTGGTTCAATCATCACGTACAATGTTAATTGTGTTTCTAAATAAATCTTCTCTTATCAAATTTTCTTCTTTGGTATTTTTTCTCTCTCCTTTATTATTTTCCTTTTTGTCTAGAAGAATTTCTTCCAAAGATATCATCCTGAGAACGTAACACCTTCAAACAGGAGGAGATTTCCCCCAGATTGGATAAAAGGAAATTATTATCTAAACCGAACGATAAACAAAAATATTGCACGTAATTGGAACATGACCAAGGATTCAAAAACAGTTACTATGCACACTTTTCAACGTTGATTAAGACGGATAACTAATTTACTCCTGTTTGTCTAATGATCATCATGTTAATCCTGCCTCTCGTGAAGTCAGCTTAATTAGCTGGGAATCAACATGGTCATTGATTGTTGACAAGAGGCTGGGCAAGAACTCCACTTTATTCCTGAGAATACAATAATTTTGTATCGTGGTGTGGAGGATAAGATTAAAGAGTGTTTGTACTGATTGCATGGTTGTCTTATCTGACACTACGGAACAAAGTTTTATTGCAATATCACCTGAAACTTTTTCTTTGTTTGGAGATCATAATTAACCACCACAACCCTTGTCATGCATGCTCGAAGAAGCCAATGGTTTGGTCCAAACCAAGTTGCTTTCGTTCATATATTTTATTTAAGGATCAATGCTTTATTGTGGAATTGTTTCCTTCTAGTTGTCTCTTTGGAGTTAGGTTGATGCATGATGGTGGATAATTGTATTGATTAATTTTATCTTAGGCCAGTGGTTTGCTTGACCATGACTCACATGACAAAATTCCCACAAAAAAGTAAAAGGTTTCAAAGTATGATTCAGATCTTGCAACTTTTTTTATATATGTATTCTTGATGCAATGTCCAGACTCTCTTCAATAAAAATAATGTGGTGCACGATTCTTGGATCAACTTTTCTGATAAAGCGGCAGCCAATTAGAAATCTTAAACATATTCATTTAAATACCATTCTTGATGGTGCTAAAAAGCTTTGTATTTTATCCAAGGATTGGTAGCTATAGACACTGTTTGGCATGCAATGTCCATGTTTTCATTTATATATATATATATATTTTTTGTTACATAGTTTTGATACGAAAATATCAATACTATGTGTAGATATATAAAAAAAGCATCTAAAATGACACCATATTCATACATTTTCAGACAAAAACACTTTTAATTATATTACTAAAAACAAATATAATACGTGTTTGATATTGCAGTGATTAAATAGAAAAAGTTTAAATAATCCAAAAACACCAACTTCTTTTACATAAAACCTATTAAATGTTTTGCCAAAAAAAAAAAAAAAAAAAAGAAACTAATACAATACCATTACAATTGCGCTGGCTTCTTGGCTACCACAATAATAAACAGGGCCATAGAGTCAGAGGTATTGTCAAATTCATGTAGTTTTGATTACTTTGATGGAAACCTTTAATACATACATACATATATATATATATAAAATCAATTATTTCAAAAACGAAATGAAACTTACGTCATGATGGGTTATTAGAATAGCCCATTTAACCAATGACAAACCAGTCCTATATAGTCTGATATCTTCCTCAGCCCATTAACATTATTACATGGGTTAAGTGTTTTCATTGTAATAAACGGACCTTCTGGGTTTATACTTGGCTTTTTGAAGCCCGGCCCATTATTTAAATACAATGGTGTCCAAATGATCGCATTAAAGGAAGATTATATTCTAACCCCAGCAGATTCTACAATGTCCATTTCGACCTCTATAATTTAGAATTTTCTAATTTCACCTTCAAAGTATTATTTCAACCGTTTCACGTTAAATAGCCAAGGTGGAATAACTACTGCGCGCTTTTTGAAATTTCTTTATTTATATATTCTGGACTTGTAATCGCTTTATGCTGAAGAATATAATGTATGTTTTATTATGTTTTTTGATAAAAGTATTAAGAAAAAACGAAAAACAAAAAATAAAAATAAAAATAAATTAAACAAACATTATTTATTTTTAGCAACAAATGATTGTGTTAAAACTATTGAATAAGGATAGAAATGGATTGGGATGGATCAAATTTTTATGTTCGGCTTCTATACTCGTTTAAATTAATTCAACCAAACATATCAGATTTAAATCCTCTTAGAATTTGCTATTCGATTGAAATAATTTTTTAACATATTTATTAATAATAAAATTACTAATATATGAAACAATATAAAAATTCAAAAATACATAAGTAAAATTAAATTAATATTATTTAATTGGTATATCGGGTGAACGAGCTGTCAAGCATTCGAAAATAAATACCAATCTTTTCTGGCTATCTCTCATAGTTAGATGAGTGAAATTTTTTAGAACAAATTAGGACGAGCATCATCGGTCAAATTGTCCTCTATAGTGTTGTAAAATTACAGGATTGTTATTAGAAAATATTAAATACAAGTGACAAAGTGGATCATTACAAAATATCAGGGAGTAAAATATAAATTGCCCGACCGAGCAATCTTTATCTCTTGCGTAATAACCCTACGACGAGAGAGCGAGACACAAATCCAAAAAAAAAAATTTCGTTTTAAACACACAGACGCAGAAACGCACTTCACTTCAAGCTCACGGAAATTAAAAATATCCTCTCGTCTTTTTTGCTTCACCTCTCTCGCTCCACTTCTTCCTGGCTGCTAATATTCTTTTCGCAGGTAAAATTTTTTGTTTATTTGTTTGTTATTTTTATTACTTTCTGTTCCGTTTCTTTTTAAAAACCTAAAGGTCTGTTTGGTTTCCGAGAAAAGTTAAAGAAAAATTAGAATAAAAAAGCTTATATGGTTTCCGAATGCTATTAAATTGTTTTATTGTGGTTTATCTGTAGCCAAGCGGAGCATTTTTTAGTTGATTTGGAATTAGAAATTGCATTTTGACTGTTACTGTAGTCATTTAGGGTTACGGAGATTTAGATTAGGTTTAATTTGTTATTGGAAATTGTGCATTAGTTTGTTTAATTTATTGGTGAGTAGTACAGAAAAAAGGAAATTGTTTTTTTTTTTTTTTTTTAATTTTGTGACATGTAATTAATATAAATTATTGTTTCTTTTCGGTTGCAGCTATATTAAGGCTGTTTGGTGAGGTTGTTTGTTTTTTGGTTAGACGATAGTGGAAATGGAGTTTGATGAATATGAATACTTAGAGAAAACAGTTGAAAATCTGGAACCGCCAAAGATGAAGGAAACTGCTAATGGTGGGAATGATATGGTGAAATCTAGGGAAAGGGATGGTTCACGGAGTTCAAAACATAGGAGTGATGAGAAGGATGATGGGGATGATGACGAAAGAAGACGTTCGAAGCGATCAAGATCTGGAGATGAGTCTAGGGATCGTGAACGGAGTAAAGAAAGGGGCTTGTCCCGTCATCGGTCACGTTCTAGAGATGGAGAGAGAGATCGGCACAGGAGTAGCAGGGAACATAGGGATAGAGACAGAGGTAAGGATAGAGATAAAGAGGAGAGAAATGGGAAAGAAAGGGATCGTGATCGAGACAGGAGAGATCGTGATGGTGAAAGGGAGAGGGAGAAAGTGAGGGAGAGGGAGAAAGAGAAGGAGAGGGAAAGAGAGCGGTCGCGTCGAAGCAGGAGTAGATCGGAAAGGCATAGAAGTGATCGGGATGAAAAGGATAGAGAGAAGAGCCGGGACAGGGAGCTGAGAGAAAAGGAAAGAGAAAAAGAGACGGAGTCAAGGGAACGAGAGAGAGAAAGCAGGTACCTTTCATTTTGATATTTTTTCTTTTATGTTTTTATCTATCACTCTTCCTCATGTCTTTATAGCTGCTACATTAACTTCACGTTTGATGTAAATATGAGTCTGTGGAAACTTTTCTTGTGGTTCTGTGAATCAGTTTAGTTAATAACATCCTTTCCAGTGTAATTCTGCTGTGAGTGGCTGTGTATGTACCGGTATGTGTAATGGTTTTCAACTGTTGATAGGAAGCATAAGAAGGGTGTAGTAGTAGGTGCAAGTTGCCTAGTTTAGTTGATAAAGTCACTTGACACCATTCCAAGAGACTTGGAACGAAATCTTACTCATTCCTGGGATTGAGATAGACATAAAGTTAACCTGCTACCCAACCATTTGGACCAAAAAGTTTGAAACACTGGGTTTTATTATTTGAATTTGGTGGGAAAACTATGTTATTTTCTATTAAAAGTTTATGTAATTCATATAATAGAAACTCCTTTTGGGTGGCTTTAACCATAATGTGACAATTCATGATTAGTGTCCAGTGTTCTCGCAATTAATCAAAATCATTATCCTCCCTCGTTCACAAAGTTTGCTTTCTGTTATTGGTGGGTTTGATTTTGAACATCTTCTACTCAGTTCTCTTCCCCTCTCTTTCTCTCTTTCTCATTTTACAAGGATTTTATTCTACACTGTCTTTGGATTTCTTTCATTCTTTCTCAACTTTCTTTAGGAATGTAAGTGAGGTTCACAGCTGTTTCCCCAATGCTTATCACATTTAGGCTGTTGTGTCATGGCTATGCATTTGATGAATTGTTGTTTATACCATCCATTGAATAATCAATCAGAAGATTGAACGGAGAATGAAGACCCGCTGTGACAAATAAACTCCAGTAATTTGATACCCCTATGATGTGACAGTTTTCTGATGAACTCGGTATTAGAATGTAAATTATATTCTAGATCTATTATGGTTTCTGTCATTTTGCCAAATTTAGTATTTTTCTTGATTTTGGACTTTTAGGGCATTCAGTTTGTTGAGTTAACCATATGTTTAGGTCTCTCTTTCCACATTTTTTGGGGCTAATTGTATATTCTTCTTCCAGTTTCTCCTGGAATGCTTGAAATTTGTGGTTCTTTTTTATTGAGACCCTTATGATGTGTTGGGAAATACGAGTTTCTGGAGTGACAAGCCTTCCCCTTCCCTTTTTAAATTTTCAAATGGGGGAGTGGAATTGGGGGGAGAGATCTGGTTGTGTGGTGGGTTTTACTTTTGAATGTTAGTTTCGACCACGTTTGAGGAAAGTTACAGTAAGTTGGAACAACAGTTATCTTTCCATTGGGATTTGCTCTGCACTGTCAACACATCTCCTTCATTGTGTAGAATCTAGATCTATGTGGTGAATAAAGTAATTTGGATGACTGTATTTAAATCTGCTTAACCTTATTCTTGAGGTTCAGTTATGCTCACTGATGGCTTTCTTGGATGTTGAGCGAGCAACTGCTGCACAGCATTATTTGTTGCGCAACTTTTTTGTCCAGATGTCATATTATAAAGATGTGCAAGAAAAGCTGGAGATTGGAGACCGTTGCCATTTGGTGTTTATAGTTGAACACTATTGTGTCTGCTGAACTCACGGACGACAATTTTATGCCTTTAGAGTTGTAGATGGATTCAATACACCTAGTAGTCTTGTGAAGAAATGACTTATCAATCTGAATGTCATGAGAGTTGTGCTGCAAATATTTGCTTTCACATGCCCTCTCCTGTTTTGATAAATTCCTCTTCACGTGCTCCTTAGTCCAAAGATCTTGTTATGCTACATCATTTCTTCATTTATGTGGTGATTCCATCTGTAGCTGTGCTGGATGTGGTCCTGTCTAGGGTTTGCAAGTACAATTGCCATAGGCTTTTTCTTGGTCTGTTTTCTTCCTGACAGTATTCATAACTCTTAATGGGTTTTATACCATTGTTTTAATGAGTTCTCTTATTAATGGCTCTTAAGTTTCATGTAGTTACTTATGATATCAACTATCTTGAAAATTCTGAATATTGAACATTAGATTCTGGGACTCGCAGATATGCTAGAGCTTTCAGATGGTCTTTCTGGCAATTGGGCCAGGCACAGGAACTCAGGTCATGGGTCTTAAATGTTTCTTCATAGGCTGTCTGGAATCATTTAAAAGCTTGCATTGCAAGATTGGGGGTTTCAGTGTTGGAGGTTTTGACCAGGGTGGTGATGTCATGTTGTGATTTTTGTTATCCTCCAGATTTGAACTTAGTTGCTTAATTGTATTTATTCTGTTGCAGAAATGCTGGTGAGGGAGTGATGAGCTTTGCTTAAGAGATGCACTTCATCTTCTGATGCTTGTGGAAAACTCAGTGTTCCGTGGGCTGCAAGCATTTGTTTTATTTTATTTTTGCAGGATAGATTATAACTCGAAAAAAGTACCTAATTGCCTATCTTGAAATTCTAGGTTTAAGATGCCCAACAGTGCTCCTATTCGCTTCATAAGTGTATTAGATTACTGATTGACAAATATCTCCGTCATCATGCTCAAAACTGTCTTGGATGTGTCATTGATGCAACTCCTGTACAGTTAGTCAAAAGTTCTCTCTTGACCTTGGGTAAATTCTTTTGCAAGCGTGTGGTATAAATTACACCAGTTATCCACAGTTTCTATACCTTGGAAGCATGGTGATGATTAACAGTTGAATTGTTTCTCAATTTCCCAGTTTCCATTATAGCGAAGCCCCCCTCTTCTTTTGCTCCTCAGTATCATCTGATGGGTGGCATTTGTGTGAATTGCTCTTGTTCACATTGTCTTTAAAAAAAACTCTGCAACGATAATCTCAATTTTCTGAGGTTTCAATTTCCTTCTACATGTATTTTTCTGTAATCCACTGGACTGGTTGTAAAACTGTGGTGAATGACATTAGCTTCTGAGTGCTTCTTTCCTGCCTCCTCCTGATGGTTCTTTTTTTGGATGTACAAACTCAACTCTAATATAAGTTGTTAACAGGTTTCACATTAATGCATATAGGTCCTTTGGTATTGCCATTGATACAACTTGATGATGTTGTTCCATTTAAGATTATGTTTTTATTGAAGGTGCAAATTTATTAATCCATCACTTGAAGTTGGATTTCATAGTTCACTTCTCTTAGTTGCAACTTGCAACATTGTTCCCCAGGTTGGTTCTTGTTAATTTTAAGATGAAGATCTCTTAATTCTTAATGCATACATTCACAGTTCCTCTCATGTTAACTTTGTCTAGTTGCCTGCAGGGCTGTATTTCATGGGTTTAGCGTTTTAACTTGTACTGGAGACGTTTTTAATATTGTTTTGGATTATTTTCTAATTCTTTAATGATGAAGCAAACATAAGAAAAAACCTTCTTTCTTTAGAAGGACAAATCATCACTATGTTTGTATTTGCTTTATGAATGTTTTAGTTCCTGGTTGTTTTCCTCATCGTTTTGGTACTGGTTAGAGAATTGAGATCATCAATTTTAATTTCCATTGTCTTGCAGAAGATATAAAGATAGAAAGGAAGAAGTGACGGAGCCTGAGGCTGATCCTGAACGAGATCAGAGGACAGTATTTGCCTATCAGGTTAGTTATTTGATATAAGTTATGCTGTGTTCCCATGGTTTTAGTTGTAATATACTCCCTTTCACATTGTTTTCAACTTCGATTCTGGTGAAATTTTTGTACAGATATGCTTGAAGGCGGATGAAAGAGATGTCTATGAATTTTTCTCAAGGGCTGGCAAGGTTAGTTCTGTAGCAATTCTTTACAGGGCTATTTTTATTAGGAGCATATCGTGATCCTTTTTTTCTCTAATTTACAACAGAATTTTTCTCATGACATTCAAGCATAATCTATAGAGTGCATCTATTGTATAGTGTATGAAGAAGTTGCAGCTGAATATCTTTGGGAAGGGATGCACCGTATAAGCATTAATGGGGCTAATACCTTCTTATTTGGAGGAAAGATATGAACCAACTTCACATTGTAATATTTCACCCGTCAGAGCAATTGCTTAATTAACTTTTATGTGCTGTGTACGCAAAAAACAAACAAAATTTCATTGCAACGAACTCAAATTCATTGTTACTTGGACAGGGGATTGCCGTTCAGTCGCTTAGTTACTTAGTTTCTTCCTTTTGTTTTTAATACTCTTTGCACAACTTTCAGGTGCGGGATGTGCGACTCATCATGGATCGCAATTCAAGACGTTCAAAAGGAGTTGGGTAAGTTATATTTATAATGATCAACATTCCCTTAATTCATACATATTGATTTATTTTTGGTTTCACAGAGGTTCCAACTATATGGCTGTGTTGTGCATTCTCATCTGTGTCTTTTGCGAAATGGTTTTCTCTTGCTTTATCTTTATTTGGTTAGCTAGTACCCATACTTCTCTTTTGGCTTTTTAATCACTGAGATCCCTTGATTTGAAAGAAATTGCAAAGTTGGAGTTTTTGGTATTTATTTTTTGTCAAAGTCAATAAAAAATTACAATTTTCTTATGATTCTACTAGTTATTTTAGCTCTTACTTGAGAAAACAGAAGCCACAAAAAAATTGTGGTTTTGAAGTTATTTGTGAACAACGTAGAGTTAGCATGGTGATGCTGGACTCCTTTGTTACATTTGTTTGATTTACTGCAATATTACTCCTGTTTTTAGGTATATTAAGTTCTATGAGGTGATTTGCTATATTGCTCCGTTTGTTTTCTAGGTATATTGAGTTCTATGATGCAATGTCAGTGCCTATGGCTATAGCACTCTCTGGACAGCCCCTTCTTGGTCAACCAGTGATGGTGAAACCTTCTGAAGCTGAAAAGAATCTTGTTCAGTCAACTACAGCTGTGGCAGCAGGTGGGCTTATAGGCCCCTACTCAGGAGGGGCTAGAAGGTTGTATGTTGGCAACTTGCACTTCAACATAACAGAAGATCAACTTCGTCAGGTAAGCACTTTTTCTGTCACTGTTTATATTGACACTGACCTATCCAGAGGGTGTTTCTCCATATCAAAGTCTCTGGGGTTTTTTTTTTAATTGGTTTGATATATAACATTATTAAGGGAATTGTATAGTTAACATAGAGAAACTTTTTGATCTTATACATTTTTCATGATTTCTGTTTGTAATAGCTCACTATCATTGTAATGTCATTTTTCTCCCTTCCTTTTAGGATTGTACTTCTGTTTTGCCAGGTGACTTCAGAATTCAGATACGCCTCACTTGACTTATTTTCTGATTGCACAGGTGTTTGAACCATTTGGTGCTGTGGAGTTGGTGCAATTGCCTCATGATGAAAGTGGGCATTGCAAAGGTTTTGGTTTTGTCCAGGTGAGTTTTGTCAGCAATAAAAATGCATTTGAAAAAAAAAAAAATTGAGTGAAAAGTTGCAAGTTGAGTTCCAATTGCATGTTTATCTTAAGAATGAAACAGCGACCAAGACCTTAAAACTGATGTAACGATTGTTGTTGAAACTCCTCTGGTCTTTTATATTTAAACAGTATCTTCTACAACCCCCAAATGCTCTCTTCATGGCTGCACTGAGCTTTTCATTCAATTGGCCTTAGATAGGCTTAAGTAGAATCCTCTGGAAATTGGAGATTAATTAATGCAACTTTCACTGCAGTTTGCACGTCTTGAAGATTCTAGAAATGCATTAAACTTGAATGGACAGGTGGAGATTGCAGGCAGGCCGATCAAGGTAATCTCATGCTTCTAAATTGCATTTTTCCATTCCCCGTGCTGCTTGCATTGATGGTGGATCTCATAGTCATTTAACTACCTTTGATATTTATATGTTCTTGCCTACTCTTTAGGTGTCAGCTGTTACTGATCAAGCTGGAGCACAAGATGGTGGGATAAATGCTGGTGATTTTGATGATGATGAAGGTGGTGGCTTGGTGAGTAATTTAACTCATCTTTCTTATTTATTTATTTATTTATTTTTTGGATGATGAAGAGAGGGCTTTGTTGGATCAAGAATGCACTTTTAATATTGTCCTGCTTCTCTGAATGATTTAGTCCTTTGTTTCCTGATGCGACAAATAGAAGATGGAAAAGAAATGGCTATTACAAATGGAACGTGAAAAGTATGTATTTGGTAACTATGTTGAAGCATACCTAATCTTGTTTCAAATTTCAGGCTCTGAATGCACGTTCTCGGGCACTTTTGATGCAGAAGTTAGATCGCACTGGCACTGCCTCAAGGTTCGCCTTTGTCAAGCTTTGCTTCTGGATTGGAATTGTCTGATGATTTGATTGATTTTTTTCTTTTTGATAAATGAAGATGAATTATCTGATTGATTTAACATTTATTTCCTTTATTTGCAGTCTAACTGGTTCACTAGGCACCCCTACTCTACCACCAGCACCTCTCCTTGGGGCTGCACCTGTAGTGTCTCCTGCTGTTGCTCCTCTTTTATCAGGTTCTGTTCCATCTATTCCTGGACTTCCAGTTCCAGGTCTTCAACTTCCTGCTACTACAATTCCAACTGTGGAGACAATTGGAGTCCCAAGTGATTGCCTACTTTTGAAAAACATGTTTGATCCAAAAACAGAGGTTCGTGGACTCACTTTTTTGGGGACTTCTGATTTTGATTTTTTTTTCTTTTGCTTAGACTCTCTCATATTTTGGCAGAGTGAACCAGATTTTGATTTGGATATTAAAGAAGATGTTCAAGAGGAATGCTCAAGGTTCGGAACTGTGAAACATATTTATGTGGACAAGTAAGTACTGTTTAGGTGTGCTGTGCCATTTCTTCTCTTTGACGGGTCTGGTCTGTAGTTTGACCTCTCTGAAACAATCACATTTTAATGTCTATCCTCCCTTCTGTTATACAAAGCATCTTCCTCTTGATGATGATGTTGTTAACCGACATAATATTTCTTGCTGATTGTGATAACTCATTCAAGCTGATAAAATCCCCTCTATTTTGTTTCTTTCATGTTTCTTACACGCAACTGCCTTTTTTCTTGTGAAAAAACAGGAACACTGCTGGTTTTGTTTACATGCGTTTTGAGAATATGCAAGCTGCAGTAAGTGCCCAACGTGCTCTTCATGGAAGATGGTTTGCTGGGAAGTTGATCACTGCAACATTCATGGTAATCATTCATTTTCTTAACGTATCTGTGATTTCACTTGTCGATACAACTTATGTTGCAAACTTTTTCTAATCCCTTGCAGGCGCCCCAGACCTACGAGGCTAGGTTTCCTGACAGCAGATAGGATTAGGAGTATATGATTTTGGGTGTTCAAATTCATCACCTCGTCTATTAATTCTGGCTTTGTTGTGTTGCACTGTTGTTTAGATTAGGTGAGATAGATGTTGGAAGAAACATGTACATGATATGGTTATCAAATTTCATATTTAAGAAGTTCAGACCTATTTGTATTTTGTAGGTTTTGTTTGCATCTCTTCTTTTAAGGTCTGACCTATTTGTATCTTTCCAATTTTTTTTTTTTTTTAAAAAACAAATTAGAAAAAAAAAAAAAAAAAAACTGAAGAATCAGTTTCGAAACAATAGAAGCTGAAATTTTGGAAAGATAAACTTTTTGCGCTCTTTCTTTCCATTTTGGAAAGATCAAATATGGTGGGCCAGCCATTAAAATTTTACTTCTTGAAATCACCATCTCCTCCCGTTTTCCTCCCTCTTTCCAAAGAACGGAAGGCGTACATCGTCTCAAATCCACTCTTTCAAGCTCTCTCGAATGTCAAAATGAATGTCAAAGTGATAATAGAAAACAACTTTCAAGATCTCTCGAATGTCAAAGTGAATGACTCCGATTTTGGTGAAGATACATATATGGTCCAAGCAACACACCTATATGTACATGAATGTTTTTCAGATAGAGGAGGAGTGTTGCTTGATTCATTTGTAATTTTGGACTCCTATGAGACAAAATTATAAGCAATTTCAAAGATAAACTCATGACCATACATACGATACAGTGATTTTGAAAATATTCTATTTTTTTATTGTTATTTAGAAATAAAGTTAAATTCCCTTTTTAAATCAACCAGAGCATATAATTTCCTTGTTGCCGGTATGGCAGTGTCTAATCCTATGTTGTTTAATTGCTTTTCCAATACATCTGATCAAAGAGCTAACCTCAAAAAATTAGATGCAAAAACCTAATCATAAACCCACTAACACTAGTACTGCGTGCCAAAAAAGAAAAATATATCTTTTAATTCAGTTGAAGCTTAAAAATCCTTTATTTGTAAAGTAATATTTAGCTTCTTCAAAATATTTTAAACCAGGCCTCAAAAGCTCAAGGCCCAAGTAAGATTAGATCCTAAACTCATAACAGGCTCAACATCAGGCAGGCTTCGAGTTTTACGAGAAACTTTTGATCTGGCTTAAGCCTCGTTCAAGGCAATACGTATGTGCTGCCGTCATAATTACTTAATATGTTGTCATCAGATTCAGACGGGCGGCTACCTTTAATGTCTTCATGGTTGTCTTATCCTCTTCTGCTTTACAGTCCTCCACTCTACTTGATTGTATTTATAGCTTGAATAAGCCATCCATCTTTTTATAGGAAAACCATTCTTGCACTATTGGAAAGGCCAGAATATCATGGAAGCAATTGAAAATGTTGTGATAGTTGGAGCTGGAATTGCTGGACTTACAACATCATTAGGCCTTCACAGGTAATAACATTATTTTAAGACTAGGAACATTCTTGGGTTAAATTAATATTGATATGTATATTCATATAAGTAATTATTTAACTAGGTAGATTAATTATGTAATAACATTATTCTGATTAACTGCAGGCTTGGAATTCGAAGTCTAGTGTTGGAATCATCAGCAAGTTTAAGGGTCACAGGATTTGCTTTCTTAACATGGACTAATGCTTGGAAGGCATTGGATGCTATTGGCATAGGTGACTCTCTCCGTCAACAACATGAATGGCTTGATGGGTAACTAGCAATTTCTCTAATGGTTTGATCAAGTTTCTTAGCTCTATACTTGACCCTGATTATGTTTTTCTGAAACTAACATGAAGAAGAGACCTCATTTGAGTGCAGAGTAGTGGCTACCTCTACAGTTTCAGGAGAATCCGGTGCACAACTATCTGTTAAGGGCAAAGGAGCACAGTAAGATACAGGATCGATAATCAGATATCTCATTCATACTACTTAGCTTTTTTCTAATTTATCTTTAATTAATGACCCTGTCGGTTCTTATAGCGGAGATCATGAAGTTCGCTGTGTGAAGAGGAAATTGTTGTTGGAAGCCCTTGAAAAAGAACTCCCCGATGGTACCATAAGGTACTCCTCCAAGGTGGTTTCAATTGAGGAACTAGGCTACTTTAAACTTGTGCATCTTGCTGATGGCACCACAATCAAAACTAAGGTAAAACAATCCTGCAATTGGGTCCATCACTGTTTGTTTTTACTAAAATATATGGAAATATTTTTGTCAAAAATTTTTGGTCTGTAAATGAAGGTGTTGATTGGGTGTGATGGAGTGAATTCACTGGTGGCAAAGTTTCTGGGCTTTAAGAAGCCAGTTTATGCAGGGCGATCAGCTATTAGGGGTTATGCAGATTTCAAGGCTGATCATGGCTTTGGCTCTAAGGTCCTTCTATTCTTTGGTAAAGGGGTTCGGTCAGGTTTTGTCCCTTGTGATGATGCAACTATATATTGGTTCTTCACTTGGATACCATCTGACCATGGTAATGAGCTAGCCTTGAACTTCGTCAGAACACTAATAAAGCATATATAATTTGCTTTCTCACTTTTCATATTTTCTTGCAGCTAATAAAGAGTTAGAGGATAATCCAGCAAAGATGAAACAATTTGTCCTGAGCAACCTTGGAAACGTGCCTGATGGAGTAAGGACTTTCGTGGAAATCACCGAGCTGGACAGCGTTGTATCTTCTCCTTTAAGGTACAGGCATCCATGGGAGGTACTGTGGGGAAATATAAGCAAAGGTAATGCTTGTGTAGCTGGAGATGCTTTACATCCCATGACCCCAGAAATTGGCCAAGGTGGGTGTTCTGCTTTAGAGGATGGAGTTGTTTTAGCTAGATGCCTGGCTGAAGCCTTGAACAAAAAATTGAGTGTGGAAACTCAGGACAAAGAGAAGGAAGAGTATAAGAGGATTGAAATGGGATTGAAAAAGTATGCAAAAGAGAGGAGATGGAGGAGTTTTGACCTAATTAGTACTGCTTATGTGGTTGGTGCTATTGAACAAAGTCGGGGGCAAATAATGAACTTCCTTAGAGATGCAATTATGGTTAAATTTCTTGCTGCATTGCGATTGAAGAAAGCTGAATTTGATTGTGGGAAGCTTGATATTTCCTGACCACAATCTTCTCTTTTTGTTGCTTATTGCCATATGTCTTTCCACGAGAATGTAAAATTGTAGTTAATTAATTGCTGTAATAATGAAGTTTTTAACTCCAATTGTTACAAATGGTAAGAAAAATATAGCTAATGTGACGTGTATACTTTATAGTTAAAATAAAAAGGGCTTGTAGGGCGGATTTTTGATAGGATCTTTTCCATTGCGGCCCATTCTCTCTCTCTCTCTCTCGGTTTTTTTTTTTTTTCAAGATATATTGAATCCAAAAATATAGAATAATCTCTTATTATTCTATAAAATGTATAAAGCAGGGATAGGCCACTTACTTAGCCCATACATTGTTTTTTGTATCCTTTTTTTATACCCATTTAACATTAATTTTAGAAATCATACCATAAATTAGTACAATTTCGATCAATCATAAAATGATATAATTATTATCGAACAGGTTGTACCTACACAGTTATTGACTTGGATAATTTATGTTTCTATGGATTATGTAATTACTATAACACTAAAATAGGTGAGGAGTTTGAATAGTGAAAATCACTGTTTATCTTTTCACAAATCATTATTTATTCTTATATAATCAAATTTTAAAAATAGAATATATGTATTTTATTTTCTTGTTTTTTACACAATCAAATTTTGTCGAAATCAATTTTATAGTTTTTATTGCACTCTATTAACTTCAATAAATATTTTATCATTTAATTTTAAAAAATATTTATTAATTTATTTTTATACATTCTCACGTGTTGAGAAAGATAATAATGTATAAAAAATAATAACATTAGAGTCATTGATTTTATTAGAAATCAACTATGCATCTACACACACAATACCAACTATTTGCTATTATTTTTTTAATATTTAAAATGAATTTTTCAAATAAAATATTTGAAATAATATTTTAGAATTACCACCTAATAATTCAAATATAATTTTGTATACTAATATTATTCATTAATTTGTAAATAAATATATATAAATCAAATATATATATATATATATATATATATATATATATATATATATATATAAAAAAATAATCTTTTCATCAATGAAAAGGTTTCATTTATTAATTTTCATACAAGTGTTTGTATTAATTGTTGCTTTATTTCTTCGATGCAATTTTATGAAAAAAAATATTATGTTTTTTTTTAAAAAAATTATATTAAAATTTGTTTGTTATGAGTTTTTATTTAAGAATAAATGCATAAGAAAGAACAAATCGTATTTTTTTGACTTCAAAATTTATTCAAAGCATAATACACACACACACACACAAAAAAAATTTTGATTAAAAAATATAAAATTAGATGAAATTTTATCTTTAACATTTAATTTAATATATTTTAATTAACCGACAACATAGTATATGTTATTAAACTGAAATAAATATGTTTAGCTCAAATTCTCATGCTACTCTATGGATTGAACTAAACATATTTATTTTAGTTTGATAACATATACTATTTTTAGTTCGATTTGTAACGTAGCGTGAGAATCCGAGTCGTTTATATGCCTAAAATTTCTATTCACTTACTCGTTTATATGTATAAAACTACTATTCACTTATTGTAATTTAAGTAATTTTTATGTGTTTTTGGGCATTACTATGTAAATTTAATATTTTTTCTATTTTTCATCACTCATATTGTAACATTTTTTTTTTCAATTTTTAGTTTTCATTTTTCTTTCACTTTCACGCTAGTGTGTGTGTGTTTGTGTACACACACACACACACTATCTTTTTATATTTTAAAATTAACATATACTTCATATTATATTACTCTTATTATTTAAATTTCATTCTTTGAATTTATCACTTTTTATGAAACTTCTAATCCAATTAATATTTTTTATATAAAATTTTATTTACTGATAAATATAATTTATTTTTCTCTATGTTTGAATTTCAGAATAAAATTTTAAAACATGATTGTTTTTTATTTTTTTTAAATAAATTGGTATAATATATGTCATGAATTCTTAGGATTTTTAAATTATTGTTGCCTATATATAAATATATAATTATTTTATTCTAAAAGGTTAAAATTTTATTTCAAATAATTTGTTTCAAGTCACTAGGTACAATCACGATGTATTAAAAACTATTAAATTGTTGATTTTATTAAAAATAAACTATACATCTTCCAACATAATACAAATTATTTACTATGAATATTTTTTAAACATTATAGAACCAATTTAATTGAAATAAAATAATTAAAATAATTTTTTTAAAGGAACCAACCAATTATTCAAATACAATTTTTAAGCTAATTTTATTGATTATTTTATAAATAAATATACATAGATCAAATGCATATACTTGGAAAAAAAATTAATCTTCTCACCAACATTTAATAAGAGTAAAATTTTATTTTTTTCATTGGTTAATTTTATGCAAGTCTATATATTAATTGTAACTTTATTTTTTGAATACATTCTTATCAAAAAAAAATATAATTTTAAAGTATTTATTTTTGAATTATTAATTAATATTTCAAATTTAAATTATTATAAGTTTTTATTTAAGAATTCTTGAATAAGGAAAAATAAATCATGTTTTTTTTTTCAGCGAAACTTTATGAAAAAGCACACAAAAAAATAGTAATAATTAAATAAAAAATCAATGAAAAAATTATAAAATTTTGAAATGATTTTGTTCTATCTACTTGTAGTATTGCACGAATAATTTCTAAAATTAATCTTCTCATCAGCATCAAATAAGAAATTTTTTTTTCATTTGTTAATTTTTGTAAAAGTCTCGTTCATTAATTATAACTTTATTTTTTAGAATACAATATTATGAAAATTATATTTTTAAAGTTTTTTTTAATTCTTGATTAATATTTTAGTTAAAATTATTAGAATTTTTTATTTTAAAATCAATCAATAAAGAAGAATGATTTATATAAGCAAAAAATTTATGAAAAAATATTTAAAAAATTAATTAAATAAAAATTTTTAAAATAATTTTATTCTACTTGGATCCGCAACGTAGCGTGAGCAACTCGACTAATTTGTTCCTATTTCTAGTACGGAGACATCTCAACATCATATGAAAAATAGAATTTTTATGAATTTTTTAATTCCAACGTATATAATTTATTTATTTTTAATTAGAAAAGTTGATTTACTCTTAATGTTCAAAGCAAGTTCAAAATACTCTGCCTGTAAACCAATAATTCGACTCATATTTATATATATATAAAAAATTACTTATAAATTAAAATAATTTGATTGATTCTAGTATTATAAATGAGTCCCTATGATTGTTTAATCCGAAAACTTTGCTATGTACATGCACCCAAATGTGGCTATTAATAATTAAACTCAAGCCGGCCCGGCTGCTGTTGATCTCTTTTGCAATCAAAATATAAAAAAAAATGAAATGAATTTACTTTACCTTGTTGATGTAGTTCTTTCTCTTATTCAATTCAATTTCTTTTTTTAAAAAAGAATGAAATTTAAATCTCATTTGCCTTCTTATGTCGGACGAAACCAAGTTGATTGCTCCCAAGATGATAAACCATTGTCGTCAGAGCCATTGTCATCTTTTTTGTATTTTGTTTGTTCTTTATCTTTCCCACCCCACTATTTATAGTATTATAGATCTACTCTGCTAGCCAGTCTTTCTGGCTTGAACAAACTATATATCCATTTTCAAGCAAAACCAAGTTCTTTAGTGCTTGTTGTGTACTAGAGGAATTCCAATATCATGGAAGTAGTTGAAGAAGTGGTGATTGTAGGAGCTGGAATAGCTGGACTTGCAACATCTTTAGGGCTTCACAGGTACCAAATCAAATATTAATTCTAATCTATCTATATGTATACTAAATACTAGCACGTTGAATTTGGCCTTGAAGTAGTCTTAAATTGTAGGCTTGGAATTCGAAGTTTAGTGTTGGAATCGTCAGCCAATTTGAGGGTCACAGGATTTGCTTTCACAACATGGACTAATGCTTGGAGGGCGTTAGATGCTGTTGGCATAGGTCACTCTCTCCGACAACAACATGGATTTCTCGATGGGTACATAACTAGCAGTTTAATTAACATCTTCTCATCATCTCGTTCACTAGTTTCTTTGTTGGCTTCAAACTCCCAACATTTTTTTTTGTCTTTCAACTCAATCATTTCAAACCTGCAAGAGGCAGGTCCTTTGTATAGCATTAACGTGTAGAATTTTGTTAATTTGGCCCTGATTTTGTTTCTATATAGCTAATATGAACGAGTTATTTGACTACAGATTAGTTGCTAGCCCTACAGTTGGGAGCAAACCCGGTGCAGAAATATCTTTTAAGGTCCAAGGGACTAAGTAAGTGATCAGACATTAGCCATGATGATTCAGGTGCAAACATAAATATTCATTAATAACTTGGCCCTTTAATTTGGTGTGCAGTGGAGACCATGAGGTTCGTTGTGTGAGAAGAAAATTGCTGCTGGAAGCCCTTGAAAAAGAACTCCCAATCGGTACCATAAGGTACTCCTCCAAGGTGGTTTCTATTGAGGAATCAGGCTACTTTAAGCTGCTGCATCTTGCTGATGATACCATCATCAAAACCAAGGTATAAAAAACACTACAGTTTCTATATTTTTTATTTCCAACAACCTTAATTGGACAATTTATGTAGTTAATCCATTGCTAGCCCCGTGCTGTATGAAAGATGATCATTAGTCCGTTTGACTGTATTTTTGAATTCAAAGTTTTGTGTTTTCAATGGAAGGTATTGCTTGGTTGTGATGGAGTGAACTCAGTGGTGGCAAAGTGGCTAGGCTTCAAGAAGCCAGCTTTTACCTGCCGATGGGCTATCAGGGGTTATGCAGATTTTAAGGCTAGTCATGGCTCTGGTTCCAAATTCTTACAATTCTCTGGTCGAGGGTTTAGATCAGGTTTCCTCCCTTGTGATGATACAACCATGTACTGGTTTTTCACTTACACTCCCACTAGCCAAGGTAATGGGCCTTATCTTTCTCAACTAATTATCTAATCAAAGGTATTGATCAAGATATGAGCATTTGATGAAAGAATCCATTGCTTTCTTGTAGACACAGAGCTAGAGGATAACCCCACCAAGATGAAGCAATTTGTGCTGAGCAAACTGGGAAATATACCTGATCATGTGAGGAATTCTGTGGAGATCACTCAGCTGGACAGCATTATAACATCTCCTTTAAGGTTTAGGCATCCATGGGAGGTTCTCTGGGGAAATATAAGTAAAGGCAATATTTGTATAGCTGGTGATGCTCTCCATCCCATGACACCAGATATTGGCCAAGGTGGTTGTTCTGCTTTAGAAGATGGTGTTGTTTTAGCTAGGTGCCTCGCCGAGGCCTTGAAGAAGAGACCAAACGTGGAAGCTCAAGAGGGAGAAAAAGAAGAAAACAAGAGGATTGAAATGGGGTTGAAAAAATATGCAGCAGAGAGGAGATGGAGAAGTTTTGAGCTCATAAGCATTGCTTATATGGTTGGTGTTGTACAACAAAGTGATGGAAAAATAATCAGCTTCTTAAGAGATGCAATTTTGGTGAAATTTCTTGCTGGATTGCTGTTAAAGAAAGCTGATTTTGATTGTGGAAAGCTTTCTTGATCCCACTCTTGTCTTTGTAATTGCTTGTTATGAATTAAGTTCCTGCTAGCAATAATAATATAAGAGGAGCTAATCCTGCTTTATTATCATGGCTTATTTCTCTTCCAGGCATAAAACAATATAATTACCTTTTGCAACAATAAAGATTTCAAATCCAATTATTCTTTCTCTATAAGATGCGAATCAAATTCATGCATAAAATCAATTTGCACCTTCTCAGGCATGTAACTTTTTTAAACTGCATTTTCTTAAAAGAAAAGAAAAGAAAAGTTGTATGATAAAAGTAGTCCCTTTTTTATTAAGAAATTAATTAATTGGTCTTTCTTATTTTAAAAATTAATAATTTAGTTTTCTATATTTAATTTCGTTAATAACTTAATATTTTCATCAGTTTTTCATTAGATTAATATTTTTTAAAGAAAAATATTTTTCTTTTGATGTTTTATTTTTCTCTTCCACCCACTCTTTTTCTGTTTCCTTGATCAAATAATAATAATAATAATTTAAGAATAAAAATCACTGATTTAGCAAAAAACTGATTAAAAAAATTTAATTAATTATTGATGAAGTTAAAATATAAAAGATTAAATAATTTTTTTATAATAATTAATTCATTTCTCTAAACAAGAGAGATTAATTTATAATTTACTCATGATAAAAATTACATAGAAAACTCAAAACTAAATACATGCAATCGTGATCTATACTTTATTAGAAATTAAGTTGAAATTCGTATTCGATACTTTTAAATAGCTAATGCTTGTTTTTGACTTTAAAAAAGTATTCATAGCTTTTTTTCGTTAAAAAAAGAAGCTATTTTGTTATTTGTAACCCAAAAAAAAAAAAATGGAAAAGAAAAGCTATTTCCTTTTTCTTTTTTTCTTTGTTAGAGAACGGGATTAAAAAACACAATTACAAAACACAAAGGCAAGAAAATATAGTCCTATATTTATCTCTACGTAACCAAGGAGGGATGAGCAGAAGAAATAATCCAGGCACAGCAGAAAAAGAAAATTGGACGAAGATTTCCTTTTTCTTTGTCCTTTTCCATCATACTAGCTGGACAAATTGGAAAAGTATTCAATATTTTGTTGTATTTTTTTCATTTCTAATTAATTAGAAGGATTCTTTTAAACCTATGCCTGAAAAATAACACTTTATATTTTACTTCAAATGAATGAGGGTAAATTAGAAGTTAGAAATTAAGCTTTTTAAAAAAAAACACTAAGCATTTAGACTTTGCATTTTAATTACGTCAATAATTGAGTTTTTTCATCAGCTTTTTATTAAATTAGTAATTTTTTCTCAAATTATTATTTATATATATATATTTAATTGGATAGAGAGAAAAAGAGTGGGAGAATGAGAGAAATAAGACAGAAAAAGAAAATTTGAGAAAAAAACCACTAATTTAATGAAAAATTAATGAAATGACTAAATTATCAACGGAATTTAAACACAAGGGATTAAATAATTACTTTTAAAACAAAGAGGACTATAATAATTTACTCAACCAATGAACAGCATTTCCCAAAAAATTTCTATTAAATAAAATTGGGTCTCAGCTTGGCCCATAAATAATTGTAGAAGTAGCCCAAGTTTTCATTTCCGCCCATAAAGAAATTCATTACTGCAAGTCTCTTGCCCTACCTTCTGACCGACCACCAAAAAACACAGCGTCTCAATCGCTCCTGGGCTCTTACATTCAGTACTACTATTTCTTTTGTGGCAGCTGTTAGTGTTAATTCGCGACACAAAGTCTCTTATCACTCTGAAACGTTGCGAACTTGACACAAAAGAATGCTACTTTTTTGAAGAAAAATGGCTTTATGGAATAGAATTAATCAGTCGAAGATCAAATTTCTATCGATTCAGTTCAAGAGATACTACGTTCAAATCCCATATGATTCTTCACTTAATTACGCTGCTGCTAGCTCAAGAGCACGTGTTTTAGAGAACCCAGTTCGGGGTTTTGTTAAAAAACCCTTTGATTTTTGCAACAATGTCAGGTTTTTTGCTGCCCCAGTTCAGGTAATTTCTGGGTTTTTAAGGTTTTTGCTGTTTCTTTCTTGTTTTACTGTAATTGAACACTTGAGTCTTTATGCTGGGACACCTTGGCTTTAGTTATCGGTGATTGTATGTGTGTGTGTGTGTTGTTAGGAAACTGTGATATGTTGTTGAATTCCAGGCTAACGGGAAGAAGAAAGAGAAGGTTGGTGGACCGAAATTAAATGAGAAAATTACTGCGCAGGTTGTTAGGCTTGTGACTGATGAAGGTACAATATGTCTACTTGATATATGAGTGTTTTAAGAAATGTTATGAAGTTATTCAATGATTCTGCTTCGATAGTATGATCAAGTTTTCAAAAGTTTCATGAAATATTGAATATAGAAATCGGTTATCATTATGGATGTTTGCAGGGCATAGTGTTGTCTCATTGCGTGAAGCACTAGAACAAGCGAAAAGACTTGATCTTGATTTAGTTGAGGTAAGCTATTGCAATTTATGACCATTTTACTCATTCTGAATGCCCTTGGTGCTATGCCAACAGAAAAGGTTAAGTGAAAAACAGAAAAAAAGTTGGACCACTGTTTTAATGGAAAGTTTTTATTTTTTGTATTTTTTTTTTATATTTGCCATCTGATGTGCTTGAGCTATCATTGGGATAATATATATTCGTTTTCATTTTGTTTGATATTGACTTTTATGAAGAGAATAATATAGATGGTGATATCTGTTCTTGATTAGGAAAGCAAGAAGTAGCCAACAGAAGTCCCATTAAAAAAAAAGTAGCAAAGGTTTCTTTTGGTTTCCTCCAATCTGTCTTCTATGAGGCTTAACTCCTTGGTTTTCCTTTTTGAATTTTATATAGGTTGATATCAATGCCAATCCACCTGTCTGTAAACTCATGAACTTTAACAGAGAGAAGTACAAAAAAGAACAGAAGGAAAAAGGACGTGCTAAAAGCAAGGTATGATGCATTTTGAAATTATGTCTTCATTTGCACTCTTGGTGGACTGAAGTCAATGAAAATGCTCTTATTTTGAGGATAGCTCTGCTATGTTTGTGCCATTCAATTACTTTGCAGTCAGGGGAGACGCTGCGCAAAGGAGATTACAAGGAAGTTCGATTTTCTGTAAAAACTGTAAGTTTGTCGCATCATAGCCAATCATTTGTTATCTCACTAACCAACCTCAAGAAATTTTTCTGCAAATTTAGAATTAGTTTCATTACCTAGTTGTCTTTCATTTGAGGCAGTGGCCTATTAGGGAAAATTTGTTCATGGTCCTACCACTCAACATTTTTTTTTAGTGGCTTAGTGCTGCTTAAAAGATTCAAACTTCCATCCCTGTAGTTACAACTCTAAGATGAACGTTCATCTTTGTGTCGAGCAATCCTAATATACAGTAATGGATATTTGTAAGTTATGGTAATGGTTTGGATTTAGCCTTAGTTGATTTTAGATTGTACTATGTTTTATGTTGTTGGTTTTGTATGAATACCTGTAGTCTGAAAGATACAAGACACTTGACCATGACAAATGTTCTACTTCTCATACTGCAACTTTTGGATGCCAACTAGTTCCAGGTGCATGTGCTGATGATTTCTAGAAGTTGGCAAGGCCATTTTACAAGCTGAATAAATGGACAAATAAATGAACAGACTCATGTAATGCAATGTAGCGAATAATGCAAAAATTGTATTTCACCATTGAGCTTATACTGCTCTTTTCAGGAACAAAAAGACTTAGAAATGAAAGCTGATGCGGTCAAAAAACTGATGGATCGTGGTTATAGGGTGAAGGTATTTTTTTCCCCCTGTTCCTATTAAATTGTCTGTTTTTCATTAACTTATTGCCATATTATACTTTTTAAGGCAATTTGGTGCATTTGGTGCTGTTTGATGATATTTTATCCAGGCCAGATTGGCTGTTACTTTTGTTTTCTTCCATATATCAAAGAAGAAGAAAAGAAACAGAACTGAGCAGGCATTTCTAACCCTTGCATCACTTTTTGTTTTTATCCCTGGCTATTTTTTCCCCCTCAAGTATAGTCTGTGAATAATATCTTCTTTATATATTTTTGTAAAATACTAGGATCTTACCTAGGCTGCAAAAGGATATGCATCCATGTTCACTTTCTTTTTGTTGCAAGACAGTCAGTCGCTAGCATCAGGTGAAGAGGGTAGAGCTTGTAAATCTTGCACTACCTTTGTCATTAGATAACTTTGTTTCTCACCATATGTTTTAGGGAAATGTTGCGCTTCCAACTTATAAGTTTACATGTCGCCATAAAGTTTGTAGATAAATCTTCAATGGTAGTTTTAATGGTTGCTTAAAAAGTAATTTTAATGCAAAGAATCAGTTGTCGAGAAGTTTGGAAGAATTATGTTCCAGATTTATGCTTCATTTGGCCTGCTTGGCTTGGAAACTCTTTTTAACATAAACCAAATTCAGCAAAAATTTTCAGCAGTAATGCGCTATTAGTTTTGGTAAGAGATTTTGAAAGAGTTGTTGTCTCATGCAGCAACACGCAGGTAAATATTCAATTATTTACCCAATGCCCCCGGATGCAAAAATGTTTGTTGTTTTGCCAAATGCACAGTCGACATATGTTCTGCTCTATGTGGGTTGTATTTTTAATGTAATATTTGTCATCTTTTATGGTTTTGAAACAGTGTATGGCAATGGGTAATACAAAAAGGCAATCAAAGTCTAAAGGTCCTAGCAATGAAGATCCAGAAACAGAAGAGTTTGAGAGAGCGAAAGCAGATAAGGAGATGCTAGCGCTGTTGTCTCGCCTCACTACTCTGGTACGCCTGCATATCTTCCATCTTTCTCTTGTTTTCGCTGCCCAGGTTACCACTGTTAGTTGTGCAATGCATTTGATGTGCTCCTTGGTCTTTTTCTTGAAAAAAAACTGTGTAGATTGAAGATGTGTCTATCGTGGATAGTGGACCAAAGGCGGGAAGAAAGATGGCATATGTGATAGTTAGGCATGTCAAGTTTGGCACAGCAAAGAAAGGTGGTGCTAAAATGGAAAAGTTAGCCGCTGCAGAGCCGACTGCCAAACAATCTGCTCCTACCAAGAGCCCTGCAATGTTTAAAAAAGAACCTGCAGAATTTGACATGGAAGCTGAAGATGATTCAAGACCAGCACATGATGCTGGGGATGCAGGACTTCCTTCATCCCTACCAGAAAATAGGTATAGAAAAATTGAACCGAGGAATCAGTTCCCACAAACATCAATGGGCACAGGTAAGCGGGACACATTAAGGTCTGAATCACATTTTGTGAACCAAAGAAGGCAACCACAACCACAGATGAATGCCACTCATTCAATGGGAGAAAGGAAGCAGGTTAGGCCTGATCCTGCTGCTTTGAGAAACTTGAAGCCTCCTCATGAAACACGCAAGCAAGATGCTTCTTGTCCTGAGACAACGAAACCTGCATCTAGCTATGGAATATTTAGCTCTGCAAAAGCAGGCCTTCCTGGGAATCAAGGCTCCGTAGCAGATTCAAATAAGAACAGTCAAGGAAATTCTAGCACGGGAGGGCATGGAGCAAATCCTAACCTCCCAAGTTCAAAATCAGATGGTGCCGTTGATCAGGATGGACAAAAGCGATTTGGGATATTCAGTCGAGGCATCCCAAAATGAATATCTTAGCCAAACTAAGCTGCAGAATTTGTCTTACTCAACACCCTCTGATTAGACGGCCGCAAAACTTTTAATGTATTTGCGAAAGTCTTATTTAAACCTTACTAGAGAGAATAATGCAAGGCAACATTGATTTTCTTTACAGTATAATGTCTTGAAGATTCCCATTCTCATCTTTTTCTTTTTTTGCAATCTAAATTTATCCGCTAAGGTTGATTTGCAGGCAATAACAAAACATGTCTCCTTGAATTTATCAGCAGCATTCAAACAGCTAGTACATGAGTTTTTGAAATCAATAATTTACATGTGACTTCTACTTATCTGTTTAATGCGTTATTTTCCTTTAAATAGTTGATTTTCTTTTGATAATTTTATTCAATAATCTTTTTTATTTATTTCCAACAAATGATCAGCTCAGCACCGGTAAGGGCATCCTTAATGAAATAGAGCTCCCCAACAAAAAACGAAATGATTGATAAATATACCAAGATTATGTGTGTGCGTGTGCGTAATTCTTTGCATATCTTTGCTTTATACCTCTCATTAGATTATTATTATTATTATTATTATTTTTTTTGAGATGCAAGATCTAAACGTATTGATAATCAAATTATATAAACAATATTCTTATGTTTGTTAAATAACCTTTTTAGAGATGACAATAAGTTGGTCAAATCCGTATTTTTATTTATATATATATATTTTGATCTCTAAGGTATTTTAAGATAAAAAATTTATATTAATCTTTCATTATTTGATCGGTCTCACAAAGTTAATATAGTTACTAAAAAAAATTTTATATATACAAAAATTCAAATATAAAATCATCTATTTAAATTATTAAAACCTTTTCAACTCAAATCAATCATCTTACATAAAAATTTAATATATTTATGCATATAACAAATTATTATATACAATGAGACTTAATAATATAAATATAAAAATCAAAAGGGCGCACTAGTATTATTTACTTTCTAAATCCGGGTTGGTTGAGGACGGGGCTGGAAAGAATCGTGGGTGCAAAAACTTGCCCCTTTTCTGTTTCCGGGTTAAATTCGGGTTTTTCGTTTCCTAATTCTTTTTCCCGCATCCCAAAGCGACACCGTCTCAGCTAAGAATATCCTCGTCCTCTTCTTCTCTCTTCACTCAACTTTGTTAGACTTGTAGTAAAAGAAAACTAGGTCTAAAAAACCTCTTCTGCATCCCCAATTTCTCCCAATTCAAAATCTCTTTCTGAAACCCTAATTTCTCTCGCATTCTCTCTCTTCAATCATGACTCAAGACGTCGAGATGAAAGAGCAGCAGCAGCAGCAACCTTCCAATTCCTCCACCTCCTCCTCTCCTTCCACTCTCCACCGTACGTATTTTATACGGGTATCCGTATAAACATAATCGGATTTTCGGTTATTTAGTTATAAAGTTCTAACCTTTTCGAGATTTGTTGATTTTTTAGATTTGAAGGAGATTGCGTCGTTGATTGAGACTGGAGCGTATGCGAAGGAATCTAGGAGGATCGTGAAAGCTGTGAGACTGACTATGACTAAAAGGAAAAAGTTGAAAGCTCCTGTGCTTTCTGCTTTTCTTAATTTTGCTCTTTCGCCAGGATCCGAGCCGTTTAATCGGTTAATTTCGTATCTTCCTAAGGTAATTTCAAGAAATTTTGTATAGATCGTGTAATTTTAGTGTTCTCATTGTTGATTTTAATTTTTTTTAATGAATGGGAATGTAAGAGTACTGAAGGTTTTGATTATTGGATATTTTGAAGGGGACAATGGGGTTTTTATGTTCTAGCATTGATGGGTTATTCGTGTTTGGAGAGTTTGGTCTTTTGAGCTCGTTTGGTAGTGGTTGAGTATGGATAACTAGTGGGTGTTTAATAAGTGAAGAAAAGTTTGGTACTTTGATAGTGTTGTGAGGAGGATTTACTTTTGTTAATGGTGGGGGAGGTTGAGTCGAGACTACGGTGGTTAATTTTAGGGAATGAATCGATTGATGGGTATCAGTTACTGGATGGTCAGTTAATCACTCAATGAAAAAGGTTTATCTGTTTGGCCAAGGTTAAAGATGAACTTTTTTTTTTACTTAACATTGATGGGAGTAGTGTTTTTCAAGTGTTTTGTCTGTTTTCAGTTCTCTTTGTTATGTTAATGCTGCAAGTAATAGTGTTTTTGTAGTGATTATGTGTGAGTGTTTAGTTGCTTTTTATGAAGTAAAGTTTGATACTTGGATAGTGTTGTGAGGAGAATTTGCTTTGCTGATGTTGCAGACAATTCAATTTAAATCATGGTTGATTGTTTAATATTTGTGGTGACAGGAAGATGAGCAGGAAATGGAGGTTGATACTGCAACATCTGTGACTCAATCTCCTGCAAAGCATCCCATACCAGAACTGGAGATATATTGCTACTTGTTGATCCTGATTTTTCTGATTGATCAGAAGAAATATAATGAGGTAAAACAGCATATAATGACAGAAGGGTTGTAGTTTCTTTTTCTTTTTTCGATTGAAATAACTATATCAAATTATCAACTGATTGCACTGCTATATTGCAGGCTAAAGCTTGTTCATCGGCAAGCATTGCTCGCCTGAAGAATCTGAATAGGAGGACTGTTGATGTTCTGGCATCAAGGCTGTATTCCTACTACTCACTTAGCTATGAACTCACTGGTGATCTTGCTGAAATCAGAGGGTAAATTGTCTATTCCATGGAATGCATGACCTTAATTTCTCAAAACATGAGTTTGGGTGCGTGACTGCATGTATGATGTCTGGCATTTCTTTTGCATTGATTGATGCACTCATGAAACTACAACGTGTCTTGATTCTGTTGTAATTTAACTCGTACATAGGATATCATTGTATGCTAACTTGAGTTTTTTTTTTCTTTTTTCTTTTTTTTTTCCTAACAGTAACCTTCTTGCTCTTCACCGGATTGCAACATTGCGCCACGATGAGCTGGGCCAGGTAAAAGAAATTTCAGTGGTATGACACCCATCTTGGGTTCTTTGCTGGGTTCTTATACTCAAATGATGTTGTGATGCAGGAAACACTTCTCAACCTACTGCTGCGCAATTACCTCCATTACAATTTATATGACCAAGCAGAGAAGCTGAGGTCTAAGGCCCCACGTTTTGAGGCTCACTCAAATCAGCAGGTAACACACTCACTGGACTTAACGACAGTTAGCCCTATATGTTTAATAGTCAAAGCCCACAATATAGTTGATTATGATTGAAGAATCTTGTTGGATCATAAACATAACATGAGAAATAAGATTGGTATCTAATGGTATGCATTCTATTCATGGACTTGCTACCCTTTTAAAAATTCTAGGCTCGCATGTACTTTTTAAACAATGCCATTGTCGGTCTTGATTTTAGGATTTTAATTATTGACGAGTCATGCAACATATTGTTTCTTTCTTGCTTGTCTTATATGTCAAATTGGTGAAATATTAAATCTTATGGGATTAGCTGTAATGGAACTTCATCAATGCGAAATCTACAGATTTGGTTTTCAAACAATATCGAATATTGAAAACAAGTCTGATTTTATGGTTGTCATTTAAGAAATCATAGGTTGTAAACTCACATTTTGGCACTATATACTGTTTTATCTCGCAGTTCTGTCGGTATCTCTTTTACTTGGGAAAGATTAGGACAATTCAGTTGGAGTATACTGATGCAAAAGAGTCTCTCCTTCAAGCTGCTCGTAAAGCCCCTGCTGCAGCCCTTGGTTTCCGAGTTCAATGCAACAAGTGGGCAGTTATTGTCAGACTGCTGCTAGGAGAAATCCCTGAGAGGACTGTTTTTATGCAGAAAGGCATGGAGAATGCTTTGAGGCCATACTTTGAGCTCACAAATGTAAGTCATAAAACTTAAGAGTCTCTTGATTTGCTAACGGAAAATGGATTTCCATCTAGGCTTTATAAGTATCGAGTTCGATTTACTTTTTCTAAGGAAAATACCTCTGCTGTGTCAAACCACTATTCAGGTGCTTGATGTTTTATTGCGGGATTTAATGGGGACAATGTTTGATGTTTTCAGGCTGTGCGAATTGGGGACTTGGAGCTCTTTAAGTCTGTCGCTGAGAAGTTCTCATCTACTTTCAACGCTGACAGGACCCACAACTTAATTGTCAGACTGCGACACAATGTCATAAGGACTGGACTTCGCAACATCAGTATCTCTTATTCTCGTATCTCACTGGCCGATGTAGCCAAGAAGTTGAGGTTGGACTCTCCTAACCCTGTTGCCGATGCTGAGAGTATTGTGTCCAAGGCAATCCGAGATGGTGCTATTGATGCTACATTGGATCATGCAAATGGATGGATGGTATCTAAGGAAACAGGGGACATATACTCCACAAATGAGCCTCAAATTGCATTTAACTCTAGGATCACCTTCTGCCTCAACATGCATAATGAGGCAGTACGTGCCCTTAGGTTTCCACCTAATTCCCACAAGGAGAAAGAAAGTGCTGAGAAAAGGAGGGAGAGGCAACAGCAAGAGCAAGAGCTTGCTAAGCACATAGCTGAGGAGGATGATGACGAGTTTTGATTTAGTGTCTACAAGGATGCCTCAAGTTCCATGCCTTTATATATGAACTCCCCAGCAGAAAATGCAGATGCTTTTGGTCGATTTCTCTCGGTTATTTATGTTGTGATTTAGGATTCTCTTATATTGGAGCAACCGCTGTTCAACTATTTTGAATTGTATTGTCGGTTTGCTCCTTTCTTCCGCCTGAATTTATCTTTTTTCCCTTTGTTGTCATTTGATTTTGCTGCATTGTTGTCAAATTGATGCATCTGTGCCCAGACTGTGCCTAGTGATTTCATTTCATAACAGATGGAGAATATTAGATAATAAGGTAACATCCAGTAATAATTTGCAAGATATTACAGCTACATGTAAAAGGGAGCCCTGTTGCAGGGCAGGCCACTAGTTGCCTGTTTTCCTTGACCATTGATTTTGCAACTGTAGGATTTTATCCTGGCATCATATGCACTTCTGCCTTAGGATTGTCATATACCATTTTCTTGACTGCAATTTGAAAAAATTTAGAGGGTCTCCTTGAAATCTAGGGTAACTTGTTTATAACAGATTTATTGTTTCTCCGTATTGTACACATCAACGGTTATGTATTTTAAGCACCTGTCAAAGGCCGTAGCAACCATGTGACGCACTAATGCTGCGAAGAGTGTGCATATTGCAAGAATGATTTAAACCGGATATGGATTCCATATGCAAGCATAGCATCTTGTATGTCGTCTATCAACAAATTCGTTGTTGCATTTACTACACTGAAAATTGGAATTATTTTCATCACAATGCCTTCCAGGGACGGAAAACACCTAACAGCCTATGTTTTGATGGGCAACGCATTAAAAGGCAAGCGGCAAAATACTTTGGATATCAGATGGCTGATTTAAAATCATAGTTGTAGTTAGACTGAAAGCAGGATTTGGATATTGTACAAAAAGAACGTACTGGAAGAGGGCAATATAAGATTTTATGAGGCAACCCTTGCAACCAAGGGGTTTCTTAAGACAGAGATGATGGGAAATCAATAAGCAAGCAAACTATGGCCTTATTCTGTTACCCTTTTCCCCAGACGTTGGGTAGTTTTGACCCTGCCCATACGAGGTTCCCCACAGTCCACACCTGACTATAGTCCCTCCTGGTTTACTCCCATCAAGGTTAGGGGTTCTGTTTAATTGATTTTGAAACTTGTGATATTAGTTGTCAATTCAAGTGGCAAAATTTTGATTTGGTTAGGTTCTTTCGATTCCTCCGTTAGGATGGACATGACATTGAGGCAAGAACGAGACATAAATGCAAGTATGCAAGTTAGTATGTACTGCATAGTGAGAGAACCTAACTATCATTTCCTAATTCCTAGTATCAAGTTCCCATTGTGATTTCGCAGGTTGGCTTTGTGCCCCATTCTATGGGGTTCCTTGATTGGAAGATGGATTAAGGAGGTTGTTATACTCCACTCAGAACTGCAATAGAAGCTTCAATTATTATCCCAATGTATGACATCTAGTGTGTCAATAACCTTCATGAAGCAATGGTGCTTTGTTTTCTTCGTCAAGAAATGAAGCTTCAATTTGGGTTTCTCTGAACCTTATCAAGCTTTCAAGCAATCTCTTTTTCAAGGAAGAATAGATTTTCTATAGCTGAGTGCTTCTGGATTCTGAATGAAATGCGTATGACTAAAAACAAAACAAGCAGAATTGCAAATAGAACGAGAAATACCTTTTTATTGTCCTGCACGGCAGCAACTGGACTACGTCTGCTTGGCTAATATAAGGATGTAAGAGACGGATGGGAGCCAGCCAACCAATCGTTTAACATTACTACAAATAATATCAAATCAAATATAGCTTACATCTAAAATATCGAAGGAAAAGATAAAGAGTGAAGATACATTTGTGATTAAAGTTCAAGGGATACATATCAAGTTTGTAAAGAATAATATGCACAAAAGTAAAAGAACCATCTCCATTTAAGAGGTAAAATCACTTGTTTTTTCTTAGCTGCAACTCGGACTCCAATTTGGTATAATATTTGTTCACTTCCTAGCTGAAGTGGAGATCATGAAAAGGGTAATGAAATGAAAATGACAATATCGGTTGCATGAAGGAATCCAACACGTTTAGAAGTGCATTGGCTGAAGTTAGCCTGCTGAACTCAAACCAAATGACTTGACAATGTTGCTTACTCTTTCTGCAAAAGTTCTGGATGTGATCTTTTTACCCGGGACGTGAAAAGGGTTTGAAACTGCATCCACATAAGCAGCATGGAACCTCCGAAAAAACTACAAAAATCCCAAGAAAATATTAAAACAGAAATAATTCAGGCAAAACTCATATGAACCTATGCTATCATTTTGATGATTAATTGGCAACTATGTGAAAGCCACATAGACACATAAATGTGTGGGAAATCTCAGGGTCTCCATAGACTGGTTTGAGTAATTTGAGTAACAGAGAAACCTTGTTTCATAGAACAAGCATCACACATGCTTTATATTAGTATCTAGTTCACACAAAATAAACACATTCACTTTGCTTGTATGATGCTCCTATTGCATACAATGGCTGGAAGGGCCCATTTATGCCTTAAAAGTTAATTCAAAGCCCAGACAAGAAGCCAACAATCAGCAAAACAAATAAAAAATTCTATGCAAAGTACAACAGAATTATTGATGGAAACTTGGAAGACAACCCCCACCACTTCCAACTGCTTCAAGTTATATCGGATGGTTTAAGTCCTCCATGACCATACCTCCAATGTTTAGGATATACTATGTGCATAGTTACTTTAATTAGGACACATGAAGAAGAAACAAGCTTTAAGATCTCAACAAAGAAACTCTTAAGCAGGCAAGCTCAAGATCTCAAAGGTACCACAGGACCAACTATCGCCACACCAGACATGGATAGAAAAGCAAACTGAATTTTAGCTGTGTAAGCAAATTTGAAATAACATCTAGCTTAGTGCATACAACTCTGCAGTACAATTAACAAAATCACATCTAAATATTCAGTGGAACTTGACGCAGAATGAATTAGCACACCTTAGAAGTGCCACATCTAAGCTTCTAACAAACAGAAGATAGTCATGGGATAGAATTGTGATCTAGAGTGAATTCTGATCTGGATCCTACAAGTAAATTAAGCATACAAGCAGAGAAATACTTACATTTCTCACATCTGCATCTCTGACATCTAAATCCGTTGTGACCAAGATGAATTTCACTTTGGTGTTGGTCAAATAACCATACCTGAAGACACAACAACAACAACAACACATTATGTGAGGTCACCAAACTCACCGTACACCTACACTATGTTGAAGCAATTTCGACCGTCAAACAACCAAAATAAATTCTTACACTTTATAATTCTCAGTTGGATAAAGCAATCCAAGAAATGTCTCATTCAGTGTTGACCCAGATTTCTTCGGATTATTCACTACACAAATTCACTCACAATCAGATACCATACAAACCACGTAGTAAATTAATAATGCACTTAAAAATTATGAACCCAAAAGTTCAAATCTCCAAACTTGTTAACACCTAACAATAATCCCATAAAAACCCAAAAGCTAAAATCTTGAAAAAACTCACAGCAAGCCAAAACCCAGTTCACAGAAACATTAAATCTTGACCCGTTTTCGATAATTATGCCACAACCCAGTTCACAAAAACAATAAATCTACACACATATGAGTCAATTAGGATCAAATTAAGCATAAAAGCCTAACCTCGCTCATCAACAACGTCAAGGGAGCAGTGAACTATGTGGTGGAGCTTGAGTGCATCATCTGCTTCAGTAAAACTCTGAATGTACAGTGGATTATTCTGTTTGAATGAGACAGTCATCAGATTCATGAAAAGATTGGATGGTTATAAAATGAATGTGGAAGATGAAAAGAGGTGTACCTGATGACCGACGACCGCGACACACACGATCATCTTCTCCGGTCACTGCTGATTACTGTGTGCTGAATCTCTCAGATTTTGGCTTTTGGAACGATCTTTCTCTCGGTCTTTATGTTTTTTGAACAAGCACAAAAGCTTCCATTAATAAGAGAAGACCAAAGGCCGGATTAAGATAGATGGGCTCAAGGCCCGGTCTTAGCATTAGTTCGAAATGGTTAGTGTCAAAGAAGGCCCAACAACTAAATATCGTTTTACTAAAATCCGAACCGGAAGAGATTTGATGTCGGGAAAAAAAAAAAAAAAAAAAAAAGGGCAGATTTTGTGATATTTATTAAAGACAATTTCTGTCTTGTAATGTTTCTCCCACCAAAATAATTTTGGTTTAAGAATAGGTTTTCATGTAATTACATTGACATATGTGATAGATATTTTATAAACATGAGCAATTCATTCATTTACGCATATAAGAATATATGTTCTAATAATCTATTATCACCTTTTTATTATAATTTGTAATAAGATTACATTAAAATGGGCTTTGCTTATGGTTTGCTTCCATATTTATACCATCTAAATGATTGCCAAAGAAAAACATGATATTTTGGGTAAATTCTTACTTTAGTTTAAGAAGTTTATTTATATTTTTTATTTTATTCTAAATAAATCATCCATATTTTTATTTATATTAGTTTTAAAATGATTGTTTGATCAAAACTTTAAGTGATGTATTTTTTAAAAATATTTATAATTAAAGATTATTTTGTAAAAAAATTATCCAAATATAATTTTTGAAAAAAATGCATTGTTAAAAAATATAAATAAAATATATTGATATAATATAATAATTAATAATTTTAATTGGTATCAAAAATTAAGAAGACATTTTTTTTTAGGACGGACGGAGGTTTCAGTATCATATTAATCTTCCATTAATGAAACTATAAATAAACAGCAAGGCCCAAGTTTTTTGGAAAATGGGCTCAATTCAGGCCCAAATATAATTCCAGTTTCAATACATTTGAATCATGATAGTGAATTAAAAAAATGCGGACCATAGAAAAGAATACGAACCACAAAAACCTAAAAAGAAACCAAAAAGTAAGATCATGGGAAGATTTGTAATCATCTCTGCACGATTTATGATTTCCAACCACTTTAATTTGTTTTTTTTTTTTTAATGATCAGAACTAGGCCAATTAAGCCTTTAGCAAAAGTCATTAACGTAGGAATAGTTATGAAATTTGGAACTGAACAACGGGACACACACAACACAATTTTCTCCAGGACGACAATCCCCAAAAAAAACCTAACAGATTAAAGCACCAACTTAATTATCATTTAGAAACGTAAATATCCAATTTTTATTTATTTATTTATTAAAACATAGTTTTCATAGAGATCGTCTAATTCATAATTCGGTCATAACTAGTATAGAATATTTGATTTGATTAAAATGTCTTTATTATATTATATATTTTAATGATTAACTTATTTTTGTAATTCGATTTTAAGTATAATTTTCTATTTTTTTTCTTTTTGTTTAATACTATTTTTTTGAATCAGATCTAAAAATTCCTGGACCTGTCATAATAATCTGTTATTTTTTAAACTAAAATAACGACTTCAACTGTTGTCGTCCGTGACGCTCTTATGGAACCAATCACCCTATGCCACGTCAAATTTTGTCCTGCTCTAGACCACCTTCCTCTTCACTTTACTTCCTTGTCTTCTCTGTAAATTCACAGGCTCTTTTGATCTTCCCTGTAAATAATGGCAGACTTATTACACAAGCCATTGCTAGACATCGAAGAACAGCCGCAGACCAGTAAGAAACCCGCACGTGTTGCCTCTCTCGATGTCTTTCGTGGTCTCTGCGTCGTTGTAAGCTACCAAGTTCCCTGTCCTTAGTTTAAAAGCATTGATTTCTGCATAATTTGTTGTTTGCTAATAAAGTTTTATTGGTTTGTCAAATTGGATCCTTCCGTTTCTTTTATTGAACTGGGTTGAATTTCTAGGGCCAATCTGTTTTTTGAGAAAGTATTGGCAAAGACAATATGTATTTTCTTCAAATCAAGAATTCAAAAGCTCACCTGAAACTTGAGCTTTTTGTTTAGTTCATTGGTCGAAGCATGTAAGCTTAATGAAAAAGCTAACCTTAATTATGATCTGCATTGAAATATTGGTTGCTTTCAGCTAATGATGCTAGTTGATTATGGTGGAGCAATTATTCCAATTATCGCTCATTCTCCATGGAATGGACTTCACCTGGCAGATTTTGTGCTTCCCTTCTTTCTCTTTATTGCTGGAGTTTCTCTTGCACTTGTTTACAAGGTACTGTCATTCAAGACAAGAAATCTGTGCTTCCTTGAAGCAATTCAATATCTTATAATCTTTCTAGTGATTCAACTGATGAACTACCTAATATTTCAATTACCAAGCTATGTTTGGATATTGAAGTATGTATGATTCATGAGCTAATTGACTAACTTGGTACACTTAAATGCATTTTTCAGAAAGTTCCAAACCGAATAGAAGCCACATGGAAGGCAGTGTTAAGGGCAGTAAAACTATTTTTGCTAGGTGTAATTCTTCAAGGTAATCTAATAAATGACTTGAACTAGGGAAGTGAAATTTTACACTATGTTCTGTGTGTAATATGGCACACACCCGTTTTGAATTCAGGTGGCTACTTTCATGGAATAAATTCCTTGACGTATGGTGTTGGCATGAAAAGAATACGTTGGCTTGGAATTTTGCAGGTGCGTAGATTTTTAAATTAACGATTCTTCACTACTGTAGGGTTTTCCAATGAGAAATAATCTGCCCATGGTTCTTTCCTTTTGGGATTGTCATGCCCATTAGCATAAATTTTGTTGCGACGCACATATATATTGCTAGTACTAATTTTGACTCTTCAAAAGGACAAGTTATGGAGGGTATTAGAAGAGTATCATTCTTCATGAAGAAATACTAGGATACTCCACTCTATCTTCCTAAAGAAGTGATTGCATACAAGTAGCCACACCAGTTTCCTGCTTAATTGAAGTAGATGGGCAGTGTAATTAGCTACAGAATGGATTTATCTTTTCTGCCTCTAAAGTATATACGTAGACTTTTCTACTTTTGTTCTTTGTCCTTCTAGTCAGATGCAAGACATACACCGAAGTAGTACCCACATGATACCCAAAGCACTGCACATGACTGTTATGGTATTCGTACGAGTCCTTGACAAGTTCCTTGTTTAATTCTGTATATTAAGCTCGCACTTTCTTACTTGTGTTGGTTGTCGTTCAAGCCAGAGAATATCTGTTGGATACATTTTTGCTGCTTTGTGTGAGATCTGGCTTTCATGTCGATCACGGAGAGAAGTAAGCTTTCTCAAGAGCTATTACTGGCATTGGTAAGCTAAACATTTGAAATTGAATTCCGCTCTTAAACTTCACAGATAGAGCATATGTAATAACAGCTTCTTTTTTACTTTGATAATTCACATTAGCGTTAATGCTAAGTATCAGACCTTGTTATTTTTCCCTCCTACTTTTATGAGCTGATAATTGGGATTAGTTTGAACTGATTACCTAATGATGGATTCATGTTTCATAAGATAAAGAGCATTGAGTGGAAGATGGACAGATATAAGTAGATCAAGATTCTAATAGTCCATTAGAATATCTGCATACTCGATGGATTATTTCCTTTTTACAACGCAGATCCTTTTTTGATGATTCTTTGTTTCCTTTTACTTAGTAGCCAGAGTGGATTACTAAATTTCTGTTTTCCAGGTGTGTGGCATTTTCACTATGTGCAGTGTACCTGGGGTTATTGTATGGTTTATATGTTCCAGATTGGCAATTTGAAATGTCCAATGCAACTTCTTCTGTGTTTCCGACAAATCAGAGTTATGTTTACATGGTGAGGGCCCTAAAATTTTATTACTAGATGTCCAGTTCATGAGATTGCATACATCCCTACTAACCAAAATTGACACAGGTAAAATGTTCTGTAAGAGGCGACCTTGGTCCTGCTTGTAATTCAGCTGGAATGATTGATCGCAATGTACTCGGCGTGGATCACCTATATCAAAAACCTGTTTACAGAAACCTGAAGGTATCCTGAGCAGTTCGTTTTTGCTGCATCTATTCGTTTGTGCAATCCATTGACCTTAATGAAGTTTCACTGTATAGGAGTGCAACATGTCCACCTATGGCCAAGTTCCAGAGCTTTCGCCTTCCTGGTGTCATGCTCCTTTTGATCCTGAGGGTGTCTTAAGGTGGCCAATCAAACCTCTTATGCTTTTCTTTCTCAAAGACAGTTCTTTATTTCATTGTACTCACCTGAATTGCATGCTTAAACTCCCTCAATCAGTTTGGTGTCTGTTTAGTAGGACAACAAGATTCTTAGTGGTAGTTTTGTCTCATGCCATACTGACAGCTTACACAGTTAAAGGGTTTCAATCTTTCCCTATAATTCTCTTCATAAACATAAGCAGGATATCTTTTGGCTGCAAATTGAATTGACCCTTTGCTATGGAATAGTGACTCAAATTCTCTCTAACCTTCTAACAATGATTGTTTTCACAGCTCCTTAACAGCTGCAGTGACTTGCATAATTGGACTTCAATATGGTCATCTTCTTGCTCGCTTACAGGTGAAACACAGTTGTCCCCTTCATTCCCATGCTCGAGTTCTCTTTATCTATGGTAGTGACGGAATGTGGGTTTTGGAAGAATAGTACCTTCAAGAGAAGTCTAGGTCGCACCTTGTAAAACTCAACTCCTCGTCTTGAATTTAGAGAATCAGCTCAGATCTTGTGTCTTGATTACTAGCTTGTTATAGCTTTTAGAACGGATGTTATTTTGGCTTGCTGTTGTTTTGCTCTACCCATAGAAATGTCATGAGTTAAGAAAAATTAATAGAAATGCAATTACGACAACCATTTTATTTACACATGTTGCTTCTTTGAGTACCTTCAAAAGTACTGTTAACAAACTACATATGATGTTACACAAACGCTTTTCAGGATCACAAGGGACGCATGGAAAACGGGTCCCTCTTCTCATTTTCGCTTCTTGCAGTTGGATTGCTCCTTGCTCTTATAGGTATGCACTTTAACGACTCATAATTTCTCCTATAATGAATCCATGGATGATTCTTATTGCATAGACAATAGTAATATGGTCGAAACAGTTTTCTTGAAAACGAAAATATCTGTGTTTTGAGAGAGGGAGGTTGAAATGTTTTGTTTTGCAGATATACATGCAAGAATTCTCCAGCCAAGTGCACAAGAATGCAACAGCAGATATGCTTTTATTTGCTCCATAACATTAAATATCTGATTACCTTCCTTTTTTCTTTTCAGGCGATCCTGTGAATAAATCCTTGTACACAATCAGTTATATGCTGATTACTTCTGCTTCGGCGGGGATCACATATTCTGCTTTATACTTCTTGGTAAGGTCTTAAAGACAAGTGTTTACCATTCTGATTTTCGGAACATACACAATAATGAAAAACATTTGTTTACTCTTTGTTACAGGTAGATGTACATGGTTACAGATGCTTGACATTTGTATTGGAGTGGATGGGAAAGCATTCTTTGACTATTTTCGTACTCATAAATTCTAACTTAGCTGTTATTACAATACAAGGATTCTACTGGAAAGTTCCTGAAAATAACATGGTAAGCATTTAGAATCGGTAGAAACCTTTTCACTTATTACTCAATAGTAAGTTCAAAGATGCTTAAACATTTTCTTGTTATGCTCATTTGCTCTACAGATTCACTGGATTGTTAGTCAGTTTGTGCACAGATGATTGAAGTGGTTGGAAGCTTAGTTAGGATGTTAGTCTTACCTCTTCTTTTCTTTTTCCCTCTTTTCCATTTAAATTTTTGTGAAGATTTTCATGCTTATAGTTTCATGGCCAGAGGAAGTGCAAGAAAAACTATTATTTCAGCATAGTAGTGGATGATGGAAACTGTGAGTTATTTCAAGCGGTTTTAGGGCCATCGCTGCGGCCCAAAATTTTGGTAAATGGGCTCAAGAGAGGTCCATGATTCTTATTCAAACTAGCTAATCTGAGCATAAACATGAAACTGCAAGAAGAGAAGGAAACCCTGCTAGGAAATTTGTGGTCAGATGATCATATGTTTTCAGTACCTGAACTTAAAAAAACTTGTTAGTTTGAGGTTTTTTTTTTACTTTGTTTTTTAAAAAAAATCAATCAATCAAGTATATCGATTCCGAAATATCCTTCTCACGGATCTTCTGATATATGAGTAATCAAAAGGGGAGTTTTGAAGCATACGTAATTGTTTGATCATTATTTGAAAGAATGAAAACTTCCACACCAAAAAAAAATTCAAGTCGAAGAACAGAATTTATGGTTTTCTCAAATTGTATTTGTCTGCGAGGTTGTCCTGGTTTATGCTTTGGGATCATTGCTTTTGAGCTCAAAACTCAAATCAGGAGATGACATTTCAACCCAGCAATTTGCTTGAGCTTATTCCTAGTTTTAGCTGATTAATTTTTGTCTTGAAGTTGAAAAAAGACCAAGAATGTATGGGATGAGAAACTTTTGTTGTCTTTAACCATAAATCGTTGGTTGTTGCAAAAGAAAAGGAGGCAGCAATTTTCAGTCTCACCGGAAAAGATAACAACATTATTTTGGCTTGTACTTATCCTTTATGGACGGTAGAATTCTTATATTATTAAAAAAATAATAAAAATATCCAAACCAACCACTCTGGTCATTTTCACTTACCTTGCTTTCAAGATTGAGGTTATGTTTGACATTGCTGCGTTTACAAATTAACAATTTTTTGTCTGGCTTTTAAAGTTATAATTGTTTGGTAAAAACACTTTATTTGTATAAAAATCACACATGCTATCTTAGAAAAACGGATAAAAATTGATTACCAGAAAAGCATGTATTTTCTAACTTTCCTTACAAGCATGACATAACCAAAGTAGCTTTAAAATTTTAATATACCTAATTATTCCATGCCTTATCTTAATTCGCATTTGGCTTTTTTTCCCTCTATGTATATTTGAAACGAAAAATAATAAAATTTAATTATTTTTAATAGATATAATTTAAAATTCAAATTTTTTATATGGATAAAAAATTTGTGAATCAGCTGATCGCTGACCGGCAACTTTATGGTAATCCACATTTGCATTTTAATGCAATAATGCTGCCTTGGAGTTAAAGCAGCTTCTAGCCACTTCGTGACAACTTTTTTCCACTGGATGCATTGTTGTGCCCTTAGTCATCGAGTGATTAAGTGACCCTACCTTCCTTGATTTTCAAAATTTGGTGAAATAATTAACCAAACTTTTATGTCTTAGGAAGAGAATATTCCAGATAGATTATTCTTTTTCTCCGCCAGCATAACTGTGGATAATGTTGACATGTCTGTTCTGGCAATAATAAATTTTTTTATACCTTTTTTTTAAAAAAAACAAGAAGAAGAAGATTGGTTACTTTTCTTTGCAAGTATCATATTTGCATCTCCATAAAATTTATAAAAAGCACTAATGATTAGTAGTGCTACGTTATATCAGACTATTATTAGTTGATTTTTTTCTCGCATCAAAAGTGGAGGGAAGAGGAAAATAACAAAAGAAAATATCTCTCGTTCTGATATCCAATAATTAAAAAAAATATTTTGTTCATGTATTACCATTTAATTCATTACTTGAAGAATTTTTTTTTTTTAATTCATAGGCAGCCCAATGAATCTATTGGCTACATAATGAGAGTAGCTCTTCTTATTATATAATCATAAATAAATAAAAAAAACTAAAATTATCAATATTGAATATACATCTATCAAACTAAACTTTAAGACAACATAGAGAAAGTGTGAGACATACAAGTCAGCAACAAAGACATGTTTTTCGAATTAATAAATGCATATGGTCCTATTCAGAAAAGGCCAAAAAAAAAAAAAACGAAGGCTGTAGATTAATGAATCCCAAGCAGTTCAAAATTTAAAAGAAAAATCCTTTTTTTTATATATATACTAAGAAAAAAATCCTATCTCATATAGGAACTAATACATTAATTTTTTATACCAACAGACATTCGATGTACACTGTCCCTCGCTTACAAAAAGTGGAGTCCAAAACCCACTATTTTAAACCCCATCCTATCATGCTTTCAAGCAAAGGACTAAGGTGAGGGCCCATGTAAATCACCCAAAAAAAATTCTTTATTTGAAATTTGATTGACACCACTTCATTTATAGAGTCTACAGATTTATGAGGAGAGACCCAGAATTTCCTGAAACCTTCAAGAGGCATATATGCCTTGTCAAAATTTCCACAATAGGGCCCATCTAGAATATACTAAGAAAAAAAAAAGAAATAAATGACAAAATCTAGAAAAGCAAAAGAAATTCATCCAATATTCTGATAAAAAAATCCTGAAAAAGTACAAAACTATTTGGTGTATGGATTATGCATGTTACTATTAGGTAGATGGTAGACGAGAGTGAGGCTTTTTTATATCTCATCTTTGATTTTTTTTTTCTTTTTTTGAAGCACAATCCTTGATTTCTCATGATTTGTTATTAAATTTTTTTATTTTTGATTTGTTTTAGCATACAAATTCATCCAAAAATTAATATCATATGACAGTCGATTTTGTCACATCAGCATCACATGTTCTTATATAGATATCAACATTTAAATAGAAAAAAATAAAAAATTAGGTATTAAAATAAAAAAAATTAAAAATTAATTACCAAAAATATAATTTAAAAAAAATTATTAACTCAAGATTGTAAAATTAGTTACAATTTCTAATAAATATTTTCTATATACGGGGGTATTTTTATTGAGTCTACAGATTTACGAGGAGAGACCCAGAATTTCCTCAAACCTTCCAGAGGTATATGCCTTGCCAAAATTTCCACAGTAGGACCCATCTAGAAAATACTAAGTAAGAAAAAAGAAGTAAATGACAAAATCTAGAAAACCAAAAGAAATTCATCCAATGTTCTGATAAAAATCTTGTAACTACAGAACTATTTGGTGCATGGATTATGCATGTGACTTTTAGGTAGATGGTAGAAGAGAGAGGTTTTTTTTTTCTTTTTTTTTTAAAAAAAAATTTGGCGCACAATCTTTATTTCTTATGATTTACTACTTATTATTATTATTTTTTTTAATATTTTAGTTCATATAAAATCTGATTTTAATGATATATACGACAAGATTGATTACGTGATAATAAAAAAAATCACATATCAATCAACTTTATCCTGTCAACATCACATCTTTTCATATAAATATGTATACTTAAATAAAAAAAATAAAAATTAAATAACAAAAATGTAATTTTTTTTAAAAAAATGGTTATTTCGAAATTGTAGTTCAATAATTTTTTATAAATATTTTTATACCATACTGATACTATTTTTATAGAGTACAGATTTATGAGGAGAGACTCCGAATTTCCTCAAACCTTCAAGAGATGTGTGCCTTGTCAAAATTTCCACAGTAGGACCATCTAGAAAATACCAAGAAATAAATGACAAAATCTAGAAAAGCGAAAGAAATTCATCCAATATTCTGACAAAAAATGTTGTAACTACGAAACTAGTTGGTGTGCGGATAGGTAGACGATAGGATAACTTTTCTGTGTTTTGTGCGGCCAGAATTTTAACCTTTTTGAAACCTAGAAAATTTGTACTGCACCTGGTCTTATTTGTACTTTTCCTTTTCTTTTTTTAATTTGGGATAATGTTGCATAGGTAATCTTCCTCGTATTTGATGTTGGTTTTGTTGCACTTATACATGGACTAATAACGACTGCCCGAAGTGCTATTACTTTATTGTTGATGTATATAATTCCATTCATATAATAATTATTGTTTACATGATCCAAAAAAATTGACAAAATTTTTCATGAGACAGTTCTTCTTTCAAATTAGTATATAGAAAACGAATTGGAAGTATGAGGTTTTTTTTTTTATAGATAGAATTTTGCAATAACGTCAGTCCACGTCACTTGATAAATGTTAAAAAATTAATTTGTAGTCATCAGAAGAAAAAGATTGCTTTTGAAATATGTCATACGCCACTTTTTAAAAAAATTCGTTAATAATTAACATATTTTAAAAAATTTCTGAAAACTTATTCCTCAAAATAATAATTATTATTATTACGATATAAAAGTTTCAACTCAAATCCTTTTAAAATTGACAAATATGAATTATAATCAAACTACAAATTAACTTACATTATCTATATTATTTTTCCTTCTTGTAAATGTACAATATGGATTTTTTTTTTTTTTAATAAGCCGTGAGGGCACACATTAAAAGCCGTTGAATTAAAAAATCAAAAAAAGGATTGCACTTCTAACTACGGTCAATTATTAACCTAAGGCCAAAAATTAACCTAAGTTTTTGTAAACTCAAAACTTCAAAAAAAATTAATCTGTAAATTCTTATAAATAAATAAATAAAAACTTACTGTCAAACCTATTGCTAATTGAATGTCTAATTACTAACTCTCAAAATCCCACGTTATATAAACCTATATTATAAGCATTCTCAAACCAACTCTTCGAGGACACAACCTATACATGAGGTCATTTTCCTCGCACATGAAAAATCAAGAACTGATTTTTTGATAGTGCAAAAACCACAATTGCACGAAAGCAGCCACATTTATGATGGTGCCAAGCTGATCAAAACTCTACCTCCCTCGTTGCTTTCTCTAGCTACGTGGCCCACAAGCTAACGGGCTACCTGAGCCCTCAAAAATTCAAAAATACAAAAAAAAAAATTAACGTGAAGTGACCGTTGGGGGCATCGGGTTCTTTAGAAAAGTAGACAAGTCCTTCTCCTTCGCATTCCCCAACGGCTATTAAACTAAGAAAGCTCTGGAACAATCTAGCCGTTTTGGGATACGGGACACTTGTCGTGGTAAGAGTGGTGATGATGTGGACAAATGAACCAAGTAGCACAACATATTTGGTCCCCTTTGTTTGTCGTTCATTTGTTCTTCTACAAAATATTACCTTAGCATTTTATTTTCCTAAATAAATGTTTGGGACAGTCAATGGTGAGCGTTTAAGGTAATTCTTTGTTTTTTTTTTTTTGTTGGGGGTCATCAAGGTAACTATATTCAAGTTAATATGGAGTGATATGTTATATTAAACTCTTGATTTTATATATTCAAAATAATAAAGAAATTTTAGTCAAGAAGTAATTAATAATATTTAATTTATTAATTTATTTGAAAAAAAATATTAAAAAAGTTACATCCCAAATCACTAAAAATGATAAAAATATTTTTATCAAAATTATTTTTGTTAATTTTTTTATTTATCTATTTCTTATATGATTCTGTTATAAAGTAAATATTATTAAATATTATTGAAGTAAGGTAAAATTTCTCTATTTTGTATTTTTGATAACTGTAAATTAGTCCAATCATATCTCATAAACTAAAAGACGTCTAACGAAGAATTATTCAGTCAGTGGTTATGACAAACCGATATTAATTATTTAGTCAAATATTAATTATTCAGAAAAAAATAGTTATGACAAACTGATAGTCAATGGTAGTTAATTATTGTAATAATTAGATAAATAAATTTGAACTTCAAAATATTCATGGACAATCTTCTAGCTATTCATGAATAAGATCGATTAAATTATAATTTTTTAAATTTACAACGTTATTGGAAAAAAAACTTTAATTTCTATTTATTATAATAAATAATATCAATAATTATCGTAATTTTCAACGAATGTTCTAAAATATCCATCAGCCGGATGCCCGGATTCTTACTTGAAAAGCAGGTTGATTCGATATTATTGATAAATTACTGAATATGAAGGATCGATGTGATGGCAAGATTAAGGTGAGATTGTGACATGGATAAGTTCAAGATAACCACGACATCAGCGATGGGACTTCTAAAATTTGCCACGCCATCAGCCCTGATATAGTTTTGCCAGCTGGTACCGCATGATTCTTCTTGATTAGACCAAATATTCAATTTAATGATCACGGACCCTTGTTTTACAGAACAAACTAGCTTCTTCAATATTTTTTTTACCGTATTAGATCGAATAAAACACATAAAAATATATTTTTAAAATTATTTTAATTTGATATTTTATGTTATATTATGAATATATTAAAATATATTAAATTAAAACGGAGTAAAAATTAATTTAATTTTATAATTTTTAATTAAAATTTTATATTTGATCAATTATTTTTTTATTTTTTTATAAAATTTTAATTAAAAAAATATTATTTATTTATCTCTATTCATAAACTAAAAAAATATAATAGCGTAAAAAATATCAAAATTAATTGATTATTAACTAAAAACTTATTTTATAAATTATTTTTTAAAATATTTTTTATCTTGTAATTTTTAATTAAAAAAACAGAGAAAAAAATAATCAAAATGATCAAAATAAAACAAAAAAAGAGATCAAAATGAAATAAAAAATATTTAAAATTTAAAAAAACAATGTTTGAAAAAAAAGATGAAAAAGTAATGTCACAAAAAAATTTATAATAGATATTTTTAAAATATTTAAAAATTATAAAAATATTGTTGTATAGTAAATATACATGAGTTTTGGTGAATAATACGAAAAAAATTAGATAAATGTATTTTTGAATAGTGTAGTGGATAATAATCAATTGTTTTATTTTATTTTATTTTTTGTTAATTACCTTAGAAAAGGAAAGGAAAAGACAAACATGCCACTTGACTAGGCATTTCAAAGAATGTTTGAGGCTTGATCGCAACAGACCAGCGACTCTCGCAACACTCTTGTAGTTCATTAAAAGTTAAGTATAGTCAAATGCTAAAATTATTGCAATTGCTTAGAGCGAAAAAAATACTTGAATTAATTAGCACTCTTTTTTACGTGAAATCATCAATTTACGATCATTTTTTTGTTAAACAGTACACTTTCTATTTCGAAATATTGTTTTTATTTGACTTTTCATACACTTTAAAAAAATTATTAATTGCTTTGTTATGTTAGTGTTATGAAATAATGAATGTCCATCATCATGTTCATCCACTTTTCATATCCTCACTACTCATGATTCTTAATGTGATTCAATTCATCATTCAATATGAGAAATTGAAAGGGTGATGCAATTGATTATTCATAGTCCTTCCAATTCTATCTTCGATTTTGAAGCTTATAAATAGGCTTGATTGTTCATTAGTTGGTGTATAAGTTTCTTAGAGAGAATAAGAGAAACTTTGAAGTTCTTATCACTTATATTCACATTATAGTGATTTCATTTTCTCGTTATCCTTTCCTTCGATTCTCCTATCATTTCTATTTATTTTATAACGAGTTAGCATTTTTTATTCATATTTTTTAAAAAAAATATTAGTTGTCAAATTCAATCCGTAACATTAATTTAAAAAACTAATTGATTATCAACATATTATATGCATGATAAAGAATAAATACTCCATCATTTTTTCTTCTTCTTCTTTTAATCAATATTTCTATGAGGTGGATACAAAAATAAAGATTCTCAATTATTTTGTATGTGTAAATTCAAAGGAGTCTTTGCTTGTGACCCGACAGTCGCATGCTTGTGTCATATAAGGAAAATGTAGCAAAAAAGATAATAATCCTCCCATCAAGTCCTGTGATCATGCTCCAATTTCCACGCATCCATCTCCTCATGATTCCATTTTAATTCAAATGCGTGGAGCCTCTGAATTGCAATCCACGCCAAACCACGAGCATTTTTTTTTTAACATCTTGAGAGTATGATTCAGTACTCCAACCTTCATAAAGTATACATTACACGGCGTTAAATTTCCAATGATACAATTGTGAGATCTAAATTATTTGTCAATAAATCAATGCTTTAGCTACACAATTGGGCTTTTGAAGGCTTTCCTTGTAATTCACTCCTCATAGTTTAACAATTTTAATTTAACGATTCTTCGTAGTTTTAGCAAGAGTTATGTATTTAGTTCTTTTTTTTTTTTTTAAATCCATTTCTAACTTGTTCCTTCATTAATTTCATGCTTTTCCAATTTATTATTTTTTCCTTTTTTCAAAAAGTAGAAAAAAGAAAAGAAAAATTAAGAACAAAAACATGACTAAAAAATAAGGCATTTTAACGCTGATTCATGGGACTGAATTTCGAGTAATAACTTCACAAATTACTAATGTATACTATCTCAAATTTCGAGTAATAACTTCACAAATTACTAATGTAGGGTGAGTTTTGTTGTCCCTTTCACATATGAAAATAAACTTATTTTCTTGTACTATATAATATTATTTATTTTAACTCACACACATATATATAATGAAGAAAAACTAATTCTTTCATTTATTTTTGTTAATCGAGTATCATTATAAAATTAATCAAGTATTTGATGAAAATGCTGAATTGTCTGAATTTTGAATTATACGGAATTTGTTTTGTATCGTATTTATATAGAATAGTTAAAATAAATAATATTAAACAGAACAAATGTACAATATGTATTTCACCCTATTATAAGTTACAGAAACTGAATTTTCTTTATAAAAAATTGCAGCAGCCACCATGAATATTACATTACAAGATTAAACGTACGTATCAAATTATTATGACCTTCGGCCAAACTGAAAACAAAATGAAGCAATGGACAGCACCACGGGCAGTGTTTGCATTATTCATTGCGTCATTTAAAATACCGTTCTTGGTCAATAAGGACAAGCCAATCACACTCACATTGAAGACACTTCGACAATGATTCTACCTCATAAAGAATTAAAAATCATCCTTTTTTTTTTAATGGTAAATCAAAAACAGCCTTCTAAGATCTACAATTTACACACACTGATTGCATCAAACATTTATTTTGTTTCTAGAAATACCTGTATTTAGTTTCAAATTACAAGAACTCAGAACACTTATTTTTCTTAATTATGATTAATACCCTCATTTGTGCTTAAATAATATGTTAATTTTTCAACCTCTTATTAAAAAAATTATAATTTATCTTTATATCTTAAGCTGATTTCTAATTTATCATTTTATTTAAAATTTTTTTATTAAATTAAGTTAAATTAAACATGTGCTTTACATATGATATGTTATTTGATAATATTGTTTTTGTTTTTTGGCATAAGTGAAAGATAAATTAATTTAAAGATTAAATTCTAAAAATTGATTGAAAATTCTTACCAAAAAGATAGATTAGAAACAAACTCAAAATATAAATTAATTTGAAGATTAATTTTTAAAAATTAATTGAAAATTCTAACCAAAAAAATATATTAGAAACAAACTTAAAATATAAAAACATATTAAAAAATTTTTTTAAGAGACCACTGACAAATTGACCTATTATAAAATACATAAGAGGAAATTAACTTTTTTATTGCACATAGTTAGATTTTTTTTTTAGATAGTGGACTTCCAATCACTCAATCATCCAAAGAAAAAATATGTAAAAACGAAGACTTTTGCTAATTTTTTTTGAACATTCAAAATATTTTTATATTGATTATCACTTATCGAGTCGTTCTTTACCGATCAAATTTGAGACAAATCATTAATGTAGGAATTGGACTATTCATATATAATTTTTTTAATTCCGACCGCTTTTAAAAACAAATTTAAGATAACCGTGTACAAAGCTTACTACCGGAGACAAAGGCTAAAAAACTCGAAAGTGAAAGGTTGTGTAATTGATATTTCATTACCTATTTTACTAAACCTAACATCAATATGCTTCAAATTTGTTCTTCTCCTCAAAACTCGAGAGTGAAAGGTCGTATATAGACACGAATTAATGTCACAAATACAGCCCCGATGGACCTTGAAAGAGGACTGATCATTTGTTCTTCTCCTTATACCATGGAGCCATGTGCCTTTCTATTTCACGTACATGGCAGAAATGTTCAAGAGGCTAATATTTCATGGATTCTTAGCATTTTAATGGCAGCAAATACAATCTATAACCAACAGGGGCATAGACATCCTCTAAATCTCACTACCAAAATAATTAACCACAACTAACGCCAACCAAAGAACGAACTAAAAAAAATACAAAAAATGCGGGAGTTAATTATTGATTAGTCCCCATATATTTTTTAAAGAATTAATCAATCATATTTGTTTTAAAAATTAATTATTTAATTTTTAGTCCATATTGATTATAATTAATTTAATAAAATTTTATTTTAAAAAATTTATTATTCTCTCATCAATTTTTCATTATATATATATATATATATATATATATATATATATATATATATATATATATATATATATCTTAAAAAAAGATAGAAATATATAAAATAGATGAAACGATTAATAATTAATTTTTGAAAAAAAGGGATTGATTAATTCGTTTATCAAAAGTAAAGGGATTAATTTATAATTTTCTCAAAACGGGGTCCAAAACATTATAATTTGGCTTGGTAATGATGGGTCCAAAATGGTGCCCAAAATGAAGACAATCACGGGACCCAGAAAAAAAAAAAAAAAAAAAAAAAAAAAAAAAAATTGAAGATGGAGAGCTTTCCAAGTTTGAGAGAAAAAGCAAAGAAAGAAAGAAGACAAGAAATAACCGTTGTAGGCGTGGCTTTGGCTGGATGCCAGGCTGACCCTTTGAGTCCTACCCTACTCAATGGCTAACCCTCCCACCCATAGAAAAGAGAAGATGATTAGCCATCACATGGCCAATCTGTGCACCTGGTCCCACCCCCATTTTCCCTCTCTCTCTAGTCACTCCTAGGTCCAACAAAATACATTATTTCGTTCCTAAAATGCCCCTGTCTTATCCAAAATACGCAACATTTTCCTACCCTTCTCTCCCCTGTTAAAAAGACTGACCACCTAAGGCCACTCCCACAGTTAAAACCAGTTGCTTAAGAGATAGATAGAGAGAGAGAGAGAGAAGCAAAAGCTTGTGGTAAGAGAGCCAACTGCAAAGAAAGAGAGTTTCTTTAGGTCCAAATGTCGAAGGAAGTGAGCGAGGAAGGGCAAACTCATCGGAAAGATTATGCTGATCCGCCACCAGCACCAATTCTTGACGTGGGTGAACTCAAGCTCTGGTCTTTCTACAGAGCTCTCATAGCTGAGTTCGTTGCTACACTTCTCTTCCTTTATGTCTCTGTGGCTACTGTTATTGGTCACAAGAAAAACGCAGACGCTTGTGAGGGAGTTGGGTTGCTTGGTATTGCATGGGCTTTTGGTGGCATGATCTTTATCCTTGTTTACTGCACTGCTGGTATCTCTGGTAAGAACAAGAACCCATCTTTTTGTTTCTTACTCTTGTATTAAGTTTCTGTAATATAAGCTGACCACTTTGCTGCACCTCTTTGTTTCACTTGTTAACTGTATTTGGTCTTATTTGTATACAAGGCACTATCTTTTAGTAAAACTAAGTAGTTTATGAGCACAGAAAATAGGTCTTTCGTGTGGTTTGTTAATGGGTTTTGGATTTTTTTTGTTGTAGGTGGACATATTAACCCAGCAGTCACTTTTGGCCTGTTTTTGGCGAGGAAAGTGTCCCTATTTAGGGCTGTGGGTTACATGGTGGCTCAATGCTTGGGTGCTATTTGTGGTGTTGGCTTTGTCAAGGCCTTCATGAGGCCATACTACAATTCTCTCGGTGGTGGTGCTAACACAGTAATGCCTGGGTACAACAAAGGCACAGCTTTGGGTGCTGAGATCATCGGCACTTTTGTGCTTGTTTACACTGTTTTCTCTGCAACTGACCCCAAGAGAAGTGCACGTGACTCTCACGTCCCTGTAAGTACTAGTAAATAGTAATTGTTTCCCTTCTCATGTGTTGATGTTTTGTTACTCTGTTAGGGCATGTAGGTAAATTAAGTTGGGTTTGGTTTTGCTTACTTGTTTTTGGGTACAGGTTTTGGCTCCACTTCCAATCGGGTTTGCTGTGTTCATGGTCCACTTGGCCACAATCCCTATTACTGGTACTGGCATCAACCCTGCTAGGAGCTTTGGTGCTGCTGTCATCTACAACAATGAGAAAGCCTGGGATGATCAAGTAAGAAACCCTTTGAATATCTGAAGCAAAGTTTATATTTTGATATTGTTGATTTTTTGTGTATTTGGAGTAAATTTTAGTAATTAACACGGGGTATAATTTGATTGTCGTGCAGTGGATTTTCTGGGTTGGGCCATTTGTAGGAGCATTAGCAGCAGCTGCATACCACCAGTACATTTTGAGAGCTGGAGCAATCAAGGCTTTGGGATCTTTCCGTAGCAACCCCTCCAACTAAAGAAACAAAACCACCTTGAAAAAAAAAAAGAGAAAAAAAAAAGCTTGTCCTTACCCACCCCTTTATCTCTATTTGTTTGTTTGTGTGTATGAGAGATCGGATTATGATGAACCTTTCTTTTTCTTTCTTTTGTCCTCTTATTTATAATTTAATCCTTCTTTGTTAGTTTGGCTGTGTATGATGTTTATGGGTAGTTGTGTTTAATTAATTACTTCTCTTCTATTACGTTTTGTGCACTGAAAAGCTCCCTTCTTTACACATTCTTTTGTCTATTCTTGGACTATCTCTATTATTACGGCTAAATTAGTACACACTTAATAGGAAGTTTCGAAAAAATGGCGAAGGGTTGGTGCATAACTTGGCATTCTCCAAACGAGACTAAACTTTGCATTGTAGTGGTAGGGCCATAGGCATCATCAGTTGGTATGGTGATCCACCAATGATTATTAACCAAATTGGAGTTTCGTCATCCACACTTTCTAGCTCCAATTCCAATTGTTTGTGCCACGTGTCCATGCATGAGTAACCAGGAAGAACCATGGATGCTTTCTCTGGGTATGGGTCCTGGGGTGAGATGCTTCACCTTTGGTGCTTTCACCTCTGGAAAGGTCTCCTTGAAAGGCTGTCAAATGACCTGCTTTTGGACTAAAGTCCAACTAATAGGATTAACGGAGCCAACAGTAGAAAATGAAAGAAACTGGTATAGTATTCTATATTCTGTGCCTCTATGTTCACTTCCCAACCCGCATTTTGCCATGTCATGTGATTACAAGGTTGCATGCTATAGGATAGCACATGGTGGGATAAGGGTTGGTAGGTCATCTATTTGTCAATCGTAAAAAACACAGTTACCCTACCTCCACGGAAACCAAAAGGAGAAGGATGGTTTCGTGCTATTATTATTTTTTCCTATTGGGAGAGGCTTATTAAAGACTTAAAGAGAAGGTTGATGGGTCTCGTCTTTTTACGAAGTTTTATATCTCTCTTTGCCACGTTTCGGTTCCTTAAGAAGAGTGCTTGGGTGGTCCTCAAGGGGTCAAAATACCAGCTGACACATTGGACCAATACGACCTCTTGTGGTCCTTGATCACGAGGGAGCCTTGAAGCACGTCTCTTGTTCAAACTGAGCTAATTTATGGTACCAAGTTCTAACTGAGCAAATTTATGGTGCCAAACCTCGAGAGCAGAAGCATTCCCTACTACAAATTCACTAAAGATTCAACCCTCCGTGTGCAAATGAAGAGCTAGTGGGGATAGGCTTTTATTCACGACTCTTTTTGATAAAATTAAATTCGGGCTCACAATGAGTAATATTCTCTGTCGATGAGCATCATGAAAGAATCAGACAGCTACTTTAGCCATTTACCTTCCCAATTCTTTGGGCGAATCACTGAGAGAAATTCAAACTATAAGCAAATTTGCTTAAAAACTTTTTCCTATCAACGAGGGGCACGGCGATGCTAACTGAAGTCAAGTTTGAAAGAGTGAAGCTACCAAATCCCAAAACGATAGAGAATACCAATAACGGCCTCTATCCTTTTGTAACTTAAGCTGTATTGGCAGTATGCTTAACTTAGAAAAGATAACTGTATATTTGAACATTGTATAGACACCCTTTTCAGCAGAGGACGCAAAATTGCCAATCTACATCACAAGAACATAGTTGCAACTTACATGATTCACTGCGATTTTACAGCCAAAGTACCTCAATCAAATTACAACAAAATAGCAAATATCTTGACTACAGGTAAAGAGTACTTGTTACTATGTTTCAACACTCAAAAACCAAAGATGGCCAACTGCAGCAGATTCTCAGCCCCTTTAATTTTACAATCAGCTCGCTGAACAGATCCTGCACACATTCGATCTGACTAAATTAGAACAGAAGAACGATAATGGCAACTGATGCTACTGAAAATCAGATCTGAAAGCATAGAATGAAACAACACACAAAGCATTGTAACGACCATATACATTAGTCAGGCAATGCAGTTCCTCGCTCAAGATTATTCTTGATCTCCAGTGTGTATTTACCAAAGGCACGCTCAATCTTCTTGTTGAAATGTTCATTACGGTCATTGATCGAGTCAATATCCTTCTCATCACGAAACCTCCTCCTTCGGCTAAATGACTTCCGCTTCTCGTCTCGGTCCGTGAGTTCCTTTACCATCCTTTCAACTTTGTCCTCAGAGGCCTTAGGTGCCTGAATAATTTAAGCAGAGTCTACTACATTATTGTAAAATCCTTGAATTAAGATCCTAAACGAAGCAACATTTTCACAACAATGATACCTTTCCATATTGAAGGCTTGAGGCTTGACGGTAGAACTCAGGATCAGCTTCTTTCATTTTGTTATATTCTTCTAGGTCAACATCAATATTCCTGGTCCGTTTTTTATGTGCATTGTATAGCGTCTTCTGATTGAAAACTGTTAAAACAGGATATATCAGTGTAATTCTCAGGTGCAATCCAGAATCAAATTCTTATTAAGGATTCAACCAATATCACCAATATAAGACTTCTGATGCTCGAGTGACTCAAGATGCATGTACCCTAGACATACTCCTTTTTCATTTCAAGGTGGATGTGCACATAAGAAACAACAGAGACAGAAGGCAAACTATTGAAGCTCACCTCAGGTGCCTCTACTATTCCCACCTATATATATATACACAGTGTGTTTGTGTGGGTGGGTGTAAAAAATGAAACCTATATATAGAGGTTGATGCCCACTTGAAATGGACCTAGAAAAAAGTATAAGCAAAACTTGTGAATGTAGAAATGACATATACGTGGAGATACTGACATACCGTCCCAACCATATGGAGCAGGATCCTTCTCCCATTTCTTGTATTTTGCCTCTGCTGCGTCTTGTGTGTCCAGCATGTATGCCTTTGTCATGTCCAAGTCGTTTGCATCTAGAAGCTTGCCTATCTTTTGCTGCCTCTTGTCCAGCCATTTCTGTTTAGAAATGCCCCTTGATTCTGCAGGAGCTTCCATTTTCTTTTTTCAGCTACCATTGCAACCTGATTGGCTTTTCTAGCCTCATTCTGCATTTAACCATAAGCCAGAATTATTTCCAAGTACAATAAACCTGACAAGATAAAAAAAGAAAATGGAACAGCTCGATTATCGCAACCTCCAATCTGATACAGAAAGGACATTCATAAGTGAAAAGTCTATCAAAATTACCATCCTAAGTCTCAACTCAAACAACTTTTTCTTTCTCCCAGTAAGTTGTGTAACATCTCCCACCATATTATCCTCGACAGCATGGTTGTCAGCATTGTCATCATCTTCAGAATGTTGTTCATGATCTGGTCTTTCTACATCAAACTCTTCACCTTGCTCAGGAGCTTGTGAACTGAATCGACCACTTCCACTTTGAGCTTGCACAACTTCTGGAAACAGCGTAAATAGCATGACAAAGATCATAAACAGAACATAAATGACACATAACACTAAATGAATAAAATCACACAATTTGTATCCTGTCAATATCCGTTAGCAGACTTGGATAACCCGAGTTCTTTACACACCATTTACAAATTGCAAGAAACACAATCTTCAGTGTCACGCAACATCTCTAACATATATCATTATCAGCGAGCTAACACACAATGCTATATACATCTCCGTGAGTGAGTGCTGTTATCAGAAACAACCATCAATACTCTTTATGTAGCAAAAGACAAAAGAAAATAAAAACAATACCTGTTTCTTTAATCTCCGCACGCGCTTTAGCTTCAGCAATTTTTAAAAAGCAATATTCGACACATTCGTGGTAAGGATTCGAGGCATTTATACAATCAGGATGTACTCTCCTTTCATCAGCCATATTTACTTGTTACACCTTCTTCTCTCTACTCCTACAGTTAGATTAACAACACAAAACCCAACAAATATCAATTACAAATAATCAAAATCATACTAACTCCTTAATACCTCAAACGTTAACAGCACGAATCATGGTATCGATAAAATTAAGCACCGCAATTAATGCTACTAAAAATAAAACTGAGCTAATCATCTTGCTTTAAATGCAATTAATTACTCTAAAATCACAGTTAATTTTTCAAGTTCTTTCAGATAAAACCCTAAGAAAATTGCAGTTGGTAAGATTAAGAAGCAAGGAGGTGATATTTTGAAAGAGACTGGCAAACCTGTGAGAGATTGGAGTTTCTATTGCCTCCTGTTGACTCTAGGGTTCTGTTTGGTCGAAGAGAGCGTGAGAGAGAAAATTAGGGAAAGAAAGCGCGAATCTGTGCATTGCCCGTGCCGACTGTGGATTTTGCGGATTTATTTTGGAAAAAAAAAACACGGTGGCTAATTGTTTTCAGAATTTGGGCCGGATAGGTTTTTTGTGGTGGCGTAAAAACGAGGTGGGCCTTGTTGCTCTCCACACAACAATTTTGGAGTCCGATTGATGAATTGCGATCCTCGTCAATTTATCATGCGTAAATTACAAATTCAATAAACTTAAAAAAAAAAAAAGAAATCAGATAGATTTTTTTCTTGCTCCTCAGGTATCTTAAGAAACCAAACATTCACGTACACATCCCCCCCCCCCCCCCCCAAACACCATGAAAGAGATCAGCTTTATTATGCCTTTTTGAGTTTTAATTGTGGAGAATAGAATATTTTGGGTAGTCGGATTGTAGTCTATATGTATATATGTATATATGCTAGTAAGAGTCTTTTTTACACTCTTTTTTAAACATTTGTTTAATAAAAGTATTCATCTCAAATTTTTTAACTACGTCAAACATCTATTCAAAAAATTAAAAATCAAAAGATACCTACTGGTTTTTTTTTTTTAATTTAAATTATAACTAATCTCATATTTTTTAAAGATTAAAATATTTTTTTTACTCTTTTGCATAAAGCACTAGTGTAATGGATAATTATTCATTTATTGTAAAGATAAAACACTCATTGTTTGCATTCAAGGGAAAAAAAAATCTTAACTCTTAGTTTCAACTCAATGGTTTTTTGGATAATTTTAAAGGTAAACAAATAAAGAATTGAGTATTTTAGTTTTTAAATAATATAAAATTAGTTATAATTTAAAAAATTTCTAAAAGTATAGAATATGAGTTATCTTTTGTTTGCTATCTTTATACTTAAATGTTAGAAATAGTTAAAAAAAAAAAAAAAATCTAAGGTGAATACTTTTTATTAAGTATTCAAGAGAGTGTTAAAAAAAATGTTGCTAGCATATCTCTATATATATGTGTGTGTTTGTTTTGATTCAATGATAAACATATTTTCGGATTAGTTTGTGTATTAATTGATGTTAAATTCTTCTCTAAACCATTTTTTAAAAAAGGAATCTCCTTTATAGGTTTAATGTATTTAAAGAAATTTAATAAATTCTCCTAACTCTTAAGATTTGAATCCAAAAATATTAAGGAAAAAGAAAAGTAAACTTTCCTAACCATTAAACCATCCCATTAGAATTCAATCCACCTAATATTAATCGAAGGGAAATAACAAAATATCTGTTGAGCTCGTAGAGTTATTAAGGATTTTTTAGTCAATGAAAGAGATCTTTTGGGTGGATAACAAATAGAATGAACTGTTATTTTGATTTAAAGTTGCAATTAGTTTTTTTATTTTTTTTAATTTATTCTTGTTCAAAACCAATCCATCAAGGTGTTAGAAACTGAATTCACTCATCAAAAAAGAGAAAGACCAGCAATTCCCAGGAATGCTACAAAAAAAAAAAAAAAAAAAAAAACATGCATCATCACATAAGAGTTCAACTCAAATTAATCACATCTTCCATATCATAGAACTTACATTACACTCATAAAATTTAGAACATACCAAACTCCAGTCTCTAGTATCACCTACATGTTTTTGTAATTTGTATCATACAATTAAATTATGTAAATAAAGAACACATTAGAATACTTTTAAATATCAGGCAGTAGTGGTTGTTTTGCCTGATAGTTGCATTACAGGATCTCATCTGCCAAGGGTTTGTCATGAAACCTTTCGACCGTCGTCCAGATTGATGAAATAGTCTCACCTAACTGAGAAGATTCAAGCTCGAGCTTACTCAGGTGAGATTGTGTTTCAGCGATTTGTGCCTTGGCATCAGCAACTGCCTTCTCTTTTTCAGCTAGATCCTCCATCATGGATTCTAGTTCTTTCTTTGTCAAGTCCATACTACGATCGCAGTTGGATTTTGCCTCTTCTGCAGCTTGATGCTGACCGCTGAGCTCCATGCCTTCGGCCAGATCGTTGAGTACATCACGAAGCCAACTAACATCAATTTGTGCGGATTCTACATCCTTAAGAACAGCCAGCATTTCTCTAACTTTGGATTTTGTCAACTGCTTGAAAGGAGTGCTCTGCAACTCCTGAACCACAAAGCAAAGGCACTCTAGATAATAAGCTCGCATGGAAGCTGATTCCAATCGACTGTTTGCGGCAATATCTCCATACTTTTCAAAGATTAACTGTAGAATAGATGCAACATTTGCTCTCACATGATATTTTCCTACTGATACACAGGAATCCGAAACAACAGATTGAGCCTCTTCCTCATCACTCTCTTCTGAAGCACGAGAAATGCCTGAAAAGCTGAAGTTCAGATACTCGGTAATGGGACCATCAGTTACTTTTCCCTCATGGTTAGCAGAAGGATATGGAGCAGCCTGTGGTGAACCATGGAGCTTTCCTTTCTGTTGAGGTTCGGCTGGTGTTGGAATTTTATAGCAGGCCAAACTAATCTTGGAAGGGCTTTTGGGAGGATCAGGCTGTTGGAGAAAGAAAAAAGTGAGACAATTCAAAACCAATATTGAAAAAGAAATATAGTGAGAGGGAGAGGCATGATAAACTACCGTGATATTCCCAGACACATGCATTGGTCCAGGGGATCGAACCGGCACCTTGTCAAAAGAATGGTCTTCAGAATAACTTTCATCAGAATGTTGTTGAGACGAGGAAAAGGATCCACTATTCTCTGGTTCCTCATCCTTTTTAGCCGGAAGAGTTGATGGAGGTGGTGAAGCACGGCGAACTGCTTTTACAGCAGCAGCACTGTTAACGGCTCGAGGAGAGTTCTGCTGAGACTCAGATTCCTTCTTTTTTCTACCAAAGCTTAAAGCAGTATCCAGAAAGGAACCTGCAACAACAATGTGCTATAATGAGGAACTGAGCATCAAAGAGTTGCAAATTGGAGAAAGACACCCTTGAAGGACTTTATTTTTTTATTGGAGTTAAAAAGCATTCTTCCATCGCTAATGGCTTGAGCCCAAAGGTTGCGAGGTCCCGGACTCCCCCAATCCCCAAACCCAAAAGTGAAATCCAACGAACAACAATGTATTAGTATTTGAAAAAGGGAAACCTGATTCTTTTTCAACCCCATGAGGATTCGCCTCCAAAGTTCCATTAGAACAAAATTTGTCACGTTTATGATAAGGGTTAGATGCTCTGGGGCATGGCTGTGCTCTTTCTGATTGTTTTTTAACCCCACGAAGATTGGCATCAGCAGTTCTGTTAGAACAAAATTCTTCACATTTATGGTAAGGATTAGATGCTTTTGGACATGGCTTTGCTCCTCCTGATTCGTTTTTAACCCCCTTGGGATTGGCCTCAGCAGTTCTATTAGAACAAAATTCCTCACATTTATGGTAAGGATTAGATGCTTTGGGGCAAGTTGGCTGCGCTCTTCTTTCTCCATCCTTGTTTTTGCTATACAAACTCTCATTTACACCATTATGATAATCTAAAACACGATAAATAAATAAATAAATAAATAAATAAATTACACTGTATTTAAAAATGTTCAGTACCATCCTTAACTCAAAAACTCCCTGGTTCAACACCTGTATTTAGAAGTGTGAGGTACTTCATATGTTGCAAGAAAACAGCCATGACTTACTGCTGGAAGAATATTTATCTAAGATATACCTTTTCAAAATCATTAGAGTCCTAATTTAAAAATTCTCCTCAACAGAGGTGGATAGGTAGATGAAGTAAATTAACACAAAGCCGTCCGCTGCTTCTCAATCCCACCATTTTTAAATAATAGTTCTCTGATGGCTACAAATTCACCTCTATAAAGGTGGATAGGCAGTTTCTGATAATATTATCTTTACTTTCTTCATCAAACAGATCAAGGCTTTTCACAAAATTATGGCTATAAATGGATCGATTCGCAACAGAGCTGAGATAGAAAAATTAGTATACAGGTATGAATTTAAGGCATATAGCGCTTTCTGTCACACTCAACTGGTTCCTAACTAAAATTTTGTGCCGGTGAGGAGAGATATTAATTGATAAAGTGAACATGTAAAAGTCTACAACTCTCAACTTTAAAAAGAGTGGCCAAGATATCAGTAATAATAGCAACTTACCTGACTTTTTCTTCTCATTCCTCCCCTTTCCCTGAGAAATTTTTTCAAGGCAAGCTACACCACATTCATGGTAAGGGTTGGAGGCATTGACACAATCTGGATGTACCCTTCCATTCTCAGCCATCTCTTTCTCCACCTTTAGCACTACAGACTATGAAATTTTAACCATAATCAGTTAGTTTCCACAAGACATTCTTCTTAAATCCACCAAATGAGCAAAAGGAAACAACTTTAATTAATACAAAACTTTAAGAAAATTGAAAAAAAAAAAAGATCTTTTTATTGGGATCGAAACAGAGAGTTCCAAAACAATCCTCCTAGGAAGAAAAAAGTTATTTCTCTGAGAAATTAACATGCATAAGAACAACCCAAGATTCCATTTCCCCAAATAAGCAAAAGAAAACAACTTCAAGTTATACAAAACTTTAAGGTCATGAAAAACAGGAACAGAGAATTCCAGAGGGTAAAAAGACAATCCTCTTACAAATAAAAAGAACATATTTATATTAGAAATTGGAATTCTTAAAAACAACCCATGATTCCATTCTTACATAATTTATCAAAAAGACAAGCCCTTTACATCAATTCCCCCTACTTTCCTTACCTTTTCCAATCTTTTTCACCTTTTTCTCAGAAACCAAACACAACACGCCAACAAGGAAAACAAACCAACCCAAAAACGAAAAACCTCAAACCATACAAAATGATACGAGAACAAAAAAGAAAATGAACAGAGAGAGAGAGAAAGAGAGAGGCTTTACCAGAGAAACAGAGGCCTTTACACCTTTAACAATATTATTGTTAGGTGTCTTTGTAAGGCCAATATTTCTCGTATTATTTTCCAGCTTTTGAATGTCAACTTATCTGACTACAAGGGAGAACTGAATTTCCCCGTTTGTCTTCAGCTTTGACTAACATGCACAGTTATAAACACACAGTCCCATAAAGAAAATGGAGAGTTGAGATTTTGCATTTATAATTAATTACAGGATACACATGTAGCTAACCAGCCCGCCTGCCTGGCCCACCACCGAGACAAACCCCTTTCTTACAGTGTAAACACGGTCTTAGCACACGTGCCCTTGTTGGGATCATCATCAACTGTTTTTTTTTTTTTTTTTTTTTTTTTTTTTTAAATTGAGGAAAATCGGGATCCCTTTGTTTATGTCCGAAAATACAGATTGGTTGTTTCTTGTTTAGCTAATAATAATAAATATTATTAGAACCTTCTGTCAGGTCAAATCAAGTTAATTTAAGTATTCGTATATGGGGAAGGGGGAAGGCTACCAAGTGCATTTAAGCTATTTATTGTTGATTGGTATAAAAAATTGAATAAAAATAATATTTGTTAAATACATTGAATAATTCTTATTAAAAAAAAATATTATAATGGATTAGAAACATGATTCTTAATAAGTTTCTTAATCTGTTAATCGGATATCCTCAATTAGTATCTTTCTACTTTGGGCTAAGATATATGAGTGGATCTTCTATCATAAAATTAAATTTACTTTCTTTAATATTGCAAATCTTAACAAGATTTATTTCTTTTCATAAATTATCGAAATTAATGCACATCCCACAAACATAAAATCGGCTCTCTCGTCGCTTGTACTGTTGAAAAATCAATCTACACTTTCCATTCATAAAAAAAAAGTTAAGCTTTTTGTTTTTGTTAAAAAAAAAAAGAATATTCATAAGAGATTATATAAATTTGGAATCTTTTTATACATTCATGACAAGTTAGATTTTTTCAATCAAAAGAAAAAAGTAACATTTTTTCAAAAAAAGAGAAAACTTAAAGGTAAATCTTTTCATTAGCATAAAAGCTATGTGATTAAATAGGTAATTAGTGATTTTTAAATTCAATAAATATATCATAATAAAAAAAAGTCAAATAAATATATGAAACAGTTCTAGTCATCTATTATGATTTCAAAAGGTCAAGATTTTACTAACACGATAGATTATGTTACAACTAATTTAAAGAGTATTTTAAAATATGTTGTTACGTAATAAAACTTAATTTTTACTTAATTTTTCTTTGATTGTATCATAAAAAATCCATCTATTCTTAACAAAATATCTGTAAAAATCTTTTTTTTTCATACTCATTTTAAATTAGAATCTAAAACAATAAAGTATAAAACAAACTCATTTATCACTTAACTTCTACTAGTAATTCTCATAAATAAAAAATAAAATAGTTTTTTTAATGTATATAAAATTGATTATATATATATATATAGATTATGTATATTTTGCCAGATTTTTGATTTGACATTCGAATCTAATTTTTCTGTTGCGGAAATTAATGACGAATATAACTAACTAATCCTGCAATTGACCATTGACGTTTTTTTATTTCCAAGTTGCTTTAAAAAGTGCAAATCGCACTGCCATGGTTTAAATGCAACCTTTTATAATTTTTTTACAGTTTATAAAACATGCAATATGTGTGAGTACCTAATTTCTTTTTATATATTAAAAAAAAAAAAGAGTCTGGTGGAATTGAAACTAATCGATTTCAAACTACGAGTAGACTTTTGAAACTTCTCTAATAACTATTTGACACCCTGTTCTTTTTTTTTTTTTCAATTGCAACTTTGGTGTAAGAAAAGATAAAGTTTTCGTAAATTAAATGCGTCTCCATAAAAAGTTAGACATAATTAAGAAATGAATACCAGATTAAAGCTCACGCCATCGTATAAAGTCCCATTAATTGAACTTAATGAAAATCAATTAATAAATAACTCTTAAGAGTTAAGACTTTCAGGTAATAATTCGCTACAAAAGCAGATAATAGTTGAGTTTATTAATAGTGATTTTTTTTCTTATACCATCATTTTGCAAATTTAAGAAAGATTAAATTTGATTTTTTTTTAGTCAATAATGGAAGCAATCATCCTTACTGTCCTAAAATAAAAACACCTAAATTTATTCATTTACAAAGATTCGATTTTATGTTTAAATATTATATTTTGACCAATATGATTATCACAATAGATACCAAAAATATTATAGTTAAAAAAAATGATAAATAGGTTTTTTATATAGAAAAAAATTACGAGAAACGTAGTCGTTTCTCCTCGAACGCAAAGGGTTTGATTTTGATAATTTATGAAAAATTTAACTAAGAATGGATGCGGTTTTAGATGCGTGAAACATAATCTAAAAATACTTTAAACAATTAAAATAAAACAAGCAAGCATAATGTGATATAAAATGCAACTTTTCTGTGGAGAGACCTGGTACTATGTTGTACTATGTGTGATTTGGTATGTAGATATTTTATTTCCTTTTTTAATTTTTTTTTTAGGGGAGACCAAGTTACGTAGAATATCTCTGAATGCCATTAGGCCCAATCAAACTCGCTACCAAATTTTTGCTCTTTCTAATGAGCATTTTGTATATATATAATTCCGGACTATCGTCAGCTTTTGCAGAACATGATTTTCACAATCTGACAAAACGAATATCCCCGTTCAATTCCAGCCCAATCCGACACAAAATGAACTGGGTGACCGGCCATTTTGACAAATCAGAAGAAAAAAACCAGTCATCAAAAAACAAACAAGAAAAAGAAGAGATATAATCCTTGACTTGACGTTGATTTAGTAATCAATGGTTTTTTTTATTTGATTATGTTTATATCTAGATTAAGAAAAAAACATTGCAAGAATATATTGTTACAAAATTGTAGATATGATCGGAAAGATATTTATTCTTAATACGTGAAAGTTATTGCAGAATGTTTTAATCATTAAAATAGAAGGAAGCAATTTTTTTTTTTTTTAAAGATGAAAACTTATAAAAAAAAATTAATATTAAAAAAATAGCCACTAAGGCACCCCTAGCTATACCATTGGCTGCCACCAAATTTACCACCCACCAAACTTCTCTGTCTTCAATGCTGCAAAAGCCAAATCCAACTTAAGCGAGCAAACCTGTTTTCCCAGCTCATTTACGAATCAAGAATTGACAAGAAGAGAAATTTGGTCCCCTAAACTACTGAGAACCACGTCTCTCTCGTAGACTTTTTGACATTTTAACCAGAAGAGACGTCCTGCCAAACAGGTACCGTCATGTGAGCAATAATGCTTTGTTTTAAAGTCAAAAACTTGCTGCAAGTTTTGTGACGTTTAGACTTTGCATATAACTATTAGCCTATAATAGTTATTATTTGCATTTTTTTGCTGCAAGTTTGGAAATATTTGATGGGATATGATTTCATTTCAGCATGGGAAAGTTGGCTCATGAATATCATGAGTATTTAAAGCAAAAAAAAAAAAAAGGGTTTTGGATAGGATTTGCCTGCTATGTGTATATATATATATATAGGTCTTAATTTGCCTAGGGCCATATAGCCCATGTAATTACATGGCTGTGATGAGCTCATAAAAAGAGCAATAAATCTGGGGTCCTTAAACGTTAAGGCATCAAAATTCTGAAAATGACGTTGGAATGATAATTGACAAGAGAATGACGATTTATGACCCATTTGGTCCATGTAGAATGAGTGATTTATGATCAACTGATCCTTTTATGACCTGACTTAAACCAATTTTGTGATTTGCGAAAGGGGACTGTGAATCACAGAGATCTCTCTCACGTCAAGTCCAGAGCAGTTCTTTCCAGTCAAACAAGAGCAAATGCCGTGATTTTTCGCTCTTCTTGTTTGTTTGTTTGATTGTTTTTTCTATTTGATTAGATGCTGAAGTCTCGAGAATTAAAAAGTATTTGCATTGAATCTTCCTGCCCCTAAATTATCAGAAAACAAAAAAATTGATTGACTTTGATATTTCTATATATTAACAATAAAACTAAGAGATATGGGATGTTTACTCTTCACATGAAATTCTTCTCTGACAAAATATAAAAATACTGTTCACCATCGCTCGAACAATATTACACTTAAGTTTCTCATTTTGAAAGCGGTTTTGTTTCGATTTTTAATTTTATTTATATCAAAAATTGATTTTTAAATGAAGCTAGGAGGGAGAAAAAAAAGAGAATGAAAAAGAAAAAAAATGATGATATCCATTCTAATTTTAATGACCGTCGATCATAGATTTAATGTGTACGTCTTAATAAATTAATAAAGAGAACTTGTTTATAATGACTCAAAACCAAAAGATAGTTAGAGAAAAGAGATGAGGACCAAAAGATATACTCTAGTTTGGATTTTTTTTATTTGTTTAAATGTATTAAAATGAATTTGAATGTTTTAAATAAGTTTTTTTTTAGTCTTTACAGATAAATTTTATAATACATCAAGAGTAATTAGTGGTATGTATAAGTAATTATTCCATTGGATCTACTTTAAAGAGAGAGATAGACACATAAAAAAGATTGAAATCATATCTATATACATTTTCACGTCCGTTTAAATTTTTTTATTTTCTTTCTCATGTTTCTTTCTCTCTCTTTTTGTATGTTTTTTTCTTCAAAATAGATACATAAAGTAACAACCATACATGACATTAATTATTTTTCATGTATTATAAAATTTTTCGTTCTTACGTTGCTTTTCACGTGTTTTGGAGTCAAAATAATGACGAAAATAAGTTAAAAAGTCTAAAATCTGATGACCATGACGTTCATTGGAAGTTGTAGAGCGACTGGTCTAGACAACACGTATCCAACCCGTATGTGGTCAGACCTGGTTCTCTAGGCCCAAAGGTGCAGGCCTAGATAATATATATATATATATATAATTTAATTTTAATTGTTTTATTATTCAATTTGCCTAGGGCCATATAGCCCATGTAATTATAGGGATGTAATTAGCTAATAAAAAGAGCAATAAGTCTGGGTTCCTTAAACTTTAAGCATCCAATTTCTGAAAAATGACATTGGAATTATAATTGATAAGAGAATGACGATTTATGACCCATTTGGTCCATTTAGAATGAGTAATTCGTGACCAACTGATCATTTTAGGACCTGACTTAACCAATTTTGTGATTTGCAAAAGGTGACTCGCGAATCACAAAGATCTCTCTCCCGTCAAGTCCAGAATAATTCTTTCCAGTCAAACAAGAGCGAATGCCGTAACAAGTGAGAGATAAAAAAAGAACGAAGTGGTTGCTTTGTATTGGAGACAGGCACAAGGATTAGACATGGATGGCCTAAAAAAATATTTATTTAAAAAGAAAAATAATTACAATCTAAGTATTTGTTCACTTCTTTTTTATATAATTAAAATTTATTAAAATTAATTTTTTATGATTTTATTTTAATTATTTAACTTCAAATTGATTCAATATATTTTCTACAGGTTAAGTATTATTGTAATATAATTCATTTTAAGATGCAGACTCCAAACTCATGTAGTCTAATTATGATGTCTAAAAGAAAAAACTAAATCATTAGTTTATCAAAACTTAACTATACACCTATATACAAAAAACCGAGTATTTTTTGTTTGTTTATTTAAGTTTTAGATATTTTGAATTCAAATCTATTCAAATAAAATAATTTAAATAATGTTTTAAAAATGACTCAACAATATCATACTTTTCAAATAAAAATAAAGTTATCTTATACTGATATTATCGATTAGTTTGTAAATAAATATATATAAACCTAATGCATATACTTTCAAAAAATAATTGTCTTGTGAATTTTCAATAAGAATAAAAAAAATTCTTGATTTTTATACATGTCTTATGAAGAAAATATTAAAACATATTTTTTTGGCTTTTTTTTGGAACTTAATATTTAAATTATTATATTTTTTATTTAATATAAAGAAAAAAAATCTTTTTTTTTTTTTGTTTAGAGAAAAATTTATAGAAAACATAAAGAAGAATTAATTAAATACAATAATTTATGTATTGCATCTTGTAACTAGATTAATTTCTATAACAGTCAAATTGATGGAGTTAATGTACAATAACATTGCTAATTAACATATGGCTTACAAGATCGTTGAACGAAACCTCACTATTGTTTATGTCATTTGAAACCATATAAAGGCCTACTAATTATGATTCAGTTGTTTAGATCACTTATATATCCGTAGTGTCTTTTTCCTTTATATATTGTCGCGATCATCTATAAAGTTTCAAAAAACAAGTATTTTGTTAATTTCAACTTAAATAGCTTTACGATTTCAGCGAGTTATATTAAATAATGTTGTTCGAATGCCGGACATGCTATAGCTTCGTATTTTAGTTATGTAAAGTATTATATTAGAGGATATCAATAACCAATGCAATTTACATATAATTACGATATAATGGTTTTTTTTATTGAAGATTTCATGCTTTGGATCAAAAAATTCTATCTCAAAAACTTTCAATTTTAAATAAAAACATTATATTATTGTCAAACATATTTAGATATAATCAAACATTGCAATTCATATAATATTTTTCTTACTCACATATATATATATATATATATATATATATATATCAAATTGAAATTTGCTCCTTGTTTTTGTTCTCTATTGATCTTGATTTTTCTTTTCCAAGGATCAAAATTTCAAGAATACATGGCTAAATGGGCCACGCCATCTCCATTTCCTTGTCCAAATGAAGTTTCTCAGCATCTAAGGGTTCTGAGTCTTGTGACAGAGGCCCGGCAGTAGTTTAGACGTAAAAATAATGAGTAAATTATAAATTAGTCCCTTTTGTTTTAAGAAACGAATTAATTAATTTCTTTTATTTTAAAAATTAATTATTTTATCTTTATATTTTAAAATTTATCTATAATTTAATCTTTTTTTCTTTTAATTTATTTTTATTTTATGAAATAAAAATAATATTAAATTAAACATGGTTAACATTGATTAAATGATTAAATAATAATTTAAAAAAAAACTAATTAATTTAGAGGGATTAATTTATAATTTAATCTGAAAATAACAAACGGACAATCCAACCGTGGTTCGGAAATTAAAGAGTATAGCATAAAAAACTCTTATAAACTCAATTTGCATGAGACATTTCTTTCTGTTCAAGCCAATTTAATCAATTCATATTTCCATCAAAATCTATAACTTGTACGTAAGGATTTTTTTTTTCAAACATATCAATTTTTTCATTAGTAGAACTATCCATATTACAATTTAAAAAAGAAAATCACGAGAAACAAATTTCGTATAAACGCATCAGTTTGATTATTAGAATATAAACGGGATTCAACAAAAGACAAGCATAATTTTAATTCTGGTAGAAAAAAATCTTCTTCTTCTTTTTTAAAAAAACCGACATTTCAATTACCAAAAATAAGCTTGGTAGCGTCATCATGTTACAAACTAGAAGTTTGTTTTTGAACTCGACCAAGCCATTGCTCTAACTTAGAGAGGCGTTAAAACGATGATGTATTAAAATCTGAGTCATAAAATCCAGATTACAAGTCATAAAGAAAAGAAAGGAATTTCCTGTTTCAGTGAGGTTCTTGGTAGACAGATATATATTGTATCATCAAAATGGGAGACAATCAAACCCAAAAAAGTTGCCATATCTCTATAGAATTGCTGATGTATTGCGCTTATTTTTGGTATCAATGTTGTAGAGTAGTTGAGACATGGAAGAATACTTTACCAAAACGAAATAAAAGAGTTAAAATTATAGGTAGTTAAGGTTTTATACGCCATCTTAGCTCATGCAATATGCTCCTTCCATCATTACAACAGAAACTAATACACAAAAACCTCTACTTACTCATGAATACTTAGATAATCAATTTTACATGAGCAGATCCTCACTATATATGGATTTATTAAAGTAATTAGGGAAACCTCAAATCAGTTACTAGCTTATCCACCAATTTTAAATTGGGTCCCTAAACTAAATATTTTATGGATTGAATTCCAAAAGTATCGGATATATATTGTTTGATTGATTCTTTTCTTCCTTATATTTATTCCATTATTTTATGCAATAAAATGAGACATCTTTTAAGATAATTTGACATTTTATGCTAAAAGTGATTTTAGATATAAGGACTCGATTGAGAAATGTTTGATGCATTGGGGATGAAAATCAGGTTTCTCCAAGTTATTAACAATATATTTGAAGAAAAATATTCAATTATATTTCACTATATCATGCAAGCATTGCACCTCACCTACCAAAGCAACAGCCAGACTGGAGATATAAAGGGAGATATTGTAGGAATTAGAGAATCAATTTTGCATTTTTTTCCCTTCTTCATTGGAAAAAAAAAAAAAAAAAAAAACCCTCCGATTAAGAGAACATAGTCTTTTATTTCATCTTTCATTTGCATGGCTGTTATTTGGTGCAGTTAACCATTGCTATCATCTGAAGTTTATAGGATCCTTGCTTTTGTCTTTGCAACCACACTTTTGTTTCTTGTTCCGTTGTCCTTTTGTTTTTCTTGTTTTGTTTAGCTAAAAGAGGCAGCGAACTACAGAGATTTTGGAACTAAGATTAGGTACTCTTATCACCAGGTATCTTTCTTTCTTTGGTTACATCATCATGTGGGGGTACTAGAGAAGTATGTGATCTATTAAGTATATTTTTATTAACAGTTTTGTGCTTTGTCATGGATTTTTATGTGTACTTTTTTTTTTTTAATTCTCTTACAAAAGTATCATGCTGATTTTGAAGTTTGTAATACTTGGCGTTAATCAATCATGCATTTTAGGTAACATCATGAATGTGGTACGAAACCTCATGGAGAGAGTACTAAGGCCTCTTGTGGGTTTAAAAGGCTGGGATTATTGTGTTCTTTGGAAACTTAGCGAGAATCAAAGGTTAAAGGCAAACTATCTTAAATTTATCTCTCTCTCTCTCTCTTTCTCCTTATATTTTTTGGGGGTTTGCCTTTTAGGTATATTGAAATGATGGATTGTTGTTGCGCTGGGACTGAGGCCACTCAAAATGGTGGAGAAGAACTTCAGTTTCCTGTTTCTGCTGTCATTCCTTGCAGGGATGTCATGTTTCAGCACCCAAGAACTAAATCTTGTGAACTTCTTGCTCAACTTCCTTCTTCAATGCCACTAAACTCAGGGTAATTGTCCAATGTTTATCAAAAAAATAAAAATCATTTTCCTCTAATCTATTTCATATAAAGGAAGTGTTTTTTTGTTGACTAATATTTAAGTACTTGAGTTCATAAACAGGATTTATGCAAAGACCTTGGGCACAAACCTACCTAGGTGGTTAAACTTCTCTAGTAGCTCCGATTCAAGTGTTCTTGAAGTGAGTGATTTCTATTCTTTGCATAAAGGAAACGGAAACCAAGAATTAGTAGTAGTCATATGTTGGACTGATAAGTTCTATGCTGACCTGAACAGGAACCAGTTGGAACTAGGGCCTTGATTCCAGTGCCCGGAGGACTAATGGAACTGTTCGTTGCTAAACAAGTATGGTTTCCTCTTGTTTTGTTGATTTTTATTCTTGAGAGCTAATGAAAATGTGAAAGTGATTACTCTGCATTTTCTTTAATTTGTAGGTACCAGAAGATCAACATCTCATAGATGTTGTAACATCTCAATGCAACTTCCTAATGGAACAGGAAGCAATGATGAACTCAACCAACATGGATTCAAGTTTGCCAATTGATGTGAATGTTATCAGCGAAGACCAGTCAAAGCCATTTCTTGCTAATGACAATGAACGACAGGATCATCACAATTTGAATCCTCCATATGATTTCTCCCTTGATAGACTCCACATGTGTAGTTCCCCAATGAACAACTTCATGCAGCAGTTCAATTACAGCACCGACGAAACCAAAACTAAAGGTGATGCCTTTCAAGGAGTAGAGAATGGGCTGCAAGATATGGATGATTTGCAGAAGTCAATGATGGGTAATACAGAAAGTACGCAGATGCAATTTATGGAGTCAGGTTTAACAAACAAGGATCAACAAGGAAATGACAAAGAATCAATAAAACTAGAGAATGGGCCATCAGCAGAATATTCACACTCTGACTGCAACGATGATGAGGATGATGCCAAGTATCGGAGGAGGAATGGAAAAGGACCTCAATCCAAAAACCTTGTTGCTGAGAGGAAGAGGAGGAGGAAGCTTAATGATAGGCTCTATGCTCTCCGGGCCTTGGTTCCCAAAATTTCGAAGGTAATCACCATTCTCTTCATTCTTCATTTTCTGGCATGCATTTGTCTAAATCTCTCAATTCAAAGGGCAACTACTCATGACTTCTACGAAGTGATCCCTCTCCTCTCTAAACCATGACAACATGACAGACATTTAAGACCACTATTCCAACACATTTTTTTTCCTGTGTCTACCCCTTGTGACGAGCCTATGAATTTTCAAGATACATAGCCATGCAATGGAAGTATGAAACTGTGCCTAGGTATATGCAGAGGTCCCCAAAATATAGCTTGTACCATTCCACTCTTGTGCTCATTTTCCTTATCCGCTCGCAAGCAATCTTGGCTTACTGTTGTAAGCCTGAATTGGTGAATTTCTGGCACTACTGTTACATTATTGATGTGTTGTGTCCTTTTGATTTTCAGCTGGATAGGGCTTCTATACTTGGAGATGCGATCGAATTTGTAAAAGAGCTTCAAAAGCAAGCGAAAGAACTCCAGGATGAGCTTGAAGAGAATTCGGATGATGAGGGTGCTAATAATGGGAGCAACAACAATCCGCCACCAGAAATTCTGAACCAAAATGGAGTTATTCTTGGTGCATTCAGGTCTGATTATGCTGTGAACGGATTTCATGTGGAAGCATCAGGCGTCAGTACTGTTTCGAAACAGAATCAAGACTTAGAAATTACTCAAGATAAGGGACACCAAATGGAGGTAAATCTTATTGTATTGTTCTCTTCTTTTGGATTTAGGATATCTTGAACTCTCGAGTCACTTTTTCCTTCGTGATATGACAATTATAGGTGCAAGTTGAAGTGGCTCAAATAGATGGGAATGGGTTCTTTGTTAAGGTATTCTGTGAGCACAAGCCTGGAGGGTTTGTAAGATTAATGGAGGCTTTCGATTCTCTTGGCTTAGAAGTTGAAAATGCTAACGTGACCAGCAATAGAGGCCTAGTTTCCAATGTCTTCAAAGTAGAGGTAATTAGAGATCATATATGAATGCTTCCTCTCCTTTTCATTTCTAAAGTAAACTGAAACTAGGTAAATTCGTGCTTAGTTTCTTTTGGTGTCTTTTGATTAGCAGAAGAAGGACAGTGAAATGGTCCAAGCAGACTATGTCAGGGACTCTTTGCTGGAGTTAACAAGAGACCCACCAAGAGTGTGGCCTGAAATGCCTAAAGCATCAGAGATTTGCAGTAATGGGATGGACTATCCTCACCATGACGATCACCACCAGCACCACCTGCATAATGGCCATATGAATTTCAACCACCATCACCTCCACCACCTTTGACCACAATCTGACCATTTTCAAATGAGAAATTTTATGATATGTAGACTACATATGGAATAATTAATTGATCTGTAAGAATGTTTTGTAAGACAACATGTTGTTGCTCTTAGCTTCTATCAAATTAATAGTTGTGTTTTATAGAAATTGATTAATCCTTCCAAATATGTGTGCATAGCCAATCTTTAATTTAATTCAAATATACCATAAAAAAAAATACACTACAATTAATGTACACTACTCTGATAATTGGAGTAAAAATCCAAAAGCAACAAGAGAAACCCACAAACTCCATCTATCAAAGACATAAGTTGTAGTACAAGAGTTGGCCGCTGGTGGTGGTGGTGGAATTGGTTCCCTTTGTGGTGGGGTTGGGCCAATATTTGTAGAACTAGCTTCTTTTACATCGATGAAAAACCTCATGCCTCCAAGGCAATGCCCATCAACATTGCAAATGAACCAATATTTCTTCGTTTGATCGAGTTGGATTTGATCATTTCCACTGTCATATGTTGCTAAAACTCCAGTGCTTGCATTACATGATCGATATGTCGCCTCAGTTACTTCATACACGTTATGTTGTCCCTTCCCATACGTAAAAACTACACCAAAATCAAGTTCCATTTTACAAATTTGAAATAGTTTCAGGAATGGAACCAAGCCACTTAGTCATTGGTTCCATCGAAAATTTATGTTGCCTTTGAAAAGACTCATCAAGATAGAAAATAGTACCATGATCTTGTATGAGATCAACATTTGCCAAATTAGAGATCACTCAGCTACTAGATTACTCTCTTTATTACCTAAAACCAAGAAGGTCTATTGTTTTTTTTCTGGAAATCTAAGAATAAAGGAGGATGAAGGCTACATACCAAGAGTATCGCCAGCGCTAAAATTGTATTTCTGTGACCAAGAACCAAAGTTTGCCCCAGTGTTCCATCGTAGCTCATCACCAACTGTATAAACTTCAGATACAGTACCTTTCAAGAACACCATAATTAGGAAAATTAAAAAGATCTTGGCCTCTCCCATGCTTGCAAAGCTGAGAAGAATGAAGAACAAAAAATCTAATCAAGATATTCAGCTGGTTGAATGCGTCTTGTAACCTTCGTATCATGACCTTTTCAGTTGGAACCCTTCTTTGATTTTCTTCCAGTTACAGCACAGGACAGCTAATTGCTCATTAATTAAGTACTCCTGTCAAAAATTGTGGCTGAAATTTAATGTATAATAATAATAATAATAAATTTTCCACGCATGTTGATGGATTAATTAAAAAATATAAAGAGAGGGCCATTTGAGAGAAGTTTGCAAGTGGACCTATAAAATTATGACCGATTCTTTAGAAATAAACAAATCGAATTGATTTATACCAATTGGAGACCTTTTCGTTGGTTTGTTTATGTATGATTCTCAAATAATAATAAAATTAAAAACACCTAAAAGAAAGAAGAGCTTCGGCCATTAGGGGGAAAAAAATCGTCCCTGTCCAAAGTCTTTTTATATTGATTTTCTTATGAGAGTTGATTACTACCATGTACCAACTCTCAAGACTTTAGACCTTTTTAAACCAAGAACCATGTTTTTTTTCCTGAAAAAAAGGCATAATGAAGTTTCTGTTGGGAACGTTTTCTGTTTACATGATAAATTATAAATTATTACCTCTCATTTCGAGAAATGAATTAATTAATCTATTTAATTTTAAAAACTATCTCTTTATTTTTTTAATTTATTTTGATTTTTTATTTTAGAAAATAAGAAAAGAATAAAAATAAATAAAAATATAGAAAGATTAGATATTTTTTAAAATAAAAATATAGTTTAGGTGTTTACATGTTTTTTTTTTAAAATATAGTTTGCAAGTGCCATGGCTGCACTCCTTGTGAAGCAATTCGAGAGCCCACCATCAGCAAAACCAACACCCATCGTTTAGGTGTAAAGTATGCGAATTATGAGCCCAAGGTTGGAAATGCAAGCGTGGACCTTACTTATGTAGCCCATGAACCCTAGGGACATATTGACTCATTTCTACTTATGTTTTAGATAATTAACTAGATGGGTATCCGTATTACGCTACGGTCGGACACTCATTATATATATAGCATTAATGATTTGTATAATATATTGTAAGTAAAAGCTTTATTTTCGATGATTAATGTAAATAAAATTTATATATTGAGCAAAATCGCTTGATATATATATATTAGCATAAAAATTTGTATTTGAATAATTGAAAAGTTCTTTCAAAACATTATGTAACTTATTTTATTTTAAAAAAAAATTTTAGAATATAAAAAATAAAGAATAAAGAATTTGTATCATGTGTGTAGATCTATATATATATATATATATAACGATTTAGAGTATATAGAATAAATAAAAAAATATACAAAAAAAAACCACCTAAATTGTATGAAATATATTGAAGTCAATAGACTAAAAAAAACTACAATAAAATTGATTCTGATAAATTATGAATAAACATATATAAATAAATAAATAAAACTTGTGAATTTTTTAAAAAACATTGAGCTAAACTATCTATAACATACTTTTATCTCCCATCTCCTCTCTCTATAGATATAATCATAAATTATAATAATTTATTTTTAAAATATAAAACATTGACATTCTAAAATTTTATTCCAAAATTCATATATTAAAAAAATTATTAACAAATAAAATTATATAAAAAAATTAATTTGATGAGAATTTTAATATAAGAAACAAATAATTGAAGAAATAAATTTTAAAAAATAAGAGTAATATAATCAGATATATATGTTCAAACTAAAATCTTAAAAAATATCATATATGTTCCATCTTCTTCAAATTGTATGTAAAACTAAAAAAAAAAAAAAAAGATTTATTTTCTATATTTTTCACACCTAATTTCATGATAATATATATGAAGAGAAAAGAAAGATCAAGCTCGCTAAATTGTATGAAATATATTGAAGTCAATAGATAAAAACTATAATAAAATTGATTCTGAAAAATTTCAAATAAATATATATAAAATAGCAAATAAAATTTATGACTTTTTTAACTTATTCTTAATTTTTTTAAAAAAATTAAGCCCAACTATTTAAAATACTCTCTCTCTCTCTCTCTCTCTCTCTCTCTCTCTCTCTCTCTCTCTATATATATATATATATATATATATATATATATATATATATATATATATATATATATATATATAATCAAAATTTATAAATTATAATAATATATTTTAAAAAATAAAAAACTCATTTAAAAAACATAAATTAATGAGGAAAAAAAAGACATACAATGCATCAGCTAGGGATTAATTTTTTTAAAAAAAAATTTTAGGGATCAAAATGAAATAATTCAAAAATTAAAAAAAAAACCCTAAGGAAAAAAACTAAGGGTAAAAATTAAAAAGAAAAAAATAAATTTAAAAATTTTAAAAAACTATGAAAATAAGAAAATAAGTAAGAGTGAAAATTGAAAAAGAAGAGAAAAAAGCTTAAGCAAAAAAAATTATTCAAATGAACAATACCGCGTGATAGTTCACTGTTCATACTAATTATAATAATATATTTAAAAAAATAAAACATTCATTTAAAAAGCATAAAAATAATTTATTGCTTAAATAATAATAATATATTTAAAAAAGTTACGACGTTTTAAAATTTTATTAACAAATAAAATTATATCAAAAAATTGATTTGATTAGAATTTTAATAAGAAACAAATAATTGAAAAAATAAATTTTAAACAATAAGAGAAAAGTTTAAAAAAAAACTAAGAAAATAAGAAAAAAGTAATAGCGAAATTTTTTTAAAAAAAAGGAAAAAAACTGAGATTGAGTAATATAGTGTGAGGGTAAAGTAAATCATCGACTTGTTTGAAAAAAATAACGATCGATTTTTTAAAATTTTAACACTCAATCAAATAAAAAAGAACATAAATTGATGCGAAAAACAAAAAAAAAATCAAAGAAAAAAAGACATATAATGCATCATCTAGTTATTAAAATTTTTATTTTAAAATTTTAGGAATTAGAATGAAATAATTCAAAAATTAAAAAAATTAATATTTTTTTTTAAAAGAAAAAAATAAGTAAGAGTGGAAATTAAAAAAGAAGGAAAAACAACTCAAGCAAAAGCAAAAAAAAAATTGTTCAAATGAACAGTATCCAGGTGATGGTTCACTTGTTCATGCTGTTTATTGGAATAGTGAAACCATCACCTGTTTTAGATATATAAAGAATATCAACCTATTTTTGTACAAATTTTTCGTTTTCATATTAGTTACAAGTGCTCTTTATGTGAAATTTTCTTCTTCGCTAATGATTTTTTAATGACAAAGAAAGATATGCAAACATGTGATATCTATACACAGAGACTAGAGTGTGACCTTTCTTTTTATTGCTCCTCTTCCTGCCCAGCATTTGCAAATATCGTTTTGGATGACAAATTGTTCCGATGAATGACAAATTGGTGTTTCATTGAATGGCAAATCAATCAAAGAAGGAAAAAAATGATGATAACAAGCTTACAAGAACAGAAATATAACTCACTTTTTCTCCTTTCTAGAAGTACACTGGAAGTAGCAAACTATTCAGATCAAATAGGCTATACTCATGTAGTTTGCCTGGGGAACTCATAGCCATATGAACGTAATTATGCAGCCAAATGCAGACGGATTCTGGGAAAATTCACTATCAATCAAAAGGGTTGCAACACTTTCATCATATGTTATAGAATTCTTTCAATAATTATGATTTTGAATTGTTAGAGTACTTAAATTTTAAGAAATTAGGACAAAAACAACAAAAGAGAAACAGAGAGAGCATAAGTTAATTTTTTCTTTTATGTTTCTATTTTTTAAATTATTATATTAAATGTATATTGTATAAATTAATTAAATAGGTGACATGGATACCTACATGATAAAATTATCTTTTTTATTTATATAAATAAGATTTAAAATATCTTATTTTAAGAAAATAGGTTAAAAAGTATTCTATTTAGAAAAAAAAAAATTGGGTTTTTCTTTGCAATTAATTACATTGCGAAGGCACCATGATCAATATAGGAAGAGCGTCAACTATGGTGCGTTGTAGTCATTGATTTGTACAAATAATCATCCTTAGTCAAATCGTCTGAGTGGGGCTTGCTAATTACCAAGCAACACCTGTTATTTACATATGTTATTCTACTTCATTGCCATTTCTATCTCTTCTTCGCATACCAACTAGTATAATCTCCATTCAGAAATAATGGTGGGCAAATATCTTTGTCTTAAGACAGAAAAGACATCGACTATAGCTGCGATTCATACAAGTTTGGACCAAACAGTGTTTAGTAAAATACTGCAAACCATTCATAAGCACGTATTTGAAGCTCTTAGTTAAAGGGAGAGAAATAGGTACTAGTTGAAGATTCGTGATTACAAAGAGAGCAGTTCTTGTTCATTTGGTAGAGAAAAGAAAAAAAATAGGAATTTTTTAGAATTTGATTTGGGATTTGTATTGATTGTGAATTTATTTTTAAATTAGGATTAGAGACGAACATGTCATCTATTTATTCTTACTTTTGAATTTTTTTGATCACATGTCATCCTACGTGGATTGTAATTCATGGTGACATCCTACATATCATGCAATGTCATATGAATTCAAAATTTTGAACGAAAAATGCCTCATGTGCTAAAATGGTTTTCGAAAGCTTAATTAGTATATTTTTCATCTATTTGAGAAAGAATGTGTCAAAATAATTAGAGAATGTAAAGTTCTTGTTCTTATTGTACAACAAGCTTATAGAAAATCATAAGTTCTATTAGTAATTAGAACAATACTTTAATAATGCAGCCTCTCTCTATAGTCAATTCAATCAATTCATTTGATTTAACAGTGACTAAGGACGGCTTGTTGTCCATATTAACTATTACTATATATTTTTTTAAATGATTTTTTTTGGTGAAAAACAAAATGGTCGTTCAAGCATTCAAGTTAATAGTTAACACTCTGATCCTCAAAAATAATAGATGAAGAATAATATTTTCTTAAAAAAATAATATTTTGGGTTCAAAAAACTCAAATTGACAAGTAAATGCTTTAAATTCCCATAACTCTAGTAGTTTAGAGATAATGTTTGTCGTTAATTATTTAACTTAACGACCAATACTTTAATTGTCAAAGATAATGGAACAAGAATAACATTTGTTCAAAAAATAATAGTTTGGAGTTCAAATAACTTAAATTAATAATAAAATTTTTAAATTGTCATAAGGCAATAATCCATGAATAATTTTTGCCATGAAATTGTAAGACAATCGAAAATTTTTTAAAGGACAAAAGTGGTTAAAATTAGTATATTGGAAGATCAATGGGCCCTTGTTATTCTTTAAAAACAAAAACACATCTAGAGTGTTTACTATTCATAATACTATTAATCTAAACTCAAAATATTATTCATTTACTATTTGTTTAGACTCGTGTGCACTATACAGTGATACTTTTGTGATTTTCAGGTTGTTTTTAGGCATTTATATGCGATTTTTTTGATATTACACTTTGATCCCCGATGTTTTTAAAAAATATTTTGATCTCTAAATTTATTTGTATTGTAATTTAGTCCCAAAATAGAAAGATAGAAGAGAGAAAGCCACGATCGGCTCCAATTTCAGCTTCTTTCATGGCCAATCTTACATTTATATTCTTTATTTTGGTGAGTAGACTACTTATGACGGTTTTGAATCATAAAATAGTTGAAAGATATAGATTGGAACCTAAAATTTTTTAATTTGATATTTATGTGTGCGTGTGTGCACACGCACATTGAAATGTTCCTTAATTATTTTTTTTTGCTTTTGTATTTTTCTATTTTTTTTACTATTATTGAATAAGGTGCAAAAATTATAAAAAACCAAAATTTATTTATTTATTTTCTACACGGGCTGACAATGATGAAATATATATGATATATTTTTATAATTTAGAATGAATATATATATATATCAGATTATATTATTTTTATTTTTTAAAATTATTTTTTTATTTGTCATTTCTTATGAAAATTCTCCTGAAATTATTTTTTATATAATTTTATTTGTTAATAAATATGATTTATTTTCTCTATGCATGATTTTTTGAATAAAATTTTAGTATATGGTTATTTTATCTTTTTTTTAATGATCATATATATCGAATTATATTACTCTTATTGTTTAAATTTGATTTTTTATTTGTCGTGTCTTATAGAAATTCTCATGAATTTAATTTTTAATTTTTTATATAATTTTATTTGTTAATAAATATAATTAATTTTCTCTATTTATGGATTTTTGAATAAATTTTTAGAATATCATTATTATTTTTAATATATGGATATAATTCATACGATCGATTTTTATACTTTCTAAATAAGAGTGTTAAAAAACTAAAAGTATATTTAAGATACTTTGTCTAAAACCTTCTAAAAATTTCAATTAAAAAAATAAAATTTATGTGTTTTATTTGCTTCTTATTTATATATTAAAATTGATCAAAATTAGTTTTGTAGTTTTTTTATTTTAGTCTATTAACTTTAATATATTTCTCATAATTTATTTAGTTTTTAAATATATAGTTTTATGACATACACTCTAAACCCACCGAGTATGGTCAATAATGTATGAATAAAAAAAAATCCCAAGATGATTGGATTTCTTAACAATTAACTATACATCTACAAATATAACACAAACTATTTGTTATTACATTTTTCAATGTAATAAAATCAATTTGTTTCGGATAAAATAATTAAAACAATGCTTTAAGAATGAATCAAATACAAATTTTTATAATAATATTATTGATTTTTTTGTTAATAAATATATATATATTAAAAAATTAAATATATATATCTTCTCATCACGGTTAAATAAGAATTAAAAAAAAAGTAATTTGTTAATTTTTGTATGAATTTTTATATTATTATTATTATTTTTTACAATGTTATGAAAAAATATATATTAAAGTATTTTTTTTATTTGGGATTAAATATTCTATTTGGATTATTGCAAGTTTTATCATTACATAAAAAAAGTAACAAATCATATTTTTTAACTATAAAATTTATGAAAAATATAAAATGGAATAAATTATGAAAATAAAAAAATATCTTTAAGTTAATAAATTTTAGTAAACTTATAATACATGCAATGAAAGCTAAAATTATTTTTTAAAATAATTTAACTTATTGTGCTCCATCTATCCACGGCATAACAGAGACATTCAACCAGTTACTGCTATATATATATATATATATATATAGAACTTGGACCATAAGTAAAGTTCAAAAATAGATAAATAAAATTATTTATAATAAAATTATTTATTATAAATAATTTTATTTATCTATTTTTGAACTTTACTTATGGTCCAAGTTCTATAACTAAATATATATATTCTTTTTTTCTTATCCGATTTCTTCATATTCCATAAATACTTTTATTTATCTATTTTTGAACTTTACTTATGGTCCAAGTTCTAGACGCAAGATTACGTGGCAGCATTTCAAGCCGAATGACTTAAATTACGAAAACGTTGTCGGTTCAGTGGTATCTCCACATGATGATCTATTGATCTTACTTTACCGTCACTGCAAGCAGAGCAAATAGCCTGAACAAAAACCCTTGACAAAAACCCCTCGCCGCACAAAAGAGAATAAAAATCAATGACGGCAGCAGCAGCAAGAGGAGGCTTTAGAGAACTCCTTAAAAAATATGGGAAAGTAGCAGTAGGTGTACACTGCTCAGTCTCAGCGGTGTCAATCACTGGTCTTTACATTGCCATCAAGAACAACGTGGATGTTGAATCCCTTTTCGACAAGTGGCATCTGCCTGGTTTCTCTAAAGAAGAAACAGCCCAACAAGATGATCGAGAATGGAAATCCCAAGATGGGTTTCTCAAGAATGATGGTTATAACGATAGATCAATGGTGGTGATTGAGGAAGAGAAGAAGAAGACTAATCGGACGGCTGAGCTTGTTGCATCAACTGGTGGGGCCTTGACTCTGGCTGTGCTGTGTAATAAGGCTTTGTTTCCTATACGGGTACCCTTAACTGTTGCAGTTACTCCTCCTCTGGCTAGGTTTTTGGCTAGGAAAGGGATTATCAAGAATGGTGTATGATTTTTTATTTGTATTGTTTTGGGGCTTTTGCCTTCTTTGCCTCTCTATTTAGTACTTTTTGTATTGGTTAGTGTTGAATGGGATAAAAAAGAGAGGAAATTGGGGATAAAGTTGATAAGATTTGAAGTGGGTTTTGGTGGATGTTGGTTTATTATAGTGTTTTTAAAGTTGCCGCAATAATAATTTTGCTGTTAAATTGTGCTGATACGGAGGAATTGGTTAGTGTTGAATGGGATAAAAAGGAGAGGAAACTGGGGATAAAGTTGGTAAAATTTGAAGTGGGTTTTGGCAAACTTTTTTGTGCAGGATATATTTTGTTCAGTTTATAACAACACTTGCTAGGAAATCATCGGTAGAACAAGAAGCATAAAAGATTGACATGAACAACTCACTAGCTTAATACCTTTCTATATTCTTGTTCATGGTGATTTGTACCAATTTTCATGCTCTAATGTGCTTATTACATAGACTTATGGGAACTTTAAAACCTAGGAGAGAATTTTATCTTTTGTAGGTTAGCTTGAAAGTCTGTGATCTTGTAGATAAGATGTGATGAATCACCTGTCTAAACTTTCTGCAATATTCAGGATTTTTCTTATTTTTGTTGCCATTGGTCTTTCTCCATTAAAATGCCTTCTGCTCAGACTATTTTCTTAAGTTGCTTTGACTCTAGTTGCAAAATGGTATTGCTTTTCCATCTGTTCTGTTTTCTCATTTGCTCAATTAAATTGACTTCATAATCAAATTAGAGCCAAACTATTGTTCCTTTCCTAATCTTTGATTTATTCATCTATTTGTATTAAGTTCTCAGACAAGTAGCAAGAAGTCCAGATGATTCAGTATTTAGTTTGTACTCTGTAAAGTTCAATCGAACAACTAGCGGGAATTAGTGATTTGGTTTGGGGCAACAACACAACATTCAGAGCTTGACAATCGTAGCCTGGACTGAAAACTCAATTCTCAATATATAAAGGGCATAATGTATACAAATTTGCAGATGGGAGGACATTAAAGAAAGTTTTTGATGGAGGATCATAGAAAGGTTGATAACTCTTGGTTCGCTCATCTTTTGATTTTCACCTGCTGAATACGATTGCTAAGGAATCAATTCACTGTGATTTTCTTGTTCACGGTGTCTATAATCTTGAGAACTGCGGGTCTGCTTTTCTGTTAAACAAAGATGCAAATGTGTGAGAACCAATTCTGTCGAGATTTTTCCTTTTTTTCCTTATAAGCTGATATGCACAATACGATATACTGTGCAGATATTAAGAGCCTAAACCATGAGAGGAACAATGCATGCAGTTTTTGGTAGAAGCTATCAAGGCTAGACACCAAACCAAGCTTATAGCATGAGTGGGAGAAGCCTAGTAACATTCTTTGGTGGTTAAAATATGTTTTGATTCTCTAAATTCAAGAAAAGATTTCGAGTCAGCCTCACTATGCCCAGCACGCTAGACGCAAGAACAAGTGCCATTTAATTGGATGCTCTCTCCTAGCCGGGACCATCAAATTTGCTTTCCCAATTCGTCCTTGACCGTTATGCATTTGCTTTAGATTGGGCAAAATCAAGTAAATGAACGACCCTTGTAAATAAGTTAAAAGGGCCTATTATTACAATCATGACGTCTCCTATCTGATTGCTGCAGGCCGTCTTATCAGGAACGGTTCAAGGTTATTTCCTGCCCCTAATATGGGTTGGGTTCTTCTCTTAAACCCGAGCAGCGTTTTGGGCCTGCATTTCGCGTGGAGAAATGGTTAGTCTTGTAGACAGATGGTTGAACAGATTTCCTACGAAACTTCCTCGATACAGGGTCAGTTTCTTTGCTACCTCTTTGACGTACATCGGGATGCTACCCGTTGTGCGGGTATCTAGCTTTCTTCTTCCTAAGGCTTCAGCCTCTTAAAAAAGAGAGAAAGAGAGAGAGAGAGAGGGGGGAGAGAGAAAGAAATCCTGAGTTTCTGACAAGCGATAGTAGTGATAAGTTCTACCTTGCCAATCATAACAAGATTCAAGCAAATGAAACTGAATTAAGGACCATAAAAGCCAATTTTGAGACATTCGTTAATCGAATCAATGTCTGCTTAATACATAAAAAAGAAAGAAGGGGAGAGAGAGAGAGAGAGAGCTAGCTTTCTTCAATTATATATAATTCATCATTTCAATAAAAGAGCAAACTCAACAGTCAATCCGAAATCCTGTCTGTCTTCTGGATCCCAAAGTACCAGAAAATTGTCAAAGTATGAGGTTAGCAGCAAAATTTCCAAGACAAAAAGAAACATTCCCGCTCTGTTGTGTTCCCTGATCAAATAATCTCATGACCAGAGGAAGCGCTTAATTTGCTCCAAGAAACACCAGGGCCTAAACCTAATCAAGACACAAGAATGTTTCTGATCCCAAATTCCTGTTTCTGAAAAACTTTTACAAGTCTCTGGGATATGAAAGCAATGGCAATGAATGAATGGGGTTAAAAAAAAAAAAAAAAAAAAAACCCTGACCTTGCTGGTTTGACAGGATGTTGAAAGACCAACTTATCAGATTGTGATTTTATGACTGTAGCAGATGCTTGAATTCATGACAATCAGCGCCAACTTCATTTAATGCCAAATAAAGCTTTGGCACAATCTTGGCTAACATCAATTTGAAACCAACTGAAGTTAGATTGAAACTTTCCTTACTGCTTACAGAGGCATCTTGAGTGAGAGATCCAATTAAATTGCCTTGCATATATGCATCACAGGCTTTAAGAATGTAGTAACCACGCCTCCTGAAATGCTCCTTTACCAAGTCTTCAAAATCCTGATATATATTAACATAATAAAACATTTGTGTAATTAGCAAATACACTCTAGAAGTAATACATAAAAATCATATTTGCCTCGAAAAAGCTGAACAGAAGTCTGTTTGTATATGTCGAAGCCCAGAAAATATATGGACTATTTACCAACTAAAAGCATTCAAATCAGCTGTCTAGTAAAATGTCCCAATCCGATAAAGTTAAGAAAAAAAGGAAAAAACAAGATGAAATAAAACAGTTCTTTTGCATATTTATAATCTTCGTCGTATTTGGTCAACCAATATGATAGCCTTCATCTTTGGCAACCAAATGATTAGCAAAACCCAACATTAATTGTCAGCACAAAAACAAAAGAAATGTGAATAAAAATGATAACGAATGGATAAGGAGTGGAATTCTTGTGATTATTATACTACCTTGGGTGGTTTTCGCATAAGATACATCATTGTCTTGCAGTTTAGCAAGAAAGTATTCTCATTGTATGACCACGAATTTTTCTCTCCTTCAGCTGTCCCTATCTGCTTGTCATATCCAGCTTCATTAAAATATGGCTTAGAATTTAGTACCAACCCTTGAAGTGAAACTAGGACTTGAAGGATACTAGAAGACGAGTGCCAGACTTCATTTCCTCTGCCAGTCCAGGTATTTAAAAGGCTAAGGCACACCTTGCCCTCCTCATACAAATTTGGATTTATTCGCCAACCACGGGAATGGTAGTGTGCTGACTGCAACACCACACAAGACAAAAAATAGAATCACGAACAATTTTTCCAGATCAAACTCAAGGTGAATTGCATCAAACAATACAAAATCGGAATATAGCCTTCGAACCAAAGATCAAGTATTAAGATTAGCATATCTCACAGGAGGGACATCAGGATACTCTGGCGGAAGGTGAAAGTCAAAGAAAAACAGTCCATCTTGGTAAGGTGTTCCATATGCCCCAATTATTGCTGCCCTTAAGAGATCCATTCGATCCTCATAAACCCGTACATAGATCTCATCTGTTGAAATTTTTTGATGTTAAGACCGAAGTATGCGAGATATTCTAGTAAAAAATAGCATAAAATTTGACATGCACTGAACAACTCGTACCAGGCAGGTTGTTCTGGAGGATGTTCCAATCTTGTTGAACCTTCTTGAGCCACTTCCTTCCATTATTGATCTGCCAAGTTCAATGCATAAGAAAAGATTTGAAAATATAATGGCATATTTCAAACGTTTAGATTTCTTGATTGTTATGATAAGGTGATAAGAAATGTCAAAAAATGAACAATTATAAAAAACTTCAAAAAAGAAGTAATTATTGCACTGTTGCATATTACTACGTACATTTGAAGAGCATTAATGTCAAAACAACTGAGAGAAAGAGCTTACTTCAACATCAATGAAAGTCCACCTATTTAAGTCTCACATATTCAGAAGGAACAGTTGTAAGAATAGCACATCATACCTGTCCAGTTGAATCAAGAAAATGATGGTCCAAAGGATCTTTAGCTGTGTCAAAATGTTTAATGTGGTGATAAATCCGAGCCTCAGAACATGTCATAGCATTTGACTTTTCAGTGCTTGAATTGCATGAAGCTTCTTCATTTGATGATACTGGGACCTCCACTGCAGCATCTTCTTCTTTTTCATTAATATTTTGCACAGCACAATTATCATTGATATTAGATTTTCCAGCACTAGACTCATTACTGGAACCTTCTTCTTCAGAAATACAACTCGTTCCCTGAGATTGCAGTTCATTTTCACCCTTGTAACCTGAAAAACCTGGGTCTGCATTTTTCCGACCTCGTGAGAATATTCCAGTGGCCAATCTTGCCACAAAGTCAAGTGCAGCGAAGGGAAAATTAAGTGCTGCATGCCTTCCAGAATTGTAACTCTCCACACTACCTTCTTCTGAGTTCATGCTGGTTGCATCTTGTAGCACAGCTGCCTGAGCAACAGAGACTATCATCAGTTAATACCAAAATATTTCCAATCTAATAAGATTGGTCATCTATGGATGGACCTATCCATGTGATGGTCCTATCTCTAAGAATGATAAATTGATACAGCCAATGAGAAATTCAGAGAAAAGAAAGATTAGAGATCACATAAAAATGATGTATATGGCCTAGATTATATATCTTACTGCTAACTCCATATCATTGTGACAAAGTTATATTCACAGCACCTTTAATTTCTAAGGTTTAGTATGTTGTGAGTTCATTACAAGGATAATGAAGTCAAAAACCTATATATGCTTCATAATTTCTTTAATGATGTCTATGCCAAACAATAAATGGCATATGATTAGTTCATAAATGCTCACACATCAAACTTCACACTCCTACTTTTACAAGTATTGCCCCACCAAGGATATATTAAAGAGCTAGACCCATTATATGACCCACTCATATGTTACCCCTGATTCCCCGTCAACATTTTAGTCACCATTGAGTTCAACAATGAAATGCTACAGTTTCAAATGGAAACACACCTCTTGAGTATTCTCAAGAGCGTCCCTCTCATCGTCATCAACTGTTTCCCAACTAGCTGCAGCATCACTTACTTCACTCCCAGCTGCAATTGAATCATCATCATCATCTCGACCAACAACGAATATTGCTTGAGGTCCAACCTAAAAGCAAACCAAGGAATAAACTCATCAAATCAACGACTTGGCCTCTTACATCATAATGATGAACATAACGACTTTGTAATTTAAACTGTATAGGTAAACAAATTATAATTGATATCCAAAATCTCATAGTGAGCAAATCTCTATCCAGCCATGTATTTTACATGTAAATATTTGTATTATGTGCATAGATGTACTTTAGAAACTTAGGAGTTGAATATCTTTCTTTCCTATATTGTGGAACAGAATTCATAAGGAGATGATATAGCCTCCAACTCTTTGCAATGATCAATTTCATGGAAAGAAGGAGGCGCAGGAATCAGAGAAAGTAATTGAGACATGAAGATACAAAAAAGCAAGAGCTAATCCAAAACCACATTTGATAATTTAAAATGGAAAGTGGGGAAATTTTAAAGAAAAAAACCGCTAAGCATACCGTTGAAACCATCCCATCAGCCCATGTGACTTCAATATCACCATTCCTAAGACCAGATATATTACCAACCCAAGAGAGATCTGAGAAGTCCATAGAAACTTTATTACTGGATGCACCCTCTCCTTTCTTACGTCCTAAGCATTTTTTTGTATTCATAACCTCACTTTGTCCACTTTGCTGCTTTGATTCCTCAACAATCTCCAAATCAGAGTTTATTTGATCAGAAACAGAAACTGGGGACAATCGAACGACTACATCCCCATAGGAATAATCATAATCCAGATGACTCTCCAGCTCATAGACACTTACAATTTCCTCCTTGTCAAACTCACGAGGATCTTCTGCCCTGGCAACTGGCTTCAACCATCTCACGCAAGCTGTTCTTTCTTTCGCATTAACACTTTTAACAACCCCAACACGCTTAGCTTCAGAAGAGTTATCAACATCATCAGAGGCTTTCTCCACCACATACTGTTCAGCAATGAATTCATGATCACCAGGACTATCAATTGGAATCAACGTTGTTGAATTCAGTCCACGTTCTATACTTCCATCCTGCCATGCTACATCGACCCTTGTCCTGGTGTTGACGATCAAAAGGGCTCTTTCAAAATCTTCCTCTTTTTTTCGAGGCTTCTTTTCTCTTCTGAGTATAACTTTACGTATCTTTTTGCGATGGGCAGGCACCTTTGAAACTGATGTTGAACTGCCACAAGAGCTAGATTCATTACTTGCAATAATGGCTGTATTTCCATCTGGTGCTGCCACAGGATCAATAGCCATTGATCCATTAGGATCATCTAATTCCTCGGTAGCAAATCCTTCTGAGTTGCATCCGTTTCCTAATTGACTAGAATCTAGTTCACTTTTGATTGAATCATGAATTCCTAACTTCAATAAATCCTTGTCTAAAGCAACAGAGGATGATTGTGCAACAGATGATGGGAGAAGACACCAGTCACCTACTTGCCAACTTGCATGTGCAAAACAAGACAGCAATTTTAAGTTCTTTGGACTCTGTTCTTCAGCAGGGGTAGTTGAAGAATCAGGTCCATAGCCAGCGGATGCTATCCAATAGATGAATACTGATCCAGCTGTAACTTTCGTAACAGTACCTTCCAATCTATTAGCTTTCCACAAGCCTGATAGCCATCGAGAATTTTTAAAAACTGATGATGAGGTAGCCCTTACACGCTGGCCTGGGTGGTAAGGAAAATGCTCATCTTCCTCAAAGATACCCTTGGAAATTGGTTTTAGATGCAATGGCTCAGCCCCCTTTACTTTGCACACAGAACCATCATCAATTAACACAGTCACATCATCTAAAACATCATCAACTCTACCCAACCAGGGACCAAAGACCACATAATCACCAGCAGCAAACTCCCTCACACGTACCAAATCTCTGGAAGACACATCTTGTATAACAGATCCATCAGGAGCTAACAAATCAACAGAGATATTAACATCCACCACAACACCCACTTGCCCAGTTGGGTCTGAAGCAGATGCAACATAATCCCCGTGTAAGAATCCTCGATCAATGACAGTTACATCGTTGACATATTGAATTGGGTTAACATCACCCATCCAAATTACTCGAACCTGATCAACCTGAAGAGTTTCGTTCTTGTAATCATCGCTGCCTTTCTTCCTTTCTTCACTCGTAACACCACTAGCATTCCCATCACCTCCCTCATTTCCAGCATCCTCATCAACATCACCCTCATCTTCATCATCGTCCTCATCATCCGTAATACTGCCATCGGAATCAGACTCACCAGCAACTCCACTCACTACTCCAACCACATTACATTTTCTATGTCTAACAATATCTTGTCTATAAACATATGGCGCACTATTCAAGTTCCTATCAACCTCTTCTGGTTTTTTAACGTGGTTTCCACCATCAGAATTCAACTCACAGACCACATTTGCCACAGAACCACTTTGAATCAAGCCGTTTTTATCATCACCACCATCATTAGACCCATTAACTTCAGAACTACTTTCATTTTGAGCACTTTCCATCTGAAAACACATATTGAAATACAGTAAAAAATTAAAAACCTTTACCATTAACACAAAGTCTCAAAAAGAAAAAAAGGAAAAAAAAGAGGACTCCATAAAGCAGTTCCAAGTTTGCTTCTTTACTTGTTAAAGATATCCTGAAGCTGAAACCTTTAACATTGTTAAATTAAATTAGACGTGCTGCCATTGAAATGCAGTAAGAACTTTGTTTCTTTTCACATTGAAAAATTACCTTGAAGCTCAAACCCTTAAACTCTAAAAACTAATTCGACGGGCAGCCATCTAAGTTCAATTAAAGTTTGCTTCTTTATACATTAAAACATTTCCCTGAGGCCCAAACCTTTAAACAGTAAAATATAAAGCGATGGACGGGCTGCCATTGAAATTCGAAACTAAGCTACACAACCAACGCTAATTTTTTCTTAACTCCTAAGCAGATTGAAAAAAAAAAAAAAAACCATTTACTAAACTAAAATTTGCAATCTATCAAACCAAAAAAATAAAAATAAAATTGCATATTCATTACATCATCCATGATTAAAACCCATAATATATATCACATCAAAATTTCACAAAATATTATAAAATCACACACTCGATATCGAAGGCAGCAGATAACTATCAATAAAAACTAAAAAAAGATTAACGTTACAAGAACTAACCGATTGAATAAAAAACACCGAAACAGCTCCAAATTGATCAAGCTCAAATCCACGTAATAGAAGCTTCACAGCTAAAATTCGCCAATGATTATCCAATAAAAAAATTCACTCGGTACAATCGCAGGATTACAAGAGGATCCGTGATACTTTTCAAAAAATCCGGACCATTTTAGCTCTGTTCATTAATTTTTTTCGAAAAGAAGAAAAAGAAAAAAAAGAACGGTCTTCGAATAATTACAAGGAATCGTGTTCTTTCATGTATATATATATAGTAAAAAGAAAAAAGAAAAAGAAAGGAAGAAGAAAAGAGGAGGAGGCAACTGGGAGCTGGAATCTGAAGCGATGTTTAAGGGTATCTTCGTGATTTGGGAATGGTGTTGAATTGGCTGTGTTTGTATTGGACTGACTTAAAATGCCCGTGTCTTTTATGTTGCTTGATGGGTCATTAAAATAATTTGTTGGGTTAATCTCCGCCGTTGCATTAGGCGACTATAATTGATTGACTAGGATTTTTACTAAAAATTGCGTAGTGGATGCTTTTGAGGGATGATGGTGGTAACACAAGAATACACTTGGCTTGCACTTTTGCCCCAAAAATAAGAGAACTTGTTTTAGCTGAAGTAAAGAAATGGCATGTGGTGCTAATCCTGTATAAAAAATAAATAAAGAAAAGGGCCCTTGTGAGGATTCAATAGTCAATTTAATCGAATGTAAGAATTATTCTATATCTATATAGATTTTGGTTTCGTTTTTAAATTTAGGGTAATATTCTCATCTATTTTTATATTAAATTTTTAATGTATCTTTAAATTTCAAAACGTCTCTAATTTATCTATGTTATTTTAGTTGATTTCTAATATGTTTTTTTAGTTAAATTTTTTAACTAAATTAAGAATGTGATCTACATGTAGAGATGACAACGAGTCGGATATAAAATAAGTATCCATTTTATCCGATCTAATAAATATCCATTAAAAATATCTAATGGGTATTGAAATAAATAAGAATAAAAAAATAGGCATTCACTATTGTGGTTTCAAAACATGGATACCCACTATCTACCATATTAATACCTATTGATTTATTTTGATTTTTTAATATATAGGATCTAATTGCATAAACTTTAAAATTAAGAACCAAAATATTCTTTTCAAAACCTTTGAAGACCAAAAAAACTTATAAAGAAATGACTAAAATGTAAAAAATAAATTTTAAATACCAAAAAAAAATTTGTTGAAATCTATATCGACTAAAATGAATATTTTTTTTATATAAATTAAGTTTAATAGGTATTAAATGGATACTAAATGAGCTGATAAACTAATGTAGGTCTAGTATGATGTAATAAAAAATTATATGATGATTTATTAATAGATAATAAGTAAAATATTTTTTTTATAAGTATTGGTAAAAAATTGAATAATTGGGTTGGATATCTGCTCATTATCATCTCTATTTGCACATGGTATATGATTTGATAAAATTGTATTTATTTTTTGACGAAATAATATATATCTATTAATATGAAAATTAATTTTTTATGAATTGACAAAAAATCTAACCAAAATGATAAATTAAAAACCAGCTCAAATAATATAGACAAATTAATCGAAGGCCTTTTTTTTAATTTAAAAACATATTAAAAATTTAGCCTATTGTATAAAAATAGGCAGGAGTATTAGCTCAAATTTGATTTAAAATCATGCACTCGTAATTAGTAAATGAGAAATGTAAGGTAATTTTCATTCTTTTAAGTTGCTCATGTAATTAGATTGGACAGATATGAAAGCAAACCACAATCAAAGCCATTTTCATTGCACTTATTGCAAATTATAATAATAGGGTGATTATGACCAATCATCTAATTTGATCATAAATTGTGTTATTTTATAAGTGTAGATTATGAGAATACTTTCTAAGTATATTTAGATGCATGAATTGCTCATATTTTTAAATATATTTATCACATATGTCATTGTAAGGACATGAAAACCAATCTATATACATAGCGTCATTTATATTTCTCAACATCACAATAGATAAACTGTTCTTAACAAATATCACATCATTCCATTTTTTTCATCCTCTTTAGGTTATTCTTAAGTAAATTGCAAATTAGAACCTCTTGTTTTGAAAAATAAATAAATTAGTTTTTTTTTAAATTAATAATTTAATCTTATAAGTGTTAATTCTATCACTAATTTAGTTATTTCTTCAGGTTTTTTTGTTAGATCAGTAATTTTTTCAAATTACATTCATTTAATGTTTTATTTTTTTTATTCATCTATTTTATTTCTCTCTCTTCAATTAAAAATCAAAAGAAGGGGAATTTGGGAATAAAAATAATTATTTTAATAGAAAACCGATGAAAGCTAAGTATTGAAAAAAATTAAATATGAGGAATTAAATAATTAATTTTTGAAAGAAAAGAGACTAATTAATTTATTTCTTTAAATGAGAGAGACTAATTTATAATTTACTCGGTCATTCTTAAATCATTTTTTCCCCTGATAGATCAAATCTCTTAGGGTTTGGGTTTTTGAAAAACCGTCTTTGGATTGTTGGGCCTCCTTTGACACTAACCAATTTTAACTAAAGCTACGGCCAGGCCTTCAGTCCATGTCTTGTAATTCTACCTTTGGTATGGTCTTATTTAGAAATTTTAAAATACTCGTGGACTCATTTTTTTTTTTTTTTAAGAAAGATAGACAAAATATATATATATATATATATATATATATATATATTAATTAGTGGAATTCAAGGATTAATATGTGCCAATACTGGTTTCCGCTTAATTTTAGAACTCTATTTTAAATTATATGTACATGTATGATGACCAAGTGGAGTATACTAAGGCAATTTTCTTTTTTTCTTTTTATCACAAAAACACAGACAAAAAAAAAAAAAAAAGAATAAAATCAATTACCACAAAACACTCTTTTGATTACTCACAGATGTAATTGGATCATAGATTTCTAAGTTGAATTATGAATTTGCTTCCCAAAATTGTTTGGAAAGAAAGAGGATTCCTTGGCTATAGCACTTACAATCATCCAGCAGTGTTTTAGTTGCATTAATCTTTTTCTTGTTGGATGGTATTTCCATGGGAGTTTTGGAAGTAGTGGTGTACCATTCCTGCCATCCATTGGTGTATTGGTATGTGATCTTTATTTTCTTTTTCTTCGATTAATTTGAAGAACCCTAATAGTATTAATTAATTGTGCTCTTGGCTATTACATTTCATACTCGATGTTTTTTTCTTCTTCTGATTTGGTGTTCAAGATCAACCCATTTTGGATAAACTTTATGTGCATTTTTATTATAGCAGTATATTTGATGAGGTAATTGTTCTCTAATTCCTTGTGCAAAATGGAATTAATGATTTTATTTTTATGCTATTTTCCAAATTCCTCGTTTTGATCACGAATCTTCAAATCTATTTTTTTTTTTTTTAAGGCTGGAATATTCAAATCGGATCAATCTCGGTGATCTCTCCGATTAGTAGCATTACAATACATTTTATTCCTTATTTATTTATTAATTAATTAAGAAGAACTTTAGGAATTTGTTTGAACAGAAGTATGCATTGGAAAAAAAAAAACACGCTGTGATTAACATTTCGAATTCTTAAATACCGTGAACTTTTCTGTTTTTATATATTGTTGTGATTGTTGGTTTTTTTTTTTTTTTTTTTTTTTAACAAAAACGTGACTCGCGGTTACTTTTGCACATCAACGAATTGTCGTTTCCATAGAGATCCTTCAATCTCCAAATTATTTGGACGTCAAAATGTGATTCATGGGCTAATTATTAACTTGATGCGTTAAATTGAGAGCGTTGTTTTTGTTATATCAAAGATTCGAATTTCTTAATAAGTAGACGAGTCTATTATAATAAAACGACTATATAGATTTTGTTTACTAATTGTTAAGAGTAAAATGAATAGTTAGCAGAGAAAATAAAACATGATTAAAATAATGATAAAATATGAAGTGTTGCAACGTAAAAATAGGAAGTCACAACAGAGTATAGAACAATATTATCAAAGATCACGAAACGTTATAAAAGATTAAAGAGAAGCCAAGAACCTATAAATATCAGCTAAAAAAACAATATATACATAAAAATTAACAATCAACTCAGTAATACTTGCAAGCAGCAAGTACTATATCAAGTTTTAGTTTTTCTAAAACTTTTTAGACAGTAGTTTATTGACGATAATCAAAATAAATTGATAGATTTATTCTCTGATATTTTATTGTCGTTGCAACTCATATGATTTTTAAGAACAAAATTCTTCCGCCGATATCATAATTAGAAGAAGAATCTCAATCTATCATCTTTTCTCATTAATAAATAAAAACTCCTTTTAAGCTTTTAGCATTATTTTATATTTTATTTTGAAATTTTCTTAATTGAGGCAGGTAAAAAAAACTCGCAACAATTTTTATATAAATTTTCATAGAGTACCAAACACGATGCTAATTAGTGCAAGTCTGGGAAGCATAGCTTATAGAGAATTACACATAACGGTGTTTTAGATAACTTTAATTTATTTTAGAATCTATTTATGTAATTAATTTAAAATTCTTTATGAGCTGATAAATAGGATTAATCTGAATTTACCAATGAAGATCCTTTTTTTTTCTTTTAATTAGTAGGCAGAGGGTTTTTTTTTTAAAAAAAAATCTATATCCCTATGGTTGTAATTTTGTATGTTGAAAACTGGAATTTTAGTAGGGAATCCATTTTTAGCCTTTTCCTTTTTTTTAGTAAATTCGGTTCATAAAAAAAAAAAAGTATATAATGATAGATAGTTATCTTAAAATTAAAAAAAAATTGGTGAGAAGATTAATTTAAATTCATATTCTAAATCAATGTTCGTGTTATATCCGAAAATTGGACCAACCTCCGTAGGCCCAGCAAATCCCAAAGTCATGTAGTGGTAGGCTCCATGGGCTTGAAATTTAAGTTATTATTCAAGATGTCCATGGACTAGTATGCGTCACCTTTTATAAGAATTTGGAACAAACTTATCCTTTTTTTTTTTTTTCCAGCCTAAAGTATGTCACCATTTTTCATACACCTCAACACTAATACTTTACTTAACGTAGCTAAATAGCACTCCTCAAAACATAATTTTAAAAATTATAAAAATAAATTATCATGCATGTTAATTAAAAAAATTAAATTTTAAATTTGACGTATAAATCAATATTTATTTATTAACAGATCATCATCTTATGGTTTCGAACTAACTTAATTAACAATTAGGGACGAAGCAAGTGATATCAGATTGTAAATATAGCAAGAGTCTATAAATTAGAATATTTTTATTATTTTTAGTAGGTTTCTGATGTAATTTTTTTTGTTTATTTTTTTTTAAATGAGTGTAATTAATAGTTATTCTTGAAGTATTTAAAATTTTAAAATTTCTCATATTAGGAGCTCAAAGTGTACTTGAGAATTGCTATATGATAAAAAAAAAATTGGAAGAGTTCTCTTATAACTTTTTTGCTTCTAAGATATGGGATTTGAAATATTGAATTTGAATCTTCGAGGAAATTCTGAATTCATTTTTGCATATTCGAATCCCCTATAATGGTGACAATGTTTGATTGGCAAAAGGATCCAACCAAATAAAAGTTCGTGTTAGCTACGGATGAAAAAAAAAAATTGGAGGACCATTAAATACTGTGGTAAGTTTACTTGTAAAAAAAATTACAATAACGTGGTAAGTTGACTCAGTAAAGTTTTTTTCTTTTTTCAATTCTTATTCAACAATTATAGCATTCAAATTAAGAAAAGAAGAAGAGAAAAACAAGAAAAAAATTATTGCACCAAAACATAACCATAACCAATTAACATGATATGCATGAAGAATCGTATCAAATCTGATCAATTCCTTAGGAGCAACAATCCATCCCTCTTTCACTGTTCCATTCGGTTTAAACTTCTGTAAGTACATAAATAAATAAACAGAGATAGAGGGAGACCTGGAATTAATAATCGCTGACCACAGTGAACCCATAAACCATAAATCCTAAAATCTCCCTTCCTTTCTTTGAGCTAAAGCAAATTGCGACGGCGAGCGAGAGCACAGAGACGTCAAATGAAGACGTACAGCAAGAGACACTTTTAATTTGTTCTGGATTGAGCGGGCAGCAATTTTTCTCTTTGTTTTCTACGCTGACAACCCACCGTTCTTTCACTGTTCTCTGGCATTCTTTGTCCTCACCAATGTCTACTATGCAATCTACGCTTATGATCGACTATTTGACCCTCCTCGCCCTAAAGCAAATTGTTCTTATATATATAAATTTTTCTTTTGGACAGGAATCATCAGACAGTAGCTGGTTTTTTGTTGAGCGGTATGGGATCTGGTTAGAAGCAATGTATTTCATTATGGAATCGCCAGCCTATCGCCGTGCTGCTGCTTCTGTCTTTGTTATGACGAATATAAAATTAATCATGAATCTTGTGGAGATGAAGTTGAGCCAGATCCTTAACCCTAACTCTAAAGTGAGTCCCTATTGATAATTTTTTAGCATCCTGCGTTGTGTTTTTTTTTGAAGCTCTTTTTCTCTCTCTCCCTATATATATATATATAACAATTGTGCCTATTCTTGACTTTTTATATTCTATCTTAGAATATTACAAAAGGTTAGATTATATATATATATATTGGTAATATGGTTGCTGGATTGCAATATAAAGGATGCAAATTTCCTAGCTAGATTTTTTATTTTTTTAATAACCTATCTACACATAAACTTGTATTCATTTCTTCCTGAAAGTGTTTCTTTTATCTTATTTAAATTCCTAATGATTTTGGGTCGATGAAAGGTTTCATGTTACCTATTTTTTTGTTTTTCAAGATATATATGTGTGTATGTGTACAATACAAACGGATTAAATTAAATAACTTATTTTTTCTTGTGAATTCAAATAAGCTCTTTTTTTCTTCGAAATGACTCAATAATTTGTACAGTAAAAGGTTTCCTATCCACAAAACGTTGTGCGCTTCCACACTATTAACATGTTCATAAACAATTTATATCATGTCCTATTCTTCTTGGAGGCCTTTATTTTGCCTGTTCCACCAGTATTTAAGTTCATTCCTTTACTGCATTAATTACTGTCTCTGACTCCTACCATGTTGCTTTTGATTTTAATAATTAATTTGGCAAACATATATATCTGACAATGCAACAATCTTTTTATATGTCTTGAAATTTGTTGGTGAGCGTGCATGTTTGATCCTATATTCATTTGCTTTAATATTGAAGATAATAATCTTGTACAGAAAGATAAAAGGGAAGAAGAGAAACAGAAGTCTCCAACCGTGGAGGACTCACCAAAAGAGAAGGACAAGCTTGATGAAATAGAAGATTTGCCAGAAACAGAAACAGAAACTGAAAGGACACTTCTTCCGGAAGATGAAATTGTAACCAACACAGAAGAAGATGAGGACAATCAGGACGACGAAAGTGATGACGATGACGACCACAAAAATGACCCTGAAGTCAGTGGAGAGAAATTGCCAGAAAGTGAGAATATGGAGCCTGAGGTCAGTAAAGAAAAATTGCCAGAAACTGAAAATATTGAGCCTGAGGTCCATCATGACATGGAGAGAGCTGCATTAATCGAGAACAACACTATGGAGAATGAAATTGTAAGCAACGAACGAGTGGAGAATGAAATTGTAAGCAATAAAGGAGAGTATGAAGACGAAGAAGATGTTGAAAAGGACAATTACAGTGATGATGATGAAGAAGAAGATAGTGATGATTATAGTTATTACGATGATAGTAGTGATAGTTATGACAGTGATGCTGACAGTGATGATGAAGATGAAGACGACGGCCACGAAGATGATTATGCAGAGAAAGGAAGGACGGAGAAGGAGAGTTCAGAAAAAGAAACGAAGGCAGAAGAGATTCAAGAGAATCTTCAGGCCGCAGAGAAATCATTGAAGGAAGAAGAAGTGAAGGAAATAGAAAATGAAATGGCCGAAGAGAAATCATTGAAGGACGAAGAAGTGAAGGAAATAGAAAATGATCAAAAGAAAGCTAGAGAAGAAAGTAAAGATAAACGTAACTATTATTTGGGGAGATGGTAATTGAGATTGAGGGCGAGCTAAGATCACACATGTTGAGAGAAGAAGAAGATCAACATTCAGAACTTTCTGAAGCTAATGCTCCCTTAATAAACGAAAAGGAACCCTTGCTAGAAGATTTTGAAGCAGAAAGCAGAAAGTGGGAAGAGAAGAGAGAGAGTCTCACTACAAAGCTTGACGATGCCAATCTGTCCTTGAAGATCTGTCAAGAAAATGAAAAGAAATTCGAAGAAGAACGTCGTGGTTGGGAAAAGGAAAGAGCTGTTTTGTCCTCAAATCTGTTTGCGCATGAGTACGTAAGGAAATGCCGGAGATTGGAGAAAGAGAGCGCTGATCTTACCGCTAGCCTTGCTACTGCAAAAGCTGAAGGTGATTTTTATCGGAGGTGCTTGCATAACTTAGGTCTTCGTACGTAATAATTAGCAATTCCTTTTAGATTTTGCATCTTTTTAGTGTACTGTCCCAATAGACAAGGGATCTATCGAGCTTATATTTAAGGATTTCTTTTCCTTTTTTGTTTTATGGTGGTTAAATTATTATTTTTTTTAATAATTAGGTCATCATTAATTTTCTTTTTATTACATTTAGGGTTATGAGTTTGGAATTTAGTTATTATTTTTTTAAGAGTTTTATTAATTATATAAAGGATACTTGATCGTTTGTCTTTTTGTAATAACGTCAAAATTATGTGTTCCAATTTGTCAAAAGTATTCAGCAAGTCGTTGTTCATTTCTTTAAAATATAAGAATATAATTAACTAATTCTATTATAACTAAGTTATTTTTTAATGACATGATTTAAATAAGTTCGATTAGAGGTTGCATAACACTCTTTTCTTTGGGAAATATAAATCAAATAGTCAAAATTTAGGGTTTTTTTTTTAATTATAAAAAAAGAGGGGTGGGGTAAGATTTTCTTATTTGAGATGGAGGATTTCTGCATGTACTACCTGTTTACTGCTCTTTTAACATGGACAAAATTATGAACTTCATGAAACCGCTTGCTAGGGACATTAAATACACGTCCATTAGCAAGCTAGCAGACCTAAGTAGGATCCCATTAATATGATTCCTTGAACCCAATCATGTGCTCAAGGTCAAGAGCTAGCAAGCTCTGGAAATTGACCAGCTAAGTAAACGATTCAGTCTTCGGGTTTTACTCAAAATCAATGAATAACACATCTTGTTTACGTGTTCAACCCCACCTCATCTTGACCATAGCATGTCTTATCTTCATCGGATGTTTTGACCTTTTTCTTTCCTTACGTATTTTACACAAAAGAGGTCTTTGGAATGACTTGCCGTACGTATAGCTATAACTGAATGAGTCCATCTCCACGAAGAGGATAACAGAGAAATAGGATATTTTATTCTCAAAATTAATACTAACAAGAAAAAGATTTATTCCTTTACGATGAAAGCAAAAAGTAAAAACATAAAGTTAGAGAGCCTCTAAATTTTGGTAGGTAAGAGTACCATTTAATATCAGTCGAGCGATTATGTGAGTTATAGATAGGCCAAATTTTTCAATAAAACAGATTTAAAAATTTAATTTACTTAGCTTAGTTATTATGTAATAAAAGTGTTTATTTAATAAAATAAGTTCAAATTTTATCAATAAGTTGTTAATCCAGTAATAAATAAGTTGGTTTCTAAATAAATTTTTAATATATAGAGTTTAAATTCTAAAATTATATTTGTTGAGAGGGGTTTGTAAAATATTGTCACTCTTTTTTCAAGTATAATTAATTTTATCTTTAATGTGAAATAGAGAAACCTAGTGGAAAAAAAAATTGGTTGGAAACAACACAAATCTCTCGATATAAAAAAATAAAAATAAATAATATAGTAAATTTAATCCACCTAATATATACTTCTTTGTAAAGATATACTATAATCAAAAAATAAATGAAGGTTATATTAACTAAACCACAACTTATTAACTGAGGGCATAGCGATTAGATATGCACCAAGAACTACGAAACCGTATCTATTATCGTAGCAAATTCTTAAATTTTTGAGTTTTTTTTATGTCGAATCAAATTTTAATTCCTAAACAAATACTAATAATAAATAATATTTTATACTCAATACAACTGTTAAACGTAGATGGTGGTATTCCGTATTCCCAAGGTCATCAATTCTTTATTCACTCCCCATGTTATATATATTTGTGTGTGTTAATAAATTAGTATTTAATAAAAAAAAAGGAACTATTTTGTTGTCAACCGCATAATAGTTTATTTATTACGACCCAAGAAACATATAAAGAAGGTTATATTTGTCATTTCAATAAAACAAGTGGGGAGAATAACAATTTGTGATGGTAAACAATACTGTTCAACCCGTATATATATAGCTAGAGAGAGAGAGGCCTCTAATTAAAAGTACGTAGTATACATTGATATCATAAATAAAGCCATAAACCCCTAAACATCGCTTCTTCCTTGAGCTAAAGCATACAATGGCGAACGAGAGAAAAGTGATGAAAATTGAACAAATACGTCTTGCTGAGACAATTTTGTTCTGGATTGAGAGGCTAGCAATTTTCTCTTTGTTTTCTTTGGTGGCATCCCACGATTCCTTCGTCCTTCTCTGGGTCTCTTTGTCTTCACGAATTTATACTATGCATCCCTCGGTTACGAACGACTATTTCTCACTCCTCAGCCTAAAGTAAATACCTTAGTTTTTTTTTTTTTTTTTTTTTTTTTTTTTAATGTTGATTTTGATTACAAACATAAAATCATTATTATTATTTTTTTATTTGCAGGAACCATCAAACAATTTGTTTATTTTTGAACGGTCTGCGAACTGCTCAGCGCTAGTATACTTTTTTATGGGATCTTCACTCTATCGCTTTGCGGCTGCTGTTGTCTTTGTTATCTCAAATATGAATTTAATTCTGAAATTCTTTGGGGTGAATCCAAGCCAGATCCTCAACTGTAAATCTACAGTGGGTCCTTTTTAATTACTACAGCTTTTTTTTTTTTTAAGCTTTCGGCATGTCATATTTGTTTTTTTTTAATATTATTATTTAGCTCAACGATTATTTAATTTTTAGTAGTTAGAATTAGAATTCTTTTAAGAAATTAATATTATAGCCAATAATGGGATTTCTTTCCAAATATGCATAAAGTCTTTTGTTTCAGAAGTAACTAGGTTGTAGTGATAATAGTATACGCAATATGGCCAATAAACATGTTAACGAAGAAAATAATTCTCCTTTTCCGTATCTAGCATGGTTTAATAAAAATATTTACATTAATCTTGTGCATAACCATTAATCTATTTTGGAGGGCTTTAAATTGCCAATCCCACCATTGATCAGTTCATATTCCATTACTGCATTACTCGTAGACGTCTAGACCCCTAGATATATTTTTTCAATATAATGTTGCTTGAGAAAATTCATCAACCTGTAATCTGTTATAGGTTTTGGTGGATGATATGTAGATTCATCAATTTGTTTTTTAACTTGGAAGAAAATTGGTTATGCAGGAAGATGAAAAGGAAGAGGAAATAGAGAAACCTCTGGCCGTGGAGGAGTCAGCAGAAGAGAAGACCAAGATTGATGAAATAGAAGGAATCCCAGAAACTGAAAATACTGAGCCTGATGCCCATCATGAGACGGAGGAGGGAGCTACAGCTACACTAGTGGAGGAAAATAGTATCATGGAGAAAGAACTTGCAATGAAGAAAGAAGAAGATGATGGTGAGGAGGACGACTTCGGAATTTTTTTAAGCTACAAAATAGACATTGATGATGTCGACGAGGATGACAGTGATGATGATGGTGAAGACGACTGCAATAGTAGTAATGATGATGAGGAAGACGATAGTAGCGATGATGACGAGGAAGACGATAGTTCAGAGGAGAAAACGAAGACTGAAGAGACTGATCAAGAGAATGTTCTAGACAATGAGAAAGAAGTGAAGGATGAGGAACTGAAGGAAACGGAAGATGAATATTATTGGGAAATAGCTAAAGATTCTTCCCTCTCAATGCGCCGTCAGATCGACCTGTTTAAGGGGCAGACTCAGCTCGAAGGAAACTATTGCAAGTTGGTGAAGTCTGCTGTAGAGAAATTGGTGGTGTTAGAGCAAGAAAACAAGGTTCTTTCTAGAAAGCTTCGTGCTGAAAGAACATCAACTGAGCAATTAAATCGACTAGTGTGCCTGTTCGAAATAAAATGCGAAAGATTGGAGGAAGGGAAAGCTGACCTTACTGCTAGCCTATCCATCGCAAAAGATGAATCTGAATTTTATCGAGAGTGCATGCACAACTTGGGTCTGGACAATGAGCTATCTGCTATTTAATTTGATAACCTTTAGATTTTGGTTCCATCGATGAACAAGGTTCTATCCAGCTTATGCTTTAGATTTTTTTTTTAATATTTTAATGTTTTACGATGATACTTACATTTTCGATCTCTTTTTCTAATTAATTAGTATTACAGCTATTTTGGAAAAAGACTACGATAATGCTAGGATTCAAACTGATCAAATTCTATTTTACTTGTTCGTTGTAATGTTGATCAGGAAAGTATCACCACTCAATCAAATCATCACCATTTTTAGTAGAATTACTTGAATCAATGGGGCAGCCTTCTCAAAAACCATGAGGTAGAGAACCTCATGCGGTGTTGGCGGTGCTTGTTTTTATTTTTCGATGATTGCACAGCTAATAGCCTCACTCTATACGTATCTAGAATTTCAATCCTCTAGCCGGAGATATAGAGTAGTAGATAGATGTGGTTGGAATTCCACATAACGAACTCTACCTCTTTTAAAACTCTTGTTACATGAAGCAAAATATAATTATGTGGCTGAGGACAAGTTGCTTGAATTGCTACAGAATCAATAGATGAATTGATGGAAAACACCGCATGCCACGAATACAAAGCGTGAACGTAGGAAAACAGAAAACATAGGAAGAATTTACAGGGGGAAAAATGATGTTTATTCTCTTATTAATATTTTTTTTCTTTTTCTGTCATTTTTTGTGAGTTGAAAAGCCTAGCAACTGCTTTTACATGATTGAATAGCGTTGCAAATGATGAAATTTAATCAAGATACGGAAAAATATTAACCACTTTTCTTTCCAAAACTCAGGTGAAATTAAGTTAAATTCAAACTCTAAATCATTTATTGTATGAATGACTTTTTTTGGTACATGAGATAGAAGCTAACCCTGACCAATTTCTAATCTGGTTTATACATGGATCTTTAGTTTCTAATCAATTTATGTAATGTCAAATTAATTTTAGAACTTACCACTAAACTATAACTCAACTGAAATTAATGTTTTTTTTTTAAAAAAAAATTAGAAGTTACCATTAATCTGTAATTAACTCAATTGACATTAGTGTTTTTTTTCTTTCAAAAAATCTCAAATTCAAATATCTCTTTTATAATAACAATAAAAAATTAATTTTAGAATTTGAGAGATATAATCAAAAGAGTTATTATTAGAGATCAAGTCTTGCTAATTTGCAATTTGTGTTTCACTCTAGTTTGACCTTGGATTTCAAAATTGACTTGATTTCCTTCGTGTTGCTTGGAATTTTATTTATTTCTTTTCACACGAAAAAATAAATTGTAGTTATTAAGAAAAAGTTAATTGGCGTTTTTTTGTTGTTGATATTTTTAAATAAAAATTTATATGATAATGTCATGGTCGTCTATTTAGATTAGGAAACTGACACTTTACCAATATGATTGAATCATGTTTAAAGAAAGATTATAACTTATTGGAGGATCAGCGTTTGTTTGCTTGTTCGTATCCTTGAAATGTTGCGTTTATCTGGTTAGAAATTTATCATGATATTAAGTGGTATATACTCAAACTCAAACGGATGGACAATGATATTTTCACGAATAATTCTCACCGAAATTTTCCACTGAATCTGAATGGACCAAATGGCAAAGAATGCAAATCAATTAAAAACCAAGGACATTTCGAGCTCGTGTCTGTTTCAAAAATAAATGCTTGTTTCTAGAGCCTCCCGGCTCCCAGCTCCGAGCTCCAATCTGGTTTAGATTGTTGGGCCTAGTAAACTGTTCGTTTCAGTTTTTCCCCAGACCTTGCCATGCTGTTGGGCCTGATGCTCGTTTTCTTATATTACCTGAGAAAATGAGGGCATAAAAAATTGATAAAGCCAGAAAAAATTATGTGTTATAAAAAAATAAAAATAATGGACGAATTGAAGGAAAGGATGACAAAAAAATGAATTCACTATAAAGTGAATACAAGTGATAAGAACTTTAAATTATTCCGTTAATCTTTCTAAAAAAACTTATACACCAACTAATGAACAATCAAGCCTATTTATAGGTTTCAAAATTGAGAAGAGAATTGAAAGGGATTATGAATAATTAAAAATGCACAAATTGTTGAATCAATTACATCACCTTTTTAATTTTTTATATTGAATGATGAATTGAATTACATTAAGAATAATGAGTAGTGGAGATATGAAAAATAGATAAACGTTCATATGGACAATTATTATTTCATAATACTCCCCCTTGAATGTCCATTATGCAAGGAATATGCCTCGTTAAAACCTTATTAGAAAAAACTCCAAGTGGGAAAAAATCTTAGTGAAGAAAAAAGAGTACAATATTTCTTATACACATTAATCCTTATATTGGTCTCCCTCTCGTTGAAAACATTATTTAAGATCTCTAAAATGACACATTCCAATCTTATGAATCATTTTCTCAAAAGTTGTGATAGGTAATGCCTTAGTGAACAAATTTGTTGAATTGTCACTTGATCGAATTTGTTGAACATTAATATCACTATTCCGTTGAAGATTATGTGTGAAAAATAATTTAGTTGATGTATGTTTCATTCGTCACCCTTGATGTATCTTTCCTTTAATTCAGTTATGCAAGCAATATTATCCTCATATAAGATTGTTGAAACTTCCTTGTTAGCGGATAAATCATATGTCTTTCGAATACGATGGGTCATTGATTTTAACCAAATACATTCTCGACTTATCTTATGAATTGCTAGTATTTTTACATGATTTAAAGATGTGACGACTATAGTTTGTTTTATAGAATGCCATGATATAGCTATATTTTCATATGTAAATACATAACCTGGTTTGAGATTGAGCTTTGTGTGGATCGGATAAATAACCTACCTCTGCATAACCAATTAATCATATCTTTGATTTATTGAAGTAATATAAGTCCATATCAATTGTTCCTAGGAGATAACGTATTATATGTTTAATTCCATTCCAATGTCTCCATGTTGGAGCAGAACTATATCTTGCTAATAAATTTGCGAGAAAATATTATATTAGGTCGGATCTTATTAATAAGATACATTAATACACTAATTGCACTAAGGTATGGTACTTCGGGACTAAGAAGTTCTTTGTTATCTTCTCGAAGTCAAAAAGGGTTCTTTTGGACGTCAAATGAATGAGCTACCATCGGATTAGTCAATGGATGAGCCTTATCCATATAGAATCGTTGTAGTACCTTTTCTATATGTGTTGATTGATGAATAAAAATTTCATCTTCTAAGTGTTCGAATTGCGAGGCCGAGATCAATTTTGGTTTTCCAAGGTTCCTTCGTCCTTCTCCGGGTCTCTTTGTCTTCACTAATTTATACTATGCATCCCTCGGTTATGAACAACTATTTCTCACTCCTCACCCTAAAGTAATTACCTTAGTTTTTTTTTATGTTGATTTTGATTACAAACATAAAACCATTATCGTTATTTTTTATTTGCAGGAACCATCAAACAATTTGTTTATTTTTGAAAGGTATGTGAACTGGTTAGCGCTAATCCACTTTTTTATGGGATCTTTAGTTTATCGCTATGTGGTCATTATCGTCTTTGCTATCTCAAATATGAATTTAATTCTGAAATTCTTTGAGGTGAATCCAAGCTAGATCCTCAATCGTACATTTACAATGAGTCCTTTTTAATTACTATAGGTTTTTTGTAAGCTTCCGGCAAGTCATATTTTTTTTTAATATTATTATTTAGCTCAAGTGATTATTTAATTATTAATATTTAGAATTAGAATTCTTTTAAGAAATTAATAGTATAGCCAATAATAAGATTTCTTTCCACATATGCATAAAGTGTTGTTCCTAGCATACAAAAGGAACATAATTAAATAATCAAAATTAATATAATAAACAAATAAATTTATTGTAAATTAAAATAAATAAAGAATTGAAACTTTTTACCTTGATCAAAAAAATTAATGATTAAAATTATATTATCATATTTTGCGGTATAAAGATGACCGAACCACCAAAATAGTTTTCCCATAATTTTTAGGTGATCGGCTCGAGACATAACCGAGGTTGCTTTTTGAGACAATACACGTCATCCACAAAATTTATCCGATACAATAGATAAATAATGTATTATATGTCATCTCGGGAATACAATAAGCTCGTCATTTTGTCGTGTATTAACAAGTTTACACTATTTATAAGACTTGAAACTCTAAATAAAATTTAGTACCACTTTTTCTCAAAAAATAAAACAAGTAAACATTATATGGTTTTATAGTGGGAGATTAAAAATGCAAAAAATGGAGAATTATTTTTCTTTTTCACTGGAAAACACTGCAATAGTTTTCTCTCTAAATAACAAGAATATAAAAATGTTATGTATCTCAAATTGTAGAATATCACATATATATATATATATATATATATATATATATATATATATATATATAGCTGAAAAAGAGAGTTGTTAGAATAAAATTAAAGCCACGAATTTAAAACATTAAAAGCAAACGAGTACAAAATAATGGCATTGTACCGTTGCTTTTATTTTTTAGTTACATTTGTAACTCACAATAACGACCTTTGTCGTTATTGTGATAGTTTCAAACAATGCTTATGTACTATTTAAAACATACCTCATTCTTTCTCTTTTTAAAAAAATAATAAAAAATATATTTTATTAAAAATAATCCAACAATCCCCCACTTATTTTTTTATAAAATATTAGCCATATGATTTTAGGTAAGGGAATGAACATAATACATAATAAGGGTGCGAGATGGCTTGAACCCTTACTTAGTGTTTCAATAATATTTCTCTTAAGCCAATAGTAAACATTGTCTTGGACTACGATTTTTTTAAGTGAAACAAATATTGTATAACACATATTATTTTTAGGCATTATGCGACAAGTTTCGAGCTAGCACATTAATGGCCTTGTGCTTGATCCCAACTTCTATGAGTGTTCGAAGAATTAGTCCAATTCTTATAGGAAACAGCCCCACTTCCTCACTCATATAGGTGTGTCTATCAAGGATGCTCTCATAACTCCAACATCCCATTTCAAAAAAAACTATAGACCATATTAAAAGTTTCATTTAAAGAAACTTAACCTCTTTTTCGTAATGGAATTCATGTACTATACCATAGGGATAGACATATGATTATTGTAACTCAAATAATTTTACATGTAATCAAACCACTCTATGCTCGTTTTTCTCTTTAAACCTAGTTCTTGGGATCTCTAGTATCTAGATAGAGTATCAACATAGGTGATTTTATTTTTTTATGAGCTTACTCTCATCCCCTCGATGCATCATCTAATCCTTTAATTTTAGCTAAAGATTTACTCTCATAATATTCAATATACTCCCAAAGGATTAAGTAACTAGCATTTAATCAATTTTATTAGTGCTAAGACGAGTGGTTGGATTTTAGACAAAGTAAAACATCCACTTGTTTTTTTTTCCATTGGCATCCACTTGCTTTTTCATTGGCTTTGACCTTTTAACCAATTTAAGTTTCACCACACATACATGAGCCAATTGTAATAATATTTATTTTTTACATCCCCATCATTGTGCTAAAGCATGATGGCACCATTGTATTTTTCAATACAATAGAAAATATTTAATATAATCACATTGAAGTTAATAAGGACTTTTTCTGATCTCTAGTTTCTCATACAAATTTGACATCATTGGATCACATCTATACAATAAGAATGTCAATATTTAGCTAGAAATTTAAATTTATTAAAATATCACCAATTGTCTTATTGGATAATATCATTACAATATCATTTATCTTAATTATACAATATGAGTGTCTTTGATTTCACTTATCGGATAATATTATCAAAACACCTTTATACCTTAATTGTACAATAGGATTGTCTCTAATTCTAACAATTCTCTCAATATTTTTGCTAAGTATTCCATAAGCATCATTATGCCTTTTGTATAATCGAAATGTTTTTACCAAATATTCCATAAGCATCATTATACCTTTTGTATAATAGAAATGCTTTTATAAATATTTCAAAAGTATCATTATACCTTTTGTATATTATGAATACTTTTATAAATGTTTCCAATTGCATCACATTAAAAATTTATATGTGGTAAAAAATTCAAACATCATGAGAAAAAATTATGAGAATTTATCATCATGAGAGAATTACGATAATTTATCTTGAAATACATAATAATTTTTTCAAACAAAATGTTAATGCAATAGCATTTTTTTAGGCCCGCACTATTCTCATAATAAATAATGTTCTTGCTACCCGTGTAGATAAAGTGATGACACGCATTATCGTATTATTGCTTCATCAATATTTATAATTTATTCTTGTGAATAAACAACCAACAAGATATATTTTTTAAAATAATATCATATATCAAAATTTTAATTTCACATAAGAAAATAATATATGTAAAAATCATTAAATCATGAACCTTTATTTTACTAATAATCTGCTAACAAGATTATTATTTTCACATTTGTTTATATTGCCACAATCCGAGTAAGGGTGTCAAACAATTTCAACACGAGTCACATAAAAATAATTGACATTCAAAATACAATTGATCTTAATTAACTTAATATGTGACCTTTCAAGTCTTTAATAAATTAATCATGTGAACCAACATGAATTCAATAAAAAAAAATTTATATGATAATTCACATTTTTTCCTCTCGTTTTTTTTTTAATCATTGCTTATGGATTAAATAACTCAAGTATACACAAATAAATATTCATACAAGAGTCTAAAATTACTTGCAAATATAAGTATCTCATATTTTCCATCACCAAAAGTGATCAATCTCAAATATATAAGGTAAAAATCAAATAACTTTAATAATTTTGACATTTAAAATACTTACTCGACTTTTTATTCCATTGACCAAGCTTTCGTTGCCTCTAATGCCACATAAATTTAATTTCTTTGACCTTGCATCCAATATAATATATCCATAAAAAGATTGGATATATTTCCTTTGGTGGCTTCTCATTTATCTCAGCAACATGACATCAATATAACAAATAACTTTAATATCAATTATAATTTATCAATATAAATAAATTTATAAATCAATTCTCAATTTATTTATGCTTGTATCACTAATAAAATTCACACAAATAAATTAACATCATGATGAATGTCATAAATATTAATTTTCAACATTATCAATGTTATCAATCTTAAATAATAATATTTGTTAGGTAGCCATAAGTTACAAAAACATTATGGATCGATATGCAAATTATCTCATTAGCAACATGGTAGTCAAATTTTTTTCTAATAAAACAAGTTTGAGCTTTACCAATAAATTATTAGTTCGAGTAATAAATGAGTTGATCTTTAAATTTTTTTTTTTATCAATACACAGTATTTGAATTCTAAAGTTATATTTATTGAGAGAGGTAAAATATTGTCACTTTTTTCTTAATATAATTAATTTTATTTCTAATGCAGAATAAAAATATCTAAAGGAAAAAAAAAGGTTCGAAACAAAAAAAACCTCTCGATAAAAATAAAATAAAAACAATATAGTAAATTTAATCCACCTAATATATACTTCTTTAAAAAGATATACTATAATCTAAAAATAAATGAAGGTTATAGTAACTAAACCTTAACTCATTAACCGAGCACATAGTGATTAGATATGCATCAAGAACTAAAAACCGTATCTATTGTCATATCAAATTCTTAAATTTTTAGGTTTTTCTCGTCAAATCAAATTCTAATTCCTAAACAAATACTAATAATAAATAATATCTCATACTCAATACAACTCGTTATACTTAGGCGATGATATTCTATCTCTCTTCTCAAAACGGATTTATGAAGTAACTATTATATGTGTCATTAGTTATTCCTTACGTATTATAAAATTTTTCCGTTCCAAGGGCGATCAATTCTTTATTCACACCCCAAGTTTTTTTGGTTATGACTAATATAACCCGGTTAATTAATATACATGTTTTTTTTTCAATTGTAACATTAAATTATACAATATTAAATATGAAAAGGTCCTTGAATTTTTTTTAGAAAGGCATATTAATTGAAAAGTAGTATCTATAGTACCCAAGGTATAGATGCTTACTTGGTATGGCATTTTCGTAATGTATCCTACAGCTTCAATTTACTTATATAATTGAAAAATATATATATACAAAAAAAAAAAAAAAATCAAGAGAAAAGCTAATGCTCCTTTGATAAAGGAAAAGGAACTCTTGCTAGAGGATTTTGAAGCAGAAAGCAGAAAGTGGGAAGAGGAGAGAAAGAGTCTTTCTACAAAGCTTGACGATGCCAATCTGTCCTTAAAGATGATCTGTCAAGAAAATGAAAAGAAATTCGAAGAAGAACGTCGTGATTGGGAAAAGGAGAGAGCTGTTTTGTCCTCAAATCTGTTTGCGCATGAGTACGTAAGTGAATGCCAGAGATTGGAGAAAGAGAACGCTGATCTTACTACTCGCCTTGCTACTGCAAAAGCTGAAGGTGATTTTTATCGGAGGTGTTTGCATAACTTAGGTCTTCGTACGTAATAATTAGCAATTCCTTTTAGATTTTGCATCTTTTTATCTACTGCCTCAATAGACAAGGGATCTATCGAGCTTATATTTAAGGATTTCTTTTCCTTTTTTGTTTTACGGTGGTTAAATTCTTCTCTCTTTTTTAATAATTAGGTCATCATTAATTTTCTGTTAATTACATTTAGGATTATGAGTTTGGAAATTAGTTATTATTATTTTAAGAATTTTATTAATGATATAAAGGATAATGAATTGTTTGTCTTTTTATAATAACGTCGAAATTATGTTTCTAATTTGTCAAAATTATTTAGCAAGTCATTGCTCATTCCTTTAAAATATAAGAATCTAATTAACTAATTCTATTATACCTGCGCTGTTTTTTAATGATATGATTTAAATAAGTTGGATTAGAGGTTGCATAACACCCTTTTCTTTGGGAATTATAAATCAAATAGTCAAAATTTTGCCCTTTTTTTTTTTTTTTTTTTTTTTTTGGAAAAAAGAGGGGTGGGGTAAGATTTTCTTAGTTGAGATGGAGGATTTCTGCATGCACTACCTGTTTACAGCTCCTTTAACATAGACAAAATTATGAACTTCATGAAACCTCTTGCTAGGGACATTAATCACACGTCCATTAGGAAGCTAGCAGGCCTAGTAGGATCCCATTAATTTCCCTTTCCTTCTTGATTCCTTGAACCAACCATCTTCAATATATGCTCTTGAAATTGACAAGCTAAGAAAAATATTCAGTCTTCAGGTTTTACCCAAAGTCAATGAACAACATATCTTGCTTACGTGTTCAACCCAACCTCATCTTGACCGCAGGATGTCTTATCTTGACCATAGGATGTCTTATCTTGACTGGATCTTTTGACTTTTTTCATTACATATTTTACACAAAAGAGGATCTCCGGAATGAAAATTAATGAGAGAAACAATTAAATGAAGGGATTTGTAATCATTGTTTGATGTTGAGTTGATCTATAAAGGCTATAATGTAAGTGGTGAGCGCTCTAGGAAGCAGCACCTTGACAGGGTTATACTGCTGGAAGGATAAAACTGAAAAATGTGTTGTAATGTTGAATTCATGGCGCTATATTGCTTATGTGAATGTGTTGGCAGCATCATCAGTCATTGTCTTGGCCATATCAGTGCTTCCTTTTGTTGATTTTAGATAGGTGTTATAAGCATATACAAAAGCATAAGTGTTGGAGAATTGTCAAACTTTTCGCTGACTCTGTAGTTAACTAAATTGTGTTGAAGTTAAAAATTATTTTTTCTGTTGACATTTAGTCTCTATAAAGTTAATATTTGATTGAGCTTTTGTGTCAGAAAAAAATAAAAATAATATAGTAAATTTAATCTACCTAATATATACTCCTTTTAAAAAAATACTATAATCTAAAAATAAATGAAGGTTATAGTAACTAAACCTCAACTCATTAACCGAGGACATAGCAATTAGATATGAATCAAAAACTAAGAACTCGTATCTTTTGTCGTATCAAATTCTTAAATTTTTTAGGTTTTTCTGTCAAATCAAATTCTAATTCCTCAACAAATACTAATAATAAACAATATCCCATATTCAATACAACTATTAAACTTGGACGGTGGTATTTTATCTCTCTTCTCAAAACATATCTATAGAGTAACTATTATACATACTACTAGTTACTCCTTGTGTATTATAAAATTTCTTTATTCCCGCAGCCATCAATTCTTTATTCACACCCCAAGTTTTTTTTATTGTGACTAATATAACCTTGTTAATTAATATATATGTTTTTTTTTTCAATTATAGCATTAAAGTATACAATATTAATTATGAAAAGGTCCTTGAATTTTTTTAAAAAAGGCATATCAATTGAAAAGTATTATCTATAATAAAGGTATAGATGCTTACATGGTATGGCATTTTCATAATATATCCTCCAGCTTCAATTTACTTATATAATTGAAAAAATATATATATGATGCAAAAAAAAAAAAAATCAGGAGAAAAGCTCTCTTGTAGTTCAATTGTAATTTCATGATATATATATATAAACTATTTTATTTTTAATCGCATAATAATTTATTTATTTACGACCCAAGAAACATACAAAGAAGGTTATATTTGTCATTTCAATAAAATATGCAGGGAGAATAACAATTTGTGTCGGTAAATAATAGTGTTCAACCCATGCATATATATAGCTATAGAGAGAGAGAACTAAGAAGCCTCTAATTAAAAGTAGTAGACATTGATATCATAAATAAAGCCATAAACCCCTAAACATCCCTTCTTCCTTGAGCTAAAGCAAACAATGGCGAACGAGAGAAAAGTGATGAAAATTGAACAAATACGTTTTGCTGAGACAATTTTGTTCTGGATTGAGAGGCTAGCAATTTTTCTCTTTGTTTTCTTTGGTGGCATCCCACGATTCCTTCGTCCTTCCCTGGGTCTCTTTGTCTTCACTAATTTATACTATGCATCCCTCGGTTACGAACGACTATTTCTCACTCCTCAGCCTAAAGTAAATACCTTAGTTTTTTTTTTTATGTTGATTTTGATTACAAACATAAAATCATCACTATTATTTTTTTATTTGCAGGAACCATCAAACAATTTGTTTATTTTTGAACGGTATGCGAGCTGGTTAGCGCTAATATACTTTTTTATGGGATCTTCACTCTATCGCTATGTGGCTGCTGTTGTCTTTGTTATCTCAAATATGAATTTAATTCTGAAATTCTTTGGGGTGAATCCAAGCCAGATCCTCAACTGTACATCTACAGTGAGTCCTTTTTAATTACTATAGCTTCTTTTTTAAGCTTCCGGCATGTCATATTTGTTTTTTTTTTAATATTATTATTTAGCTCAAGCGATTATTTAATTGTTAGTAGTTCGTAGTTAGAATTCTTTTAAGAAATTAAAATTATAGCCAATAATAGGATTTCTTTCCATATATGCATAAAGTCTTTTGTTTCAGAAGTAACTAGGGTTCTAATGATAATAGTATACGCAATATGGCCAATAAACTTGTTAACGAAGAAAATAATTCTCCTTTTCCGTATCTAGCATGGTTTAATCAAAATATTTACATTAATTTTGTGCATAACCATTAATCTATTTTGGAGGGCTTTAAATTGCCAATCCCACCATTGATCAATTCATATTCCATTACTGCATTACTCGTAGACGTCTAGACCCCTAGATATATTTTTACAATATAATGTTGCTTGAGAAAATTCATCAACCTGTAATCTTGTTATAGGTTTTGGTAGATGATATGTAGATTCATCAATTTGTTTTTAACTTGGAAGAAAATTGTTTATGCAGGAAGATGAAAAGGAAGAGGAAATAGAGACACCTCAAGCCGTGGAGGAGTCAGCAGAAGAGAAGACCAAGCTTAATGAAATAGAAGGAATCCCAGAAACTGAAAATATTGAGCCTGAGGCCTATGATGACACAGAGGAGGGAGCTACAGCTACACTACTGGAGGACAATAGTATCATGGAGAAAGAACTTGCAATGAACAACGAAGAAGATGATGGTGAGGAGGACGACTTCGAAATTTTTTTAAGCTACAAAAAAGACAATGATGATGTCGACGAGGATGACAGTGATGATGATGGTGAAGACGACTGCAGTAGTAGTAATGATGATGAGGAAGACGATAGTAGTGATGATGACGAGGAAGACGATAGTTCGGAAGAGAAAACAAAGACTGAAGAGACTGATCAAGAGAATGTTCTAGACAATGAGGAAGAAGTGAAGGATGACGAACTGATGGAAACGGAAGATGAATATTATTGGGAAATAGCTAAAGATTCTTACCCCTCAATGCGCCGTCAGATCGACCTGTTTAAGGGGCAGACTCAGCTCGAAGGAAAATATTGCAAGTTGGTGAAGTCTGCTGTACAGAAATTGGTGGTGTTAGAGCAAGAAAACAAGGTTCTTTCCAGAAAGCTTAGAGCTGAAAAAACATCAACTGAGCAATTAAATCGACTAGTGTGCTTGTTCGAAATAAAATGCGAAAGATTGGAGGATGAGAAAGCTGACCTTACCGCTAGCCTTTCTATCGCAAAAGATGAATCTGAATTTTATCGAGAGTGCATGCATAACTTGGGTCTGGACAATGAGCTGTCTACTATTTGATAACCTTTAGATTTTGTTTCCTTCAATGAACAACAGAACAAGGGTCTATCGAGCTTATACTTTAGATTTTTTTTTTAATGTTTTAATATTTTACGACGATACTTACATTGTTGATCTCTTTTTCTAATTAATTAGTATTATAGCTATTTTGGAACAAGACTACGATAATGTTAGGAATTAGGATCCAAACTGATCAAATTCTATTTTACTTTGTTGTAATGTTGACCAGGAAAGTATCACCACTCAATCAAATCATCACCATTTTTAGTAGAATTACTTGAACCAATAATGTTGACCAGGAAAGTGTTGGCGGTTCTTGCTTTTATTTTTCGATGATTGCACAGCTAATAGCCTCACTGTATACGTATCTAGAATTTTAATCCTCTAGCCGGAGATATAGAGTAGTAGATAGATGTGGTTGGAATTCTACATAACGAACTCTACCTCTTTTAAAACTCTTGTTACATGAAGCAAAATATAATTACGTGGCAGAGGACAAGTTGCTTGAATTGCTACAGAATCAATCGAAGAATTGATGGAAAACACCGCATGCCACGAATACATGGCGTGAACGTAGGAAAACAGAAGAAACATAGGAAGAATTTACAGGGGAAAAAAATGATGTTTATTCTCTTATTAATATTATATTTATTTTTTCTTTTTCTGTAATTTTTTGTGAAATGAAGAGCCTAGCTACTTCTTTTACGTGATTCAATAGCGTTGCAAATGATGAAATTTAATCAAGATACGAAAAAATACTAACCACTTTTCTTTCCAAATCTCCGGTGAAATTAAGTTTAATTAAAACTCTAAGTCATTTATTGTATGACTGACATTTTTTTGTTCATGAGATAGAAACTAACTCTAACCAATTTCTAATTTGGTTTATACATGGATCTTTAGTTTCTAATCAATTTATGTAATGTCAAATTAATTTTAGAACTTACCACTAAACCATAACTCAACTGAAATTACTGTGTATTTTTTTAAAAAAAATTTTAGAACTTACCATTATTCCGTAACTCAACATTAGTGTTTTTTTTTCCTTTCAAAAAATCTCGAATTCAAATATCTCTTTTACAATAAAATAATAATAATAATAATAAATTTAGAATTTGAGAGAGACAATCAAAAGAGTTATTATTAGAGATCAAGTTTTGCTAATTTGCAATTTGTGTTTCACTCTAGTTTGACTTTGGATTCCAATTTTTTTTTTTTTTTGTCACGCAAAAAGATAAGCTGTAGTTATTAGGAAAAAGTTAATTGGCGTTTTTTTGTCTTTGATATTTTTAAATAAAAATTTATGTGATAATGTCATGGTCTTCTATTTAAATTTAGAAACTGATACTTTATCAATATGATTGAATCATGTTTAAAAAAAGGATTATAACTTATTGGAGGATCAACGATTGTTTGTTTGTTTATATATATTGAAATGTTGCGTTTCTCTCGTTAGAAATTTATCATGATGTTAAGTGGTATATACTCAAACTCAAGCGGATGGATAATGATATTTTCACGAATAATTCTCACCGAAAATTTCCCCTGAATCTGAATGGACGAAATGGCAAAGGATGCAAATAAATTAAAAACCAATGACATTTCGTACTCTTGTCTATTTCAAAAACAAATGCCTGCTTCTCGAACCTCCCGTTTCCGGGCTCCCAGCGCTGAGTTCCAATCTGGTTTAGATTGTTGGGCCTAGCAAACTATTCGTTTCAGTTTTTCCCCTGCTCTTGCTATGCTGTCGGGCCTGATGCTCGTTTTCTTATATTAGTTGAGCAATTGAGGGCATAAAAAATAGAGAAACCAGCAAAAATTGTGCTTCGTAATTATGGGGATAAAAAAAATGATTCATCAAATCATTTGCCATAACAAAGAATCAGGTCCGAATCGAACCATCTGTTATGGGAACAGAAACAAAATGACGAAGAACCATAAATTCTTGGTGTTTTTTTCTTTTCAAACATTCATCAAACACCTTGGGAGCAAGAAGGCAATGATTTAAATAAATCAAAATATGCATTCCTCGAAGCAACTGTCCTTGAAAGCTGAAACTGCTGCTTTAATAAAATTCAAGACATTCATAGGCATCAAAGATAAAGCATCACACCATAGAATTTTAGAAATTAATATCTGATCATGTTATCATACGAAAGAGATTCACTGACAACTCCAAATAGAGAAAGTCTGAAGCAATACTTCACAGAAGACTAGCCTGTGAAAAGATAATAAGACCTCAACCTTACTACTAACTAGAGATAATCAAGCATGGCATTCTATCTTCTTATATCAACATTCCTATCATAGTCTGGATATTGTGAGTAAGTTCACTCAAATGCCCACTGGTTCTCCCTGCGGACCTCATCTTCTTCCTCCGGGGTGAAGTCATTCTTGATGTTAAATGTCTTCCGAATCTCTTCTGGAGTCTTCCCCTTGATCATGTCCGCCACAGTTTGGCAGGTTAAATCTAGCAAGCCCTTGATGTTCAGATAGTTTGCAGCCTGAAAACAACATAAGAAGTTAGTCTTGCTAATTCGGATGCAGTGTCTAGATAACAAAGACAAGACATACGCAAAAACCAAAAACTAAGAGTAGCTTAGCAAAGGCTAATCTCATATGAGAAGCTCTGAATAAAATCACTGCTTTCATTGTTCAAATACAGAGACCTGGCTACTTGAGCCAGGTACCAAACTATTGGTTTAATCCCCATAGCACACCATCTTATCAAAGCTCAATTATCATGAATCAGAAAAAAAATTGTACTTCTCAAAACTAAGCAGGCAGTGTAGTGAAACAAGAACATAAAGCAGGAAGGAAACAAAAAGCTAATTGCCCATCGAATTTCACAAACAAATCAATCTAAATCCAAAAATAGCAAAATTGTCACATTACAGCTGCAGACAACGCACCAGTTTGCTATCAAGGAATCAGTTCACATTGATGTATCTGTTCTTTATCTAAAATAATCAAAAACTAAAAAAAAACTAAAAATCTTTAATTGTTCTGTATAATCTTTCCCTGTTTCCTTGAGCAAGAGCATCATACATAATAGTTGAAAGCAATAAGGCGAAAAAACAAATCCAAAGTGTTAGCGAAATCAGTGAGGAAGAACAAATCACTCACAACATAACACAATCACCAGAAACTTAAAAGGAAAAAGAAAAATACATGCGCAAAACAAAGACGTATCTAATCTAATAGCATAAGACACAAAACCTCCCATTAAAAAAACCATAACCCCTGACTTGCTGATCAAAAAACAGAAACCAGTGATGGCAATATCACAGAACTACAACAAACCTAAAAGACCAGTCTCGCTAATAATATTGCAAACCAGGTCCCCTAACAAAAACAACACGGCAAACCAAATGAGTGGCAATATCGTGAAAAATATAGCACACCTAATATCAATTTTAAACAATTTCCCAATCAAAAACGAAACCGTAAATGCAACAAAATACAATCTTCAAAACAAAACACCCAACAGAAACCCAAAACAAAGCAAAATCATAAATATTCACACAGAAAAGATAAAAACGAGATCTTCAAAAAGGAAACAGAGAGTCTTACCAAGATAAGGTCAAAGAGGGTATTTTGGTCAACTTTGACAAACTCTGTATCCCAACTTTTCAAAGTCTCATCCTTTTCAATAACACCAGCAACATTCTTATCTTTATCAGCACCAGCTTCCACGTGTTTTTTGCAGTACTCGATAACCTTAGCAAGAATCTTGCTTGTCACGTTAGGCAACGGGATCTCGTTATCGGCGCAGTCATCTTCAATCATATGTTTGATTGTCTGTGACTCAACGGCGACCGCTTCTTCAACGACGAATGTCTCGCCGTCGGAGGATTTGAGAGTGATTTTCTTCGATTCTGACATGTTGGTAAAGACTCTGGAGACAGAGAAGAACCCTAGCCCCTAGATTTCTTTTGATAGAGGGATCAGGTGGCGAATTGTGGGTTAAAAGTGAATGGGAATGGTGCAATATATAGAAGAATTTTTGGTAAGTGAAACGGTGTCGGTTTCGGAATCGGTGTCGCCTAGGACTCGGTTTCAATGACCAAATTAATTTTAGGTCCTGAGTATTAAGTTAAGGGCAAAGACGAGGTCGGTTTCAGAAATTCTTTGTAAATAAGGAGAAGGACGAGGGTGATTTGGGAAGTTTGGTGTTTTAATTTTAATTTTTTGTTTGATTATGATTTGATGACGGAATTACGGTTTGGTCCACTGGGTAGTAATGATTGTTTGGTTGGTGGATGGTGAGAAATTTAATTGGAAAGACGAATGGACAGAGACTAAAAATGATGCAGCAATAAATTAGAATGTTTGTGATTTACTGAAGGTTTTATTTATGGATGTAAATCTAAATCTAATTTGGTATTAATTTAGTAATTACTTTATAAATACACATGGCATGTTATGCAATTAAGAGAAAGATATTATTGTTCTAAACAAATTAAGAGATTAAGTTCTTCCTTGCGGATTAAGATCATCACGGAGATATTAATTTCTTTTTAAATCAAACCTCTAGGGATATATCAAATCTAAAAAAAAAAAAAAAAAAAACTAATTTGAGTTGTCTTAGTTTAACTTTTTTATCCAAAATTTACTTTCCCATCCCTTCCGTCCAGCATAGTTAAGCTAAAGAAAAAACTCCTCCTGTTTCAAAAACATCTTTTACTTTTCTATTTATATATATCCCAAAAATTTTGTGTGATCAAAACTTTAAGTAATGTGTCTTTCTAAAATATTCCTAAATAAAATTTATTTTGTAAAAAAATTGTTTCCATATAATTTTAAAGTAAGAATATTTTTAAAAAATATAAACAAAAAATTGACATAATAATTAATAATTTTCTTAGTATGTGTGAAAAATCAAACAGAATAATCTGTTTCAAAGAAATAGAGTATAGTAAACAATTATCAATAAGTGATGCTGGTATAATGTATTGTTTATGATTTCCATCCATTTGCATGTGTGTGTTTGTATTTGTTTGTTTCCTTAAAAAACTTGGGCTAATAAGAAAAAGTAAATGCATTTTATCCATTAAAAATTAAATATATGCTAACACTATCTTAAAATTAAATGTATTCTGACACTATTAGTTTTGTTAGTTTTGATTGATGAGAAAACTGATTCAAATATATATATATAATTTTTTTTATCTGAATGTTTTTTTTAATGATATAATCACTAAATAAATTGAAATTATTAATATCCGAATCTTATTTTATTAAAAAAAGCTACCAAATATATATTTGCTGGAATAAACCTATAATATATATATATGCACGCACACACCACAGCTACAAGTTATGATTTTGGCGCACCGAATGATGGTAACCGAATGCAATGGCAATCACCATGATCTGCATACCCGAATCATGGTAATAACATGATTCATCTACGAGTAACTTCTCATTCAATTTCTTTAATGGAGCTTGATGATAGATCATAGATCAAAGAAATGGAGTCACCGATTCCAAACAGCTTAAAGCATCACGTCAACAGAATCTGGGCAAAATATTGCTATTTATGTTCATAATACTATTACACGGTTGGTAATGTTTCTATCAAGTGAAAATCATAGTAGAGACCATGCTCCAACGTTCAGAAATACACACATTATAAACCACAAGGCCCCTAGATGATGATCAGCCTTCCAGGATTTATAGCTTTGAAACAGGTAGCCCTGTGGCAAAAGAAAGATAACAAGGTCAAGAAGAGATGCCTCAGATGTAGAGACTGGAGAGTGACTTGGCAAACAATTATCCATGTCTTTTGCGTTACCTAAGGCTTTTGCATTCACAATACTTGGACTTGCAGCAGGAGGAGAAGCATTCTCATTCAAGAATGGTTCTACCCGATTGGGATTGCCCCATACTGGATACCCTTTAATCTTCCCCTGCAATTCAGAGAGCAGCCAAACATAGACATTAAACCTCAGCTAAATGAACTTGAATAGCTGTGACTGTGAAGCTTTTCGTTTGATTTCTTGAAACTTTAACATACCAGCACATTCAGAGCAGCTAGAGTTGCCATTCCTTCACGGGTCCACTACAAAATACACAAGCCATAATGTTTGTTAATGTCACTGATTAACCATGGAAAAGTCCTAATGTCCTGACAATAATTGGTATGTTCAGTGATCCTCAAATCATGAATCTAACAATATTACCTTGGAAGCAGAAGCAATGTGTGGAACCACTACGGCATTCTTCATGTCAGCAAGTCCGGGCTTCATGTAAGGTTCATCCTGATACAAAAGAATTGGCGAACAATCATGAACTGACTTAATTGTGGTATCGCTTTCGTCGACAACAAAATAAGAAACGGAGAAGCTCGGTTCAGTTACCTCAAAGACATCAAGACCAACGCGAAACATAGGATTTTGTTTCAAATGCTCTACAAGGGCTACTTCATCAACAACTGGACCCCTACTACAGTTTACAAGGATCGCTTCCTACAGATACAGATGGAAATTTGATCGTTGCTGAAGTTTGTCTTCTCGAGATACTCTTAATGACTAAAGAACATTACTTCAAATTTTTACCTTCTTCATTGTTGCAAGACTATTTTTGTTGATCAAATGGTAAGTAGTTTTGTCCATTATTGGGTGAAGGCTTATCTACAATGAACATCAATGGCAGTCAGTATTATTTGAGAAGACAAATCAAACTTAAGACCATTGTAAGACTCAAATTATCAGCGAAGGAGTCGCACCACATCTGCCTCCTGAAGCACCTCATCCATCGAGGCTGCTCTTTTCCAAGTAACTGGCTGCTCACCATTAGCTTTTAGGAATTCACCGTAAGCTGCGATTATAAAGCACACTATTATCAGCACAAACAGGAATTGAGAACTAAATAATTTTGATAGATTTTCAGAGACATGCCTGTAACAAACTTCTCTAGGCGTGTGGATTGATAGAGATCATAGTAAATCAGATTCATTTTGAACCCTTCAACCTGTAATAAGAAGAAAAGCATACATATGAACATGTGTCTTCTACGATTTTGCCACCATAATTTTCGAAAACGTACTAAATTCCTGAAACATTCATTCATCGCATGTTTCACGACATGAAATTGCATTATGAACAGGAGTGGGTTGCCTAATGCCTTTGAAGTTCTCTTTAACATCACATTAATGCGAGCAATCTTCCTGTCAACTCTAGTCAAATTGATTTGCTAAGCTTGCTATGTAAGTCCACTAAACAACCTAATTGATTCAGAAATTCAACTATTCCTATCCAAGTCTCTTAAGGAATTACATTTGATACCCACTAATCAAGAGGTTACCATCATTCTAGCATAAGCAGATCCAATTCGACCAGCTCCGATGACACCAACAGTTTGTCCTTTGAGCAAGTTCCCAACAAACCTACATAACAACATGATCAAATCAAACTATTCATACAGTTGCATTCACACGACCACTTGGAATCTAACACAAGTTCAGACAAACAATGGTTAAGAGTCATACAGGTGAGGAAGCCATCCATCATACAAGCCTGCCCTCATGAACTGGTCTGCTTCAACAATTCTTCTAGCAGCAGCTAAAGAAAGCGATGCTGCCAACTCTGCAGTTGTCTCTGTAAGAACTCCCTAACCAAATAACCAATGCATTATGCATCATTCTCAATTCATTTTCCCCCATCCCAAGGATTCTAAACTTCCTCAAAAAATGTATAAATGAAATTGAACTTACAGGAGTGTTTCCAACAGCAACACCATACTTATTTGCAGCATTAACATCAACATTATTATAACCAACAGCCATGTTACTAAAAGCCTTCCCACCAGCCCTGCTTAGCGCTGCAAACAATGTCTCCCCCCAATCTTCCGTCAACTGAATCACAAAACAGCTCAGAACCAACATTATTAAACATGTAAGCAGCAATTTCCAACATAATCCTACATAAGAAATTAATGAATTACCTGGCCTATTACACCATCACACTTATCACCAATTAGAGCAATAATATCCTCGACAGACAGTATTGTTTTCTTCTGGGTGCATATCTAGTAGACATTAAAACCAACAAAAACAAAAGTCTATCAAATTCACAAAATCATTTCAAGAAATTAAAAATAAATGATGGCCCTTCTATAAACAAGTAAATTACCTCAACACGACAGTCTTGCTCAATCAAGAGATTGATCCAGCGAGTTCCAGGCATGGATTTGGTGCTAACAACCCTGTATTTGCCATTTGGGTTATAAACTTCTATTGAAACTGGTTTTGCCATAGAAGCCAGCTAGCTAGAGGCACCAAAGTTCAATCAAGAATACGAGGGGCACACTACATAGCATTACAAGTGAGTGGCCTTTTTAAATTTCTGGTAGTCTAGTTAGTAAGACAAAATTGCCGTAATGTGGTAATGATCACACCATATCCAATAGTCCTGTCCAGTAAGGTTAGTTTTTTGCATTGACTGTTGACTTTGGACACTTTTGATTTGCTATTTTCGGTGAGGTGCAAGATAATATGGTAGGATGCTTAATGATTGGGTGTGGCTTCTCAAGATAGAGCCATAAACGGTGTTTTGTGGTGGTGTCGTGTTGAGCCATTGTGGCTTAGAATTTTTGGCCCTTCCGATTTGGTATAAGATAATGGTGACATGGCTTTTGTGTGTGGACGACACATAAGGTTGCTTCTATCGCTTTTCATCAATGACAGAAATAACCCAAGTTGTTTGGACGAAGCCAGCTTACAGGTTATCTCATATGGTCCTTTTGGAGAATTCGCCACAATCCACAATCCATGACAAGAGAGAACCTTTCACAGGTTATTTGAAATGGCCCGTTGTTTTGACATGAATCATGGGTTCATTCCAGCCTCAATTGGACTAGGCTTAGTTTTTAATTCAGGCTTGAACCATCGTAAACCACTTTTGTGTACAATAATGGGCCGGGCTAGCCCTATTTGTGAAGCTTTGATTCTGCATGTGAAGGATGATTCTTTGCGTTAAGACGGAAAGGGAAAATAATTAATCATGAAAATGATATGATAAAACAACTGCCTTCTTGCTAAAAACTAGAATTTCCTCTCCTTCCAAGCTCCAAGTATTAAGCTTTCCTTTGACGAAGGACCCTAACATTTTTCCCCACAAGAGATGCATTAAATTCATAGGACCATCCTTTCAGCAGTCCACTAGAAATGGCAAAATCTAGTGTGGACCGACTCAATTACTGATTGGCTCTCTCTCGTGCGTGTGCCGAGCGCATGCCAAAGCGAGGAGCCTATGTGCCAGCATGAGCCGCTCTGTATTTGGACTTTGATGTGTTCAATTGTGGACTTCAGGCCCTTATGACAACGAATTAGAATTCAGAGATATAACTTTTGCTTATCCTTCGTGATCTCCAAAACTCTAGGAGTCTCGCAATAGGAAAAGTCTAACCATGGTTCAATTCCTAAGAACATAGGCTTCGTTTTGTCACGAGACGACCAAAAATACAACCAAAATATGGAGAACAGAGAGAGAGAGAGAGAGAGAGATCAGTCCAATTTGTCATGGCTGCCAAATTTACCTACTTCGTTCCAAAAGGGAATGGATCTTGGCTAAGTCTCTAACCACCCACAACACAGCCCCACGTTGTACTCTCTTTTATTTTTCCTAACCTTTTTATCCAACAAGCTCCACTTCTCACTCTAACGTGCATTGTTCCCTTGGCTTCACACCCACCAAACTACCATGTGGGTTTTGTCGTGGCATAAAATCTACGAGATAAATATCAATCTGTTAACGGTTTTTATGCTATTAGAATTTTTTTTATTTACATCTTAAATTTGTTTTTATTCAATTTAAGGATTTTATTTTATGTTATTGTTATTTTATATTTTAATATATCGCGTAAGAACACGTATGAAGCTTCTAACCAACATCAATTTATCAAGTATCATGATAGATTCAAATTGAGTAATTGATTTGATGATGTAGCAAATTATCGTTGATTAAAGTTTATCATGTGTGCTTACATGATAAATTAGGGTTTAAAGTAACAATAATATAAATATAAAATTCTTAAATTGAAAAAAAAACTTAAGATCTTAATTAAAAAAATTTCAATTATATAAAATCTAGATATGTGCAAATCTTATTTGTTAATCATTGCATTAGAGCATCTCTAATGATGCTTTCTACTTTTAATTAGTATTTTTAATATAAATAAAAAACACTATTAATTATATAGATCGAAGATCAATGTATTCTTTAATATTATTTTGTACTTTAAGGAAGAGGTAACTATAAAGAGAGGAGGAACGCTAGTCGTTAACGAGACTACCGTGGCTGCAATGGTAACATAAGTTTACTTAAAAGAATAATCTAGTCAAATATTATAGGCGGTGCCCTTGTAGACGCCAAAATCATGAACAGAGAAATCAATCATCAAGAGATAATAATTAAAGAGTTTCATAAGTTAAAGCAATTAAATGGAAGATGTATATTCGAAGTTAAATTATTGAATAGATCACACCATGATGTAAATCTCAGGCACAATTCCTCATCTCATAGACATGTTCCTTTCCTTTCTTTTTGTGTTTATCAAAAGCAGAATATGAGATGTTGCGTAAATTTTCTTGAATAATGCCTGGGATAATAGTAATTAGACTAAAGTGCGTGATTATACATAGCATTTTTGTAGCGCCCAGGAAATTTAGGATTTTTTTTTTTTTTTTTATGAAACTAGAAATTTTGGTTTTTAAAGTATATACAAAGAAAACTTTAGCATAAACTAACTTTTTTTTTTTTTTTGTCATATTTTGGAAGCATGTAAAACTACTCCCCTATATTGGCAAAAAAATTAGTAGTAAGATTTGAAATTAACGGCATTTTTTTTTTCTGTGATGAATAGGTTAATGGCACTTTAAGTCTAGGGTTTTGCAATTTGTTTAGCAAATAAAACAAAAACAATAAAACACATTCCTAGACACCATCATAAAGTTTCAATTTTCAGTTAATAAGTTAAAACTCTCTCAGCCAAAACTTTATCCTCACCGAACCCCTCCTACTCTCCTTCTTTCTGCAAAATATTTACCTCTCCACACACAGAGAGAAGTCATGGAGAGGCTTCTGTATTCATCTTCTCCTACAACTCTAAAAATCCACCTCAAAAAGCCCACTCCTTTGGTCCCTAGACTCAGCAAACTTGAGTTACCAAAACTTGGTTTTCCCTCTTTGACAAGGCCTGAGTTCAGGCGAGTCAACTCGGTTTCTTGCAAACATGAGGACCCATCAACCCCATTTATTAAATTGCCATCTCCGTCTCCTCTTCAGGTTTTTTCATCAACTGGATCGACGCCAAAATCCCGCCTCGTCAAACAGATCGTTGATGGAGTTTCTGTGAAGTCCAAGGTATTGAGTTTGTCTAGTTATTTGGCTAAAGTTCTGTTTTTTTAATGGAATGATTTATTGAGTTTTGTGCGATTGTTCAATTTAATTGGATAGTTGGGTTGATTTAGCTATGTTTGTTATGACTAAGAGGCTTTGCACATCACTAGCTTCGGTTGTCCGTGAATGGTTGTCGTGAGAAATCATAATTGAATATTTGAGGCAATTATACTGTACAAAGACTGGTACTTTCATGGATTTTTATTTTTTAGTGGTGGTGGACTAATGCTTGCTAGAGTTCTTCGTTAAAAGGGATCGAGTTATATTTAGCTTTAATTGTCATGATAGGAAGGCTTTAGATATCACTGGCTTATGTGTCGCCCTCAAATGAATTCACATAAGAAATCATAATTTAATAATTTGAGGCAATGTTAGGATAAAAGGATGGGTCATTTTTTTCTATTTTTCATGATGTTACGGTAAAAACATGGACAGGTAGCATGGCTTGTGTTCTTGAAAATAATCCCTATGGGATTTAAGTATGTAGTTTATAGTGCTTTCATTTTAAGGTGGCATCGAAATGCTGTTTCAAGTTATGTCCAGACTGAAATGCTCAAATCCCTTTACTTGTGAATTTGCTGTCTCAGTGGATGCAGGTAGAAATACACTGCATTGCAAACACTGCTTTAGTTCCAAATGTTGTAGAAGCTCAAGTCATGTTGCATTAATTCTAATTAATTCATCGTTTACATGTTTTGTGAAAACATAAACTCAAATTGAAAGGAGTTGAGTCTGATTGGTAATTTAGCCTCCAATTACAGAGCTGCATTTTGATCATATACCTACCTATCACTTTCTCTTTTCATATCTATCGGAGTTCCAAGAGAAAAATTGGTTTTGGTTCTGCTTTTTGCATGTAGGTAGTCCGTTGTGATGTGTGAAGATTAAATTGTGATTTGCGTGCTGTTAAGTTTAATTATCAAAATGTCGAAGGATCTAAGTTACCTTGAATATGGGCCTCCATAACTTGTTGATTTGTCATTACTTGTATTTGATCTAAGTTAACTTGAATATAGGCCTCCATAACTTGTTGATTTGTCATTACTTGTATTTGATTACCCTTTCGGGAAAAAAAATTATTGCTTTTAAAACTTGTCTTAATTTTTCCAAAGCATCAACGAAGCAATGGCTAGAAGCGCTTACTAGATTTCTTTTATGTTTGGAATTGAATTGGTTTGGGTATTTATGTCTTGTGATCCCAGCAATTGAGTTTGCATCTTCTTTGGGTAATTAGTGACTTGAACTTCATTTTCTTTGCTGAGCAAAATTAAATTATTTGTCGATGCTTTCAATGCACTTAATACAACTATTGGTGCCTGGAAACTAGGTACCTTTTCCCCATCCCTACTGAAACAATACCAATTCATATGTCACCTACCGTTATAGCTCTGCTTATCACTTGGATCTAGAACCTTTTCAGTCTCTTCTTTGTGAATTTAGAATTTGAACATGCCTACTGTCCTTTAGAACAACTAAAGTAGAGGCAGTAACGCGAGAACCATCAAAACCCAGATGGCTGTAAAATACTCCCAAATGCCAGGTAGGTTTGAATGCCCAAACCACCAAACTATTTTGAAGAATTTTTAGTTGGTTTGCTAGATTTCATTGTTAAAATTCCGTCTTTAATTTGTAAAAGTTGCTGAATCTGTCGCATTCTCTACATGCTGCAGGCAGCTACTGTTGGGATATTCATGGTAGTTTCTGCTCTTATCATGTTCTTAATCCACCCAGTTTTCACATTGCCAGCTTTGGCAACCTTCCAAACTGCTGCCAAGACTGGAGGGCCTGCTGCTGCTGCAGTAGGGGCAAAATTTATGAGAACTGAACTACTGACCAGTGCTTGGGCTGGTTTTTTTGCTGGTTGCTTACACACACTGTCAGGGCCTGACCACCTTGCTGCTTTGGCTCCACTCTCAATTGGCCGATCCCGCATGGAAAGTGCTGCTGTTGGAGCTCTTTGGGGTTGTGGCCACGATGCAGGTCAGGTCATATTTGGCTTGCTATTTCTACTGCTAAAGGATCGGCTTCATATTGAAGTTATCAGAACTTGGGGCACAAGAGTGGTTGGTCTAACTCTACTTGTTATTGGTGCTATGGGTATTAGGGAGGCTTCAGAGGTCCCAACTCCATGTGTTGCCTTAGAAAATGGTGAGTGTGATGTTGGTGTCTACGAAGCACTAGAAACTCCAACAGTAGGGAAGAAAAAGATTGGTTTTGCAACTTTTGCTACCGGTATTGTCCATGGACTACAACCAGATGCATTGATGATGGTGTTGCCTGCACTTGCATTGCCTTCTCGTGTGGCTGGGGCTGCATTTCTGATTATGTTCTTGTTTGGGACTGTGGTTGCAATGGGTAGCTACACAGTATTTATAGGGTCATGTAGTGAAGCATTAAAGGACCGAATACCCAGAATAACTGAGAAACTCACATGGGCTTCATCACTTGTAGCAATTGCCCTTGGCCTGGGCATTATCGTTAGCCAGTTTTTCGGATTCAGTTTATACTGATCTGTCTGGTTGCAAGCTACCATTTTAGTGTTAGAGAAAGATCGTTAGAGAGGATTTTTAATTTATTAAAAATTTTAATCTTATTTAACTTTTGAAGTTTGTAATCTTCAACACACAAGGGAAATACTTGTGTCTTAGAGAAGCATTTATGATAAAGACTTGTGTCTTAGAGAAGTATTTATCATTTATTTAAGGTATGATTCAAGCTCTGCTAATTTTGTTTTTGTGCTTGAATTGATCTAGTCGTTGCTTTTTTTTTAACTTGGTTCCCCAATCAAGCCCCACTAAAAGTATTCTGGTAAAATATATTCTCAAAAAAGTTAATTGTGGAAGAAAATTGCAGGAAGCAGTAGTGGGCAACACAAATATTTTTAGCCACTGCCCCCTGCCAGCCATATCTTGATTAACAGCAAGACATTAAAATAGTGCAATCGTCAGCCCATGAGTGAACAATACAGGCTAAAGATGTGAGCCTAACAGGAGGCGTATTTGTGAATTGCATCTTTAAAACAGTGACGGTTCCAAAGATGATCATATGAAACTCTAGCAGAAATAGATACATCAAATTTTTTGTTGCAAATCCTTGATTCAAAAAAATATATATAGAATTTCAGAATTTCATTGTGTTGTTTCTTAATACAGTGTCTAACCCTGCTTACGATACTTGCGGAGCGACGCTTGCAGAACCCGGCTCAGCATGATTCCACAAGCATATGCTGCAAGCTTGCATCTATGGGGTGTCATGCAACATATTTCTTTCTGCAATGTATTATCACCTAGAATTAGGACCCAAAACTTGGGCCAAAGTGCCACAGCATAACAATGTCTTCGTACCATAAGGAAGAAAAAAATTCAATGAAAAGCTTACAATATGCAACAGGGTAGAAAAATCTCATTGTCATGTCATCGCTATCAAGCTGTTCTAAATTCATGGCCTGTTATATAAGTGTAATCTTCTTCACATTGCAACGACATCAATTGGAATTCAGCTTTTTCATTTGTCACTTTCAAGCTTCAACATTAGAATTGAAGACTAAAAAACTGTACGTTATCAAGTTTGTACAGCAAAGGCACTGGAATTGGACGAGCTGCATAAATCATCAAGGCCTCTCCTTGTTGTTGATATCATGAAGCACACAAATATCCGCAGCAGTTTTCATCTGAAATCATCAAAAGAATTGCAGATCAATCCTGATTATATCAAAACACTAAAAAGCAATCGAGTATAATAGTCTCTTAAATCCATACTAATCAAATTTACAGATTTTTACTGTACTTGGGTGAGAATTAAGACACATCTTGGATTGAGTAAAATCTAAGACAACCAAACTTTATCTGAAACAAACCTTTGACTGCTACAAACCAAGTGTTTATGTAATCTCTAAATCCAGTATAATCTGAACTGCACTAATTTGAATTAATAGCATAATAGTATAAATGCCATCCATTTTAATATATCTTGTTATGCTACTACCGTACACATTAATTTATTACCAAACCATGAATTAAATTCAGCAAAATTCTAAAAAAAAATAGCTTAGAATCCAGATAAGGCACCAATCCCATTTTCTGCAAAAAGTAAAAAGTAACTGCAGGATATGCACATCACAGTCACCAATTTCAGGAATCTCAAAAGCTAATATATCAAATTAAGTATATCAATAAGAATCTCAACATCCGCAATTTCTTTATTGTCCAAAGAATGACATGACATAAGTTACTATCAAGATAATAGAGGCATTAGTTGCTACCTGAATGATATTCACAAGTTGCTTGATTGTCCATCCAAACAAACTTAAACCAAGTAGGACAGAGACGAGTGAACTCTCTGTTATAGAAGCCTTTAAAACCTGAAAGAAGAAAAGACTCAGAAAACAAGATAAACAAGAAAAAAGGTTTGTTTATACCGGATGAAAAGCAAACTTGTAAAATAATAAGGGCTTACGTCCATCAACTTTTCATTTTCGTTTTGTGCAAGAAGAAACAGAAGAATATAAAGAACCTGCAGAAGTAACAATCAGATCAACAAAACAGGGCTAATCAATAAGATAACAGAATTCGCCTAGGTAAACTGGCAGACCTAATTCATAATTACCTCACATGCCACACAACAATAAGCCATAAACATACGATTTCCGTAGTAAGCCTTGAAAAGCCAATTAGTACTGTCTTTCACGTCTTTGTGGCTAGCTTTGCCGAGCAAGAAGGTACTGCAAATTGACGTGGTAAAGATCCAATGAAGTGGGTTACATGAGCATATTTATTCAGCAAGATCATATAAAAGAAACAGATGCTGGACAGTTTATGTAAAGAAAGAAAGATACCTGTACATCTGCAGCCAGTGGCTACCAATATCGAGGGCAAGCAATGACAGAAAAACCATTCCAGGCCTGCAAAAATCCCACCAAAAATCTCAGATATATTACGTACAAGTTCATCAACTGTAATGCCCGCGAAACAAGCAGAGAAACCTTACCTGTATACTTGGGAGAGGATTACTAGTAGGCAAGCTGTACTAATCCTGGATGAAACACAAGTTGATAAATCAGCCACACAGACATGAGTGAAGAATCCAAAAAGAACAAAGAAAGTGCTGAAGAAAAATTCAAATTTGGCAAGAGTCTGATATGAGAAAGAAAATACCTGTCTGTTACCATGTCCAAAACAGCACCAAAAGTTGAAACTGAACAACGGAAAAGATGAATCAGATATTCCACTTCAGGCATTTATTTATAAGTAATCTGAAACTGTCAAGAATGGGGCAAACCCTTACAATCAAACAAAACATAGAAAGCATGGAATGGGATTTTTGATACATTATGATTAGCCTATTTAACAGAATGCTTCTCTCAAGTAACAAAAGGCAATCTTTCAGATAAAAAGAGCTTCTAACAAGTAAAGACCAGTATTCACATTATCTTCAAACTGATAAGACCTTAGATTCTAGTTGTTGTTAAGTTCTATTTAGCTTAATATATCCATGAACATTCTATCTAATTCAAACTCAAGATAACAAAGTAAAACACAATCGTGCTTGCCACATAATCAACATACAATAACCCTTTTAAACAAATGTTATTCAATCTACTTAGTCTCAAATTTCAACCAATCATTTTGTGCTACGCAGATTCAACATATGTAATTACCAATTGAATTATAGACCTTTATAATTTCACATACTAAGCAATAAAAAGACCGAGAAAGAAAAAGACCATACCTTGATTGAATTTGCGAGCACACCAACCATCGATACCATCACAAACAAAGCTGAAATCACAAAACACAAATCAAATCACACTCCCATTTCTTTCACACATTGAGAAAGCAATAAAAACCCATGAGTGATAACGGAAATATAAATTAAATCAAAACTCAAAACACAGAATCCTCACCTGATAAAGTAAACAGCACAAAATAGCCATTTGTTAGAAAAACATATAGCAAATGCATAGCAATTCATGAGCACTCTTGTATATCCTACATAGATATTCACCAAAAAAACAAAAAAAAAATCCCATAAAGAAAAAAATCATAACATTAACAACAACAATAAAGAAATGTTGAAATAGAAGAAAAACCCACCAATAATATTGGGAATGTAAAGATAAACACTTAATTTGCCTGGTTTTCTTGGCCTTGACCTGTTGTTTTTAGCCATTGAACAAGCTTTCTATACAAGCACAACAAACATACAAACTCAATATATCAAAACACAACACTATGTATTCATATTCACAGTTTCCAAGAAAACAACATCATGAAAAGAAAAATAAATTCACCTGTGACAAAGCAGATGTAACAGGAATGAATGGGCCAAACAAGGGAGTAGCACCAGAGAACCCAAAGAAACAAGATATGGGCTCTTTGTGTTTTGGGGGTTAATTGCGGATTAACTCTAAATTTTGTGTTTTTAGGATTTTGATTTATAATTAGCAAGAGCAAGTGGATTTATATGGGACAGAGAGGGAGCTGGAAGACACGAGGCCAGCCTTAAAAGCTTAGTGGTGATGGGGATCTGTAATTTGTTTGATTTTGGGGCTAATTATGTAAGAGAATTTGGTACTGCCGTCGTTTGGTTCTTCATTTCTCAACGTTTTGGAGGGAACGGGTATGGGTGGGCCTGGGCCTGGGCCTAGTTCTTCGTTAGATCATTGAAGTCCATTGATTCGATGACAGAGATTTTATGAAAATTTTGAAGGGAAATGACATTGATTTTTTATTCAATGGAGGTGGAATTATTCTCCACTCAGTTTTCCTTGTTTATTTACTCCCACAATGATATAAAATTTTCCAAACAAAAAGCCATCATCTCTGGTCTACACCATAATTTTGGGATTTAATTTTATATTTTATGGTCAGTTCGTTAACTTGAAATAGAATTTCCTTCGAATTGGAAACAAAAAAACAAGATTATCCCATAGATCATCCTAGAAGACTTTGATGGACCTTCAAAGTTCAAGCATCTAATTCCTTGCCTTCAGCCATAACTATTGACCCCATCCTTATTCTTTGCGTTTGCCATTATTTCAATCGTAGAATCCTGATTTTTTTATACAAGCCACTTTCATCGAGAAGGCACAACCGCTGTTTAATAGCTGGACTTTTCAATCCAGAATCCATGGTCCGCATGCATTTGCCCCTGAATTCATTGATTCGAGACTGGTAGCTGAACCATGAACAGACAAAAGCCACCTCTTTCAGAATCCAATTCATCATTTACAACTACATCATCTTTATCCATAAACTTTGAAGTTAAACAAGTCGAGCATCATCCTTAAAGCAAGATATGGGCACATTCTTGCCTTGGGTCTCCCATTTTCTAACCACGAGAACCAAACAGAATCGTTTTAAAAAAGCAAAACGATTTTTTGGGCCTTTTATGTTCGCAGCAATGGTCATTTTACTCCATGTATTTCGAATATGGTCAATTGACTCCAAACTTGACAAAATACGGGTCAACTAACTACAAACTTGACAAAATATCGGTTAACTTACCCCAATCAATAACTTGCCGGAATTTGTATTCGTAGGAAACAGGTCAGAATGCACGTTTTTTAGAAATATAAAGATCAGATTGAACTATTTTTTATTCAATTTCCACAACTTCTTCATTAGAATTTTCTTAGAGATAATTCAATACTCGAATTATATGAATGGCGATACCACAAAATGCATTAAAGTGGAGACTTTTTAAAAAATAAATTCAATTAAGTGCTTATTATTTCAAAATAAACACCAATGTTTATTTTCTAAAGTCCTATTTAGGGATTATGATTAAGATTTTATAAAACTTGGTGCCAATCAAATCAAGTTTAAACATAGGGAGTCATCGGACTATCTGTCACAAATATAGGGAGTATTTGCTTTCTTTTAGATTGCCGGCCCAGTAATGCCAATGAACAGTCAACGTCCACGTCCGCACCAGCTGACAAACAAAACAAACTTGTTCTCTTACAAAGGGAAAAAGATATGCTGAGAATGGATGGCATCGTAGATATCCAGATAAAAATCATTAAATTAAAAAAAAAAACAAAAAAAAACAAATTTATTTTACCAATCAAAAAGGGGCCCACTAGAAAGACAAAATCAAACAAGCAGGGAGAGACACATGAGATACGGTACAATACAAATTCACTGCAGCAACGAAAAAAGAGAAGAGCTGTACGGGCACTAGAATCAGGCGAGAAAAGTGGAAGGGCCCACCGTACGAGGAGACTTTCAAAATTACCAAATTGCCCATCGAATCCCCAATGCCAACAAGTGGAAATAGCCGATGCTGTAAGTCCAAATCTGTCAGAAACAATTTCATAATTAATTACTCAAATCTTAATTAATTAATCTCTCCTGTTTTGTTAATATACGATTGGAACAATTATCTTGCACGTGCCATGTGCTCAACACGCTAGTAGGATAAACCTTGGAGATCTTTACCTATTTATAACTAGTTAATTGAAATCTTAATCCTCAAGTGATCTTAAACGCGTAAAGAAATCATAGCGAGTAACGTATATAACTGATGTGGAACTAATTTTGTTTTAACTTTGGATAAACAAAAACGATCCAAATAATGTCTAAAAATAAACAAAAGTAAATATAGTAGTATGTACTTATATAATAACTCAAAATTTCATCTATTTTTAAATTTTTAATTAAATTTTATTTATTTTTAAAAGTATTTAAAATTTAAAAAAAATTTATTAATTCTTCAGTCAAATAATTTTTTTTATAAAAATATTCTTCATTAAAATGTAAAAAAAAAAACAAAAGAAATAGGATATTTGATTTTAAGTGTTTTTTTTTTGTATTTTAATAAAGATATTTTAGTTATTAAAATTTATAGTCAAAAAATTTGATCGAAAGAATAAATTAAATGTTTAAAATTTGTTCAAAAAGAAATGAAATACAATTAAAAATTTAAAAATAAATAAAATATTTTAAATATTATATAAAAATAAATATCTATGTTTAAAAAAAAGAAAACCTACCCTTTGTCGAAAGAACACGCGAACTCTTGGTAACGTTCTTGAATGGTCGCTAGAACTTAAAAACTTGACCGAGGTAGATTATTGTCATCTTATATCAAAATTTGCATCATGACATATTGTAAAGAAAAAAATAATAATTACAGAGACCATCATGAAGCTTAAGACTATTGAGAAAAAAAAAAATGTCAATAATGGAGATATATATCAAGTGAATCCCGTAAAGTAAGAGATTTTATATTTTATGGTTTTTTTACTTATCATGTGTTCCAAGTCAGATAATAAACAAAGATTTTTATATTATATGGTTTCTTGCTTATCATACGTCCAATTTCACAACAATAATGAGTTACCATACAGTAAACAAAATATCAATGATTCTCCAATCTACCAAAACGAGTAACCGGTGCAAAATAACCTACGACTTGTTTGAAGTAAAAGATAAATACGGTCTTAAATTATTGGCCCAATCCTCCAAACACAGCATGGTTTTTGAGTAAATTATGAATTAATCTTTATCATTTTAAAAATTAATTATTTTCCCTTCATATTTTGAAATTTATTTATAATTTATTATTTTGTATCATTTTAATTTTTTATTCTAAGAAATAGGAGTAGAAAAATATATATATATATATATATATATGAAAATTTTGAGGAAAAAACAAGAGATTTTGTAAAATATAAAATATTAAATTAATAACGATCATTAAAAAATTAAATAATAATTTTTAAAACAAGAGAGATTGGTTGATTTATTTTTTCAAATTAAAGGGATTAATTTATAATTTACTCCATGGAATCAAAATTGTTAAAATTAATCAATTGAGGTCTCAGTGGAAGCTGCAATTTATCATTTGAATAATTAACAGAATCGCACTATATAAGGAAGAGTAGATAGATGGCTTTTTTAAAGGCAACAATTAAAAAAGAAGGGTGTATCTAATCTGAAATCTTTAAATCCTAGGCTGGCGTTGCAGAGCTGTTAATGTTCAAATATAGCTAGGCAGATTACCTTTCATTTCCTTTTCAGAACATTTTCCAAAAATCAAAAGAATCCCAATTAATCAGGCTGTAGGCTTCTAGTCTAGAAAAGAATATGGTGACCTTTCAACTTTCATTTCATAGATGAGGTGTGAACACAGATGCACAGCTTAGTGAGAATCTGACATTGCTTTCAATCTCTTGTCATTGCCAATGCCAATGCCAAAACAATTGGCAAAAAATCTTGTAGTGCGAATAATCAAATCAAATCTACTCAAAACAGACAAAAGATAATTGAACCCAAACGGGGAAAAGTAATAAATACATCAAAAGAAAGGAAAAGATGCTCTCTCTCCAATTGTCCTGTAATTCTGTCCAATATATTTGTTTGATTTCTTGCTACTGGTTTGAAGTACAATTATGAACACAAAAGACCCTAAAAAGGGAAAAGAAGAATAAACTAAAGAGGAAAAAAAACAGAAGAAAAAGAAATCTAATAGCTAGGGTAAGGACACTTCAGTTCCTGCTTCCATACGATGCATTGATTTGGGTTCTTGATTTTCTTTCCCATTCTTTTGCTATTTCCCTTTCACTTTTCCCGGAATTTTTTTTTGAAAATCTAAACCATTAAAGCCTCGATACTAGCCTTCTTTGGTGTTAGACACACTGGACAGGAATCAAGAAGAGCCTCACAAGCTGTACATGAGCAAAGGTGCCTACAAGGAAGGAACAAAATACACGAATTCCTAGAATTACATCCTCTGCATACCATCATCATCTCTCTTGCTATGTCATCAGCATCAAGAAACCCTTCTTCTTCTCTGCTAACATCACAGCAGGACTCTGCATCCTCTGCGTCATTGTTAAAGCAACTCGATGCATTTTCTCTTAGTTGTTCAATTGTGTTGTTGAGAGAAATAACCATTGCTTCGCGTTCTTGAGCCACTCTTTGCCATGTTTGATTCTCAAACTCTAATTTCTTCAAGAAATCTTCAAGCTCCACTGTTCTTTTAGCCGTCTGTGCTATTTCTTCGTCCTTCTGTTTCAATATAGGCAGGGCCTTTGATTCTACTTTCTTTAACAATAGTCCAAGCTGCTGCCTTTTTTGCTCTTGTAACACCAATCTCAATCTCTCATTCTGTTTACAGAAGCAGGAAAAAAAATCTGAGCTATTGAAAAAAACAACAAAAAAATTTGATGAAACTGGAAAAGAAAAATAAAAAATGATTGTTATTTGGGCAAACCTGCAGTCTGATATAGTGATCAATCTCCTGTCTTTGCTTCTCATCATAGGAGGCCAAGCTACCCGTTGAAAGATGATTACTGTTGTAGTTGTTTTTCGCAGAAGAAACATGAGTATTGTCAAAGAAAATATTTTGATTCCTCTGAAGCTGGTAATTTTGTAACTGATACATGTTGCATTGCTGCTGCTGCTGCTGCTGTTTTTGTTGCTGAGCATTGAAGTACTGATTTAAGCCTCCACAACCATACTCCATCCAATCTTGAGACCCTCCCCAATATGGAAACTGTGCTTGTATTGCCATTCTTTATATAACCAAGAAAACCAACCTTGATCCTTATCAAACCCCAAGAAACCAAATAACAGAGTTCTTCAAATAAAATCGGATTCTTGAAAGCCAAGACTTGAATTTCCTCTTGATCTCTGCTATGCGACAATAAGGGACAGAAAAATAAGTGGAGGGGTTGAATATATATAGGCGGTGATATGTGAATAATAGAGAGATGTGATAAAAGTAACTGCTATGACTTGAAAAAAGGAAAAAGAGACTGCCTAGGATACTAATTTTTCCTTCTTATATAAGGTCTACCTCCACCCTTAAACGCATAAATAAATATATTTTTTTTTTTAAAGGGTCATTAAAGAAACGACGTACACATGCAGATTTTGTGACTAAACTATCGGGTCAGAGATTTCAGAGGGGCGTTTGTTTGGTTTTGAATAAATATGACACGATAAAAGAAGAAAAAAAGGGGGCCAAGAAAGAATAGGAATTTCAATTCCAAGGTGGGTGTATGACTCTGAAAAGGTCAGTTTTTATTGTAGAGAGATGAGGGGAGGGGAATCAGAGAGATTTGTCAGTTTGGTCACTAGGAAAGCCTGAAGAATAGGATTCTTTATTTGCTTTTTGGGAGTATAAATCTTTACCACTTCTTGTTTTTTTTGGGAAACATGACTTACAAATATTTTTGGCACCGATCCGAGCAGGGTGTTTAATGGGCAAGTGTTGAAGTATTCAAGCTATTGAATCATTCTTTAGACAGGTGGTACGATGATAATCTAGCTTCCATCTTGTTTACCAAAATAACAAAACCACGAGCAGAGAATCTGTAATGAAATTTAGGAAATGAATGGTAATTTTGATGGTGCTTTCCTTTTTGGTTTTATGTACAGCAAATTAGGAGCTGTACTTCCTATACTTCGTTTGGTTACGAAACGGATTTTCTTGCTAATTAGGAAGGTTCTGCTTCTACTAATAGTAAATCCACCCCTAAGCAAAACCCTATTACTCGTCAAGAAGATTTGATTAAAGGGTTGATCTGTCCATGAGATAATCCTTCTTTTGTACAGCTTATAATGGCAAAAAGATAATGATGGCTTATGTGTCTTCCACAATTGGTCCGGACTAGACCGTTCCATCACCCTCCTTATCATGTGACCACTTTAGAAAAGTACAGAGGACTGAAACTACAAATCTCTTTCGTTGCTAATTTTTTAACTTCAGGGTCCTAATTGGAAGCATCTACATAGATGGAGGACTGATTTGTATTTATCTATTTAATATCTTAACGCGTATATGTTTAATTGTTTATTTGTTTTCTAGCTAGATTGAGGATTCTTCACAACGTTATACAATCTTAGTTGTAAGATTAGTTGGGACTACAAGAAAATTCTCAATAAAAAAGTCTTGTTATTGAGAAATTATTGCTTGAATTATAAGGGATTAAATTATCCACCAAAAATTCACTGTATTAACCAATCAAGCAGTTTTAATTCACTAATTACCAGCCCATAGTATTTTTGTTGAGGTATTTAATACCTTTAAGAATTATACTCCTGTCAAAGATTCGAGTATTTAGGTTATCATTTAAAAGCAACAACCCAAATTTTGTGACTTACCAAACCAAATTTTGTGACTTATCATTTGATTCAATAACGTTAATTAATTCATTTAAGATGTAGATTTTCTTCAATTAGGGTTTTTTTTTTTAAATATCCATAATATCTCTCAATTTGAAGATGATACCGTGTGAAAGAGGAAGGTCAAAATTCAAAGCAGCACCCTAGCACAGAATCAGGAATTTATTTACGAAATTTTCTGGTTTGAAGACCTGCCCGTAAAGTCTTGGGTGTTTTGCATCGGTTCAAATTCAATTAAACAAAACCATGCAAATTTCTATCCTTATCCAAATGAATTTTGGAGCTGTGATTTACAAGAAGCTTAGCCAATGCCTGATAAAAGCATCGAAGGGGTTCATAATTCATGCCTGTCATTTTGGACGGTTGTCATGGATCCTAAATCACGGAAATTTGTCCATGTCAACAAGATTCTAAAGATCTACTAGTCCATGGAAAGATTAAAAAAAAATCCAGTCCACAGTTCCCCATGTTTTTATTCAATGGTTACATTGCAACAATAATAGGTGAAAAGGGTCGTCGTCTTTTTTTTCTAGAAAACAAAGTTTCCATTTGCACTTGATAAGAAGTTGATAAGAACACAAAGAGAAACAAAGCATGAACGCTGAGCGGGGACCCATGTGCTGCCCACCTACCATGGAACCTAGTGAGTCACCTTCCTTGCTTGGGTAGATCTTGTGGAACCAACGGTGCAAACCATGTGAATTTGTGAAAGCATCAGACACAACATCACCACCACCACCTCTTTAGCTTCATTGACTAGGCATTGTAGTGGCATTATTAAAGATTCACAAAGCCCATGTCTCGTATTTGGTGCAAAGTTTCTGCTACACCTTCTCAACTACTACTCTTTGTTTTCTTTTTTCTTTTTTTTTTTCCTGCAAAGTGACATGGATGCACTCTCGGGGTCTTGGTTCCAATAATAAGGCAACCCCACATGAATTTCGTTGTTGGTGTAGTGGGATTCAATGAAAACGTGTAGAAATCTCCAGTCGCTCTGAATTTCTTTTCGTCATGATATGATTTGGGATTTCTTACTTTAGAAAAACATGGTTACTGATGCTTAATCAGTGCTCTTGGAAAGACTTAATTAACATAATATAAAGTGATTTCACTATTCCATTGACGTGTTGGTAATTTTTAACAAACACGCCATGACCTTAAGCGTGTGAACATGTGCTTGTTGTGCATGATTAAAGAGAGAATTAAAGGTCTTACCCCCATGATTAAGCAATTTCTAAGATTACGCTTTGGTATGGACCAAAGTGACCTGGAGCATGAGTTTAGGTCGTGGGACTTTTAACACTCTAGTGGGGTTGCTATGAGTGACAGAGATTTAAAATCTTTCTCACTAACTTTTTTAATTCACGAGCTAATGGATGAGGAAGAAAAGGACACCTAAAGTGAAAGCAATTATCAAGAACTTGCGAGACACGAATACTTGAGAAAATCTATAGGATATTTCTTAGATGTATCCAATATTACTAATCAGTAAAACATTTTTGAGGATATGCAGGGATCCTTGAAGGTGTTTTTACAAACAAGCCAGTAATCCCGTGATACTTACTCATACAATTTCAATCATCCTCACCAATAAAAAAAATCTATTTTTATTTATGATTTTTGCGTATTTTAATTTTATAGTGTTGAATCAAATAATATATATAATTAACTTACTTCAATAATAACTTATGAGTATTATCAAAGAAAATAAATGATGTCAGTTTAACATTCTTATTACTAATGTGTAGTTTCACATGTTTTAACAGCTTATGCTTGTTTTAATACCCGTTTTTATACTTCTACAACAAATTATTTTCATACTTATAATTACTTTTTTAAGAATGTTAAAAAATTTATATCATATAAAATAAATAAATAATTAATTATTAATATATAAAATCGAGATAATGTCACTCGTCGTAAGCTTTAAGTTTGTTGAATAAAACTTAATCTCCATTATCTAATTTAATATAGTATTAATTTTTTTATAAAAAAAATTAACACTCCAGCAAATATTTTAAAACCCAAGCCAATTGAACAAAATTTAAGAATTCAAGTTATTTTAGAGAGCCATAAACAATCTATATATCTTGCATCAGGTTAAGTTATTTAAATAAAACTTAATTTTAACTATTAAATTTTACTTAAAACATAAGTGTTTTTTAACTATTGAAAATTTAAGTGCATGCTTGATCAGCAATCACAAGACTCGCAACACAACTATAAAGATTTTTGGCAACAATTTTTTTCCGATCTATGGCGATCAGCAACCCGAAAATGCCACTACAGAAATATCATTAAAAGACCATTCTGCAATATACACTAGTAGAAGCCATGTAGGGTATGGCAGTGTCCAATTCCTGAAGAGTATTAAATTCTGGTACTGTACCATAATTTTTCAATAAGGAGGTTTTTCTCTTACTGGTATTATTTCATGTCCTTTGCCACTATTTACTCATCAGGCGTTGTCACGTCATTGATATTAAACCAAAATATACTCTCCCTTTTTTTGGCATAATTAACAAGTATGATTATGAATCTGTTTTTCTTGAAGTTTCTTTCAAAGACTTTGAAAACCTCATCACAAAGACCCTTCACCTGCCGACCGAACTCGATCCACTTGTTCATAAAACGGTCGAATTTCATCAACCCTAAAGAAACATCTCCTAATAATCTCACTTTTATATACCACATGTCAAGTCATACTCGGCTATTCTCCTAATAATCTCACTTTTATGTACCAAACGTCAAGTCATACTCGGCTATTTTTCCCTGTTCTTAAATTTTAGCTATAACATTTGCTAGTTTCTAAAACTTTGGTCCATTATGGATTGTTCATAGTTAGGCGTCTGAAAGGGATCAGACACGTATCGTTCAGAAGGGAAATATAATTGTAAAAAATTTAAAAGCTAGCTGGGTGCATGGTCTTGTACTCCAACAATCAAAACGAAGACCCACCAAAAACAACTATAAAGTCCGACCTTGTGACGAGTGACAACTTTTTGTGCCACAATGCATGCTAGTATGGGTGAGGCTAGTTACCTCTGGTGGTCAGAGGGCCACCTGGATCCCTTTCATGGGCACAATGGGGCCATAGGGTTAGCCGATTTGTCCATATGCAGACTTAGCTGGGAAAGAGCTATCAAGGGTAGTGGTGCATCCTGGTCTTCTATTATGCATGTATATTTTCAAAAACTGGTGGCTCCATTTGTTTCATTATTTGTCTCTGTTCATGCAACAGCACCAGCGGTCCTATGATACGTGGAATCATACGTAGAGAAGTGGAAAAACATACGAAGATACGATCTATGATTCTGTATTGCTGGCTGCTATAATATTTAATTGAGCTAGGATCGGATCCACTTCGTAGTGGAGAGCCACTTCGTGGGCATGAGCATGCAGCGTACATTAAAGCAAGTGATGTATTATATTATTCCATGATATGATTGATTAATTAGTTAAGATTGGAGATTATTTTTTTGTATTAAATTTGTAATACAAATTCACACCACACTAAATAAATTACTCTTGCACATGCAGTATTTCTCTAAACTTTCTTTGTTGTGGCAGCTAAAACTGCGCCACTCTTGGTTTGTCACTTTGTCTTTTGATGTATAAAGAATCATGGCTTAATCGGTCTAATTCTAATTAAAGGCTGCATGTATAAGCCATCTCGATCTTGAAACTGAAGAAATAATTATTTAATAATAAAAAAGAAAGATGATTTAAAAAAAAAGTTACGTATATCGAAATTTCATATAATTTTGATTTTTTTTATTGAGATTTTTAAAAAATTTCTTGCTAATTTAAAGTTTTACTCTTATATTATTGTTATTTCAAATCTTAATGTGTCACGTAAGTACACATGTCAAGCTCTAGCTAATAATAACTTACCATATGTCATGGTATCCAAATTAGGTAATTGAATTGATAATATGACAAGCTTTCGTTAATTAAAGATTATCATGTATGTGCTTACGTGACATATTAAAATCTAAAACAACAACAATATGAGAGAATAATTCTTAAATTAGATAAAAAAAAAACTTAGAATCTCAATTAAAAAAAAATTTAAATTTTATGGAATCTTAATATGTGAAAAATCCATTTAAAAAATTATGATAGTACTGATTGTTTTGGATTTTTTTTTTTTTTTTTTTTTAAGTAGTAGAATTGCAAATGATACCAATGGACTCCTAGATGATATTTATCTAGGACGGTTTTCTTTGTTGCTCTTTTGTGGCTATTGTTGCATCTCTCATTTGCTCCAGTATGTACACTTGCTTTCTTTTTTCCCTAAAATAAAGAAGTTGGTCAATACTGCCTATGCATGTCAGGATATTTCACGTTCTACGTTGTAGACCGACACACGAAGGTCATGTGAAGCTTGCTTTGAAGGGAGCCTCCCTCCCATACTTTCTTTACACTTTGGTCCATTCTCAATGCATGTCTCCATACCACAGAGAAAAAAGAAAAAGCGGAAAAGCTCTCAGTGCTTCCCGTGCGACTTTGACTCCTAAATTTCTTGTTCCCAACAGTACGTGTATCCATTATTTTTCTTTTCTTTGAAGCAAAATCTGCTTTTGCCAGGCCAAATTTGACTTGTTCTTGCATCAAAGAAGCTGCTCGCTTCCTTGATCGACAACCCGACCTAGTTAGCTATCACTATTTAATAACAAGACAGTTTAGAGCTTTGACCATCCTTAATTTTCTTGTTCATTTTATCATGCTAAATATGTGAGTGAGAGAGGTCATTGGTCTTTCTACTTTTGGACAGGTACATTTTGAACCTTATCATAAATAACTTTAGTCATATCCATGTTAGACTCTATACCGTTAGGTAATGTGGCTTTATCCATGTCACAGAAAGTTCAAACTTCGAATTATAAAAATAAAAAAGAACAGGTAGCTGGATAAGGGAGAAGTTGCTTGGATGCTTCAAGCCTGTTCATGTTTCTGTCTACATCGATGTATTTTTAGTCTAGCGTGTGAATGGGTTATTAAGATTAGGTTTGGAACAGTAAACATGACGTGATTAATACAACAGTAGAGATGAGACGCTACGTGTTTGATATGATGGATCATACATTAAATTTTGTTATTCTCTTTGTTTGGCGTTCAGATACGAGCCAGAAAAAAATACAATGAATATCTGTTTGGCCTTATATGGTTTAAATATTTTAAAATGTTAATTTCTTCCGCTCAATAAAAAAATAAGTTTAATCGCATCAAATGTATTTCTATTCTTCTGATTTTTTTAATATATCTCTTTTATTTTATTTTTTTATTCAACTTCTTCCTCTATTTTTCAATTTTTCTTAATGTAGTTCCTTTAATTATTTTTTTATCAAAGCTTACATTTGACGTTAAAAAATACACGTGGTGTGCCACGTCATACTAATTTGCCACATGGAAATGTAAAATTTATGGCACTTTTTTTTATTTTTGTTTTTGATCAATTTTCAGCGAAAAAAAGGAAGAAAAATGAAAAAAAAAATCATAAGAAAAAAAACAAAAGAAAACAAACTGGGCTTTGAGTTGTGCCCATGCGCGCCTGGGTTGGACTCAAGCTCAGCCTTTAGGAAACAGAAAGACAGGGACGACTTGCCGCCCGCATCCAGTGTCTTCTTCGACATGGAACATGTCGGATTTTGGCCAATTGGGTCGAATTTATGCAAAGCCCGACGGCAATTTTAAAACTCATGATTTTCGCATCGTTTTTCACTTAAAAACACTCACACTATTCTTGTAAACACAAATCTAACATCAAAACCATTTTTAAACAACAAATCAACACAAAATCGGATTTGAAAGTGTTTAGATCTAAAACTTCAAATCCAAATATCTTTCAATTCCAAAAGTGAAATGATAAAATTTTGGTGTCTATAGATTTATGACGAGGAGAGCTTCCATTTGATGGTGATATTGAAGGACCGTACTTTCCAGATTAGATCGGTGGAAAGTTTCTCTCTCTTCTTTTTATTTTCTTCTATTTTCTGTTTTTTTTTTTAAACAAAGCTAATCGAATGGTCACAAATAATTCATCCAAAATGAATGGCTAAAATTTATAAATGCAGCACATGACTAGCAGTATTTTTCTCCTCCGTCTTGAAACAAAACCTAATTAGTTACATATTGGTATCGTACCAAAAACAACGAAGGAATTCAACTGGGCTTGGGCTCATCGACCTTCATTCCACGTATCTACCCTAATTTATTAGTATTTCTTTTTACGTAACTACCCATCAGGATAAGCTTTTGCTAATAACAGCATTGGATGCCCCTACCTGGTCCAAGTTGGCCCACCGATTGGGCTGTACTTTCGAGCCCTTCAATACAGGCTTTTTGCCTTCTCTATTTGTTTCTCTTTTCCACCCTGCTAGATTAATAGTTCAGATCGAGAAACCTTTTTATTTATTCCAGGGATTTTGAAGATATACATCCATTTTGATTTAGTACACTTGGATGAATAGATCTTTTTAATATTCCAATTAAAGACGAAGCAATCCGTCTTACCTATAAAATTAAGAGTTATCCAATGTGTAGAATTTGTTACATCCATGGATTTATTAGGTAAAAGCACATATCAAAAGCTTCAACTACAAACTACAATAATGGAAAAGCAAAAAACGACTACGCAAGAAGACAAGTATATCATATTAATAAATTATACAATAAGACAGGAAATGTGTCGACCTGAAATATCATCAGCAGCGGCTGTGGAGGATTCGACAAATATATAATTTTGAATTAAGGAATCATGTGGTCCTGATCACGATCCTGTAATATGGACTTAATGGTATTCTTTAAACGAAACCTAGGAAGTCTTCTTTTAGAAAGCTGAAACACACCTAGCCCTGCCAATGTCAAAGATTAGAAAATTAAGTATTTAAATTCACAACACCTAGGTTCCTGGCATCATTTAGCTGGACACCTTAACATTTTTTAATGATATTAAACTTTATCATTTTTTTAATGCACTAGAAAGCACTATTTTTATTTGACAGTAACTTCGGTGAAATTTCTTATAGATTTGAGCTAGACCTCTTGCATTGAAGCAAACCCATCTGGTGGAAGGTGTACATCAAGTGTGACATTGGAGACAAGGCAGTTACTATCTTCTTTGTGCCAATTATTATCAGAACCTAAATGGGCATCCATCCACTTGTCGGTTGCTGCAATCCTGTTCAGAAGTGGCCGTGCACTGCCAAAAACCTAAGAAAGATTAGTCAATTATCAATTTGAGCATCTTCAGTTTAACACAAAAAATGCTACTATATTTTATGGCAAATGAGATTGAATAATATTGATTTGTCAAATTAGAAGCATAGCAATGCTACTGTGATTTTTGGCAAATAAGATTGAATGATTTTTTTAGGTAAATAGATCTGGTCCCATACTGAAATCTGAGAGGTATTAGCTAAGGGGGGTGAATTTTTTTTTTTTTTTAATGAAACAAATATTAATTAATCATAAATGCTGTGGCTATAACGATACTAGCAAACTAGGAAGTAGTGATTGACTGCTGCTTCTTTTTTATGTTAGGATTTATTGGAAATTTTTTAAATATTATAAAATAATATTTATTTTAGAAATCTATTTTAAAAATAGAGATATGTATAAAAATAAAAATCATTTTTTTGATTCATTGAACATGATAATAATATTTTCTATTAAACTATTTTTTAAAATTTTTTTCTTATAAAGTATGTTTTTTTTTTTTAACTCTTTGACTATCATAAAATTTATCCATTCAGTGAAATTTAATTTACCCATTACATATTATGCTGCTTCTTTTCGGTTTTTTTTTAAATTTCAATCATTACTAATACTCTGGACTTTCACTGTTTAGTAAACGGTGTTTTCCAGCTTCTTTTTTTTTTTTTTTTTTTAAACAGCCATGGCCTGGCACCGATTTATCAACCAGCACCTGGCCTAGTACTATTTAAAAAAAAATCAAATTTACTGTTCATTTATCAAGCGTTTTTGTCTTTTTGACCCACAATTTATCAAGCTTTTCAGACAATAAATTTCCTGGAAACAGGAGGATATGGAGCTAGCCATTGGCCATTTTTACCATCAAAATCAAACCGACCAATCCCAGGGAGGATGGCGAGCCATCACTCACTCATTCAAGCTCCACCACACATGACACACCATTTGAATAAACCAAAAAAACAAACCTCTGGTCCCACCCTCGCCTGGAAAAATGAATCCATTCACACTAACCATAACTGACTTTTAAGTTTTTAGGCCGATTGTGGGGCTCACCTCTTAACTCGAGCCCAAGCCCGATGGGACCCACCACAGGTCGGTGTCTGGAGAGTAACGGGGGTCTAAAACAAACAATAACTAGGATACGTGGCAAGGAGCCAGCCCAGTGACACCAAAAACGAGAGAAATCCAACGACTGATATTTCCTCTCGGAAGAAGAAAGAGGCAATTTGGAAGATTGTTTATTTAAATGGAAGACTCCCTCTTCCCTGACGTGTGTCTGCCAAACCCTTTGCTATTATTTCACAGAACTTACTAAAGCCTAGTGGGATATTTCTGTCTGCTATTTCATTTATCCTTTTGTCCAAGGAATCAAGAAAAGTTACAAAGAAATGGGCGTTCTTGATCATTTTCCTGATTTGTTTGATTGCTCTAGTGGCAGTTCCAAGATCAAGAAACGCAAGCAATTGCAGGTATGTAATATTGCTACAACTCCTTAATCTAACTCTGTTGTTTTTTCTAAACTAAAGAAAGAAACTTTGTTTTGATAGAACAAGCAACCACCATGAGCTCTTGAAATTCAGTTGGTTTCATAGTTAAAACATATAAATACTTGTCTCTTTGTCTCATTATCTGTTGTTTCTTTGAATCTTTCCTTAGTTTGATGGTTTGATGTTTTCTTTTCAAATTCTCTTAGCCATCCTAGATCTCCTTTATAGTTTTAGATTCAATTTTTGTTATTTAATAGTGAAAATATTTTCGAATCAATTTTTATATGCTAAAATTAACAACTTTTAAATCATACAATGGTATAAAAGGAAAAAAAATCAGCAGTTAATTCAGATTCAAACCCAAAGTAATAATGCTATCTGCCCATGATTAAATGATTGAATTTGAAAAATGAAAAGAAGCTCATTATTTCAATATGGACCGCGTTCCCATAGGTGAATATAATCAAAACCTAAAAGTAAGGGCATTTTCGTATTTCACTCATAAAATGGCAAAATATGATGATTCCTTGTGGCCCCCCAGATATTTCTTGATGCTGTTGCTCATCCATTTATTAGTTGTTGTTACGTTCGCGTTGTATGATTCTAAAAGGTTACATGATTGATTGAATCTGATCAGACGGTGGAGGTCAAGGTGCGGATAGACTGTGAAGGATGTGAGCGGAAAGTGAAAAGAGCATTAGAGGGAATGAAGGGTGTAAAGCAAGTGGATGTGGAAAGAAAAGCAAACAAGGTGACAGTCGTTGGATATGTGGACCCATCAAAGGTGGTTGCTCGCGTGGCACATCGGACGGGTAAGAAGGCGGAATTATGGCCATACGTGCCGTATGATGTGGTGGAACACCCTTATGCACCTGGGACATATGACAGAAAAGCACCTGCTGGGTACGTGAGAAATTCTGACGACCCACGAGTGTCTCAACTCGCACGTGCCAGCTCTACAGAAGTTAGATACACTACTGCTTTCAGTGATGAGAACCCTGCAGCTTGTGCTATTATGTGATGATGATCATGATTATAATTACTTGTTTGATTTTAGGGTCGTTAATTATGTTTTTTTTATTATCTTTGTTTGTATCCTGTGGTGTAATTATTTTGTATTTCTTTTTTGTCAATTGTATTTTTTATGAAATCAAGAAATTAAATATTTGTTTTGATTTGGTACATTAGTTTGTATCCTTTTGTGCTTTGATTTTGAATAAATCTTCATTTTCATGAAGCCAGCCCAAAGAGAAGAAGATCAAAATCAAGGTTTAAACATGACAAATCCGAGTTAAATACCCATTTCCTTTTTTACGATTTTAGCAGCAAACTAAAAGACCCTAAAAGCCCAACAGAACAAACACAAAAGGGAATAAAACAAACAAAAAAAACCTTTAACAAAAATACTAAAACAAAACAATTGTTTACTACTCGCTTTAATACTCATAATACTAGTTATCCATGTTCATTTTACCATTCATCAAAACTAGTTTGTATTATTTTTTTTACCACGTTGTGGCAATGTTGTAATTTTCAATGTTTATTAAGGCATTTAATATACAAGTTGTTGTAACATTATTATACTTTGCTTCTTTATTTTATTTTTTTATATATATTTTTTTAATTCTGAACTTCATTTCCCTAGGTTGTTTTTTTTCAATAATTTAATTTTTTAAAAAATATCATTTAAAAAATTATAGAAAATTGGTAGTTGTTTTTTAAGCTTTTTTTACAAACTAGCAATATGTGTGTGTGTGTTTGTTTGTATGCGCGCACGTGTGTGTTTTATATTTTTAAATAGACATATATTTCATATTACAATATTCTTACTATTTAAAATTAATTTTTTTAATTTGTCTTTTTTTTATGAAAATTTTCATTCAATTAAATTTAATTTTTATTTTTATAAAATTTTATTTTTTGAAAAATATAATTTTATTTTCTTTATGGAGTTAAATTTTAAAATATGATAATCTTCTCTCTTAAAAAAATAAGATAGTTTATATGATGAATTTTTATAATTTTTAAATGAGACTAGCATGATTATATGTGAGTGTGGTCTATTTTAGATGATTTGTTTTTGGAATTTCAGGAAAAAAAAATCACAAATAATTAAAAGTAAAATGAGAAATGAAAAGAGGAAAAAGTTCCTTTACGTGTGAGGTATGTATACAAGGACTAGTCACGTATGGCCAAGGAACGAGAAAATTTTTTTTTTTTTTAAATATGAAATTTACGTGTTTTATATATGCTACCTAATGATAATGATAACGATAATAAATTTTGAACAAATGACATATAGTTTGCTACTCCTTAAGGTTTTTGTTATATTAAAATTGATAATTAAAAAAAAATAGCGATAATAAAAATTCAACAAAATCGAATAATCACTCTAAAAGCTAAAATAACATTACTAAATATCAAACAAACAAATAAAGTCTACATGTTTATAGCAAAGTGAAAAAAAAAACACTTGTATTAAATATTTATCCGGAAAATATTTATTTACAACGTCGATAAATGATAATTTTAGTATATTTGTTATAAAAATGATTTTTAAAGTTAAAACGAGATATTTTCGGTAAATTATTTGTTTATCCGTATCAAACATAAATTAAATTAAAAATTATGATAAAAAATATATTATTATGTGCGAGAAAAAACAATAAAAAACCTATATATATATATATATATATGAATGTAAACTGGATTTTGAAGTAATGGGCTAGTCAAACACTAATACAACTATGATACAACTATACAAGCATTCTTTTTATTTTTGGGTACATCTGCTTGGGCTAAACCAATTGAGCTTAATTATAAAGAAAGACCTGGTCTGAACCCATTTTTGTTTTTTACAAAACAATATTACTAAATATCAAACAAAACAAATAAAGTCTACATGTATATAACAAAGCAAAAAAAAAAACACTTATATTAAATAATTATCAATAAAATATTTATTTACAACGTCGATAAATGATAATTTTAGTATCTTTGTTATAAAAAATGATTTTAAAGTTAAAACGAGAGATTTTCACTAAATTATTTGTTTATCCATATCAAACATAAATTAAATTAAAAAAAATATGATAAAACAATATATTATTATGTGCAAGAAAAAACAATAAAAAACCTCTCTCTCTCTCTCTCTCTCTCTCTCTCTCTCTCTCTCTCTCTCTCTCTCTCTCTCTCTCTCTCTCTCTCTCTCTCTCTCTCTCTCTCTCTCTCTCTCTCTCTCTCTCTCTCTCTCTCTCTATATATATATATATATATAAAGCTGGATTTTGAAGTAACGGGTTGGTCGGACGATAATACGACTATGATACAACTATACAAACATTCTTTTTATTTTTGGGTATATCTCGCTAGGCTAAACCAATCGAACTTAATTATAAAGAAAGACTTGGGCTGAACTCATTTCGTTTTTACAATTTTAGTGAGAAACTAAAAAAACTTAAAACAAATAAAGTTTTTTTCTTGGATTATGTGACCAAACTATGTTTTAGTTTGCTAGAAAATCCTCCACTTCATGTCATTATAGATAATGCTTTGAAATTTAAATTTTGTTACTTGTTATTATCCAATAACGTTAATCAATTTTTTTAAGAAAAAGTATCAACGAGATAACGATAAATATTAACTTCATTGATTGGAGAAGATGGGTTGGGTTTACACCGAGTAGTGTGGTTAGGCTAGAAACGTAGCCCGATCATAAAAAGTACTAAGACCTTTTTATAATAATAATTAAATAAAAAGATCATTTTCTATACAATAGGAACTTGAAGGATAAGTGTATAAAAAGCGAGGCAAAATAACCAAAAGCTATAGCAAAATATGCTCTTTTAAATTATTTATATATTATATTATTATATATTTATAACATATAATAATGTTTTAGTCAGTTAGTTACGAGTAACCACCTTCACTCTCTTGCACAATAGAAATTTGTCATTAGTTAAAAGCTCTTCAAAATTTCCTGCTTCTTCTACTACCTTCTCTCTTACAAAATCCCTAGCTACTCGAAGCTACTTTCTCTCGCAATGACCAATGTGTTTCTTTTGAGATTTTTTATAATTGCTTTTGTAGTCGGGGTGTGTGGCATCATAAGTCGTTGAGTGTCTTCATCGGGCTTGTTTATTCTCCTAATTAGATAAATACTCTCATAATGAAGGTTTGTGGTGGTTAGGGGCGAGTATAACGGTTTCTTTCGCTTTGTTTTGCTCTTTTTAGTTTCAACCAAATATGTACTATTATGACTAAATTCATAGGAAAATATATGGAGGATTATCGGTTTCAAAATTTTGGATGGATGTTTTCTGTTGCTATTGAAGGAATATTACATTTCTTCGAGAGAAGAAATACAATCGTCGAGTTGCATATATCTTTTTCTCTTATAATGATATCGTCTTTTGTAATGCTTGCTTAGGAGACATTACGAAGCAAAAAGGATTACATGGATCAATCTTTTCGTGGATTTTGGAGATTTTGTGTATTTTTTCAACTTTCATGGTTTTGGCCTCTTGGTTGTATGTACGCTTATCCTCTAACCATTTCATTGATAGGATGCCATATGGTTTTTCATATTTATTTTGTTTTTTGTTAATATCCCTTATTGCTTTGATTTTAGATAGTTTTAAAGGATTTACTTATATACCATCTCGAGATTATAGACTATTAATATTTTGATATTCTTCCTTTTAAATTTATGTATTTAATTAACCTCTTAATTGTAGCCTAGGCTATAATAGGTTTACGCTAATGTACTTAATTAAGTAGTACTCTTTTTTTTATCGTAATTTATACGATAAGAACATTGTTTTTAGCTTCGTTAAAGCTTTTTTTATAGCTACTGTTTGTTATGAGTAAAGTTGTGGATGTTCTTTTATGTGGGTGCTATGTTATTTTTTTTAATTTGTTTTGTGTTGTGGGAGATGTTAATTTCACTATCCTTTTACTTTTGATGAATGGGTATGTGTAAGAGTCTTGGGTTTGGTTTGCGGAGTCAATTTTTTACGTAGAATCTTATATGCTATCATCGTTTTGGTTTACATGTCCATTCACTTGTATTTATTTTTCCACTATGACCCTTCGTCATAGAAAAAGAAAAAGAGAAGGAAAAAAATAGTTGATTTAGTCTTAGGAAGAAAATTATACATAATTCATTTTTAGTATATTGATGGAGTTTATTAGTGAGCACTCATGAAGCGACGAATGAATTTATGAAGTTGGGTCACTAAGTTTTGCTCAAAATGAACATGTTTTTGTATGAGCCTAATTGGGTTTTGAATTTCAAATTCATTGGAAATTTTGTTTCGGAGGGAGGCGATTTGGGGGAGGAGAGGTAAAAAGAGGAATGAGAAAGATAAAGAGAACCGAGTGACTTATAGGGTTAATGAGTAGCGACGAACGCATTTCCGTCGCTACTCCATCATTAACTAGTAAAAGAAATAAGTATCCATCGTTAATTTACATTTTAATTGAGTGTCAAATTTTCTAGAAAGTTTAGAAAATTGATCCATCCGTCACTACTCGATTCGTTGATTAGCAATGGGTATCTTAGTCCATTACTAATTTGAATTTCAAATTCATCGATAATTTAGTTTCGTATTAACTTCGTTGATTGGAGAAGATGGGTTGGGCTTACACCGGAGCCGTGTGGTTAGGCTAGAAACGTAGCCCGATCATAAAAAGTAATAAGACCTTTTTATAATAATAATTAAATAAAAAGATCATTTTCTATCCAATAGGAACTTGAAGGATCGGTGTATAAAAAGCGAGACAAAATGACCAAAAGCTATATCAAAATATGCTCTTTTAAATTATTTATATATTATATTATTATATATTTATAACATTTAATAATGTTTTAGCTAGTCGATTCATGAGTAACCACCTTCACTCTCTTGCACAACGAAATTTGTCACTAGTTAAAAGCTCTTCAAAATTTCTCACTTCTTCTACTACTTTCTCTCTTACAATATCCCTAACTACCCGAAGCTACTTTCTCTCGCAATGACC